CACCCGCAAGGCGCGGCTGCTACATCCAACTGCAGACCACGTCTGGCGTAGGATCGGATATCCTCCGCAACGCTCTCAAAGACTTCCATGACCAATGCGCAGACATAAGTCAATCCTAATGGTGTCGCTAGGCGAAGCCTATCTAGACATAACCATAACGGCGAGCGAAACCCGCTTACTTCCAAGCAGTTTCCGTCTATGGTCCCATCTTCAACGGTGTCACGCGGTCTATCAACAACCCATTGTGGGTCTAGATCCATGGCAGCCATTTCCCTCGGAAATGGCACAAAGTGAGACTATCTTATGCTCTAAAGTGAGTCCGGTAACTACGAATATTCCCATAGTGTCTATGCACCAATGATATAATGTAGTGACTAGCTATAAGTAACATGTAGTAGTACGCCTAAGCTTGTTGAGGTCCATGTCCTCTCCTGCCTTCAGCTTGATGCCAATGCTTGACACTGCGAGGTCGTGCCTCGTTTTTGGCTTGAACGCCGCTTTGTCGCCGCCACCGTGCCCATGACCGTGTGATTCACTATTATTTCCATGGCCGTGTCCATGCGGTTCACTACTACCTCCATGGCCGTGTCCGTGCGATTCACTACTACTTCCGTGGCCGTGTCCGTGCGATTCACTACTACTTCCGTGGCCGTGTCCGTGTGACTCACCACCGTGACCGTGACCATGCGACTCGCTACCGTGTCCGTGATCTAGCACGCAATCACCATTTTCGTCGTGATCGTGATCGTCATGGTGATCGTGATCGTCATGGCTATCTCCTCCCTTCAAAAAGTCGGGATCGAATTCAAGCACTTTTTCTAGGTTAAATTTGTCGATGCCGATGAGCAACTTTGGGTCCACCTTGGAGTTCTGGCATTCGACAATATCTGCCATCTGTGGTGGAGGTACCAGTATCACAGTGAACTAGCAGAGACAGTGGATGAGCACTATTACTTACTACATGTAGTAGATTTCCTGTTAATCTAAATCCACAGATTGATAACCCACAGATTGATAACGCGTCGGTGTTGGGTGGAGAAAACATTATCACATCTTCGTAAAAGCACCATAGCTATCTGTCTCATTGGCCTTCGAATTTAAGAAACGATTCTCCTTAACTAATCTACATTACCTTGTTGATGGTGTTCAAGTCATGCTTCAACTGTATCTTTTCATTTTCTTCAACAAGATCGATCTTGTTCATCAAGATTCGGTCTGCAAAAGCGACCTGCTGCATTGACTCGTTCACTGCGCCTTCTGATATGCTGTTGTGATTGAGAAAATTTGATTTTGATGATCAAAGAGGAACTCATTACAGGTGCTTATCTTATACTTCGTGAGACTACAACATTCGTATATAGAGAATATCAGAACAAGCGTCAAAGACATACTGTTCCAAATCTAATTTGAGGAACAACCACGCATACAGCAGGCCTAGCTGAAGTACTCAGTGTTGTAGAGATGCTGCTTCACGTGCTTCGAGTCGACAACTGTGATGACACCATCGACCTTGCATCGTCGCTGCAAGTCTGGGCTTTGATAGAAGGTCTGGACGACGGGCGCTGGGTCTGCCATACCCGTTGTCTCGATGATTATACCTACAGAAAGAGGAGGGTGGAGAATTGCGAAGCGAGAACACCTACTTGATACAGCGTGCAGTAAAATGCAATCTGTCAACATCCCGCTCACTTGTACAAGTACATGTTGTACCCGTAGATAAGTTGCCCTTAGGAAAGGGGTTCCGGTGAGTAAACACTATTTTTATGACGAATCGGAATCTATGAAAAAGGCTACAAGGACGTCGCACCATCAAGTTTTTTTCCGAGCGCAAGTATTTTTCGGACGCCCTTGACAAGATCGTCTCGCACGGTGCAGCAGAGGCATCCGTTGTCCATAGATATGACTTCCTCCGCCATGTTTTCCTTGGTCTGCACAAGGTCGGTGTCGATACCGATTTCACCAAACTCATTCTCGATAACCGCAAATTTAAGTCCGTGATTCGTCGTCAGAATATGGTTCAACAAGGTTGTTTTTCCTGCACCCAAGAAACCAGTGATCACCGTCACCGGTAGCTTCTGCTCGTGCGGGATCTCATACATCGCTCGCGGATCAGCACCAGGAGGCATCATCTTTGCTAAGTGCTTAGTGGGAGACTTTACTCTTCTCTTGACTGAGTATGGCAAATCTTCTTACGAAGGCGGACAATCAGGAAGTAGGTATGGACGCAAATATCGAAGATCAAGTAGCAAAAAGCTCTTTACAAGGATTAAAAGAATTCGACAGAAGCGAGCAACTTGAGAAACAAGTTTGCTCCTGTTGCAGGTGCACGATAAACAATAAAAATGAAAACACCAAGTAGAGGCAGAGCTGCGTACCAATCAGCACCCTGAAAGCGTGTGCAAAGGTTATCAGATGAGTCTCAGTCTGTTCAGAAAATTATAAAACGTTTGACTCTACTAACCAGTCGACATAGTCCATTACCCACAAATAGGCAAAGAACATAAAATGAATGAGAAGAAAATACGAAAGGATGAAAAGGTCCATAGTTATCAATAGACCAATGTGGCAGAGTGGTCTACGTCTGTCGCAGAGTTGCAACAACACATCATACAACCTGATTGAAAAAATTTCAATAAGAAAGTTCTTAGCAGTATTTTTAGAAAGCGTTCGTCCACGCTGTTGTCCCCAGCATCCGGCAGTGTAGTCCAGCAAAATCCCATGCAGGAAAAAGGACGCATCAGGAGACGCATGGACGGTAAGTGGTGATCTTAGTATTCTTATACCCCTTAGGAATCCCGGTCACGATTTCAATTTTATCTGCATTCCCGGCGTTTGGTAGTGTGCACGTCATTTGATCCTGTTCAGAATTGAGGATGATTTTTCTGAAAAGGAGCTTGGAATTAAAATTAGATCAGATGCGAGGAACTGGTCATCGGCGTCACCGAGGAATTGGAATCGATGGTGGCTCTTATATATCTGGATCAAAGACCTGCAGCCCAACTTTTGTATAATGCAACTCGATGGCATGAAACATCATTTGCAACGAATGAGTTTCGTTGTCGAACGAGGAGCCGAAACATTTTCATTTGCTGGCGATAATGCCGAGTGAGTATAATAGAAGCGAAGTTTTTGAACACTCACTCCATGGTTTGCTTTTGTTTTTCTTACCAGTATCAATGGCGCAGCGAGGTATCTCAAATCAATGATTGTGAAAGTACGATCAGCACCTGTTCACACGTGGGTTATGATGAAGGTACAATCCTTATCTTTGAAGGTGGTCCAGGGGATGGCAACAAAACTAGCCCTAGAAGTAAGAGGATTCAACACTCCCCGCAGGCCGTGATAGTTATCGTTTCGCGCGGCATCTCTTTTCCTGCATCGGGGTCACACCGCGTAGCGACAAGCTCGACAATTTCCATGCCGCAGACAACACGACCAAAGACGACGTGCTTCCCGTCTAGTTTCGGACAGGCGTCCAGAGTGACGAAGAATTGGGATGTATTCGAGTTTTTTCCGCTATTTGCCATCGAAAGGAGGCCCTTCTGATCGTGCATAAATTTGAGTCCTGGCTTCTCATCATTAAATTTTCCGTTGTAAATCGAGTCGCCACCAGAGCCGTCGCCACGCGTGAAGTCTCCGCCATGCAAAAACTTGCCAGGCACTATGCGATGAAAGGTCGAGTTCGCGAAGCTGAGAAGTTTCTTGTGGCCTTTCGGAGCCACACCTTTTTCTCCAGTGCACAGCGCTCGAAAATTCTCGCTCGTTTTTGGGCAGTCCTTTTTGTTCAACTCGAAAACTACACGTCCTAGCACCGCTGACGCCGGGGCACTAGTGCGTATGTCGCTACAGCCGTCGCTTCCGCTCGACCTACAAACTTCAGCCAGAGTTTCCAGTTGCTCAGCGTCCAGTTTCGAAACATCATCGGCTGTTTTCGCTTCAGCGCCGTAAGCAGAGCCTTTTGACGTAACAAACTCAACGAATCTTGTCCACTTTGCCTCCTCCTCTTGCTGCTTTTCCAAATCGCCAACGGCGAGCTCAAAAAAGACTCGTGAATTACCAGACATATTCTCAGGGACTAAGGGAATGGGAAATCAAGTTCAGGTTCAAATAAGTATAAAAAAAATTTTGCTTAGCAGCCCTGCAACCACACGACCCATCCAACTAGTACCTATTCTACACAGTGTAGTACTACTCCTGTTTCTATTTTCAGACAATTTCATGTTAAAGCGCTTCAAAAGAAGCAAGTCCATCTTTTACTCCAGCAGTGCTTTTTTTACACAGATCATTGCTCTGCCTTGGGCTGTTTGTGTTGCCACGATCTAACTCTACAAGAATGTCCATCCGTCATGTTACGCACTGACGATTTCGAAACTGATCTGCTGTGATCCTCCGTTTCTTCACAACACAAGCTTGTCTCTATCGGAACGAGAAGCTCAGACGAGCTCCGTCATATCTCCTCGGACCTTGTCGAAGATCTTCCTTTGACATTGATTTGGGAAAAAAAATTATAATTCGCTAAATATATTCAGAAAATTTCTACTGCAGTTGTTCGTCTCACGCAAGCCTGTCTAAAGTCAATCGGGTAGTTCTTAGAAGATGGTCCTCTCTCTACACCTATATCATCAGGCGCCATATCATGTGCGTGCTCCTGTTGTAGTCGTTTCATGACTACCGTAGAAGCCGTAAAGCAGCGTCCATCCAAACAAAACACTCAAATGGCCGTGCCTTGCGGTGGTGCGCGTGTAAGTTGAAATCTGTCTCGTCGACGTTGGATAAGTCTCCAATCCGCCAACTTGTTATGCAGGGGTAGTCCCACCAACAGTGGCGGACACACGAATGATCTCGAAAGATTATGGGTACTGTAGCTCTTCTACTATCAGGAGAAAAAGAGAGACCAAGGAATGTACCTAGATGTATGAGCAACACAAGTCTAAATCAATGATTGAGAAAATGAAAAATCAGTATTTTATTTACATCAAAGACGATTCGATTGGAACTACAAGGATTCATGCAGTAACTTCAAACAACACATCACAGGACCAATATTTATATGACCATCATGATGGCAAGGGTATTGCAGCAAGATAAGTACAACAAAGAAAGATGCAATGGATTCATAACTCGATGCTTACCGACAAAAATTGAAGATACAAAAGAAATCACCATGAAACCAGTAAAGAGCCTCCATCGTCAATCGCACGTTCCAGTGCGACGTTGGTTTCGCTCCTCTTGTTTGAACACAATGCCATACTACGTAAAGAAGAATGACATCCAAGCTAGCATTGATGTAATTTTGACAACAAAGAAATCATTCCAACATTAGGAATAGATCACGACATCCAAAATCGTCGGGATACGGGTGTAATCTAAATCTATTTTTATTTTCACAAGATCACTTCTGAAAAAGTCATGGAAAAAATAAGTCAGCAGTCTATCGCGTCGTATCAATATCCTAAATATCAAACCGATTTCACGGTCACGGATTTGGGATGGGGAACTACTAGGTGGAGCTTGCAGGAACGGATGATCAAACGGTTTGTATTTTTCATGAAGACTTCAAGTCACGGATGAAATTCTTCTGCAAAAGAAAGACTAGTTACTATTTATCTTTCTCTCTTATCCATCGTTTGTTTTGTTTCTGTCACTTTACTTCGCGTCTTGAGAAGTCCATAGGATTATGATCATCCAAATGTGTAGTGGCCACCTAGAGGTACCGCAGGGGTTCCCTGCGGCTGGTACTGGCCCAGCGGCGGTGCCAAACTCAAAGCTGGACGTGCTGCAGATGTGATGATGGGGCTACCGGCGGCGATATGCTGCTGCTGATTATGATTACGCGGTCGAGCTGCAATTTGTTGGCCACCGCTGTTCCATCCTGCAGACCCCGCATTGCCTTGATGCTGTTGCTGCACCCTCATATTAACAGCTCCATTTGTTCTCGCAGCTGGCGCCGGTCCTAAATGCTGCGGCGTCATGGTCGTCGGATGTTGGTGGTGGTGCTGAGCCTGGCGCTGATAGACCAAAGGTGGTGATCGTCCACTCTGCTGTTGCTGATGCTGACTACCTAAGACCTGAGGATTGCTCTGGCATGGGATATGCTGAGACGCAGGTACCCCGCCATATTGTTAGAGGTAGGGTTCGTTTTGGTGTCTCCGTTCCCCGTTTGTTGTGCTCTCATCCCTCAGGAGAGTCAAAACAAACGGTAACAGAAACACCAATAAACTACCCTTAATATTGCGTCTGATGTGGCGCTGCGGTATGGAAGGGTCCTCGTCCTACTCCTGTTGAGGGCCCAGGCCCACTAGAACTGGTACTACAAGAACTTGCGGATGCGACGCCTACAGCCATCAATGAGTTATCTTCAAAGGGCCCCACTATTTCTCTACCAACTTCTGGTGCGTTTTTCGCTCCAGGTGCAGCTAAAGCTGCAGTGCTCCCCGCGAAAGCTCCTGACGAGGGCGCGGATTTCGCGAGTAGCTGATTTTGCGCGCGACCTGCTTGTGCTATCATGCTGTTGTTGCATTTCGTTGTAGAAGAAGACGAGGACGCACTTTGATGTCCTCCCACGTTCGTTTGAATATTACGGTCAACGTGACAGCCCGAACTCGGGGGAATCTGAGGATGCTCATCGCGATTTGCATAGTCGCATGAACTTTCTTCCGCCTCTGAATCGGATGGTGAGAGGTGCCCGGCCGAACATGTTGACGGAGACTTGATCAGAGTGTGTGGTGGTCCAGCGGCGACGGTCGAAGCGAGCGGAAAAGCCGAAGCCGTAGTTGCACTATGGCTCGATTGCTGATCTGCTCCCCCTCCTGCTTGGCCCATAATTGGCGAAGGCATCGCTGCAGGCGACGAGGCTGCGTGCGGAAGAGGAGCGACGCCCATAGATGTGTCCACTATTGGCGCTGAAGGATGCTGATGCTGTTCTGTTCTCCTGCTTCCATGTGGCGCACCCGGTACGCCACGAACCATGGCGGCGGCGTTTACTCCGCAACTGGCCGATGACGAGGATGATGACACGCAAGTTGGTGTTACTACGCTGGGGCTGCTCAGCGAAGTTGATGCCGGAAAAGGTGGCACAACAATATGATCAGAGGCGCTTGCGCCCCCTAAGGGCGAGACGACGGGTGGAATTCCACTACTAGATGACAACACTGGTGATACATTTGATGAGCAAGAGCCGCCTGGGATCGTTGCATTCTGCAGAGCCTGCTCTAATGCTTGCTGCGACGTCAGCGGCGGAGAATTTAAAGGAGACCCAGCTGGTGAGCCGAGTGGGGATCCTATCGGCGAACTCGTATACACCGGCGTCGGTTGAAGGCTGGGTGTCTGCTGCAGCTGCAGGCCACTGTGGTGCGCTTGCAGTACCTGTGTCCCGCCCGCCGCCAACACCACGTGATTTGCAGGCGCGCCTCCTGGATTCAGGAGGTGTGTCGTGTTTTGCGCCGGTGCTGACGCAGCTCCACCCGGCTGCTGCGCTACCAAATTATTTGGTGGCTGTTGGAGGGCTCCTTTCATGCCAGGCGATAACGAAACAATCTGCAATGCATTTCCTAGCTGCAGACTTGAGGCAGGCTGCGCTGGCAACAGCAGCTGCTGTCCAGGCTGAACTAGCGCTGTCGCACCCGCCGGTGCGGCCACCAGTTGCAGTTGCTGCGTCACTGGGTCAAGGACGGCCATTGCGGTTTTGCCCGCGGGCATGCCGAACGCGGTCGTGGGTCGAGCCGCGATGGACAGCGCTGGTGCCGAGAAAGCGTACGCACCCGGAGCACCTCCCATCTGGAAGGCTAATGCTTTTGGTTGATTATGTAGCTTTCCTCCCTTATTCGACGACACGGACTGCTTTCCGCGGGCGCCCCGACCGTGCAATTGATGCAAAGGTTGCGGTTGGCCCTTGCCACTAGTGTTCAGGCTGGCGCCATACTTGTAGCTGTCTTTACTACTGCCTCCAGTCATGCTTGCGCTGGAGGACGCGCTTCCACCTGCTGTGTGTGCGGGGCCCCCCTTGAGCGACTCTGGTTCGTCTGACGCCCTACTTATTTCGCCGAGAGAAGAGATACTTCCGCTAGCCGGTCGACTCACGTTGCCTCCCGTCGGGTCTACGCTACCCGCTTTTCCGTCCTGCTCCGCGGCCTTATTGTGACCCTTCGACGCTTGTTGTAGTGGAGCCGCGCTACCGCCGGGCGCGCTGGCTGCATTCATCGCAGAGTTCTCTACACGCGCTGTAGAGATGCCGCCTGCACCTGTTTTGAGAATCTTACCATCGGACTCAGTCTTCTCATTATTTTGTCCCCCACTCTGAGGAGACGCGTTATTGCCGTTTCGCGAGCTGCTACCTTCGCCGGCCTTGTTCGCAAGCAACTGGCGTGCCGGACGCTGGGATTTGCGGTAAAGAGCGGTCAAGAAGGCTTTTCGCACTAGAGTCCACTCACTTGTCGGTGACGCGTGGCCCATGAGACCCTGTCGATCCTTCAAACTTGTAATACAAGGCAGGACCAGAAACGCTTCGACCCAGTTCGTTCGGTTTACCTCCAGTAAAGGTTTTGTCGTGGGGTCGCTCGCGTCTGGAGTGTTCGTCAGTCGACAGCCACCACGCGCGCTCCATGCCTCGCCGCCACTCGGTATCGCGTAGCTGCATTTCTGGTCCGTGACCAATGCGTTCATGGCTGCTACGTTCTTACCTACGAGGACACTATTCGAAAAATGCCTCAGACGAAACACTGCGACTGCTTGGTAAATCCGATGCAGAGCACCAACACCGCGCTCGCCCTCTCCTGTTTTCGGCGTCGTTCGCGCCTCCTCAGACTCCTTCTGCGGTGTCTCAAAAGACGATGTGCACGAGCTTTGAAATGTGTGCGTTTGTATGTCGATAACGATAAGGGTATCTTCTGCACAAGCAACAGCGTGCAATTGCTTTTATTACATTGTTGCAGTCCTTACTTTCACTGCTAGAAAAATACGACACTAACCCTAGGAGGAAGTAAAATAGGCAGGAAATTACCTAGATCGCCCTAGAGCTGGCGAAGCCGTCGGTTGCTCAGGCACCGTTGGCAGATGCTCGATTTTCACAATTGATGGCTTCGGTCCAACTTCAGGTGTTGGCTCGTCTGGCTTATTGAAACGCGTATACGGATTCTTGTTAGGCAGTGTCTGACTCGCGGTGCGCGACAACGCTGTTGCAGGTCCATAAGTAGGACTCGACCTGAAGGAAGGAGAAGAGTAGAAAGTGCTTGCCTACTCACATCAACGAAACTAAGTGAGTTGTTCTTGTTCACAACATATTTGTCCTTGACGACGTGGATGGCATAGAGATCCAAGCGAACCTTATGAAGTACTTTGCTGAGTCGCCTGGTGCGGGTTCCGCTTTTATTTGCACTGGTTCCGACTCTGGGCGCGTTAAGGCGCTGATGTTAGTGCTGTAGTAAGGATTTGAAAAATTAAAATACATAAATAGTAGGCAACCAATCCAGAAAGTTGCAACCCTGGTTAATATTCCATTTCCATCGATCATAAAAGTAACGTAGTCGTGAATTCTAAGTAAATGCAATCAATTTACATTTTACACAACCATGAAAAACTTGAATTTTCATGCAGTTGGTTCCCTTTGGTTCCTGTCAGTGAGCCAGACCCACGGAATGACCACAAGAATACTAATCTACATCTGATCGCTACCTGCTGTTTGGCAGAGCCCCGTTCACCGGCGGAAAGAAGAGCGGGCCAGGTTTTTGCGCCGTACTTCCGTCACCCGACAACAGCGGTGGAAGCGGGAGAGGCATTGTCTTGGCGCCACTCGCGCCTGGGGTAGGACTGTCGCTTGGAAGCATCGTCGGGTCTAAGCCTGGTGGCAGCGGCATTGTGCGCATTGGAGCTGGAACTGGCGGCATGGTCGTGGATCGAGGTGGGGAACTGGGTTGAATAAGGGATGGACCTCCCGGTGGTCCGCAAGAATTTGGATGGGGAATATTCGGCATGAAGTTTGGACTCGGCATAGAATTTGGCTTTGGTAATGCAGCGAATGACGGCCCGCCGCCTTTATTCCCTTTTCCGATGGGCATGGGTGGCGTTCCGCCGGACGTCGAATGCTTCCCGCCTTTGCTCGTCTTGATTCCAACGGTGTTGTAGAAAATTTGGTTTGATGTGCTGTCCTCGGACGCCGTTGGCGAAATACTCGGTGACGCGCTTACCCCAGTCGGACTACTGCGACCGGGCAGCAGTTTTGGTGGACGCGGCTTGATGTTCACGTCGCCTGGAGGCTTCAGCACATTGGTTGGAGGCCCGCCTCTCTTTCCTCCGGATCCTGCCGATACACTGGTTTGGTCGCCACTGGAAGCATTTGGTGCCACACAACAACTCAGAAACGGATTCGGAAATGTCTTTGCCGCCGCTCCTCCTACGCCTCCGCCGATAAGTGGAATCATGTCAGGACTGGGAAATTTCATTCCAAGAGGGCCAACAGCACCGCCTTTCCCGTCTCCCATTGAAATAGACACGGGCCCCGGCATAGGCAGACCAGGAGCACCATGCTGTTGGTATTGATCTCCTCCTCCTATTTTAGCAGCAACACCGCTGCGGGCTGGCTCGCCGATCATGAAGCTGCCCATGGCAATGGCGCCATCAGCTGCTCCCCCGCGGCTGCCAGGAGAGGAACTACTAGATCGGTTCATCATATTATTGCCACTACTTGAATCCAAATCTAACAAGATTTTGCGAATGTCATCTCCTCGCTCACAGAGATTCACAACTTCTACTGGCACGCGGGAATCGTTGGTCGTGCTCGCTGCGCCGGATCGCGGTTGCTCTAGCTTGATGCGATGATTATGATTTCGTGGTGGTGGCGCGCAGACTCCCCGCTTCTGCTTCTTTGTCGCCGAACCTTCCACTAATCGGGGCGAGGAAGACGGTGTCGAGGATGCGGCCGACATCTGCGCCGTTAGAAGATGCTGATGCAGCTGCTCTTCGAGAAGCTGCGTTCCGTCCGAAGCTCTCGTTGTGCTTGAGAGGTGAGCGTTCTCCGTTCGTTGTTCCGCCTTGATCCTGTTCATCAGCGCCAGTCTAGAAGGAGTGGCACTTCGAGCATTACCACCGAAAGTTGGAGCTTTCTCAATCATCGTTGTCAAATCTTCTGCATCAATCAGCTCCATGAGCCGTTCACTGTCAATGTCGCCTAGCAAACCTTCTCCTGATTCACGTTTCGCAGCCTTTGTCCCAGCTACAAACGGGTTGTTTCTGTTTACTACACTCGAATCTCCTGCACAAGCCACTACACCCCTCCGTGATCTGCTCATCACGTCTGTTCCTGAACTACTAACGCTGGACGCAGGCGCGAACCCGGAAGACTGGTGTTGCTGATGAACTACTTGTTGCCCGTCGAAACAAGGATGCGCCATACCAGACTCTTCGTCACAGGGACTCCCATCCCCCATGATAATATCTCCACAAATTTCCGCTCCGGTTGCTTCTGCAATTGCGAAAGCTGCCTCTGCTGACGCGGCAGCCGCAGCAACGTGCGCTGCTGCTGGACCTGCGCTTGCGCTTCCTGTCACACCAATATCCGAAGCTGCTGCTGCTGCTGCTGCCCCAGCTACTCCTGAGGAGCCACTTGCTCCGGCTGCAGGGTATGAAAATGTTTTGTTTCACAATAGCAGGATACAGCACGGGAACCAGACTGATGAGAGGACACGGACTGCAAATCATGATTGGTTATGTGCTGTACTCCTGTGGCCTTACAGCGACGTATTTGACTCATCGACTCATTTTTATTTTTTACTGATTCTATCAAATAACATCAGATCATAATGCTGTTCCTCCAGGCATCTCGATGTCCTCGCAAATGCTACAGACCGCGAAAGCCTCCCCGTGCAAGTGAGCTGCAAAAGAAAGCATGTCGTCAAAAGTAACAGAGTGGGCATGAAGCTTCACCTTGAATGATTCGCCCGTCTCCCGAAGAAGTATCAGGCCGTCAACAGCATTAAACGCATCTACCACTTCTTGCACTCCCCGACCAATCGCAAACTTCTCGAAGAGCACATCTTCATCTGACAGTCGGCTTCCAAGTCGTCCAGCCTCGAGATCTGAAGAAATAATGGAAAGGATTGGCTTGAATAAAAAATCTGCAAGCGCACGCAAGAATTTGCTCTACTTAGCATTGCTGCAATCGAGGTTTATTTGAATTTGACAAATTATCCTCAACAACTTAGTCGAGAATGTGTTATTGTTGATGTTGAAACAAACTGAAATTGAATTAACACTACTTGCTACGCTGTAGGTAACAGTTGTAAGTGCAAAGGATACTGACGAGGGTCCGCATTTGATCGATCGGCAGCGAGCGGCCGTATTTCATCATTGCAACCTCGTCCACCACCTGCAAGATGCTCTCCACCACCGTATGCCGGAATGCAATAGCACCTTTGTTGCTTTCTTCGACAGAGGAAAACACCATCTTGTTTGTTGTCTTCCTCCGGGTTCGGCTGAGGAACTACTTGATTATTGGAACCTTCTCTTTGCTTCAAGACTAGTAAGCTCAAGTTTACGATGAGAAAAATCAATGATGATATCTGTGACTCTGTTGAGTGCAGTATGTCAAATCAAACCTCTCCAGGAAAAAGAGCACTTACAATAACGGAGCATGGATTCTCATCAAAGGACTTAAAGATTTTCACATGCTCTGCAGACTAGATTTAAACCAACGGACAAGTTGTGCATCATTCCGGGAAGACACAAGCCAAAAAAATATTCCTGCAGAACAAGCTAAGGAGGTGTGCACTACTGGGTCTTTATAACGCGACAACATCTATCTCCAGCATTGCACAGAAACAAGAAGAAGACGCGTCAGATTTAACCTAGAAGAGGACTGATATAGAGATGTACAGAGCATGAACGTCTTGTTCCATTCTTCGTCTATGTCGACAAGAACCACTACAAGGAGGACATCATTACGTAACTACTGCTCTCACAAGTACTACAATCCGAAGAGTGAGAAGCTTGCAACACACTGCAATGCTTTTTTCTTGCAATAAAACACCGATTTTCCTAGGAGAAAACCGAATCTTCCTAGGTCAGCAAGGGCTAATTCAAAAATTCTCTCTCTTTCCACTTCTTTTTGAATTCAATCGTCCTAATTTTTTAGTGGGCGAAAAGGGTCGCGAATGTTGTGTCTAGTGATGGATTTGTGGTGCAGAAGTCAAGTCATGTTTGACAACCGTCATGCTCATAAACGAGGAGAAGTAATTGAAGTATCAAATACGATGGAATACTCACACGCGAGAATTTGACAACAAACAACTTCTACATTGAGATTTGTTTACAGCATGATTCTAGCACCTGTACCTGAGAATGACGAATATAAAGCCTGTGTAGACCTCGACTCATTTCCAAGACTGCGAATGTATGAACTAACACACTAGCAACACAAACACTTGTCAGCAACAACTTCAACAAAAGGAACACGTAGACTGCAAAAAATGGGACAAAGACAAGTAGCAGGATGACGGGAAGATGCGACTGCACAAGATTCATTTTCGACTACGTCCATCATGTTGAATGCGACGTGGGATGAATAGGGTACGCTTGCCGTTGAAAAGAAAAAAAAACACCATCATCACGCATGCTGGACGGGGGATTAATAAACCAGAGCTCACTGTGCTGCACACAACTATGCTGCAACGCAAGGACTACTTGATGACTCTCCTGGCATTGTTCTATCGTTCTAATGCGGAATGATCGTCGCATTGATTCCGACAAAAAGTTGCGAGCAGGATCGGAAACAGATTGATGATATGGGCAGATGGATTTATGACTGAACAACATAGAGGTGCCTGTTCTTACATTGGGGGAACTTTGGCTGTGACTGATAGATAGCATGCTCGACAACAAGGGGCGCGGGACTCACCTGAAGGAACACAGGTAAAAAAAGGAAGATGAAGGTTCCATGATAAAAATGAATTGAGAAATAGCGTTCTCCTAGAAGTAGCAGAATACATGCTGCGGTGGAAAACGGGAACGCAGCAAAAGAGTCAAAGTAGAAAACCTTCGTTCTGAAGAAAGATGGCAATGGCTGCACGAAAATAGAAGAATAAGCATAATGGGGGGACGAATTCGGTTCTAATGGAGATTATTTTCCTCATATAACCTAAAAACGCGGGTCAGTGAGATATCTACTGAAAAACTCATCATTCACAATGATAGCGCCCACTGGTGTACAACATGAAGAGAAAGAGTGAGACACACCAAAAAAAATTGCAAAAATGCTAGAACGAAGCAGAAATCAAGAAATCATTAAGGATTTTAAGGAACAGGAAAGGTCTCCACTAGCACGGTCTACAATCTTCTCTCTTCCGCGTTCCCACTGGAGGTCTCCATTCATCTCAAATAGAAGCTCACCATGCGTAGAAAGACCTCAGGTTCAGTCACACGCCATATTACCGACAACAGAGGGCTGCTCCGAAGGTTCAGTAGTACTATGCAATGCAAACTCAGGTGGACGCCTGTTCTTCACGATAGACACAGGAATGAACGCGACATGCCCGAGCGCATTTGTTGCACGAACACAGACATCACTTCACGACACACTGGTAGGTCAAGGACAAAATAATCTCTTCTAGCTTGCTTCAAGCGTCGCTGCATCATGTACGCTGAGTTCATTCTTAGTAATCTTCTTAACACAAAGAGCCCCTGTAAACTGCCAAACTTCAACATGTTGGTCCAACTTTACTAGTAACTCAGAGGCGTCGAACCTCAATTTCCGACGGAGTGACATGAGCATGAAACGAAGCGGGCAAATATATGGAGGGATAAAGCTTACTTCTAACAAGATTTAGCTTTAGTACAATTCATCTGTACATGCTCCTGTTCGGGTCATACACGCACGGTGTTAGAAGTTCCGCTTTTTATCCTGTGCTATCCGCGCCGCATAGGGCCCGCACCTTGATGTAGTTCGTTAGCAACAGAAAAAAATCGCAGAACACGTCCACACGTCATAGCTGCCACTGCATGTTGCTTCATGCAGATCGTCAGATAATCAAGCTCTTGATTCCATGTATTTGCTATTGCTTGTTGTAAAGGCGTTCTTATTCAACGAAGCTTTTGACTAATTCTTTCCATGTCAACCTATCATACCTCATTTTTTTATATATGGAAAAGGCAGCCTTTTGCGATGATGAGCCTTTCTTCGCTACAATCTACTATTTCTTTTTGTCTACACTAATCACTGAGTAAGACGAAGACCTACAACTTTCCTCAGTTCACATTGCAAGTTCGCTTTTGGTATTGTCATTTTGCTCTGCTATCACGGTTTGATTCCCTTTGGTTGCTAACGCTTTGATTACTGCCGCGCCATGGGAAGGCAAGAGCGTCTAACCAGTCACACAGAAGACACAAGTATCAAGGAACATCTTTTAAGAGATTGTTCCAGGGTTCCAGGTTGCTAACCGGCGCTACTCGCGTGGTTTTTAGTCATTGTGTGCTCCTTCTGGTCTCTTTTACTTCGACCAAGGAGCCTTTGTCTGCTTCCTTATGAGCCCTGCATCTCCACAAATCGCAAACACGCATGTAATTGATTTCAATCAAAATATTAATCGGCGAAAGCCTATAAAAATAATGAATACAATACGAACGGAACCAAATCAGATGATCTTTTCACTTGCTATCATCAGAGTGACAGAAAAAAATGGGATATTCAAAAATCGAAGAACAATTTTATTGACGAAACCTCACGCTGAGCAGGAAAGCAGAGAGTAAAAAGTTCATAGCACCACGAAAACCTGAAATAACTTCTACCGAATACAACGTGTTAGATTGATGCGCATTTCGTCGAAGTAGATGTTGATAAGTGTTCCAGATCCCAGAAGATGAAAAACCACCTTTTTGTAAGATTGAATGATGAATGACGAGGGCAGAGGAACCCCCGATAGCAACCACCGGCAGTTCATTAGGCAAAAGATTAATTTCTCACAAAGTGAAACCTACACGCCGCTAGGCACACTCTCTTGTAGACCAACAGTACCGTGCAGACCCCTCCCGAATTTTAGCCCTCAAACCCATAGATTTTCGATGAACCGTTACTTAATTGATTGTTTGTTGAACTCTACCTCTATACGAAAAAAATGAATACTATCACATCTAAGCTGTGATCAAAATAACCACTTCAATTCAAATTCTATGAAATCTAATTAAGTAATTCACCAAAGCAATATACATAGGCGGACGACATCTTTTATCACACCACAACAATATTCGTATACAGCTGTCCAAACGTATGTACTGAATTGAGATTTGAAAAATGAAAAATAGTTCGCAGGTCTATCGTGACAGCAGCATCGACGTGTGTAATCTTTGCAAGAACAATGTTTATTTACCAACTACACAAAGATATTGTGCAGTTACTTATTACTAAAAAATGAATGGCCGTCTAACTTACTACCCAAAGCAGTCCGCTGTGGTTCTCACTAAAAACCAAAAAAAATATAACACGGGAATCTACGTTTTTTCGTCCCTGTACCTGCTGCGGCGACGAGGGGCTAGCCCTCGAAATCGACTTTGAATTTTGTTCAGGACAGCCTTTTTGGCTCCGCGCGATGTTGCATTTCCTTCACATTTGTTGGTAATTATAATTTCGCCTTTGTCCCTACGATATTCTTATTTCAAAATCTCTTTAGATGTCGGTAGTTGAAATCCGACGGTGAACATAAAGCAAACACTTCTACAGACTATAATTGGCTATAGTTCTTACTGGTTATTGTAGACCTTAGACAATAAACGATGTGACCTCGATTCTAAGTGGGATTTGTCAAATATTACTGTTGTCTTTCAGCAAAAACAGCTTACTATTCTTTTGTCACGAACGAGTTGTTCAGCACGAAAAACAGATTAACGAGCACACAAAGGGCAAAAGATATCATGCCTACCCTTTTACTTACATATGACATCTCAGCCGCGATGTGGTCTGATGCTAGTATATAGTAGGTAAGTAAGAGAGTACTTCTTTTCATTAACAGTCGTCTATATTTTACCTCTAAACCTCAAGATACCACCTTTTATCGCGATGACTCGACTGTAAGTATTGACGGCGCAATGCAACCACCCAAACAAGCGTGTACACCAACGACCAACGTGAGCACTGCGCTCTTCTGCACTGTGTTCACTGCGTGCACGTCAAAGGAGCGATCGGCATTTGAATCCTCTGTCGTGAACGTGTAACTTGTTGCTGTATTGTCCACTGCGACATACACCCCTGCTCCTTGGTTGGACCGGACCAAATAGCCGGTAATGATGTCCCCACCGTCGTACTCGGGTGGGACCCAAGATAGGACAACCTGTGGTATTAGGAGGGAACCCAAGATAAGACAACCTGCGGTTGTAAGCGAAGGTGCACAAGGCAGGTGGAGGCTCTATTCATATTTATCAATGTTCCAGTCGACTTAGAATTTGATTTTGCAGTTCATGAACTAAGAAGATATTTATAACGTGGAAAAAAATAAGTAATGAGTACGTTGGCCTGAATCACACTGGTCGCCGTGACTGATTTGACTGGATCTGGAGGTAGTGCGGCTTTCATCCTCACCACGTCACCGTCCGTGCTGTCGTAGTACCCACTATTGCCAGCATCAACTTTGTAGTACCTGCATTTTTATCATACGTAAGGATATATTTCTTTGATATGCTGGTCGTGCACTTACAAGAAACCGTGGGGTCATTATCCAAATGAATCAGTTACGGACATCATTGGGTGTCTTCTGCCTAGACTACTTTTTTAGTTCGGCTGTCTAGGAAATTGACGTACCAAACGCTTCCTGGCGTAACACCGAGATGTTCGTGAAAGTTTGTAGCTGCTGTGCCGTCCAACCTCGGTGCAACCGTGGCCAGAAGGTTACCCTGCAGACCGTCTACCTGATCCGCATACACCTTGTACGTAATTTCGGATGCTTGCGATCCACCGCGTGCTTGTTCCGAGAACGTGAGCTGGTTCCACTGAATTTTGATGCTCGTGTTCGTGACCACAGTGTCCTCGTGTCTCTGCAGGCCAGCGACAGTGTTCGGCTTCGAAACGGCGTAACCGTACCCGTTCGCGGTTGTCGTGTAGCTGGAGTAAGCGGAAGCGCCCATACTGTTGTAAGCGCGGACTTTCACCTTGTACTGCGAGTTCCCGACCAAGTTCGGCGTGATGTCCACCTCGTTGATCGTGTGGACTGGGTCGTGCAGCAACGTCCACGGCGCAGTTGCCGTACCACCCATACTTACGGTCTGCGGCTGATTCACGCTGGCAAGAGAAATCGCAATCTCGTAGTTGAACACGGCGCTCCCCTGATCCGCACTTGGCTCCCAGGTGACCTACGAATTCCAAGATTATCAGAATCAATTTCCAAATTCGTGTAAAATCTTCTATCAGAAAAATAGCGATTTTCTAACGGATGCTGAAAAAGCCCTCACGAGCGGAACATTCGTCTGGTGAGGCTTACGTAGACCGAAGTTGAAAATGTAACGAAACGAAAATCTTAATTGAACATCATTACCGTCAAACTTGGCGGACTGTAGGACGCCGCAGTGATCTGCACGTTCGTAGGTGCAATGGGCACTGTTGCCGCGAACACGCTTGACGTCGGACTGCGTTCGCTGTCTCCTACTTCGTTGATTGTTGTTATCTGCATCTGATAGTTCAAACCCGCTGTCAGCCCTGTGACTGTACATGACTGCGGCGCGGGCTTTCTCTCCATACCGCACGTGGTATCTGCAGTGTCGCTAATCGACGTTGCACCGCCGTCATTTCGGTAAAGCTTGTAGCTGTGGTAGAAATTATCAAATTTTGATCACTGCCAACCAGGTGAATAAAAGTACATCATCATGACGTTGTTTCTGAGGAAGGAGTCATTGCCGAAATCTTCAACGGTGAGTAAAATTTATATTTAGCTGCATGATCGCTACCCTATTTATAAGTACACGAAGAAGGTGATCCCCGAACATGATTATTTTCTAAAGACAGTGTGGCCCCATGTCTCAGCCTTACCTGATTTGGTCTTGTAGTCTTCACCGCCCCACGAATGGAGCTATGGTGCACTTCGGAGACGTTAGTCATCTTTCGACAGGAACCACACTGATCACAGATCCAACTTCAAATCTAACCTCCGGGTGATCCTAGTCCAATACACTAACCATTGCACCAATGATGCTTGCGAGGATGTTGATTGAATATTCGTGAACTGAAGTAGTAAGTAATAAAAGTTCTCGTATCGATGGAGACGAACGGGTAGTTTTTTTCACGAAGATTGAGCTTCAGCATGAAGATACTCTTCATCAGTGCTGCTCTGATTGTTTCTTTTTCATAATTTATCATGGACAAGATTCTAGAAAATGTCATGTACCCGATAACAATGCCGCCGTTGTTCTGGACGATACCCCAAGTGAGCTTTACTTGCGATGGTCCTGATCCAGTTACATCTTGCGATGGAGCAGACGCCAGCGCATTTGGTGCTCCGGCTGCCTTGATAAGCTGTTCTGGCGTTTCGGTGCTTCCCTTATTCGTCACCACTGCAATCTTAAACTTGTGGAAATTAGCTACGACGATGTTCGTGCTGAAGCTCTCTAGAGTCAGTTGCGTTGGGTCGAGCTCCGTATCCGGAGTCCCGCCACCAGGTTGGATATCGGTGTACAAACTATCGCCAATCTCGGTTCCACTGGGCTCTTGCCTGTAGAGTGAGTGTAAAAGGAAGATGACGCGTTGATGTTCAGTAATCGACCTGTGTGAAATGAATCTATTTCGTAGGCAATATGCATGATCATGATCCATTATTTTTATTTGCAAGCTTAATCTCAAGCCTTCAGTACCTGTAGTTCGCCTTCATCACTCTGTAACCTAAAACTGAGCAGCCGCCGTCATCTGAGGGAGCACCCCACCGCAAAGAAAGCTGAAATGAGTTTCCGACCACAAGACCTTTCTTCACGGTCGGTACACTATTCGTCACATTTGGAAGACCGCACGACCAGCCAGTGTATCTGTGAAGGGCAAAATGAATTACTATGTTGAGTATAATATACTAGGTAGAGAGCGAGACGAGAGCTACCGATTATGATTCTGTTTCTGTGCTGTCAGAGAAACCTAGAAACCTCTAGCTGCACATTCTACTTGGAATCTCCTCTCCTCTACATGGCACGAAATAAAGTACTCGTCTGAAAGTGCACCCTCTGCAACTGATGACACCACACTGACCTTGAATTTGTATGGTCGGTTGGCCAACGCCGGTGTAAAAACGTAATGCCGCTGAGAACTGTCGGTGACCGTCGCAACATGCTTCAAATCCGATCCCAGACCTGCAAAGTAGACCGAGAGAAGGTTTGTGTGTTGGAAATGGAGGAGATCACCGCGTCAGAGATAGAATAGAATGAAGGATCTCAGAGGAAGGACTAAAAGCGGATACTTTTGCATTTGATTTGTTTGAAAAAATGAAAGTACCTACAAACTCGTTTTCCATGATTAAGATTGAAACTAGATCTCTTTATGTACCATCGTTGGCGTAGACTTTGTATTCCAGCAGCTGCGCTTGGTAGAGGTCTCCCTCGATCCATGTCAGCTTAATCCCGCTTGTGGAGGAGGCCGCTTTGTCCTCGGACAAGGTTGGTTTTGCTGGCGCAAGCGCGCAAAAGAGGCGGACCTCCGGTGAATAATAGCCCAGAGCGGCATTGGTTACTGCCGCCACTCGTAGGTACACGAAATTCTGGACCAAGTTCTGGTTATTCACGTTGTTACACAGCACTGTTGCCTGCAAGGTGATAGCACCGGTCGCCAGAACGGTTCCAGGCCAGCTAGCGAGATTGTTTGTGGCCTCTAGTTGCCAGCTAATGACCGTGTTGCCACCACTGCTAGTGCCCGCCGTCCAACCAACAGTCAAAGTGTTAGCTGTGCTACCGATGTAGTATGGCGGACTGGGTGCGGCGGCGCGGCTACCCGGATAGAAAGTGGCCACATTGCTAGGATCACTCTCGCCAACTTCGGAGACGACTGCGATGCGGAATCGGTAACCAAGGGCGGTGGCTAAGCCTGAGGCGGTGAAAGTGGTGCTGCTTGTATCCCCGATGAACGTGCGCGTGAAGGAGCCTACTTGACCATCGTCGATGTATATGGCATAGCCGTAGTGGATACCTGAAAAGATGTTAGGTGGATGTAATCCTGATCGTCCACTAGGAAAAAGGTTCTACGAATACTCCAACAACATTTCCTAGTATAACTATTATCGTCCTACAAAGGGTAAGGTGGCTGAGGGTCCTCTATCCTGCGGCCAGGCCGCGCTGATGAGGACGCAGCAGGTTCGAGTAGAACCAGAAGAGCCGATAATCGCCGTACAAACTCCGTATGCTAGTATACGGAAGAGTAACTACATCATTTCTCCAGTCTAAATCTTTATCTTACCATTATTCAGGTTGCCCGGTGCATATTGAATTGTGATCGAGGTGTCGGTCGATGACAATCGCGTCGGAGGCTGTGGTCGGTCTGGCTTTGGCGAGCAGCGGAAGCGTCGACCCTCACTGAATTGACCGATGCCGGCGGCAGTCAAGGCTGCGATTTTGAAGAAGACGTATGCGTTAGCAACTGGACACGGCACAAACGTGCCCGTGAAAACGGCACCGCTGCTCGTCTTGATGGCAGCGCTTGCTTCATCCAGTGTGAACTGATCCCTGTCGGACGTTGCCCAAACCAACCAGTTGGTCACAGAGGCACCGCCCGCGTCGTAGCTGGTGAAAAAGAAGGTTGAAGTTCGTGGAAATACATGATTCCATCTTAGGGTTAGGTCGCAACGACACAAGAGCAGGTATATAAACATTCCACCTAGATCCTGAATCAGTAGCCAAGTAGGAAAGCATGAGTCTAAGTCGTGAAGCCAAACTCGCTAGAAACGGGTGAGTCAGTACGCGCTTGGCTGCGTCCACGCCAACGTGATAGAATTTGCTGTGCTCGCCTGCACAAAGAGGCTGTCGTCTGGGAGTTTGTCTGCTCTAGCGGCAGCGTAGAAGGTGGCTGTGGGGGAGGTAGCACTAATACCCGCGTCGGAGTGAATCTGAACCATAAATCTGTAGGGGAGACTTGTAACGAGGTTGGTGAATTCGTAAGTTTGCTGCGTTACATCGACCACGAAGTAACTCAGGAAAGGACCACCGTTGCCGTCATCAATGTAGACGGTGTAACCCTGCAACACTGCGTTGTTCAGGTTCGCTACGTTGCCGTAATTGTATCTGAGTTTTCACGATTTATAAACGGCACAATGCATTGCTGAAAGAATCATAAAATCTGTGTAGTCTCTACCACCTCGGAAGCTAGATCGAGTTGATGTAGCTGTGTACGGATTAATCACGCCTTCTTCATTCGATTTCAAAACAGCGATCTAAGCAATCATAAGCTGGCTCGCTTTCGATCAAAAAGTACGCGATAGTGATGCTGGTCTTTGTCGATGAGGAGAGTGTGGGCGCACTCGGCGTGTTCGGCGGCGCCGAGCACCTCACGCGGATATAGTCTGAGAACGGACCGTCACCGACTCCTGAGGTAACCGACATACGGAACCAGTAGTTGTCTCCAAAGTTGCATCCCGTTCGAGTGAAGTTCAACTGCGTTAAATCCTGATTTGTGTGCGCTGGGATCGTTCCGAAGTTGACACCATCGGTTGACTCGTAGATTTTGTACCTGGGAGATGTCAGTTTAAGATTGAGGCGTGGCGAATTCTTATCGGTCAAAATAATCAAAAGAGAAAAGCAGTTCGGACAACAACAACACATGAATGTAAAAGTAAAAGAAACAGCCGGAATTCTTCCTTACCCAGTAAGCGGCGAGCCTCCTGTGGATTCCGGCATCACTGCGGTGAGTGTGATGTCGCCATTGTTGCTATCGGCCTTCACCAGCGTGCCTTTCCCCGGCACCGTGGCACTTACTATGCTAAGAATGCCCGACTCAGCACTCTGCCCTGCTTCACTTGTAGCGGACACTTTAAATCGGTACGAGTTGCCGCTGGTTAGCCCCGTTGCAGTGTACTGGTTTTGCGAGATGTCAGTCAATTTGATAGTGCCAAAGGCGCCGTTAGCACCGTTGTCGACATAGACTGTTGTGAACAGATGCAGTGCACCGTGCATGTCCGGTGTGGGCCACGAAATCGTAATCGAGGTCGCTGTGCTGGACACATAAGTTGGGATATCTGGTGTTGCCGGAGCTTGCGAACATCGGCGAGCCAGGGTCTCTGAAAGCGTGCTGATGCCGTTCGCGTTCTGTGCCGCGACGTTGAAAAACAAGAACTTTCGCGCAGCATTGAAACCGTTTTGGGCGCACGGTTGTGAGTACTGCTTCACGTTCGGGTCGCTCACGGTTGCGGTGTAGGTGTTTCCATCCGCATCTGCAATGTACAAGAGATAAGCGGTGATGGCACTTCCACCGTTGCTTCCGGTGAAGTCCCAGCCGACTGTGATCTGTCCGTCGTCGCTATTCAACGCACGAACGTTGTCGACTGCGCTCGGGACCGAAGCAGCCTTGATCGACGCGGATACTGGGGAAGCAGCCGAACATCCAACAGAACTGCACAATCGAATCTTGGCACGGTAAGCGTGTCCCGTGGTCACGTTGTTCGTGTAGGTGTAGGACAATGACGAAGCGTCATTGAAAGGAATCACCTCAAAAATGTCATCTGCATCGTTCTCGTCGTCGATCTGAATCTCCCAGCCAGTGTGTGTGGCACCGTTCAACTGCAAAACGCTAGGGTTATAAAGTGCAACCACGATGCTGCTCTGCGTACCTGTCAAGGTCGGCGCGGCCGGTGTCTGCGGCGGGCCCGTGCAAACAAGCGCCATTGAGTCGGAAAACGCACCCGTGCTGGTCGCAGAGCCACCAACGCCGTTCATCGCGGCAACCTTGAAGTAAAACGTTGCACCGCTAGCCGGGCACGCGTATGTGAACTGCGTCTCCGCTGCACTCGGCGTGTAGCCTGCCAGGTCGTACGTCGAACCACTATTACCACTCACAAAAACAGCAAACTTCTGAATGGTCACGCCGCCATTATCTTTGCCTGCGTAGGACCACTGCAGCGTGATCTCGGAACTAGTCGAATTGAGGACACTCGGGGCGTCGGGTTTCTCAGGTAAGCCACCAACCACGAGGTTGACGACACTTGTGTAGGGACCGCACGCGTTAATGTTGCAGGCCTGGATGCGGAACTGAATCGTGTTACTGGTAACCAAGTCCTCCGTTGGCCCACCATAACGACTCGCAGGCGGAATGTTGATGAATTTCTCATCTCCACCAGCGGTCATATCCTTGTACCCGATGACATACCTGTGATAGGTTTTTTCAAGATTATCTTGACTGTTTCTATCTTTTCATGTCCATGACATACTCTTTTTAGTTACTGAACAGGTAACAAGAGAATCCATCAAGAAGAAAAAAGATCACAACGAAAATCCAAATTGTAGTTGAGTCTCTATTTTGTAAGTAAGTAAGTACTTCTTCAGTGGCGCGTCGTTTGCATTCTGCTGTGTCGGTGGATCCCAAGCAACCAAGATCGAGTTTGGAGTGCTTGCGTAGTAGCCCAAGTTGTTCGGCTGAAGCGGGTTCTTGCTTGCGTACCAACTGCCGACACCACTGCGAATTCCAAATCCGTTCAGATTTTCTGCACGAACTTGGAACCTGTACTCATTTCCCGGGGTGTAGTCAGTCTTCGTGAAGGTGAGAGCGGTTCCTGAATACAACAGCTGGTCGATGGCGCCGATCTGCGCGTTGTCGTAGTACAATTCGTACTTGCTCACCGACAAGACGGAGTAAGCGGCGGCCCAGTTGAGCTTGATGACACTGGAGTCTGCTGCATCGGGGTCGAACGTCGGAATGCCTGGCGGCTGCGGTGGAGCGCCTACCGTGAGAATCTTGTTTGGCGGCCACGGGTCACTGGTTTGGTCGTAGTTCGACACCGTAATCTGGAACTGGTAGGTCTCGCCCGGTGTGAGGCTGTTGAGTGTGGTTTCCAAGACTGACGGGCCGCCCTCGTAAATTTGCAAGTACGCATTGGTGGCTTGCTTCATGAAGATACGGTATTTGGTGATGAACGGCGTGAAACAGCCGCCGCTTGTTGGCGCCGAGAAGACCAGAGATACCCCATCATCCGAGAAATCCTTGAACTCGAAGCTTTCCGGGTTCGTTGGTTTACCGCAAATCTGCACTCGGAAAACGGGTGAGAACGCTCCAAATCCGACCGCATTCTTCGCCTGAATCACGAATCTGTAGAAGCCGCTGTCTGGATTCGGATAGGTGCCGTTGACTCCGTCTGCCACCTCGTTGAAAGTGACAGTATAATTGCGCTTGGTTGTCGTAGCAATCTCAACAAAGTCCCCATAAGCACCATCATCACGGAAGACCTTGTACAACTCAACTTCTTGGTTGTTCAAGTTCTCCGGAACATTCCACTCCAGAGCGATAGAAGTGGAGTCTGTTGGTGTCACTACCAAGTTCCTGCGAGGTGCTGTCGCAAAGCTCGGACCCTGTCCTGCAGCAAAATACAAGTAATCACTCTTCGCCGACTCTCCCGCGGTATTCAATGCCGCCACTGCAAAAACATAGTTTGAACCTGGATTCAGACCAGTCGAAGCAAACTCAAAGATTGTCGCCTGGTTCTCGCCGTTCCAGATCAGAATGTTCGGAATGCCAGTAACGCCATCGTCACGGTAAAGTCTGTAGCCTGTAATGCGCTGGCCGCCGTTGTCCTCCGTGATTCCATCGGCTAAGACTGGAACTTTCCATCGCAAGGTGATTCCAGTTGGAGTGCGCGTTCCATTGATCACCTCTGGCATGTCCGGGACACCCGGTGTGACCGCAATGAACGCTGAAAATGGGTCACTAAACTGTGGCGTCACGTCGTTCAACGGGTTGTCGATCACCACGCGATTGATAGCAGCCACTTGGAACTTGTAGAAGTACCCTGTTGTGAGGCCGGTGACAGTAGCGGTTTGAGTCGTGATGGTCTGACCGCTGCCCAGCGCATCCACGTAGCTGTTGCCGCCCTGGCCGTCGTTCTTGAACACGTAGTACTGCGTGATCGGTGAGCCTCCGTTGGACAAAGGCGAGGACCAAGCAAGTGTGATATCGGTCAAGTTGATCGCAGCAGCCTTCACATCCAATGGCTTTGTGGGCGCGCCAGCGGTCAAGGCGAGAATCGCTGGAGAGTACGGTACGCCAGTAGCCAAGGAGTTCTTTGTCTTGAAGTTCTCCACAGAAACTGTATAGTAGCGATACTCATTCTGCGTCGGATGAGTGTACGTGAAGGTCGTGAGGTCTGCGGCGTCCGTGCTGCCAATTTGCACCATGTTGTTCGCAGGATACCCTCCCTTGACAATGTACCCTAAAATGGGGCAATGACTTGCCCCCAGGGGTTGCACCCACGAGAACGTTGTCGCAAGCTCTGAACGCGACGTTATTTCGAAGCTGCGCACAGCCTGTGGCGTGTCGCACGTAATTGCGTTCAGGAAGCTCGGCGCCGACACGCCAGCTTGGTTCTCGACCGTAAGTTCCACCCGATACGTGTAGCCCGTAGCCAGTCCACTAATCTTGAACTGCTTTCCAAGACCAGTGTATACCTTGGCCAGCGGACCTCCAGCTCCGTCATCAATAAAGAGATTGAAGGCAGTGAGCGCCGCACCACCATCGTCCAGTGGGTCGTCCCATTGGAAGGTGATACTTCCGATGCTGCTGTCATTCAGATACAGCGGCGGTGCACCTGGCGGCACCGCTGCATACCAGTCTGCAACTGCAGAAGGCGCGCCACTCGTTCCGAAATTAAGCGAGATCTGGTTGTGCGCGACTACCTGGAATTTGTAGCGATTTCCGCTCGCGAGCGAAAGGAAATCAGTCGCGGTGCCTGCTCCTGTCCACGCCAGACGGTTCAGCAGGCCTGTCGTTGCCATCGGCGACTCCGAGAACAGTCCATAATACACCTGATACTGCGTGATCGGTGCTCCTCCATCGTCCAATGGCGGCGTCCAAGAGACCACAGTGCCACTGCGACTTGCATAGCTGAACTTGATGCCCGTCGGCGAACCTGGCACGCCAGCGGCTTGGATCAGAATTGCGTCGGAAACAGCAGACTCACCGGCGTTGTTCACAGCGGACACGCGGAAACGGTATTCAGTGCCTGGGCTGAGACCAACCGAGTCGTATTCTTTGACCAGTGCGTTTGTGATCAGCGCGAACGGTCCACCTGCGGTTGCGCGGTAAAGCTTGTAGCTGGTGATTGTGGCGCCGTTATTCACTGGTGCATCCCACGCAACGGTGATGCCCGTGCGAGTGCTGGTCACCCGCTTCGGTGCCAGTGGCTGGTCCGGAACGGTCGCGCAAGTTCCCTCCACTTCAGGCGAATAAGGACCCCATCCAACTGCGTTGTGCGCCCGTACCTTGAAGAACAGGGTGATGCCCAACTGGCAGTTGCTAATGACATGGTCCAAATCTGCCGCAGCGTTCGTCGCAACAATCGAAAAGTCGGTGCTGGCTGTCTTCATCCACAACTCGTAGAAGTCGACACTAGAGCCCTTGTCATCCACGGTCGCCGGCCAGTACGCGGTGAGCTCGCCCTTGGTGACACGATGAAAAAAAATCGTGCCTGGCGCGTCGGGGGCACCGGCTGTGTACGCACACACTGGATCGGATTGGCGTGGGAGCTGATCGTTCAACGCGTTCGTCCAGGAGACCAAGTTCATCGCGGCAACGGTGAAGCAATACTGCCGACCAGCAACGAGATAGTCGCTCAGCCCCGCATTGGTGTACAATGTAAGCCCCGTTGCCCCGCTGCCACTCGCAGTGTCGTTGAACGGCACATAAATGCTTCCGCCGAGTCCGTTGTTGCGGAAGACGCGGTAGAAGAGCAATGGGCTGCCACCGTCCTGGTCCTGAGGCAACGCCGTCCACGACAATTTCACGTGAAGCTGATCGGCAGACACCACCGTTGGAATGGTCATCTTCGCTGGCGCTTCTGCTGCCACAATAGCCACCTCTTGCGTGAAGGCAGAGCGGCCACCAGCTGTGCGCACCTGCACCGCGAATTTGTACACCGTTCCCGGACTTGCTGGGTCGATGAAATACTCGGTGGTTTGCTGTTCCAGTTGCAAAATGCCATCCCGTCGCGCGATGTAAGCTTCTACCGGACAGCCCCCGACGACTAGTGGCGCCTCCCACTTGATCTGGATCAACACGGGGCTTCGGTACACAATCTTCAGATTTGTTGGCACCGTCGGCGTTGCACACAGAGTGGCCTCGACCGGTTCTGACAAATCTGAAGTGCCTACTGCGCTGGTTGCAGCCACGCGGAATTTGTACTTGCCGCTGGTTGTCAGTGACGTTTTAGCATACGAGTTGGAGAGACCGCGGTAAATTTCGGTGTAGACATCCTTTCCATCGCCCGCGTTCATGTACAAGTTGAAGCTTGTAATCGGCAAGTTTGACGCATAGGGCGCCAACCAACTGAGCGACACGGAAGAGCTAGTCTTGTGCAGGGCCAATGGTGGTTGCGGCGTTGCTGGTCGATCCGCAACATATATCAAGTTAGACTTCGCCGACTTGACGCCAGTTCCGATCTTGTTCACGGCGCGCACATGGTAGTAGTGTGCTGTGCCCGGCAGCAACTGGCCGAAACCCGCGTTGCCGTTTGTGTCTGTGAACTCACGGACAAGCGGATCTTTGGAAATCGCTGCCACCTTTGCTGGCACAGTGAACGCCGTGACAGAAACTGCGCCATCGTTCTGCTCTCCGGCGTCCTCCACATACGCGAAGAGTCGGTACGAAGCACCTTCCGCGAGGCGGCAATCCTTGTACGTGGTGGTGTAAGGTGCTCGGTTCGTGACCAGAGCCCCACTCTGCTTACAGCTTCTGCCACCTTGCGAGAACTTGCCGCTCTTGACGTCCTCGAACGTGGCGACCATTGAACTTTGCTGCTGCGCCACAATCGCCGTCCACAGGTAGCCTGACGGCGCGACGGTTGTGAAGCGAAACTTGATGCCGTCGGTGGTAACCGCCGACATTGAAGGCGAGGCAACAAAGTAGTTGCTCGGTGCACCAGAGCCAATGTTGATGGTCATGCCATATAGCGTGCCGTCGGACACCTCAGCCGTGTCCTCCACGTAGACGAGCAGTTTGTAAGGCGTCTTCGGAGCCAGACCGCACCCGGAAAGAGTCCACGACTGCCGCGTGTCTCCAATATTGACGCTGGTCTTGTTACACAACTCGCCGCCGACCGAGTAGAGACCCGATTTGAGGTAGGCAACAGTTTCGTTGAAGTTATTATCCACATCGTTTCCGGCGAGCTGGTACTGGAAAAGCGGAAAGATGGCGCCGAAAGCACGACCCGCACTCTCCGTGGCTTGGTACTCGATCGTCACGCCGTCGGCAACGGCAGTGCTGGATAAATACGGCTCCACCGCGAAAGAGTTGCTGGGCGGAATATGGATCTCGACTGGCGGATACACAACAGCGCCGTCACCAAGTCCGTTGTCGTCCTCCACGTAAACGTGTAGGAAGTATGCAAAGCCCTTCGTAAACTGGCAGTCGGTGAAGTCATGCGAGATCATGCTCAAGGAACTACCAAAGCTACTCAGTGGCTCATTGTGCTTGCGACAACCGAAGCTACCGAACGCGCCCTGCAGAGCCTTGATTTGCGGACCTTGCGGCAACGGCTCTCCCGTCTTTTGCTTGATCGTAACCATTGCCCAGTACTTGCCGGGACCAGACGCAGCGAACTTCCACGAAAAGCCATCAGCGGATGCGTTGGTTCCCTCTGGATTATACGGTGGCACCAAAAAGCTGTTGCTCACTGGCGGCGTCACTTCGAAGTAGTACTGGGTGCCGTCCTTGTTGTTGTTTGTGTCCTCAACGTAAAGAACTAAAGCGGCGCGCACGCCGGCGGTCATGTTGCATCCGCCAGCGAAATTCAAGGCGTGAGGCGTAGCCGCAGTCACGGATTGCGCCAGTTTGCTGCAGTGAGCTCCGAAGCCGCTTTGGATCGTCGAAATCGGCAGCAGCGTGCTGGCATTCGAGAACGCTGTCAGCGGATACACACCCGCAGAGAGTTTACCCGTTGTCTCAGCTGTTACTGACGCCAGCACTTCAGTCGTGACAGGCTGCGCTGTGAGAAAGTAGCTGGTCAACGTGTTGCTGGCCGGCATCTCGACGTTGAACGCAGGCGATAACGTTCCGTCCTCGCCACTGGTGTAATTTCCGATAATGTAAACAAAACCCTTGTACATGTGTCCCACCTGCAGATTGCAACCTGAGAACGCGTACGTTTCTTGCACGAGTTCCGAAATGGGGTCCGCTTCGATGAAGCACTTGACACCAGACTGCGGGGACAGCAAAGACCGATCTTTGATGGTCTTCGGAGTGACTTGTTTGTCCAGTGCCGCTTCGACGACGATCGAGTAAGCTTCGCCCGACTTCTGCGGACTAAACGTCATCGTGAAGCCGTTCGGCGCAATTGGGGTCGTGATCTTGGGATAGCGATCAAACAAGTTCGAGGTCCCAGCCGAAACGTTAAAGTTTCCTGGAAGCGCCTGAAGGAAACCGTCGTAACTTCCCTTGTCGTCCGAAACGTAGATCATCAGAGCGAAAGTGCGCTCGTGAGACAGCAAGCAGTTGGACACAACGAGCTTGTTCACCTCGCCCGCAACTGTCGTAGGCAACTCAGCGCTCCGGCACATAGCCAACGTCGTTGCGCGACCATATGTGCCGAAGAAGTCGTCCACAGTGACATTGCCAATGTGTGCAGGCTCAACGACGATGGCCCGTGCGCGACCCGCAACATCTGGCGTCACTGAGGCGTACACGTTACTCGCAGTCGGTGTTCCGTGCATCACTGGGGGAACAAGCAGTTTCGCGGAATACCCGATGTTCAATGGTCCGCTGGCCACTTGTCCGTCATTCGATCCACTGTTGTCCTCCACGTATACAAATACGGAAAAGGTTCCGTTTGTCGCCGGAGTCTCGCAACCGCTGGCAAAGTATACCTCTGCGATTGTCATGGCATTCACCGCCAAGTCTTGGAGTCCACAAGTCGTAAAATCGCCGCGCGCCATCGAGGACGTCGAGGTCTTGAATTCGCTCACAGTGGGCTCGTAGCTCGCTGGGAACACCCGCGCCCAAGCCTTGCCCGCGATCGCTGGAGTGAAGGAGAAGCCAATGGCGTCGCCCGTGGCGTTCAGCTGCGCTGGTGCGACATGCACCGTCGACGAGTACGCCAAATTGATAAGCTTTCCACCTGTTGTGGTCAACTCTCCATTATTCGCCTCCGCGCTGTCTTCCACATACACTAGAATGCGGTAATCCGTGCCAGCTGCGAGGACGCAGTTATTCACTGTGAAGGTTGACACTCCCGCGCCAATGGTTCCGTTGCCGCGGCACTGGTCGAAGTCGTTGTACGCTCCTGAGATCAGCGGCGAGTTCAGCAGTTTCATCGCACCAATATCAAACGACGCTGCGTCCATTAGCTTCACAATCGCGTAGTACGCAAATCCAGCTGCGGTAGTCTGGAAGTTGAAGGTCACGGTAGACGCTGTCGGGGTGCCGGTTGCTTCCGGGTACTTTGTGAACGTGTTCGAGGGGGCTGGGTCGCGTAGATAGAACGACGCCGAATCGATCTGGCCGTCGTACCGGTTCAGCGTGTCCTCCACGTAGAAAGTCACGTGGTACGTCTCATTCACGGCTAAAGCACAAGTTGTGAACGAAGCCGTAGATAAGGACGAGCTGGCAATGATGGTGCTCGAAACACGGCAGTTCGCATTGCTCGAGTAGCTTGTGGTGAAGCCACGAATGATGTGAGCCGTGTTCGTCACCGGTGCGTTGGCACTGTTGGTCAGCACAGCCCAGAGCTTGCCCGTGCTTTTCGTGCTCTGCAGCTTGAAGGTTGCGCCGTTGGTCGTCGGCGTGCTGTAGAGGTACGGCCGCACCTGGAAACTGTCACTTGGACCCATATCAAAGTCAATCGGACCGTAAACCGAACCACCGTTGTTCGCTGAGCTGTCCTCGATGTACCCGAAGAGCTTGTACACTTTCGCAAACTGCAGATTGCAGCCTGCAAGTGTTGCGGTGCGGTCAGTGGTGTACGGAGGCGTCGGAATGTGCTGCATACCCGTGTTGCACATGCCTCCGGTGCCAGCTTTGATGCTCGCGACGGTAACCGAGTGCGCAAACGCAGGATCCACCAGAGTGATATACCAGTAGCTCTCCTTATCCAACTTCGCCGTAGCACGCACAGTCATACCGTCACGCGTGATGGTGCTCTTAACCGCGTGTGGAGGTGCTCGCAAATCGAATTGTTGGTTGCTCGGCATCTCAATACTCACGGCGGGAGACAACGACCCGTCGAGCCTGCCATTCGTGTCCGTGATGTACGCGTATGCAAAATATTTGGTGTCGCGCGCCAAAGCGTTGCAAGTGGTCATGGCGAATGTGTAGTTGGTATTGCCGGTCAGCGCCTGGCTGCCCATGAAACAGACACTGCCAAGTCCGCCTTTCACCTTAGCAACTGACACAGTTGCGGCCTCTGCTTCCGTGAAAATTGCGGCCCACCCTAGACCGTTCAGCTCCGGCTGGATTTGAAGGTCTACCAAGGACGGCACCGGGGTACCAAGGAGGATCGGGCCTATCCCGAAAGTATTGGACCCAGGCATCATCAGGTCGTTCGCCGTAAGCTGTCCGCCATTCGGATCTGTCATGTCCTCGACGTATATCATCACCTTGTACTGCTCTCCGTATTTTAGTCCACAACCGCTCAATGGGATGTTTTGTATGTTGGTATCGATCGCCATGCGCGACTTGCGACAGCCGTTGCCGCCAAGACCGTAGCTTCCGAGAACAATGTTCTTCTTCGTGATCAGCGCGGGGTTGAAATGATAAGCAGCTTTAGTGATAACTAGAATCGAGATCTTGCCATAGGACATCGCTTGCCCGCGCACCGTAAAGCCGGCTGGCGTCATCATGTGAAAGCTCGGGTAACCATCTGTCAGCCCGTTGCCTGGCGGTGCCTCGATCGGCTTCGACACCCACAACGTGCCGTCACTGTGGCCGTCAGCGTCTGCAACGTACACCACCAGGTGAAAGTAGCTGCCGGGATCCATGCTGCACCCCGTGAGGTTCACAGACTGCACGCTGTTGTCGATCGGCGATCCCATCAACATGCACGTGTTGTTCGCGGTCGATAATGTGCTGCCAAGAGAGTCCACGGGTGTGCGTGCCTTCGCGATTATGTAACCAATGCCGGGCTTGATTGCGTTGGTGGGTACCAACTTCGTGAACAGCGTTCCGGTGACTGTCGCAGCCTGGAACGTAAAGTCTAAACTATCGACGGTGACGTTCTTGTAAACTGGATAATCTACGAAGGAATTGGACAACCCAACCGGAACCACAGCCTCCAGCGCCTTCAGAAAACCGTCGTTGCGACCGTGAATGTCCTCCGCGTAGACATAGACAATGTAAACGGTGCCAAGACTCAGGCCGCAGTCAGTGACGGTAACGAACGTTTCCACGCCGTTCGTAATCGAGAGATTCTCCGCGCGACAGGCGGTGCTGTTAATGCCCATAGAAGGTAAGTTGCCCTTGAGCGCAGCGGGGTCAACCTTCGCAGTGGCCGGATACACTGCAACCCAGACGCGACCACCGTTAACCATGTCTGTCCCGTTCGTTGTAAAGGCCACACGTACGCTCTCGCTGCTCACATCCCCGAGTAGGTAAGCTCCGTACGGTCCTGCGATGAAATTGTTGCTGTAGTCTTCCATCTGCAGGTCCAGAGGGCCGACGAGGTCACCATCATTCAAGCCGCGCGTGTCTTCTACGTACAAGAACGCCGAGTAAAGGCGCTGTCGGTGGAGCTGGCACCCGGTCAAAGTCACTTGCAATGGCGAATCTGTCATGTTTGCGTTTTCTCCAATCGCGCGACAACTTGTCGCACCCATTGCAAAAATGCCCGCTTTCACTGCTGCGATATCGATCACATCCGTGTTGCGTCGCTCCACTACCATCGCCCACACGAAGCCATCAGCCGTCGTGTTGAACGAATAGGCAACACCGTCCGGAGCAACGCCGCCCGCTGTGAGCGCCGGCGGCTCACGGAACCCGTTCGACGGAGGCACAGTCAGTGGCAGACCCGGCGCCGACAGAACGCCAGTGTACACGTCTGCCACGAAGTTGAGATCCTCGATGTACATGAAGAAGCGGTAGTTGCTGCTACCTCGCAAGTCGCAATTGGTTAGCGAAACTGTTGTTTCGGTGCCGCCGGGAATGTCGAACATTTGTTTCCAGCAGACCAACTGGTTCACGCTCCCAACCTGCATTTGGCCAGCATCCCGCAGACTCCGAATGTTGATGCAACTACCGAGCAGCTCCTCCGCAAGTCCTGCCCACGCTTTGCCGTTTGCGAAAGCAACAACTTTGACCGTGATGGTCTGGATGCTCACGTCAGTGGCCGTGTTAGCAACATACGGCAGCACGGAAAAGTAGTTTGTCACATCCGGACTAGCGGCGACCACGAGTGAGAGCGGCGACACTGTTCCGTCTGTCTCACCTAGTGCATCTTCGATGTACACGTACAGCTTGTAGTTCTTGTTCGGGAGAAATAGACAGTTTTCCGCCGTAGCATTACCAACGACGAGCGCGTCCGTGATCGCAGCGGTCCCGGTACACACAGTTTCTGTGCCGGCTTTGGCCATGGTCTTCGTGATGGTCTTCGCAAAGGCGTACTCGTACACGAGGACGTACCCCGTACCTGGCACGCTAGCGGTGAATCCGACCACAAGATTAGACATCGAGGGCGCGCGACCAATCACTGTTTCCCGCAAAGCAGGGATCACCGTGAAGCTATTGCTTGGCGCCACTTTGAAAGCGATTGGTTCTGTGAGAGTGCCCTTGTTCAGCTCAGTGCCCTGGTTCTCAGCATACACGTACAAGAAGTAAGTCGTGTCACCCAACATGCTGCACATGCTTAGTGTCATCGTCTGCGGTTCGTTGCCGGCAACAAACACACCCGAGATAGTGCAGTTCGTGGTGTCGCCTTGTGCATAGGTATTCGCCTTGAGGGCCTCGACCGTAACGAGTGTCTTGTTTACTTCAGCCACAACGGCGGCCCACACTTTGCCACTAGAAGATGCCGTTGTAAATTTCATGGTCAAGCCGTCCTTGCTCACTGCCGACGCAACCGGATAGTTAAGGAAGCTGTTACTGGGTCGCGCAACCGGGAACTGCAATGCCGGAGAGAGGGTCCCGTCACCGTCCAGACCAGTGCTGGATTCGATGTAGAGCAGCGCCGAGAAATAGGACACGGCAGGCGATTTCCAAGACACTGGGAGGTTACAGTTGTGTAGTTTCACACGCGTGAATCCAGCGCTGATGTCCAGGGGTTCATTATCCACATACTTACAGCTCTTGTCGCCAAGCGCTACGCTACCTTTCTTCACGGATTCGATGGTAGCGGTAAAGGCGTGACTCGGCAAAACAACGTTGAGCCAAGCTTTACCGGCCACTGCGCTGCGGAACTCGACGACAACGCTATGCTGGCTGCCGGACCACGCGTGTGCAACTGGCGTGCCAAGAAAGTGGTTCGAGATCGGGTAGATCAGCTGACCGTCGCGGTATACGCGGTAGCTGGTGACCATGGCACCACAATCAGAAACCACCTCAGACCACTGAATCGTTACGGAAAACTCCGTAGCCGCTTTGCGCACCGGCGCAGTGAACACCGCCCGTGGCGCGCAACGCATCTCCGCCGTGAAAATGGGCGATCGCTGAGACTCACCAACACCGTTTACAGCAGACACGTAGTAACGATAGTTTCGACCATTGATTAAGCCGCGGGCTTCGAATTCGCGCTTATTTCCCTGATACACGAGCGAGTAGACACCGCTTGCAGCTCCGTTGTCACGGTACAGGTTGTACACAGAAATTGGGCTGCCTCCGGTAATCGCTGGCTCGTCCCAAGAGAGAATCATGCTCGTTGGCGTCCGCGTGTCGACCATCTCCAGCTCGCTGGTAGGGACTGAACGCTTAAACGCGATCGCGGTTGGCGCCGCAGGTTCGACGCTGCAAACGCGCACGGCGGGGCTTGAGTGCGGTCCCCAACCAAGACGATTCTTAGCCTGCACGGTGATCGAGTATGTACGCCCGACTTCGCACAGGGTCACGACCGAAGTGGTCGAGGGATCAGCAGATCCGTCATATTGCTCGCAATTTTGGTCGTAGTAAACCTTGTACCCGACAATGGCGATACCACCGTTATCTGTCGGCGGAAGGAAGGAAACCAAGAACTCTCCAGCAACGCCTGTACTTTGCACTTGTGGCACATCGATGGCCCCTGGCAGCTGCGCGGCAACCTGCGAGATCGGTTCCGTGTAGTAACCAATACCCACATCGTTCTCCGCTGCTACCCGCACGCGGTATGCGCGCCCGGCGATCAATCCACGAATCGTGGCAAATGTCGCCGTTGTCTCAGTCGCAACAAAGAAGTCTCCGCCTAGACCATCGTCAATCTGAACCTTGTAACGACGGACCGGAGTGCCGCTGTCCAGGGTTGGCTGCTCCCACTTCACACTGACCGATGTGCGCGTTGTTGCACCTGCAAACCCTAAATTGACTGGCAACCCAGGAATGGTGGCTGCATAGGCAGTGATGTAGTTCGAATAGAGACCGTACTGTGCGCGAGCAACGTTGCGTGCAGACACACGGTAGATGTACATGTCGCCAGTGGCGAGGCTGGTGCTATCCGAGTATGCCTGCGTGCTCGCGTTGGTTTCGGCGATGATGTTGAACCCGTTACCATCGTCACGCTCAACACGGTAGCTCTCCATCATGGCGCAACCCGTCTCGAACGGGATATCCCAAGCAAGATCGATTTGGTTGGAGGTAGAACTCACAACACGCGCACTCGCCGGCTGCGTTGGCGTAATCGCCAGGTTTGCAGAGGCGATCGGACTCAGAGGTCCTTCGCCAATAGAGTTCAGTGCCGACACTTGCGCTCGATACGTGCGGCCGCACGTAAGTGCCGACTGCGTGAATTGCGTCACGGAAGGTGCTCCTATTCCATCGTAGACGAGATGCAAACTCGGATCGTTTAAACCGGTGTCCATATAGAGCCGATACCCATTCAGCGCTGCACCACCTTGGTTATTCACATCCAGACTCTGCCAGCTCCAAGTCAATGACGAAATCGTGGATGCAGAAATGGACAGTCCAGTGGGCGCGGCCGTCGGCGGCGTACCAACAATGTGCGCCTTCACGTTCGAAAATGGCGAAACGCCGGCGTTATTCTGCGCGGCCACACGGAACTGGTAAATTTTCCCAGACAGAAGTCCGCCAATCTGTACAGATAACTGCGTGTTATCTGGGTTCGGTGTCACAGTCGTCCAGTTCGAGAACGTGGGTTCGATCGCGTATTGCACGATGTAGTTTGTGATCGACTCGCCACCATCGGCAAGCGGAGGTTCGTAGGAAACCTGCACTGTGTCAGCACTAACGACAGTTTCGGCCGACGCAGATCCGGACACTTGAATCAGCGCTGCAGACACCTGCACGTTCATCGGCTCGCTTGGTTCGACACTCATAATTGCATAAACGATGTCCGAAGGTGGACCCTTTCCGGCGGCCGACACGCCAAGCACGTACGCACGGTACACACGACGACTCACCAGCTTAACGGAAGTGTACTCAGTGGTATGCGGTTTGTAGAAACCGTCGTATACACGGCTGAAGGAGCCACCAAGGCCATCGTCGAGCCACAACTCGTACCCAAGAATCGCATTGGGGTCCTTCGATCCCACGTTTATCTCGCCAACAAGCTTGTCCCATGTGTAACGAATGCTGCTAGCATCCACCGGAACGCCTTTAAGGTTGAGAACTTTCGACGGCAACGACGCAATAGGCACAAAGAGAGCCGCAGACTCGCCGGCATATTCGCCCAAGCAGTTTTTACCGCGCACAGTGAACTTAGGCCGTGTCGCACAAGTAAGGCCGCTGAACAATGCTGAAGTAACGGTAGCATCTACCTCAGTCGGACCATTACTCGGCGCCAGCACGCCGTCCATCAAAATTTGGTACTTCTCCATCGCGCAGCCGCCATCGTCACGCGGTGCTGTCCAGCGGAATCGCACCTGCGCTGTTCCCGCAGTCGTTCCACAGAGAGAGTCAACCAAAACCGGCGTTCCCACTTGGCCAGGCTGCTGAATCGTCAAAAAGTCTGCGGCTTCGCTCAAATCGGATTCGCCGACTTGATTCGTCGCGGACACCTGAAAACGGTAGTTCTTGAACGTTAGGAGGTTCGTAGAGATATATTCCAACGCAGCGCCCTTGAACACTGGCGTGACCGGGTCGCCAACACCGCCGTTGCGGTACAATGTGAAAGACGTGATGTCACTCCCACCGTTATCTGCTGGCGCAAGCCACTGCACAGTGATGGTGTCTCGACTCTGCGAAACCAGCGTCGGCGAAAGTGGACGTCTTGGCCGACCAGCTACCAAAAAGGAGCTCACCAGTGAAGGAACAGATTCACCGACAGGATTTAGCGCGACGACCTTGTATCGGTACGTGCGACCAGCAATCACATTGGTATCTGTGTAAACCGAGACGGAGGGATCCACCGACAACCACGGTGAAAGAAGGCCGTTCTGTCCGTCATCCTTGTATAGTTGCAGACCTGTGATCGCAGAACCGCCGTTGTCCTCGGGATAGAACAAATTGAACTCGATCTTCGGAATAGGACTCGCAGAGGACGACTTCAAAGTCGGCGCTGGCGGTTTGCCTGGCACAGACGCGATTGGCACCGGCCCCAGCACATTGCTCGGCGTGCAGCCCACACCGTTACAAATGTCTATGTAGAAGTGGTAGCTGCGTCCTGTAACGAGGTTGGAAAATTCGTACTGATTTCCCAAGTCGGTGACAGAGACCTTGTCGCTGAACGCACCTAGAGAACTAGAAGTCGGCAGACTGTCCGTGTGGATGTAGTCGCCGCCGAGACCGTCGTCGCGGTAAACCTTGAATCCCGTGATCGGAATCTTGTCCACGGTGGTGTCAGTGACGGACCAACGCACAATCACGCTCGTCTTCGTGAACGAGCCAGCTTGGATCTCTAGGTTGGTTACGGGACTCGGCGCTTGCGCCGTGTAGAATCGCGAAATGTGGCCCTTAGGACTCGGCAATGTACAGTAGTTGAAGCCCGCTGGACACAAGTAACTGGTTCCCAAACAGACTGTCGTGTCGTAGCCTTGACCACCGCACACTGGCGGCATCAAACCGTCTCCCGGACACGCTGCGTGCGCCTGCACCTGGAACTGGTACAATGCGTTCTTCTTGGTCAGCTGGTCGATCGTGTAGTCCGTTTTCGCTCCGTTACAGATTTCCAGCTTGTTCGACAGCGGCGAGCCATCTGTTCCATCGTTGTACCAGACGGTGTACTTCGTGATGTACGAGCCTCCGATGCTTGGCGGCGGATCCCAAGAAATCGTGATGGAGTCCGACGTCGATTTCAACAGACGCGGCTTGCTCGGAGCCATCGGATTCACTGCTGCCAAGAATTTTGCGACTTCCGACCGTGTACCCTCTCCGGCGCGGTTGATCGCTGACACTTGGTAGCGGTAGCGCAATCCCGGGGTGAGCCCGCTGTGCAAGAATTCACGTTTCGATGGACTACCCAGCCCGTCGAAGATGAGCTGCGGAACGTCGTCCACACCCGTGTTAGCGTACAGGCGATACCCTGTCACCGCGTCACCACCGTTGTTGATGTCGCTGATCACAGCACCCCAGAACAACTTGATTGAAGTTGCCTCGGTCGGGTCTTCGCGCTCAATTGCAGCCAGCGGGGGCGCATTTGGTGGGTCCGCACCCTTGAAAATCGTGAAACCAGACACATCCGCAAAGTTCAAATCGTCCACACCGTTCAACGCCAGCACGCGGTACTTGCACAACCGATTCGGGCATTTGGTTTCGTCTGCGATCGAGTCATCGGGACAGGTGTGCATGTCCGGCGGGAGCGTAGAGATGTAAGTGCCGGCACCATAAATGCAGTCCACTGTACCAAACTCATTCGCGTCGATGCGCGATCGTTGGATAATGTAACCTGAAGTTTATGTCTATGAACCCAGTATCTCAATTCATTCAAGAAAAGCTCTAATGATTGCAGAGAGTCAAAGTTTGGTCAGGTTAGCGATGTCTGGCCAATGATGGTGGCATGGAGTGACATCTATACGAGAAAGTAGTCAAACTATCAACGAACTTATACATAGTAAGTATCAGTATTCCTTGAAAAACCACCGCGTTAGCACTCCCGCTCCGGAGAGTCAAAGTTTGCATTTAACAAATAGCTCAAGTTCAAAGTAAAGAGCTCAGAATTAGTCGGCTTTCCGCGTGGCAGTTGAATGCCTTAGCCTTAGCTCCCAACCTTGATCGTCATAAAGTCGACGGATCTGAGTTTTAGCGTTTACTGCAGGGGACTCAGCCCCGTCCGTCGCCGGCAACTTCTCGGATAAAGGCGCAAGCGCTTCCCTTTCGGATAAGCGTGGCGCTACAATATGTAGGCAGGTTCTTTACGGAACTCGCTTGCGATACAAAAAAGAAACGCAACGAGTTGCCGCGCAGCTCCACCTAGGGCCCTTACACAAATAATTAGTTTGATAGTGCGGACATCGTTCCGCGGCCCACAATTCTAGCACTCACTATAGGCGCACTATGGGGAGACCGATACTGTTCGCGGTGGCAGGTATTAGGTGTATAATTTCGCCCGCCTTTACTCCTAGGCTTGTCCATTTTCAAATAATCGCAGGGGCTTTTAGTGTAGTTGTTAAGGAGGTTAAGCGCTCGCCCTCTGCCGGTATCCACGCGGAAAGTACGCAGGTAGGTTTTGACTTATCGGAACTCGCTGGCACTACAAAAGAAAAACTAGACGAAGTGAGCTGAATTGAAAACTGAACAAAAGTTCGAAGCAAATCAAAGCAGCTCGCACCTGTGATCGGCGTTCCGCCATTGTTCTTCGGCGGCTTCCATGTAATGGTGATGACAGTGCGGGAAGCGGAGAAAAGAGTCGGCGGATCCGGAGCATAGGGACGCCTAGCGCACGCTCGAGATAGCTGCGAACTACGTAAACTGACACCAGCTGCAGAGATCGCTTCCAGCTGGAAATCGTAGATCATTCCCGTCTGCCCACCTGTTAGGGTGTAGGATAAAGTACCTATGTTACCGGTACCGTCGTAGAGCAAAGCGCCGTTGGCATAGAGCAAAAAGCCGGTGACCGGAATCGTACTGGGTGGCGCCGCCCATGCGACTGTGATCGTTGTCTCGGTACTCGCGACCGCCGCGATCTCGCAACTGCAGCCTCCAGAGGCGCAGCCTTCTGGCAAGATTGCACTCGAAGTACACACACGGGGGGTGTTTGGCACGGCGGCAGCAACGAGAGTCGCTTCGGAAGAGTAAAAGATCACACCCGGCGGAGTTTGCACAGCATTGATTGCATAGATTCGGTACTGATAGCTCTTCTGGGCAGTGATGGCAGCGTCGTCAAGCCAGAACGTGTTGGTGTAGCCGGATACCGAAGCAGTGAGATCAGTCCAGGTCTGACCCTGATTCGCACTACGCTCAATCACATAGTCCGTGATCGGTGCTCCGTTGTCGTCAGGCGCCGTCCACATCAGGTACACCTGTTTGATGCTCGTCTGGTACGGATCCGCTAGGGGTCGTCCTGGACGTCCCGGCTTGCTCGCGGCCAGCACGTCCAAAGACGTCACAGTGGTACCGCCATCGCCGGTTGGGTTCACTGCTACCACGCGGAATCGGTACGTGGCGCCGCGGATCAAAGCCGGACTGCCATCGGCATTTTTCGGCGAGTGCGCGTATTCCAAAACCGAGGATTGCTTGCTGCCGTCGTACACCAGATTCGTTAAGGGCCCGCCGTCGCCGTCGTCCACAAGCACCTTGTAACCGGAGATACCCGCAATCCCGGTGTACGTCGGGGCCTTCCACTTAATGTGAATGGTCGTTGGCGACTGCGAAACGATGGATTCCGTGCCCGGAAAGAAAACTGGCGGACCTGGTCGATCGGATGCAACCAGTGTCACACGCTCGGAGCGTGGACCAGCACCAGCCGCATTCACCGCAGCCACGGCAAATCGGTAGACGCGGCCGGCGATCAGACCTGAACGCCACAAATACGTCTGGTCGCCACTGGGCGTGTCGTAGACAGTCTCCACGGTGCCATCGTCCTGGTACACACGGTAACTCGTAAGACTCGTCGAACCGATGTCGGTCACGGGGTCCCACTCGATCGAGATGTCGTTGTCCGTCTGCCACAAGGTCGGATGTCGACGGAGATTCTGGGGCGCTTCTTGCGGCGGAATGAACTCGCAGCAGCGCGCTTGCATCGCCAGCGAAAATGGCGACCAACCAACCACAGTTGCGTACTTGACCTGGAAGATATAGGTGCGGCCGACGATGAGACCGTAAAGCGTGACCGTTTTCGGCAACGCGTTCAGACCGGCATCCTTGGTTGGGTCGTGGTCCACATTACCCTGCATAATGATGTCCGCAGTGCCACCCAAACCGTCGTTTCTTCGCAGCTCATAGAACAGAATGTTACTGCGTCCCGTCTCCTCATAACCGACCGGCGGATCCAACCGCAGCACAAGCGAGCCGCTGACCGATTCCGCGCCAGTGAGTTGTGGCGCAACCGGTCGAGTCGGCAAAATAGATGGTTGAATCGTAATCTCGTACGGGTCAGACTCCGTGAATTCGTTCCTGGTCACGAGGCGGTACTTGTACAGAGTCGTAGCATCCAAACCGCTCTCCGTCCAGGTATAGATGCTTGGATCATCGCCACTCCACATGAGCATGAAGTTGTCGTCGCCGCCACCGCCATTTCGGAAAATGCGGTAGCCAACGATGTTCACACCACCGGAATCCAGGGGCGGAATCCAGCGCAGCTCGGCTGTGTTCCAGAACGGGTTGTCACGATAAAACGCCTCTGGTGGTCCTGGCTTGTCCCACACTAAGAAGGGCTTGGGAAAGTTTCCGATACGCAGTTTGGAGTGAAAGAACTGTTGGCCTGGCACCGCCTGTCGCGCGATACCACACGTCGCGCATTCCCATTCCAGGATCAAGCTAGCGTCGCCAGTCACCTCGCGGAACATCACCTGCACATGGTAGAGTCGCTCCTTGGTCATGTAGATCGGCTCCACTTGGATGACACCAGCGTCGTCCGAGCTGACGCGCATGGTTTCGTCGATCCACAGCTTGGCGCTGTTGTCGAAGGTGAGATAAAAAGTATAGAAACCAGCGATCGGAACTGACATGTAACCATCCCAGTTTGCTGACACCATATCCGCAGCTTCACCGGACACCAAACCAGTGCCCCAGTTAAAATTCACCTGATTATCGACCGTGAGAGCGCTCGCATTCCCCTGCATCCAAAGATTGTTGAAGTAGCGACCGTTGATACCGCCTTGCTTCAACACGAAACAATCAGCCTGGTAGTCACCGGTCACGTGTGCGGAACCGATCTTGAAGTTCATCTCGAACTCACCCGGCCAGCCTTCGAGCTGTTTCACCTCGAACGGAATAATCTCACTGTTCAGCAAAGCGTTCACCGATCGTCGCCCTGCAGCCTCGCACACCATTTGGATTGTGTCGTCTTGATTCGCTTTGTTGTTGAACTCGTCCTTAGCGGCAAACGTGACTCGATAACCGAGGTTGCGCTGGATGCGCGGGAAGAAAGTTGTGTGCGAGAAGGAGTAGACGCGACGCGAGACCGGGTCGACATTCTTCGGCGTGATCACCATACTGTAAATACCAGGCGGCACTGGGTTCACACTCATTCCATTCACGTACACCTGAATATCGTACTGACGCGCGATGTAGAACTCGTAACGACACTCAAAGACACCAAGACCCATGTCGTAACAGAGAATCTCTGGTCGCGAGGTACCCACATCCTGACCCTCGGAGATCTGTGTTGGGTTGTTGTTTGTATCGCGCAAAGTCACGTTGAAGCGTCCCGTCTGCCCTGCCTGGGCACCAAACAGTCCCGCTCCTTCGAGAAGGGAATTGGTTGGGCTCGGCTCACCGGGCAGGATGTTCACGTATGTCACTTGCTGCAGATTGTTGTTGTTGATGGTCACGTAAAGCCGTTTCCCGCTTCCACTCTGAAGAGGGCTGAATACGATCTCGTACACACCGAAGATTGTCGGATGGTGATAGAACGTCAGCGGTGTCGGTGGCGTAGTGTCGATGTAACCCGCAAGTGGTAACTGTGACGCTGAGGAGCGGATGTTTCCAAACGCATCCTTCGTGTGCAGAAAGTAGGTGTTGGAGGTTCCTGCCTGCGCGGTCGAGACATCGATTGAGCACTCTCCGAACGCAGTGAGACTCGGTTGGCCCTCGCTCGGGGCGCAAACTAGCGAGATCGAACTCGCTTCCGCGGGAATGCATAGCGTAGTCGTGTCTTGTGGAAGGATATTAAGCGGGTACAAAAAACTGAAGTCCGGGATCAGCTGGTCCTGGAATCCAGTGCTCGACCAGTATAAGCGAATGTATGCAGTGCCGGCTTGATGTCGGTAATGCACCTCGATGGGAACGGGACGGTTCTGTGTGAGGAAGACCTGCGCACGGTCGCTTACTGCTCCAGTCGAGGTCCACCGGTTGATAACCATTTGGCCATCAATCATTACTGCACAGGCATAGTCAGCCTCGATTCGGATCACGTGCGTGCCCGTTGCGATGGGCAGAAGTAAACCAGTCCATTTGACGGAGAAGTAGTCCTCCGGGGAGTTCTCCACAGGCTCCGCTGGCCACACAAAGTTAACCTGTTTGTCGACTTGAGTGTACTCTGTGACCGGCACGCCTTTGTGGTTCGTGTCGGTAGCCTGCGCGATAAGTGATTCGAAACCTGGCGCGCGGTAGTAGTACGCGAGAAGCCCGCCCGGCGCCTGCAGCCGCGTAGTCAGAGAGTAAACACCCTGTGCCTGGAGCGTCAGAAGAACGTCATATTGTTTGCTCACTTCGTTGAACGCCGCCTGGTTCTCGAACTCGTAGAACGGGGGTTGCATAAAGCGCGCATCGCCGAGCACAAAGAGACCAGGTGCCGTAAGACGGTTTCCGAACCTATCGTTGATATCGCATGGCAATTTCGTGGGAGTTCCTGCCTCAATGGCAGCTGGCACATAGCACTGCGAACCCTCGGCATGGGGAGGCCCCGGGTTCACTACTAGGCCAATGGCCGGCGATCCGAAAATATGCTGTCCGTTCGCAATAACATCAAGTGTGACATTGTTCTTTGCGATGTTGCTTCCGACCATCAACGTGTAGGTACCGTTTCCGTTGTTCACGTGTTCGACCGGCTGTCCGCCCATAGTCACTGTGAAGGTAGTCAGAGTCGGCGCCTCGACCAAGTTGTTCTCGTAGGTGTCTTTCCACTGCAGCAATACGGCTTGCGGCGTGCCAGCAATATAGCTTTGGGGCAGGCTCACGAGCGTCGTCTTCTTTGGGTCCAATGTGCCTGGCAAAATGGAAATCGGGAATGGACCTTGAGTGACTACAGTCTTGTTGCCGACGATGTCGTTGCGCGAAACGTCGACGTTCATGATCTTGATACTGATAAATCGGTCTGCACCTGCGAACGTCGGTCGGATGAGACATTCGTACACACCTCGCAAAGAGTTGCACACGTTGTTGGTGCCATCGTTGCAGCCTTTGTAGTTCGAACAGACCTCCTCGTCGGTTTCCGTGGTTGCGGGAATCGTCTGCAATGTGACTTTCGGCGGTTCGAACACCGGGGTCGTCAGCGCGTTTCCAAACGCATCACGAAGCTGCACCAACACGCTGAGATCAGTACCAGCTTGGTGCCTCGCTGGAGGCGAGTTCGCGGATGTGCGGCACTTGGGTGCGTATGGAACCTCCTCAAAGCGTCCACGCGCCAAGGAGTAGGACTCCGCTGTGTACCCTCTCAGCTCAAACGGTGATGCCTTGATGTTCACACCCGCGACCCTGACGTACATCTTGTAACTACCTTCGCGCAGCGCGATGTAGCTCATTTTGTATGTTCCCGCACCTTGGTACTGCGCGCGACCGAAAAACTGCGTGCCGAACTCTTGGTTCAACAACGTCGTGTCATCGGTCACCGACAAGCCTGGTGCACCCGAAACATAACTGAGCCACTCCAAAGCACTGGTGACTTCAAGGGTGCCATCATCCAAGACGTTTTGGTTGGCGTCCTTCACGATAACATCAAACGTTGCCTCAGAACCTGCGATAAATTGCTGCGTCGCCAATCCTGCTGCCGAGGTCTGAGCCGCGGACACCTTTCCAGCTCCAACTTGCAGCGTGTACGGCGACCCGTCCAGCGGAACTCCGCCCAAAGTGATGCGCACCTCGTACTGGCCCTGCACCTGGAGCAAAAAAAATACGATGTACAAACCGTCCTTGGCGTCGCTGTTGACCGGCTTACTGTTCACAACGAGGTTCGCACTGGCAATCGGTCCAACAAAACGCACTTCAAATGAGTCGGTGTTCGTGTTGATGTTGTTACCTGCCGTGTCCTTCGCCTGGATGTAGAAGAACCGCTCCACACCGGCAGAAACACTGCTTAAGTAGGTGCCGTAAGCTTCTGACCTCCGCGCGTCAACAATGCCGACTGAAACATCGATATCGGTGGGCACGCCGTTCACGTACAAGGCTTTGTACAAACGGTCTTCGGGGATGATCTGTTATGGCAGGGAGATTGCAGAAGTAAGAAATACGGATATGACGAAAAAAAAGATGGAAGTACACAAGAACCACAGCTCACTGACTTCTGGTGCAATGAAAGATGCTGAGAGCCAGTATTTTTAATGATGACAAACTAGTACAAACTATAATTCACCTGTCGCGGCGTCGAGAAGGAGGCGTAACTGAACTTCGCTGTTGCGTTGCCGGAGACCTCCTTGTACTCGAGACGGATAGGCACATATTGGTTCTTCACCAACGCAATGCTGCCTGAGAATTCAGCCGATGACTCTGACCACTTGTCAAAAAGTTGTACGTTGTTCACCCACAACCTTGCGCTATCGTCAGCCTCTACGTAGAATGTATACGTTTCCGTGAATTCCGGTACCAGAAAACCTGTCCATCGAACGCTCACAAAGTCACTCGCATATCCTGCAAGAGCATTGGAACCCCACTCGAAGTCAACTTTTCCGTCCTGCCGTGTCTCGATTGGCAAACCGTAGTACCACTGATTGTCCCAGTACTGACCTAGAAGACCGCCAAGCTCTAGCGACTGAACTGTAAGGGAGAACAAACCCTTTTGTTGCAGCGTCACGGTGATGTCGTAGCTGGAGAGTATATTTGTTCAGGAGTAAATGATTGAACTGCGAAAAAACAAGCAAAGCCCTCAAGCAAAGAAAATGCGAGACGCGAGAACATGTTGAACGAAGATGGCTGATATGAAGAACGAATTCTTGGGAAGAAATTGGAGCAGATAGAAGTGTAAAAATTTGGTTACGATCCGTCCGTCCTATCGATACTTGGCATACAGCAGACTGGCGTGTCCAGCAGGTCTTCCGTTCGATACTTCGGGTGATCGCTCGTCACAGGAACGCATATCTGACCCGTTACGTCTAATTCGCATGGATTCTGCACACTCAAAATGAAGAACCGATCTCCTTGTGTCTCCACTTTGTTGGTCAAAGGATCCACGCCTCGGACGCGCACCAGCGTCTCCGCGTTCGATTGAGCTGTGCTAGGTACGGATTCAGCAATGGAATCGGGCGCAGCCATCATCCGCGCCAATTGGATAGTATTTTCCGCGTTGCCGCTGGTCCCGACTCGGTTCAATGCGTATACGCGGTAACGATAGATGTTGGCTGGAATTAGGCCGCGCACATCGGTCTGGAAGACGTTGGGTTCCGTCGTACCGTTGTAAAGCACTTTCCAGTTGTTCTGGTTGTTGACGTCCTCCATCACAACGAAACCCAAGACCGGCGATCCCCGCTCATCTGGCATTACCCAGCTGACGCGGACGTCGACGGCCCCGATTTTCGTCAAGGTTGGTTTTTGCGTCGGAGTGTACACCGGTACACCGGCGGACACGTAGGACACCATGTTCGAGAGGGGGCCCTGGTTTCCCACTGAATCCACGCCGCGCATCTGGAAACGGTAGTTCTTATCTACATCTAGTCCGTCGACGATCACCTGATCAACACACGGACCGCTGTACTCCAAATTCGACACGGGTCCGCCGTTCCCATTATCCATGGTGACCTCGCAGCCGCCCGTTGCCCGCTCTGGCGGATCCATGCGCAGCACAATGCGACCGATATCTGATGAAACTAGAATCGGAGGTTTCGAAGGCCCAATCTCGGCCGCAACGAGCGCTATGTGCTGTGGCACTGCTGAAAACAGCAGCAAAAAGCCTACTAAATGCGACATCACTAAGGTCGCGATAAGTTGTAACTGAGCTAGTCGCCGAGTACCAGGACGAAGCACTCTAGCTGTACTAGGCAACGTTGTCGATCCTATGCCCTTGGCAGATGACGAACGAAATCTCTGTAAAAATTCAAATGGTTTTGCTGACTCGACCGTTTTCCCTGAGCGGTCGCCGTCACTTCTAAGTGTAGACGAGGATGTGGTAGCCGTAGCGTCACTTCTCTCGTCGACCTCCCCGGTACATTTTTCTGCTTTTCTGGATCGTCTACCGCTGCGACGTGACGAGGAAGTTACGATTTCCAGAGTTGAGTAGGTCCGCTCTGGATCCCGCCAACTTTGATGCCGCCCATTCATTCCTTCTGTCGGCTCTCGGGCGGAACCATCACGGCTCGGCCTGTTGCTTCTCGCTGCACCCCCTCTTGCAGACCTGCTATCATTTCCCTCTGATGTTGTCATGGTATTGTAGTTGTACTCCTGAATACTATTTCTTTTGGAACTACTTCTATCTTGAAAATCCTTTTGCCGCCCATTCATTCCTTCTGTCGGCTCTCGGGCAGAACCATCACGGCTCGGCCTGTTGCTTCTCACTGCACCCCCTCTTGAAGACCTGCTATCATTTCCCTCTGATGTTGTCATGGTATTGTAGTTGTACTCCTGAATACTATTTCTTTTGGAACTACTTCCATCTTGAAAATCCTTTGAGTTCGGTTCTTTTCCTTTTCGTCTCCTCCTTGGACGTGAGCGATGGTCAACTTCAGATAAACCGTATTTGGGATCTCGACTACTAGGCAATACTCCACTCGAATCCTCACTACTTCTCGTCCTCTTTGCCTGCCCACCAATTACCTCTACTCCGTCTTCATCCCCAACGAGGCCAGCAGCTGCAGCTACAGAAGTAGATACTGGACTACTACAGCTGTGATCATGTGGGACGCCCTTCCTCCTTCGCTCTCGTGGCTGCCGCCGCTGTGAATTTGTTGAGGATGTCACGCTTCTATGCGAGTTTTCGCATGTTGACGTGCGCCGCGTCGAAGATGACGGAGAAGTCGGTGACGACCCATTCTTTCCTTCTAACCAACGTATACCCGGCGAATTACCCTCCATGACTCATTTCCTCACCCCGGCCAGCACACAAAACTATCAGTGTGCTCTACGGTGAAACTCGTCCTAACCTTGATTTATATGCGAAGGAATTGTTTACCTGATAAGATAATGATTCAGCTTTTCTAACAACTTTTCTCAACGTCTTAATCGACTCCAGAAAATAGGCTCTGTTTGCGGTTTCTTCGTATGCTTGTTTTGCGGCGTTGTTAGTAAAGCATTTTCATTTTTGATCATCTTTGTTTTGATCGTCTTTAACTTACGCTTATTACTTGCTTCCTCGTTTGACAAGATAAAATCTGCAACATCAAATACTCAACACAGCAGTTCACAGTACTTGCAATGGAGTAATCATGATACCTTCTCTTTCTTTACTTGCCTGCATTTTTTGACTCAGTAAAGTATGCACTACCTTGTTGTATTGAGCATTAACACAACAACTCGGGAAACAATGATGAAGAAAAGCAACAAAACTCTGAGTCTCGCACTTCTTCCTCTCACACTCGAAATCGACATCGCACGCACTCAAGGTTTTCACTCGGGAGCACTATCTCTGCAGGTGAAGGTTCGCCCCTTTCTATCTCTGATTCTCACTCTGTAACTCTCACTCGCAGATTTTCACTCAAAATTTCCGAAAAAGAAAGGCAATTCACTCTCTGACGTCCACTTCGCTCTTTTGTCTCGTTACAGGATTCTAACACATGTTTTTGTTCAAAGCACGCTTTCATTTGCATTTGAAAGTGTTCTGATCAGTCTGTCTATAACAACGTGACACCGCAAAAACATACAATATCAAGCTGAAAATTCAACGAATTGTTTCTATTCTCAGCGTTGAGTAGAAGGACTTGCATTATTCACGAAAACGACACTTAAGTGCTACAAGGTGGTTTCTTCGAAATAAGCATGTGGAAAACTGGGAAATTTCGCGCGATGGGATGAGGATTGTAATCGGGATGGGTCTGCTGGGGATGGGGTTCGTTTGGGTTATGTCTCAGCAAAATGAACTGGCCGTCGTTGACGCAGTCTCGATTCAGAAGCGTCGTATGTTATGCAGCAGCAATATTGTCTCCTCCACGCTGCCGCGCAGCAGTTGGCGCAGTTTCTAGTCCGCTTTTTGGGCTCGCGGATGCTGCTGCACTCTTGCCTGCCCCGGAGCTACTATTACTTCCACTCGATGAGGAAGACGAGGGCTCCTCGGCTGCAGAAGTGCCGTCCCTGTCAGATAGAACGGCGCCGCCACTTGGCAACAGCATGACTCTCCCGTCCGGCTCCGGTGCACCTCGCCTCTCCCGATTTCGCACGTCCTGCTGTTCTATGAGCTTGTCAATGTATGCTCTGTATTCTTCGTCTTCTACATATCTCTCTTCGTCGAGGTACACACTGCCATTGCCTTCTCGTTCCTTTACTCCTTTGACATGGTTGCAGAGCATCGCGGAAGGGCCTGTGTCTTTCGTGGTTCCACGACCACGCGGCTTGCGGTTCACCGTGAGTATCCCGAAAGTGCCTAGCATTCCGTAAAGCAGCGGATAGCCCTGCCGACTGTCGAGGTGCAAGATGAGGCTCCCGAGAACAAAAAAGATCGCGAGCAAATAGTGCCCGTAGGGGGCCACCACGCTGCGTAGAAAAGCCGAACAAAACTTTCGGAACTCGCGATACATCATTTGGTGTGTGCGAACGAAAATATTTCCTGACGGCATTTCCCCGGGACTCGAAGTGCGCGATGGCGGCGGCCACTGTTGGAGTAGAACATCAGGTAGGAAGAAGTTCTCAATGAATACTTTTGACTAGCTTCTTTCTATGCTTCGTCAGCTGAAATACAACCTCCAGAAATAAGTAAATCAATTGACAACAATACCTTATCTCCTTTCTTCGTTCTACTTGCTGGGACGCCGTCGTAGCAAAGATCTGGCTCATCCGCTGGATTTGCTACCTCAATAGCGTGAAACTTCGAAAAGGCATTTTCGCAAAAATCCTGGGAATCTCCCGCCAACTCGTGAAGCGGGCGACATCCGACGTCATTATTGCAGGGAACGAGCTCTCCGCCTCCACGCGAAAGCCAGAATTCGTCTGGAGGAGTGTTTCATTATGGAGAATCATAACATCAGGCCTAGTAGCTCCTTGTTGAGGTCTGCTGGTAGAGACACAAGGGGCAGAAAGCCTATTTATTATTCATTGAAGTAACAACTCACTCTGGAGGTGGAACGACACGATCCTATTTTCTTTCTTATTGTCTAGTTACTTGCATCCATGCTCGTTGTAGTATTTCAGTAACAAATGGAAAAGTAATCACTTCATACCTTTACAAGAGCTAAACCACGCATCGCAAAGCACAGGACATATGTGCATCACACCTCCAGCTGACAAGAGGCCCGTTCCGATATCGCCGTCGCACTGGCTACAAAGCATCTGTCTCGTCATAGTTGCACACCTGTCGTAATAGAGAATGCCATTTTTGCTTTTTGCAGACACCCATGAGGACGGAGTCTGTAATTTTTTACGACATGAGTAAGAACAATATGACGACCCCGAGCAGTGAAGATAAAAAGCTAATGAATCATCGAGAGCTTGGCCTTAATCAATGTGAAACTTTAGAAGTCTGAGGTCGTCCAGTTTCAAAATTTTCAAAGGTCAAAGAGTACTGCCCACTCCGCATCATACTAACCGCGTGCTCGTTCATCTTTGACTTCACCCTGTTGGCATGTGGGCGTCGGCAGCACGTGTATTGGGCGTGTTCGACACAGTAGTCTAATTTTACGTCCATTGCCGCCTCGCCAGGCGTAAACTGCAATTCAGCTGTGCATGTTGCTGGCGCTTCCATTTCTCCCTTATTTTTTTTGCCGGCCCCATCTGGAAGAAGGTTGTTCACGAGACGTCCATGTCCGAAAAAAAATGGGGCGAAATGTATTTGTATGCATTTCTCTTATCTCTGTCTGTCTTCAGCAACAGAGTTAATGCATAATCAAAGTCAAGACGCGTAGGTAAGTACTTACCTTTCTTTTTCCCTGGTGGTTTCTTCGCTTTATTCTTGGATTTACTTTCACTTTCAAATGCTTGTTCATCGGGTCCGCTACTGGTGTCTGCTGCGAGGGCGAGAAGCATGGGATAACGGACAAAAGCTAAACTCCCTGACGCAGATCTCTGCTCGACCCGCATCTCGCTCTCGGCTTCCCAGAGCTCTTCTCCACTGCCTCGAAGGTGCTGCCTCTGCCTACTTGTAAAGGGGTAATATGAGCAAGCACCACTTCTAGCGTCGGATTTTCTATCATCAAGCGAACGTGAATCGCTCTTTATGTACTGCCTCTGTTCGAAAAAATAAAACAGATCGTCGATAAGTTGCCAAAGCAGTCCAACTAGAGCCAAAGCCCGCAAAAATCGACAATGATCCATAACCGGTGGCATCCGACGTGGCCCACTATGACCGCTCGCAGCTGAGGAAGGCCAGGTCAGTCTCGCGGCCCTCCAAAGAAAACCAGCAGTAATTGATGTCCTCATCTTTTTAGTTATAAAGAATGAGGACGAATATCTCCTTCACTTAGCAGTTGATACAGTCACATGTGCATGATGCGCAAGTCATCTACTTATAGGGTCTACAAAAATCTACTAAATCAGGACCTTCTTTTGCTTCTTGGATACATGATCGATAGATGGAAAACAAACCATCTACTTTACCTGAGCAAAAAACCAGGGAAGAAGAACAAATGTACTTCACCAGGCAGCACTACCAAGTTCAAAGCAGACAGATAAACGGACTACAATCGCGATAAGCATACGAATTCTGGAGTCAAAGCAGGCGGGATCCATGGAGGTGATCGACGTACACATGATCGGCCAATCACATTCGGAGAATACGGCGCTCGTCAGGTGCTTGTGATCGATTAAGAAAAGAAGCGGGGAACCCTTTTTTCTGTGGAGAACAGCCTCGCCTGCCTATTCATTCTAGCGCGGCGGCAAGGATCCCGTATAGCCTCACGCGAGGCCTACGCTGGTATATTTGTAGTTCTTCATTGTACGAGGGAGCGCGTCAGATGATAGTACTGCAAAAATACTAAGAATATTCACAACAAGTCGAAGTCTTTGTAGTTGAACCTTTCGAAAGTCGAGAACGTCCAACTTGTCTTATGACCACCCTATGCGACAAGGAAGATTGAGATTCATATTCATCGATTAACTTAAACTTTTTAAATGCGGCAATTACAACAACACGGAAGCGATGGACGAACATTAGCCAGAACAATGGAAAAGACTAAGAGAGATAAATTAGTAGTTGAACGGAACAACATGAACATGACAGCCTAGAAAACGTGGAAGTTTGATTTGCAGGAAGCTCCTTTTCATATCTCGACTCCTATACTTCTACGCGATATGAATGTACAAGAATCCATGAAGAGTCTTTGTCGAAAAACTAGAACCGGTTTGTGATCAAGAATAATCCTCGCAAGAATCGTCCGCATCTAGGCTTGTGAGCGCAAAAATGTGACCGTCCTGGTTTTGAAGCGGATTTTTCACGTTCGTCTGCACGCAGAAGACGGCGCATTGACCGGGTGCATTCAAGCGGAGGTTCACCTTCGGTCGTAGATCGACTTTGACTAAATTGCTATCCTGAACTTCATCATCGTCCTCTAATTGATGACGATGAAGTGCGTGTGAGGTTCTTTCGTCGTCGTCATCATCATCATCATCAATGTCGTCTCCGCGTCCGTGGTCTGCTATTAAGCCTGTGGTAGTATTCGCGTCTTCAGCTGTTTCGTCTTGACAAAAGCAAGTCGTTTCGTCAGTTTCGCGAAGGGTATCATCTTCCTCGTCACTCAAAAGCGGCTCCTCATCAGTGCCGGGTTCGGATTCGAAATCATCTGAGTAGTCCGACTGTTCCCGAGGTGTCGTGGTCAAGACGCGCACTGCTCTATGAGTTTTTGACGTGGTCGTTGGTGGATTTGCGAGTCGCTTTTGCTGAGATCGACGAGCCTGCCCCCCGCGGGACGAAGACGAATACACCTTATCTCCCATTTCGTGCTGGTATGAATCGATATTAGCACATCCCTCAGCACACGCAACCTTGCCTTGTCCATCGAGACCGACGTTAGGACCTGGCATTTTTCGTGAAAGCGACGCGTCCAAGGCGGCGCCTCCTTTTGGAGTCTTCCGTACGATACATGAAGCGGCAGCCGGACTATTCCGTTCAAAAACGAGTTGCACACCAGCATCGTCGGCTAGGCAGCCGTCTAACTGATCCCCTTCAGCTTCATCCGACAATAGAGACTCCAACAAAGATGAGTTGACTCGCTGCCTCCGCGTGCCCAGAGAGCTACTATTGCTCTGCGCCGTAGTGTAAAGTTCTCCGCTGCTCATCACAGGTGGTCTGGGGGCGGGATCGTCGTCCTCACCAATCGCGACACATAAAGGAAGTGGGCGATCTTCACGTGAAGCCACAGCTTCGGGATTGAAAAAGTGCGGTGTCACTCGGGTTGCGCCGCTGGCACGCACATTGTTCTCTGCTTGAGCCGCTTGTAGAGCGTCATCCGTACAAATCTCTATAGACGGAGTGCATTCAGATTCACCTGCTGACTGTGCGCGATATCGCAGACTCGCATTTAATTGCGCTTGGTCTCCGCCCCAAGCAGCTCTTCTCACTTGTGCTGTGTCTTCATCATCGGGCGTTGGGGAATCGCCCCCAAGACCGACTCTTGAATCAGCTTGGTCATCCACGAGCGTCCCACCAGGAAAGATGCTGCTGAAATTAAAGTCAACACTTTGCCGCACAGCTGAGTCGTCTTGCAAGTTTGACGGAAAACTTCCACCGCCGCTGTCAACCCTTCCCGCAGCAGCAGGCGTTACTACATCGTCTCTAATGCGGATTTGGAAATGTTCGTTCTGCACTGCGCTATGAGCATAATGGCCACCTAGACCGGCGTTATCCCGGTCCTGCAAATCTGGAGACCCAGCGTCAGACGTCGGCTGGCATTCCCTCGGGGGAGCCTCAACCAATCTGTAAAAGTCTTTCCCGTCGTGAAACAGAATATTCTTCGCTTTCTTGCTCTTATCAAGACGTCCGCTATTCAGAAACAGACTCTTTTCACTCGGTAAAGGAGCATGATGTTGCTGTAATGGGGCGTGAGGGTTTTCTACGGATTTCTGCCGCAATCGATTCACAAATCCGCTATTTCGGCGAGCCGACTTCGGCGCTGCCGCGGTATCTGTGGATACTGCTGTGGTGGCCGCAATTTGCGAAGGTTCTGAAGAAAAATTCCGAGAGCCATAAACCTTTTCATTTGTCCGTGACTCGTATCTCGAAGATGAATCCGTGTCTTTTGCTCCCGATCCCGCTGCGGCACTACGTTTTGACCTACCTTGACCTGGTGCGCATTTTGTATTGCAGGGCTCGACAAGTGTGCTGCTACGGCTTGACGCTTCGCTGAATGACTCCCGTGCGTGTTCTTGTATACGATTCCCTAAGCCGCTAGAAGGTATCATCTTATCCCGATAGACAATGCGACTGCGGCTGCTCCGTGCAGACGACGTGCTTCCAGACGAGGAGCATCTTGTGCCGCCTCCACTTGCGCCACTTTCGTCCTCGGGTGGCCCGGCCTTGGACGTGGCTTCTCCACCAGTACCGCCACCGCACTCGGCCCCCGGTGCCGAGATCACACGTCGACTGCTCTTCGTTTTGAGCTTGTTCTGCGCTGGTGGAGGCGCTGTCTTCGTATTTTCCGACGAAGCCGCGACACGAGAGCTATTCACAGCAGCAGCTGCGCTAGAAAAGTGTTGCTTCGATGATAGCGAAACGGACGATGACGATCCAAACGAGTTTGTTGCGACCTGTTTTCGCCGTGCCAAATGCTTGCGCAGGTAACTATCACCACCCTGAGAACCCCCTGCATTGAACCCTGGCCGAGGCATCGCTGAGGTATGCTGCTTTACATCTAGGATATTGACCGCACTCTGTGCCCCTAGTTGGTCTCTTCGGAGCTTCCTTCTAGCCGAAGGTATCCGTCCCGGGGCCGGTGCTGCGTTCATACGATCCACAGACGCATCCAGGACAGGATTCCCAAAACCCATCGGGTCCCCCGGATCGTATGGACCCCCCATGCCTGGCTCGCTACTAGTTTTGGCAACGCCGACGGAAGAGTCTACTTTTAGTGAAGGCACGGCAGCAAGACTATTGCTTTTCGTCTGTTGAGCGCCCGTTCCTGCTGCAACCAGGGCAGCGGCTCCACGCGGCGTGATTTGTCGCGCACTAGGAATCGCTAAGCGCGGTGTACTACCAGAAGCGCCTACGAGGCGCGGAGTGCCGGAATGCGAGAAACGGGCACTTAGTCGTGGCGTGGGAGGCGTTTTCCTGCGTCCTGGCAAGATGAGTTCAGGGAGCTCCGCTACTGCTCGCGCACCGCTGTTTCGACGAGATTCACGACTACTGCCAGAAGCATCGCTCAAGCGTCGTAAATGATGTGCAGGAATTTGGACAGGCGCTGCGCCGAGCGGCGGTGCAACTGGGGCCATAAGTGGAGGCGTTACTGGGGGTGTTACTGGTGTCCGACAACGGGAACCCGAATTGTATGTCCTCCATGATAAACCGACTGTTGCTGCATTATGCTCCTGCATGTCACTATTCGCGCTCCCAGATGCACGCGCTGCGGGTGGTATCTCTGATACAACATCAAACCGACTGCCAGTGCTGTCAACGCTTTTCACGCTTTTGCTGCTGCTACTTCCGCCGCATTGCTCAGATCCCCGTAGGATCTCAGAGGGGTAGAAGTCCTGCGCTTGAGGATAGGGTTGTGGCGCCACTTGCGGTTCTAGGTCAGCGGCAAAAGTAAACTCCGAAGTTTGGACTGGCACCTCCATTGGAACGGGTGGATTTGTAGCCGGGACACCCAGCTGCGCAGTTGAGAATGAAGCATCAAAATTTTGTTGAACTTCTTTCCCTTCCTTTTGAAACCACGAGGCGCACTGTTGTGGATTCATCTGTTCTAGTGCCACGGTGCTTCCCGCAGTTGGGTCCGGTGAAATAGAATAGGTCAGTGTGTCTCCGAGATCGCTCGCAGGAGGCAAAGGAATCTTTTCAGTGCCAAACCCGTTGAAGGATCCCGCGGAGACACCCTCCTCTATCTCTGGAGAAGTCGCCCCAGCCTGTGCTCCTTCCCGCCCTCCTGCGGTATTTGCCAGTCGCTCTGCGATATCAAGCCCAGGAATTTCGATTTTCTCAGTACCGATTGTGTAGTCACGCCATGGGCTCTCTGGCGTCGAACGATTAGCGCGAATCTCCATCGTCGCCTGAGATAGATGAAGAAACTCTTGCACGTGCTCTGGCAGTAGCCGCTCATCTTCATGATCTCCTGGCATTGTCTCCTCCTCAGGGATCCCAGTTGGCACACGCTGTTCTATTCCTCGCCAATTTTCTCCTCTGCGTCCGGTCTCAGGTGTCATCTGCTCCTTACTGCGACTCACGTCTACTTTGGCTTGAGCGCGGTCCCTATTTTTTCGATGTGGAGACGCGCGATTTGGGGATCCAGGTGTTCCTGGAGCTGGCACCTCTAAAGTGCAGTCCTCATCTAGATTGTAGTGTCCCTGGCCTTCCGCAACTTCCTCAGCGTCGTTCCACGAATCTTCATCAGATCCTGAGTCTTGCTTTGACGAATCCATCTCTAGCCAATCACAGAACTGCCCGTACATGCCGAGCTCTAAAAACTGATACTTGGCACTGACGCCTCCTCCAGCTGGTGACGCCCGCTTGCTTCCAGCATTCTCGTGAGGATTCATGTCCTCCCATGTGCTTTGCGATGAAGGGCCGTCACAGATAGCTCCACTTCCATTATGATCCACCTCCGAAGGTATCTTTACAAGCGCTATCGAGTCATCGTCCACGAGCGTTGCGTCGAAACCCTGCTGTGGCAAGCGTGGTGGAAGATGAGGCGCACGTCGGTTCGTCGCTGCTGAGACAGAGTCGGCTATTCCTAATGCTCCTCTTGACACAACGGGAACCGACTCAGCTCCAGGAAGAACTACGTCCATACCCTTTGGAGTACTTTTAGCGCTCATCGCTATTCCGTACACGTCGCGAAATATGCGCTCGATCTCAGCAACACAGCGATATGCTTTGATGCGCGCCTTTGGGTTCTCTAGTAACAATCTGGTTTCCAGCAACGCACGCACATGCTCCAGCTCCGGAGTACAGAGATCTGCAGGTAGTGGCTGCCATTCGGCCTTTGAAATCTTCAGAGCTAGTGCCGCAAGATTATTACCCGAAAAGGGTCGTGCAGGAAAAGCGATGGACTCGTAAAGGCAGACACCGAAACTCCAAATGTCGCTCGCTGGACCATACTCCTCTCCATTGACCAGCTCCGGTGCGAAGTAATGCGGCGTTCCAATCACAGTCTTAGCTCGAACTGTACTCTTGCTAGTGTACGTGGGAGCGCCACGTCACTATTTAGAGGCGAAAAATGGGTCACTTGATGATTGATTTCCTTTCAGCGAAATGGAGAAATGCTGACAGAGATGGAAAAACGATAAGCAGCAGAAAACGTGTACTTTTTGCATACTGCGTACATAACATTCTCTGGCACTCGGCTTGCTCCACCTCGGCCACCCGAAGCCGATGTCCGCCCTGTCTCTCCACCGACAAAACATACGCCAAAGTCTGCCAGTTTTGCTTTGCCATGTGGGAAAAGGAGAATATTCGCCGGCTTCAAGTCACGATGCAGGATTTTCTTCACGTGGCAATAGGCCAGAGCTGCAAGAATCTGCCCACCCCAACACAGCGCCTTCGGTTCGGGACACCTTCCATGCCTCTCGCAATGCTGATGTAGATCTCCACAGGGCGCAAATTCCAACACAATCTGCAGTACATCTGCAAGATGATTTTATATATCCGTGAATCTCATGATAGATCAAGAATTAGACTTAGACCCAGAATTTTATTACAATTGAATTAAAGGAGGTAACGATCAAACGCGAGCCTTTCCTTCCCATCGATTGATGCAACTTAATCAATATACCTTTCTCCGAAAAAAGCACATCCTTGCATTCGACGATGTTCTGATGTTTCGATAGCTTTTGCAGGAGCTTGGCTTCTTTCAATGCGCGTTTTCGATGCACTTTGGACAGGCCAGACAAGTCCACGAGTTTTACTGCCACGTACTCTTCTTCTGCGGTAATACACAATCGGACTTGGCCGAACGCGCCACGGCCCAGGTGTCGCACCGTGCGCATTTTCACTGGCTCGGGCATCTTTTTCGAAAACGTCGGGGCTTTGATTGGTGAGCAAAGATTGACTCTGCAATCGAGCCGGGTGGGCAAGCAGTTTCTGTAGGCCGTCTCTGTTTCCTCGGACACGCGTGGAAATCGTTGGGGCCATGGTGGTCTTCCGTTTGTCAAATGGCGACTTCTACATTAATCTCATTGGAAAAAAAACTAATCGATCTCTTATCTATGGTTGGCTATGTTTTTGTGAAAAGGCCGAGCAATAAAAATCTAGGTTATACACGGCGACGCGCTTCTTTTCTTTGACACTTGTCACATATGTTCGGGTTGCTGTCTCCGCAACTTTTTGTTCGCTCATTTTTTATGTTTGCGCGATAGTTCCTTTTGCGATCTGTGTACCAAATATTGGTTTTCCATTTTCTCGACAATCTTTTTCTTCCCATTTGGACATTCTCTCACTTGTTCAACCTTCACGTCGTGAACACAAATTCTATGCAAGCCATTAAACACTGTTGATGCTGCAACTTCCTTCGAGTGTATTCAACAGGAGGAGGAGGAAAATTCAGAAAGGTAGGAGAAAGACAATCAATGTCGCAGGCATCACCTTAGAAATCAAGATGTAATTCATCATCGCTGCTGGTGTCTTCTCTATGACTTCCTTCCCTACGCGTTTCTTCCGTAATATCATAGTCGCTATCCTCCATGTAAGCACGATCGTCTTCGTCATCGTGATTGCTTGTTGTAGCATCACGATCACTCTCGTCATTACGTTGACCACCTTCGTCATTGTCACAGCTATGCTCCCCATCATCGCTTTGCTGCTCGTTCTCGTCGCTTTCTTCTCCAACACATTTCTCCTCGTCGCTATCATCTTCGAGTTCTATTTGCTCCTCCTGTTCCCCGTATCCGTAGTCACTTCCTTTGTTACTACTCTCGTCTTCAAGAACGGGAGAGGGCCGCTCCAGCTCGTCGTCTCTTTCTTGTCTAGCAAGCATTGATTCCGATGTCGTCAGAGTAGATTTTAAACACCCACCGGTCGACAAATTTCGGAAATCGGCTGGGTTAAAGCGTATCGTACCATCTAGCAAAATCTCATACCGTTTTTGTGTTTTTCTAACGACATGTGTTAGCTTCTCTGATATATTTCGCACAGCTTCATTGTCCTCAGCACTCCTTTTAGACAAATGCTGCGAGAGAGGTGGAGTAGAGCAGCGGGAACTTGTGATCGGATGCTCAACAATCATCCTGTACACGTCATCGTCGTCAGTGACTACCGAGGCATTATCATCGTTCGATTCCACTGACTCTGAGTCTAACTCATTCGAAATTACATAAGAACCGGCAGTCTGGGATAGCTGATCGGCTAGAAACGAATCGTCTAAGCTTTTTCCCCCTTCGTTGCCGAGGGCCGGTGGTCCCCAGAGGTCTACAGGCTTAGGTGTGGATTTTCGTGCCTTCATTGTTGAGGGCGGCGGCGGGCCCGATCGCTGATTTCCGAATTCGTGATGCGCTTGTTCGTCATCGGACAACATGGGCTCTGCCTCAGGTGCCTCTAGATCATTTAGAAAACCTTCAAGGTCTAATACGTCTTCTTGATCTTGTCCTCCCTCTTTATGTTTGTGTTCCTGAATAAATTCATTTTTGCCGCTTCTAAACGTAGAAAAAATCGGAGCAGTTGTTGTTTTCAGACTCTCAGGCAGTTGTTCAGCATCTCTTGGCTGGGCTCCCTCTTGGCCATGCCGCTCCTCACTCTTCGTTTTGGGCTGAGTGTTGTTAAGATATGAATATCTTGGTCCACCCGCCCAGGGTGGGCGTTTCTTCTGCTGCACGGACACAGCGCCCGACGGGATCCTGATGAGCGGTGCACCCGAACCAAGCGCATCTCTGACTATCATGTCTTTTTCAACAGCGTTTACTCGGCAAACTTCTCCCCAATCTTTTGTTGCCACAACTTTTCTCGCCTGAAAAGCAAGAGCTACGCGAGCCTTTAACGCAAATTTCGAATCTTCTTCCACAAATCCATCATTATCAGAGCTTGCAGCAGACGCCGAAGCGGACGCAGATGACTCTGGGCCTCTGTAGTAAAAGTGCATCATCTTGCGTTTGCTCCCTGTTTCTCTCTCCGCATCGGATGACTCACTGCTGGTCAGAAAAGCTGCAAGATCAACTTTGGGTCCCGACTTCTTATTCTTGTCCTTGTGCTCTTCGTCAGTCTCGTTCTCCTCTTTAGCTGTACTTGCATCACCTCCAGTGAACCAGGGTAAATTCAATCCAAGAATCGACGAAGAACGAGAGTCATCGTCATCCTTCGTAGTTTCTTGACTGTCCTCAGCATCCTTTCCGGTCGAAGACAAGCTTGTTTGCTCACTTTTGAGAATATGGGCCGCAGCAGCAAGAGGATCATCGCTAGCACTTATTTCCAACAACTTGCTGTCGCCGGCAAGCCACTCGAGCTCCTCTAACAACGAGCTCCAATCTGTTTCGAGTGCTGGATTTTTCAACACATGTATCTTCCTCTCCGACACGGACACTCCGGGCACATCAGAATCTCGATCGACTTCGACAGGCGGTGCTGCCTGAGCTATAATTCTCTGTGCATGCGCTCCTGTAATAGTTATGACAAATTTCAATGAATGATTTGAGAGAAAATGCAAACTAATCGCCATGGTGGGCGAAGGGGTGTGCGTGACATTAAAGCGGCAATCATTTTCAAAAGAGTAAGCGAAGGAATGAATTTATTACCTTTCCGCGCCTGCTCCGTGATACCAGCTGTAGCTGAGGCCATTCGTGCCTCTTCACGCTCTAGCTCCTTAACGCTGGCGGAATCATCGACGTTGTAGAAGGGCGTATCGAAACTGCGAGCCCGTATTCTTTGCTCGTCCCACTTGAGATCTGATTTTGCTTCACCTCCTCCATCTGATGACGCGGAGAAGGACACTCTCGATCTCGAGCGCGCTTTTCCTCCGGCCTTTTTGCTCGCACTACTTTTGCCGCCCAGTACTAATGAAGCGCTGAAATCATCACCCGAAGAGCCTTTTAGCGCTGATTTCCTCCGCGTAGCTGGCGGCGCTCTTCTTGTACTACCGGAGACATCGGCCAAGCCAGCCGCGGTTACGGAATCAATTCGCAGAAGATGATCCGGTAGCTTAGCAGCATCAATTTCTTCAATCTGGCGCACGGAAAGAGGAGGAACAGATTTTTTCTGCGTAGCCGACGGTGGTTGAATCCGACCACGGCGCGTACCAGTAGCTTCATTAGGCGCACGAAAGGCAGCTGGTGATCTTGTAGAAGGCGAATACTTCGTTCCTGAAGTGACAACGCATGTTTGTGGTGAGCTCTCCACATACGGCACCCACGCTGCGTGGTGCGCCATCGTTTCCGGACTTGCTGGGCCAGCTGGATGGTGGTCCTCGAGTATCTTTGCGACTGAATCCCGTCCCAAAAACTCAAGAATTTCCGCAGCACTCTCGTCAAAAGGGGGTGACTGCAGGGGTCGTCCTTCTGGAAGCTTTGATGAGATAGCAGCGGCCGCAAAATCAACAGTTTTTGACTTATTTTCCTGCTCATCGCGGTCTTTTTTCACGAATCTCAAATATTGTACGACGCCGACCATGTCAGGGTCCTCGCTCACTTCATCTTCAATGGACATACGCCCAAGCCGCAGCTTTCGCTGAATCTCCACACTTTCAATTGTCGAAGAATGTTTTGTAAAGCTCTCCGTCTCTCGACCACTGGTCTCGAAAATGTCTGGGGGCATGGCCCAGTCTGGGAACGTAATTGATTCTTTCAAACTGTCAGGCGCGATTGTGCCATTGGATTGACTCAGCGGGTCGCAACGAGCAGACGGCGAAACCGAACGCGAGGCTCCACGGTATTCGACTCGATCAGGCTCATCAGCTGTTCTCTTCATTTTTGGGTCAATCTTGCACCAGACGCCGGACGCACTGCTCCGCAGCAACGCTGCCTCAGAGCCCCGAGTTGACACGTTTATGTCCCAAGTCGGGGCTCGGTGCAAAGGTTGCGTCTGCGAATTCGCTTCAAAGCGAATCGCTCTCAACTCTCGCATCCGCTCTAATTCCCACTCATCGTAGGCTTTCGCTAGTGCCATAGAATCTCGTCTGTCCATCTTCGGTGATACCGGGTGAGAAGGTGAAGATGTTTGAATTTTTCCGAAAGATTGCGTTTTTTTCATGGACAGACTGGCTTCACCTTCGGGCGCGGGCTTTTTCATAGACGCAGCTGCATATGACACGACACTTTTAGAAAAAGCAGACTGAAACTGACTCCCTTCCGTTGCGCTAGTAGCTGACGATTGTCGAGTGCTTCTGGAGGACGCTTCGTGGCTTCTCGATGGCAAAGTACTCCTTTCATTGGTCAATACATTTATCTCAGAATACTCAGCGGCTGGCCGATTCTTCTTCAAAAGTGTGCTTCGATGCACGCTTCTGCTTTTCTTGCCCTCAGATTTGGTCGTAGAGACAAAGCTATACGACCCAGCGGAAAGAGCTGCACCCTTTGTAATATCCGTCATCTTTGCTAAATGATTTGCAGATCCACGAGCCTACCAGACACCAGAAATAGAATCTTACACGGAGATGCAGTCCGTCAGAGAATCATCCGTTATAAATCATGCGAGTAAACAAATTTCAGCTACGATCAGAAGCTCTCACGTGTTCGGATATCCATGTTCAATTAGCGAATAAAGTCGGGCACGACAGGGACAAAGTGCCTCTTCGATATCACAACAGTGTGGTTAAGTGGCTGGTGAAATGCGCATAGGGTCGAAATTTGGCCAATGGATTCTCTATCACAATTTTTCATCAAGTCCTGTACACATCAAAATTGGGAAACATAAATTTCTTTAACTTCCAGAAAATCCTTGTTGCCTTTTCTCAAACTCTATTTACCACAGAACAAACAGACAAACGCGCTTGATTTCTTCTCTCAAGACAGACGCCGTATGATGTATAGACTTCTCAGATATACTTACAGAGCAGAAGATGCCTTTTTGCCTCTCCTTCTTAGCCACAGAGCTGGATGACAGAAAGTAGTGCCAAGAACGTTAGTTTACTTCAACAACACTCATGAATTCATATCGATAAAGATTCCTGCTCAGTCTCTCATTGGCCATATGTTTATCCACCCGTACACGGAACCATTCGATAGAACCCGCGTTTCATTCCACTTTATCTGACAGACTAGCACTAGCAAGTTGTTCAATACTCACAACTTTAGTTTATTCACATCTCGCATAGATACTTTTGACCCGTCCGAAGACAGAGAAGATTTGGCAACCGAGTTACCAACTCCTACCCTGTCAAAAGACAACTTTCATATCATCGATTCCTTTCATACATTCTGAGGATATTTTCTTACTGACTCGAATTCCAATTTTGAAGTCTTGGAGTGAGAATGACAATAAAATGTTACCTAGGTGGATCGTCCTTCGACCTTCGTAGACATATTTCGACAATTCTCAACTCCTGAGAGAAAATTCAAAAACAAGCTCAAGTTCTCTATCCATTTTTCGCAGACAATTAGAAAGTAAATTAGAATTGCAATATCCCAAAATTGTAATTATTGAAAACCATATAATAGTCTAGTTGTATCGAAATGTACATATTTCTTCCCACCTAAGACACTTCATCACCCGTATTGCTAGCTGCCATCCATTTGACCGATTATTTTTTGAGTTCTTGGTAGAACGGTTCGCAGTTCTTGTAAAACCTGATCGTTTGGTAACGTCACAGATGATCACGTGAATCAATTAACCCACAAAGAGCAAGATGGAGAGGCTACGTCTACGTGACTCTACATCCTGTCCCTATTCAACCAAACCCGTTTCTGCCTCAACAGAGTCTATTATGCCTACTGCGCAAAAAGTATGACCATCAAACTGTAATAAACAGTACCCATCTCTTTGCTTGTTCTGTTTCTCTCCCCTACTCCATTCTTCCAGTTTAGGCCTCCGCCTCAATTAAACGCCACCCCGCATAAAGCTCCCGCTCGACAATGCGAAAAACTACTACCTGGTTGTTGCACGTGTCCGCAAGGTGGGAGAATTCATGGAAATCGCTTCGCAGAAATGCTAGAACAACAGAGACAACGACAAGCAGCGTAGGCAAACTAATTAGCAACGGCAACGGGGAAAAAAGTAGCACCTTTCTCCTCCCCTCTGTCTTTACTTTGCCTTCTTCAAGACGTTGACCGTGGCAACTTTCGAAGCATGCTTCGAGACTATTCTCCCCCACTTGTTTTTAAACAAGTCAGATTTTTTCAGTCCTGCGCTGGTCTTCACCTTGAGACCTTTCCAAACTTGCGAGCGCGCAAAGACGCCGCGGGCGATCGTCGACTTCTTCATCTTCTTCATCACCTTGACCATTTTGTTGATTTTGATCAGAAAATTGATCAAAATGATGAATAGCCGTTGTTTCAAAGAGAGAGAAAAGAAGTAGCTACTAAAAAAGCGAAAACTTTAGTAAAATCGTTGCTAGTGTTGATTTTTTGAAGTGAGGAGAGTGAGCAGACATCTGTAGCAAGTGCGTCACAAAATTGTTGGCGATCATAGCCATTTTGCAGCGAGCGTTTTTCTAAAACCGGTCTCCTATTCTTCGGCTCTCGTCTCTCGCTTTGCCTTTTTGCTTCCCATCTCTCGTTTGGCCCAGCCGAAGGTTGGCAGTGCATTTCATTTTCTTAGACGCAAGTAGAAAATCCCATTAACACGGGTAAACACCTCTACAATCACTCGAGAAGAGTTTTGTCTGACATTGTATCCGCTGGGGACAGCTATCAAGTCCAAAAGAGCTATCGGAGTCGCCTGTTACCAGCCGAAGCAGAGCCCTGAAATAGATGAAACTATTTAGACATTTTTAGATGAAAAAAATATTCTTGTCCGCTGCCGTCAGTGCACCGCACGACAATCAGCCAAAGTTACAATTCGTGCATTTGAAATAAAAAAACCTAAAACTGTCTAGACTGATGGTCAATGATGAGGTATGCGCATGGTAAAAAGGATTAGAATATTTTACAATCAATGGTGTCCGAAATGGAGTTTCACGGTGAAGTTCTCTTGCTTTTGTATCTATAACTAGTCGAAGTGCAGCTTCAAAAAAAACAGTCTTCATTTGTATCCAGTCGCATAGCGCACCGCAGCTTCCGCTAAGAAAGGTGTCGCTGCCCGAAACACATTGAAGTCCTCCTGCAGCTGCCTTCCCAATCCGTCCATCACTGCTAGGCTCAAAGCGACATTCACAAAGCTACTCTCCAGAGTTACGTTGTGCTGACCTGCGTAGAGTAATAGCTTTCCCGTTACATGTGCAACATGCATTCGACTCTTCCTGTCGCGGAAATCCTCGATTAAGACACCCACTTTACGTGCGAAACCGTCTTCATCGCGGACCTGGTTGTGAGAGTAGTTTCAGTACAGAGTATTGAGATTCATCGTGAATCATTGAATGTTGGAAAAATAGAGAAGGTTCAGTCGTCAAAAAACGTCCAATGGATTCATGAAAAATGACTAATAAATTACAGATCCCGAGGGAGCGTAAAACGATAAGAACTAAGTACTAATTTTTTGTCTCCTGGCGATCTTTTGATGATGAGGTGTGCTGCGTCCTCTGGTTTTCCGTGTAGAAGCGCGTAGACGCAGTCGTTGAAATCTGTTGAGTCTTTCTCGCTCAAAGAAATCGCTAAGCCGCAGTCAAGATATATCAACTCCGGATCGCCCTCAGGAGAAATCTTGAAAAACATGTTTCCAGGATGCAGATCTGCATGAACGAATCGATCGTGGAAGAGCATCTTCAGATACGCTTTCATTGCTAGTGAAGAGAGCTTCTGCAAAAATTCCGGTGGATATCCACTCTTCCGCCGTAAAACTGTCTTGGACACGGTTCTGCTCTCAGAGTGCGTAGAGGAATGCGGCGAAGTCGAAGATGCAGATGCACTATGCGAACTTCTGTGAGAACTAGGACTAGGGTTTTCTACTGATGAAACTTTTGACGATCTACCAGAAGTCGATCGACTGCGCGGTGTACTACCATCGACCGTCGATAGACCCGCGGATGTTGTCGGTGATCCATGTCCTCCCGCTTTCTCTTGCCATTCGAACAAATTGAGCCATCGTCCTGCAGAAGCCTTCCGACTCAAACGCACACCTCCGACTTCATCTTCGTCATCGTCTCCTTCGGCCTCTCCAACATGTCGATTTTCCGCAATATCATTGCCACCACGCGGCCTTCCCGCAGAGTCAGGCGTACCCCCGTGGCGGATTTCCTCGATTGAAGAAGATGACTTCTCTTGTTGTCTGTCATCGTCATTTCGTTTACCAAAAAGATTCCCGAGTCCCCATTTACTTCCACCTGTCCTCTTCCGTATCGAGTCGGCTCGAAAGGCATCTTCCCTCAAATCGTGCCGCTCCCAGCCTCGTAGTAGATGCTGCATCGGCAATCCGTCTTCGAAACTCTCCACTAGCATATCACTCTGTGCAAACAGAATCTCCGGAAAGCGGACGCCTTTCATATCAGCGAAGTTTCGAGCAAAACTTTTTGTGTTTTCCGCTTCCAGGCATAAATCCGTCTGCCCGTAAAGAATTTCCGAAAACTGATTGACAGCCTCCGTGAGCACCATGAAGCGCGTAAAAGGCAGGTAATACTCGATGTTTACAGCTAAAAACGACAAAATTTCGAGATCGGAATTGATCACCTCTCGAACACCAGGATGGAGAATCTTCACGGCAACCCGTCGCGGGCCACTAGCGGCCCCGTACCACACCCCGCGATGCACCTGCGCGATGCACCCAGAACCGACTGGTATACCGTGAAATGAAAGAACTAAAAGCTCAAAGATTACGAGTACCCAGTCCCAGATATCAAGATATATATATAATCTATGTAGAAGAACCTGAACCAGACCAACAGGTTTACAGAAAGAGAGACGCAACGGGTTCACAGAAAGAGAAACTACCAAGGGAGTCCAAGCGAAGCTTTATAATTTGTTCTCATACATCAATATCCAGCTTCAATATGCTCTCGTGTTGTGGGCCGAAAGTGCGTTCTAGCACCGCCACACTGGCCTCCTTACAATGCGGCGTGCAAAAGCTGTGCAGGTCCGATAAATGTAGACAAAGCGTGTCAGGAAACAAGTCTGGGCGGGTTGCCGCCCACTGAGCGAATTTGATAAAGGCAGGGCCACATCGCTCGATACACCGCAAAAGGCAGGCAAACCACGCTCCTCGCATGCGCGCCGAAAAACGCCAACAAACTGCTGATGGCGCTGACAAGGCTAGCAGCGGAGAAAAATGCCAGCCGATGCGCATGCAGCGCCACCCCATTCTAAAGAGACGACGCGCGAGGGCAACGAGTTTGCTTAGCACACGCGCAGGACCAAAACTGCAGGAGGGCTCTTGCAACTGCCCAGCCGGACTTCGAGATGAACCGGCGGCTACCCGCACAGACGACGGTCCAATCGGCTTACCTTTGGCATCATTCTTCGCTAAATCGCTCGCCTTATGCTCCTCGGCAAAGACAGGCCGTCGGCGACTGGCACCGCAGGACCCTCTGCTGGAGCTGCAGGCTTCTGCCTCCCCTTCTTCTTGCTCGTACTCTCTATCACGGTCGTTCGCTGTTTTGAAACCAACTTTCCTGGCCGTCGTCGGATTCTTGGCTCCAGGAATTCTCTGGTCATCGCCCTCCACCTTTTCGCCTTGGGCAGCGCCTTCTGACGTTGTCTTCCCGCCTCCCGATGATGAATCTGAGGGTATTGCCTCGTCTCTGTCGGCGCGGCCATTCTCGCGGGGCGGTTGGATGTCAGCGCACGAACCTCCAGTCGGAGCGTTGCTATAACAGTCCTCTTTTCTGCTAGCTCTTGTTCCTCGAAACGATGACGACACGCTCTCTTCCCGTGCTTCACCCGTAGTAGTCTCCAACTCACAAGTGCCCCTCTTGCTCGACCAGGCGCTATTCTCTTTTTCTGCAGGCTGCTGCCAACAGTCATCCTGTGGTCTTGGTGCCTCGCACGTAACCACCTGATGAACTGTGCGTCCTTTCTGGTTCTGCTCAACGTTTGTCGCTTTATCCTGTATTCTTCTCCTCCGGTCATTGTCTCGATCCGAAAGCGTCCAGTAAGCTGCGCAGGCTCCGGCACCAGCAACAACGACGCTCCTACCGCGCCGGGTGGCCAACCGAAACGAGACTCGCGGCACGACATACATCAACTTCTAACATGAACAAAGATTTCTGTTCCCTAAAAAATCACAATCAGATCATCTGTAACGGTGCTTCATGGATCATTTTTCAAATCAATATCGTGTCCTTTCCCTAGTTAGAGTGTGCTTCTGGAGAAAAAAAGGACTGCCTTTCTCCGCTTTTTGCGTCATATCTTTCAAATGATGCATCTTCGAAGTATTGCTCCTTCAAAGGCTGTTCGTCTCTTGCTAGCAAATGCATATTTCTCATCAACAAGCAGGATGGCAAATTAGGCCTGGCTCGGAATCGCAATATCAGTGTCGCTCCTCTCTCGATGATCTTATTCACTTTGACGCATACATATGTTGAACATCGGCCGCACCCACCAGACTGCGCGGATAGTTCTTTAGCGGACGCTCTATTTCCGAATATTTGCCTACGTCTCAGTGGTGCTCTTTTTGGTCAGTCCGTTCCTCGTGTCTTCGAATTGCTAGGGCCCCCCATGCAAACGAGCTCTCAGTCAGCACTACACATCTGTAAGTTCAAATGCACATTTCTACGTAACCTTCTCCCGATTTCGTCATTTTCACATTATATATTTCGAACCTTTTTGCTGACTATGATGTACTTATTTACACACAGATACCTGAGCTACAGAAAAGAAAGGGCCCAATACTTGATACAGAAAAGCAGATATAGCGCTCACATAAAAAATTGATCTAATACTTCTGCGTCACATTTTGTTGTTATGTTCCAATATCTATACAAGGACGATAATAGTCCCATCCCTTTTTCGTGCCAATTTGTAAAATTTTTTAGCTACACGGAAAACCTAGTTACACGGAAAACCTAGTCTATGTCCAAATTACGAAGTATTCCAATCTCTGCTTCTGTGTATACAGTCATGATATACATATAATTCATGTCAATCGATTCGGGTCCGTCACAAGGGATGTATCCGAAAACTAATCAAGATGTCTAATACAGCACAAACTCGTAAATATGAATATGCGCTGCATATGGGAAAATCCGTTAAGTAGCCTTTAGCAAAATATCTACTTAGCCCCATCAATCCCGATTGAAAGGTTAGCTTCTGTTCATGTCTTTTAACAGTGCTGCAATTTTTTCATGATCCTCTTGGAGATTTACAACTTTTCCAAATCCTGCTTTCGACGAGTAGTGTCATGCACTTGATTCATGCGGTTTTCACGACAATCGGTCGGAGTAGGTACGCGATCCCGGCACTGTAGAGCATTATGCCGGCAACATTAGAGGTTTCACTTTCAGTAAAAGTCCGGTCTTCGTTCTGCTCTACGAGAATTCAGTGGACAGAGACAGGACGAGAAGTGGACTTGATCATTTTTTTCCTTGAATTAATTTCAAAATAGAAACAAAATGCAATATGACTCCGGCCGCTAATGATAAAACGACCGTAAAGTAAAATGCGACGCCTGCCAGCATTATCTCCTGATCGATACCCGGGGAATCGTTCAAGCCCGCCATGACATCGCTCACACGAGGCGGCGGCAAGCAGAGCATGGCTCCGAAGACCAACGGCGTCGCCAGGAGTAACTCCGTCATCCACTGCGTTGTGCCGACATCCGGCGAAGCAATCTTCGTGCATTAGCGATAAGACACAGATATTTTATCGAAATCGACATCTGTGTAAGGATGATGAAACTGACAATTAATCTACTGGAGGACACAAGAGAATTTGTCATTACGATCAGTATGCATAGCAAAGCAAATAGGACTAGCCAAGGAGGAATTGGGATGATGGAAGAAGAACCAAAATCAATGTATAGGCTGCGCATGCATACAAAGCAAAAAACTGTGTTCACAAGCAGAGGACGAGCAACAAAGTTGCCAATACAGCACAGGGCTTAAACGTTCCTGAATGGATAGAGCGACCACGTGCGGCCCTCCTTCACGGACGCGATAGCACGGGACAGCTGTCGTGGCAAGGCGTTGATCCACATGTGGAGGAGGTACGGCAAAATGAAGGCCACAACCAGCCCAAAGTGGAGATGCTCTGTGTAAAGGGAAGCCAACACCAGTGCGGCAGCCTGCAATACAGTCCATGTAGCGTCCTCAAGCCAACCGAGAACCTCACACTGGAAAATGAGATGCGACCAGCACAACAACTCTCCCAACACCGTCAACGCTCCGATAGCTCCAATGTGGAGTTGCCTGTGTCAAAAGTGTGAATATCCAGAGTGAAACAGTATGCAACTATTCATTGTTCATATTTCTCAGTAAAATAGACATTTGCGGTACTAATAACCCTATAGTTCCTGAAGTCATGGTGTTGACCAACAAAAGGAAGGTGCAACAACCAGGTCTGCAACAGCTCCACATCTCCTAAGACCTAAGGTGGTGTCTGAGTTGTTTGAGGAGGTGATGGAGAAAGGCAAATTTGCTCTATTTTTAGGAAACACTAAGAGCTCACTAGGATCCGTTTATCTTTAGGCGCCGCGCGTAGGCCCTTACAGCCCTAGAGGTCTCCTCAGTAAGAAAAAATGTAGTTTCTCCATACCATGCAAAAAGATGATCTACGAGTACGATTCTCTTGCATCAATTTGTAGCTTCGAGAATGAGGTCCATCAACATCTTTACTGTAATGAGTTAAATCGATGGATATCAACTCAGTACCCATATGCGTCGGCCGAGAAGAAAGCAAGGCCCAAGGTATCTGCTTCGAGCATACAGAAGCAGACTTCTGCAACCGTGGCCACGACGCGGGCCAAAATAGGACTAGCCAGAAAACTATCTTTGCATCTAGTCACCGGAACGTAGGACGACGGGTAGTCCAGTCGGAGGATGGTATTGATCGAGATCATCACGCAGGAGAACACGTAGAAAAGAGTCTGCTGGTCGGTACAAAGCCCATAAAACTGCGCCCACATGTCCGCGCCCTCTGTTGTACATTGTAACGTAGAAAAAACTCGAAAATAGGAACACAGAAGTGGCAGAGATACAACTTACTAGTTGTAGTTATTTTGTAGATTGCATCTGATACTAAAAAAAAATTGATTGATCGGCAGTTGTAACGACAGATTTATATATAGATAGAAATTCTACCTAAACGAATGTGTCTTTATTGCTTTTGTCCACGTAAATTGCAGACAAGCGCAAATCGATATTACCCGGTGTTCCTTGAACGCCCGCTACGGACAAAATCGAAGCCATCGAGTCCGCCGATTCTTCAGGTGTCCATTTACCTTGCAAGACTTGCATGGCGATACGAATTGTGAAGCAGAAAACCAAGTACGGCATGTACATCAGGTACAGAGAGCTTTCTCGTGCCTCGATCATACTTGAGCCGACTGTGTTTTTCAGCGAAGTCACCTGGTGAAGAAGGTGGTCGGAGTGGTTGTGGTGGTCGGTGGTGAATACAAAATATCCACCTTAACCTTATTCATTGTTCATAATTGTACCACTAATTGTATCTCCTTAGCTCCTTTTACAAAGGTAAAATGAATTCCAGCTCCAGATCTATATCTTCAACAAAGCCGGGCCCTCCAAATATACAGTCACGTTCATTTATCGATAACAAACTAGCAGCTACCATCAAATTCATTACCCTCTGCCATACAGTTTTGACTAGAATTACCTTTCGTGACAAAATTGTCTTCAAGCGAAGGGTTCGCGAGGCCGCTGGCGAGTCGACATTGGCGTTGTTCTTGTCTTTAGTCGGAGAGGAACTCTTTTTAGCACTCGCCTTTTTCATCGAGGGCGTCGAGCTGCGCCCTCGCTTCGGTGAAGCAACGCCCGGCATTCCCCCTAGTCTTTCCCGTTTGTTTCTCGAGCACTGGACTGTTTTAAAAAGTTGCTTATAGGACTACAGGATTCAAAGCGCTTTTACGACTTTTCATGGACGAGTATACCGAAGGAGCGAATCTATCAATACTTTCGACAGCAACTACACAACAACCAAACAAGAACGGGATGTGGAGGACAACGGAAGGATTTTCCAAGAAAGCAACCATGCGTCCCTGTCAGATAAAGAAATAGGTACGACAGATGGACAATCGATGAACAAATCTAAACTATACGAGCTTCACTCGAGTTACTGAAGTGTTACACTAAAAGCTATTGAGGGCTTGCAAGTGAGTGAAAGTTTGTAGAGCAGGCATAGCCGCTTGAGCGAAAGCATACATGAGAGCCAACCGACGGCCGACAGAGTGGAAGAAACCGATGATGCTCGACAGAGTTTTTTTACTTGACTGTGGCAATCATATGATCTCTCACTTTCATCAATGCAATCAAGACAGCCAACCGATGGACGACAGAAAGATAATAGACCGATACCAGACAGAACTAACTTTGTTTTTACTTGAATTTGAAGCTTCAGCCTTCTCAACGCCTCATTTCACAACAGATGTGACATTGCAACAGCAACTTGCGCTCGTCGTTCGTCTGAGTAGCGCAGACACAGTACTCTTCGTCAAAAGACCACATGCGCTTTGTTCAGTAGAATCCTGAACTGCTTTCTGCCAGCAGCCAGCGGTTTATACATTCAATATTCAGATACATTATCGTAGTTGGGATGGGGTCAGGAGCCAAAAGCACATCTCAATAATCTAGTGTAAATCTTTCTGTGCTGTCGTCGATGTCGCTCAAGGTATTTTGTCGCTGGTATCGTTAGTCAGAAGCCCTTCTAGGCAGCGAGAACTAGAAGGGCACTCATCAAGCCAGATTTCACTGATGGTTTCACAGCAACCTGTTGCCACTCGAAAGAGCTCCGCCTGCGCGGTTAGATAATTCCTACAGTTTTGTTGCCGTCGCTGTTTCTGAATCGATGAAACCCTATCAGCGCCCGTCTTCATTTGAACATTGTCGTCCTGCGCTTCTCCTGCGTGCTGCTGCACGGCACTGTTTATCCTTGCTACAACGGGCTCGAGAGTGGCTCCTTTCGCCTTAAAGCAACCAGAGAGATCTTCTAAAGCATTGGCGCAGGCCACGTCGATCGGCTCCTCATCATCATCGTCATGCTCTTTCTCCGCCAAATAGCACGATCGCAAAAGTTTCGTCTCGCGATGGAGCGTCACTACGGTGAAAAACGTTAGCAAGCTAATTGGCAGCAGCGCACCGGAATCCTTTAGTCCAGACAGTGTCAGGGCTATGCCCTCAATTCTGTTCGTCCCAGTGTCCTTTACCGCGGCTGCGCCCGTGCTCTCTTCAGCAGTGGTCCCGCTTCGCCAAGACCGTACAATAGCATGTAATACGTCTCCGTCTATTTTGTCTCGAAATTTTGATCGTCTCGCTTCCGATGCAGCTTCCTTGTCGAATTTGCTAACGAAAAAGGGGCCTACTGTAAGATTTGGGTACTCCGCTGAGACAACCTCCGGGCACTTTCCTGCCTTCTCGTGTGCTGGCGGCGCCGCAGCTCGCCCGGCAGCCAACCAGGACTTCACTTTCGCGATAAAATCATCATACTCGTCACGACTCAACACCTTTCCTTCCACATCCGTCAAGCGGAGTGTTGCGCGCAATTGCACCGAATTGTGAGGATTGTCCGGCAGAGAGAACCCGTACCCAAGCAAAAGTTCTTCGTTGCCTTTGCGCCCGTAGTTGTTGAAAACCTCTGCGCCAGGAGAAAGTTCTAGATGTAAGTTCTGTTCTCCTCCCGCAGCCGCAGCGCCTTCCGTCATGTCGTCGCTCTCGTCGTCAACCTTTTTGCCGGCTAGTACAACATCTGGCTCAGCTCTCCCAGAATCAAAGGAACGCACAACTTCCACAGGACAGGCACGGTCGTGGTTGAAAACGTCGATCAAGGGCAGCATCACCGGAACCGTTGCACCCCGTTTCAGACCAGCACCAAATACGCGTGAAGTATACACACTGCGGGCCCAGAGCCATTCATTTAATGAAATGCCGTACGTCGGTCCGGCCCAGCGGTCCACCTGTAATTTGAGCATGGCCTTAACCCGCACGGTTTCGTGATACAGGTTTGAACTGCCTAAAAACTCAACTAATGTCTTCGCGTCCCAATGCGTCGGATCGTCCGGACAAAATAACTCGTCATCTCCAGCACCAAAATGTTCGGTTGCATGAACCGAAGAAGTAGATGGAGAAGTTGTAGTGGAATTCACGAGCTTCGGTTTCTTGCCAGCGGGTTCTACTTCTCTCTCATCATCCTTCGTACTTTTCTCAACACGTCGTATTGGTGGCAAGGACTCAATGTATCCCTGATACCGCGTCTGCAATTTCCCCGTCTTTGCGAGACAAAGAAAAACCCAGATATCCTGCGTTGCTGTCCAGCATTCTGCCGGAAAGTCTGCGGTTACCGGTGGTCTCTTGCACACCTCTGCAGGTAAATCCGCATCGGACAAAACGGCTCCCTCTGGGATACGCGCCAAAAAGGTACCGAAGTCCTCTTGGCCCTCCGCCGTCCCCTCCAAATCCTCCGGACCTAAGTCGGCTTTCACGCGCACATGCATGCCTTTCAGGACGTCCGATGCCAACTCCATATAGGAAGGAAGAGCACAACCGTTCTCATCCAACCATTTGCGCAGGACCCGGAGTCTGACAAAGTGTGGAGGCTCTTTGTCATTATAGCTGTTCTTTACAGGAGAGCCTGTTTTCGTAGCGGTTGTCCCAGTAGCACTAGGTGAGCTGTCTTGGAGCTCATCACCTATGGTGCTAGGAGAAGCTGCTGTGTCTGACATTTTTTTTGTCATGTCGTCCATGATGATATTGATATATAAGCAATTGTTGATGATAGATATTTCTCACCGTCGAAAAACAAAACTACATATTTTTATCAAATGATGAGGGGTCGCCTGTTGTGGAAGTGATGAAGTTTGATGGGCACAGAATATTAGCAAATCTAAGTGGTGTCAACAGAAGAATCATTTAAGAGATCTGCCGGCTCAACGTCCCCTTGAGACACAAGACGAAATCTCATCGTGTGAAAACATTTTGGATCTGTTGATCTTCAACATTGAACGGCTTGAGAACGATCTTCCAAATGTGTCCTTTAACGAGATCTCCAGGCAATGCGACCACAGCAGAAACTTTTCTGTCCTTCCTGGATCACCCTTAACTTCGTTGGTTCAATGCTCATTGGCTCTTTGAAAAAAAATCATGCATGCACTCCCCAACCCACACCCAAAAGTAAGAGTAGAATGATGTTGATGCCAACCTACGCCTTGATTGATTTGTTGATCGAATTAATCATGGTCAATGGAAAGAGAAGCAACTCACACCCTGTAAAGCTTTATCACTTCTCCAATAGAATTTCGGCACACAGGGCACTCAGTAATTTGCGTCGAGCATCTCTGACAGCACACGACATGACCGCAGGGGTAGAGACAAGTATTCAATTCAGCGTCAAAACAAATTTTACAAAGATTTTCATCTTCTCGCTGTTGCAGTTTTTGGTAGCCGGGGGCTCCGTCCAGGTTGCTGACTTCGACAGTACCCGTCCCATAATCACTCGACGTCCTTTGCTGCGATTGTGCATCTTGCCGTCCGCCAGCAGGCCTTGGGCCTGGTTGTCTAGGCGCCCGATCCCCATTCACCGACAAAGATATGGAGATACCTCTCGTGGACTCTGGTGTCCGAGGTGCGGTCGCTGCTGCAGTGTCAAGAATAACACCGAACGTACTGCGCTGCGAACCTGCGCCAGTTGTAGTGCTGCTATTGTACAGGCCTGTGCCGAAAGCAATGCTGTAGTTTCTCACGTGCGTTCCTAGTGCCAGGGGCGGCTGTGTTGAAGAACCTGCGGCGTTGGTATCAGTACTATCTGCAGCTCGTGAGCCTGTTGCCCCCTCGACTGCGTAGTGTTGTGACGGTAACAATGGAGGCCTTGCACTAGTACTCGTTATTGCTGACGTGTCGGAGCTATTCTCTCTCATCGAAGAAGGACATACCGTCCCTTCCGCGGGTAAAGCAACAACACTGCCTGAGCAAGTGCCTCGGCTACCTTCACTGCCACTCTCTACCGTTTGAGAAGAACCGGTCCTAATATTCTGCGCGGCAAGAGCTGCCGCTTCCCTCTCCGCACGCTCCTGCTGCCGTCCTCGTCGATGTCGCGCCCGTGCCTCATTCCACAGTCGCTGCTGCTCGCGGGTCTCCGTTTCTAGCAAAAATTGCTCAGAGGTGATGCCTGGATCAAAGACATTCATGATCGCGTCTGTCATGCGCTCGTTCAGGCTTCTCATACTACTGGGATCTGGTGGTTCTGTCGGAACACTCGCAGCGTGATGTTCGTCCCCTAATCCGATGCGGGTAGTGGACGACTCTACATCCACAAGAGATGTACCACTTGACGGCACACGAGCCGCTGACGCATCAACAACTGAAGGCGCTCCTGGAGATGTCGCACTTGCGGATGGCCCTCGACCCACACTTAGGAATCCCGTCTGGGCTGTTTGAGCAATACTGTTGGAACCAGACGAAGGTGGATCCTGCTCATTTGCGCTAGATATTGTTCCTCTTCCACTCCCTTGTTCTATGGATCCAGCAGCGGACAACGACTGGAATTCATCAACGCAAGTTGAATACAAGTCCCCGTCTCGCGGAGCAATAACGTCTAGAAAGTTGTTGCCGGAGGTAACTTGCTCTCGCACGTCCGAACCGCCGTTTGTCCTAGTAGAGCTAGAAGCTGGCACGTCTTCCCGTGTACTACTACTAGAAGACGACAACCCGCCGCCAGACGCCGTCGATGTGCCAGGGAACCCTCTCGCCGCTACAGTCTCGATCCACCTCTCGTTTTCGGCCACAAGGTCTTCGAGCACACCACGATTACTACTCCTCCGTCGCTCGTCCTGTCTCGCTTCCGCCTGATCTTGATGCGGCTCGAAAAATGAGGATGACGCACTGGAACCGGCGGCACAACTGCGCCCTCGACCGCGATCACCAGCCCGCTCACCATCAGCAACCTGTGGACGTCCTAAACTACCTAGTTGTTCAGACAATATCACATCTTCAGCATCCGTTGCCTTCGTTATTCCAGATTCTTCCAATAGCTGTGACGGCTCGAAGGGCATCAGCAAGGAACTCCCAACTTTTAGCACGTCACCCACCCGAAAACGGAAAGGCGGTGAGAATTCCCCGTCCTTTGAAAGGCGCAACCAACTGCGATTCGTCGAAAAGCGATCAGTCAAAACGAACTGTGACCGATTGCGGCATTTGCCACCTGAAATAAGAAAGAGTAAGGTCCGTGGTCCGCAGACGGAGTCTCGTCCTAGCACTATTCCTTATTCAATTATGGGCGCTTTCTTCTTCAGATGATAGACATCAACACATTCCGAGTGGTAAAGTTCCAGTTCTAGTCACGACCTCGAATAAGAAAGGCAAAGACGACATCGAATAAATACTCTTCTCAGGCGACGACACCGCACTGCCGCATCTACGAGAAGGACTACTGCAAACGCAATCGCGCTCGATCGCGGCATGAAAGCTGCTGAGCTGCAAATCCTGAATAGATAAAGCATTCGCTGCGTCACGGCCAATCGAGACTACACCACGCTGGTCGTCCGACGCACCCAAACCGCTCGAGTCTGCCCCGATGGATTTTCCACGGTCGTGCACTTTGCCACCACCACTACCTCTGGTGGAGGAGCTCGTAGTTGCGCCAGCAGCAGAAGGAGGGGTCGGAGACCCAGTGAGATAAACGGTGCGGCGTGGGACTACCCTGACAGTTTTGCCTTTGGAGACCGTTGGTAACTCAATGGCTGCGTCATCGTCTGCTAGGCGGTAGCTGCCAGCGATGTCAGCAGCCACGCGTCGATCTGCCGATTGGTCGTCGACTTCGCATCCTGGCGCAGCTATTGAGAGGAGAAGTGTCGTATCACCTGAGTGCTTACATCGCCCTTTTTCTCCCTTTGCTTTCGATGGAGATGAGGACGCATGTCTGGAGCCGCGCGGTATCGCACCTATTGCAGTCTGAAACATCAGCTCTTCCTCTTCCTCCTGACTCGAGCACGATGTCTGCTTTCCGCCGCTGCCTAGTGGCCCGAAAATTTCTTCAAGTGTGCGTGTTTCGACTATTGCAACGCGCAATTCTGTTGCGCCTACCTGAACAATCATGCCGTCCGCAAGAACCACTTGGTCTCGCACCATCAGGAATGTACCAGTCGTGGAGCCTAAATCACGCACAAGCCATTGGCACTGCGGCAGAGGCTCCAACGTCTGCGACCCGGCTCGCGAAGAGCGTCCGCTATCTACTTCGGCAGTCGTCTCCATATTCTGCAAATGCCGCTTCGATGGTGGAGACGTTGTTCCGGGAACAATAAACGGGTCCTGATGGTAGCCACGGGTACTCTCAAGATTTCGCTTCCTCTTGCTCGGCGAGACGGCTTTTGACCGGTCACAGCTCCAGATTGCAAAATGCCTCCTAGAAATGAACGATTCTGCCAGAACTATGTCATTGTTCGCAGAATGGCGACCTCCTGTCACTTCTTTACTGGAATCAAGGTCAAAGGAAGCGCCACTGAGCGGGCCCTCTATCACCTTCAAGACGAGCCGACGCGAACCTGACGACGAAGATGCGCCACCCTCTTGCGCGATTGCTCTACAAATATTGGGTCCTACAGCTTCTGCAGATGGAGCACCATCTGACTGTTCGTTTCTGCTAAAGGAAGATCTCATTCTACTCGATGACGATTCCCTGCTAGTGCTGTCCTCGACGTAGTACGTAAGTCTCCTGCTCGAAAATGTATCTATTCCAGCAAGATCCGCAATGTCGACACCACGACTAGGAGGAGGGGATGCGCTGCCGCTGTTGTACTGCAACAATGGCACGATCGCTTGCTGCAGCGTCTCGCGTTGCGCAATTGTCAGCTTTCGCCAAGCGGGGTCTGTTGTTCCGTCTCCTCGGATCCCGTTTGCTGAAGCCAACTCGATAAGCCTGATAGTTTTAGAAAACACGTACGCAACAACTGATTTTTCAGTGGCTTCTAAACCACTTGCTAAACCACTTGTAAATGGAAACCTACCGAGTTCATCACCAAGTAAGAACCACAACTAAACTGTGACTTGTCCACAATCACAAGAAGCCAAAAGTACCCAGCCCCATCGAAGTGGCGGAAGGATTTGCTGACATGTTCTAAACCAAGCCATTGTAGCCAACACGCTACTTCTGTTCCTGTCCATTCTAGAGGATCTTTCATCAGCAGGCGCGGTATCGAACCGGAAGACTGCCCCACATCTTCCAAATCGCGCTCCGATTGCTCGCATGAGAACTGACATGCGGAGCCTCTCGAACGCACCTCGCTGCCTCTCTCGTGCGTTAGAAGTCGCATTTCCTCCTAGGGTCGATTCGATACTAGCAGAATCGGAGATATACGTGAGCGACGCATGAAAGCGCTTGAAGATGATGCGTTGCCCTACGATTTATCGCAGCATTTCCGGGAATCTGTCTGCTCTGCAACTTCTCGACATATTTTCAGAGCTGCTACTTGAAAACCATCAACATTAAATCATCATTATATTTCGAACAAGAACGTGTTTCTAGAGGAGCCTAGCTACACCATTTTTCAATTCATGGTAATGCGAAAGGCAAAGTCCTTGAGACATTCTTCTATCTCACGCCGTTGATTAACGTCTTAGTATCGAGTCTGACAACGTTCATTCATTCATTCATTCATGTGCTACAGGCCTTTTTTTTACCTGTGTCTACAAATTCCCGCACTACGAGCATTCAATTACCCAGCGAGAAGCCTGAAGCACGACGGCCAGGCAATAAAGCTATGCAAATGGTTAAGCACGACGGCAACCGCTATGACCGACCTACTGCGCTAAGTAAAAACCCTGATGGGCAATATCTGATGAACCCCCAGAGAGCCAAGCTAAACCCGTCGAAGCGAACACATGACGCGCTAGTTCGGTGGCCAGGCCTCTGCTAAGATTAGTGATTATGTGCGTGATGCACGGGCGAACTCACGGCGCGAAAAGCGGAGCCACTACGTTAAAGAGATCCATGCGCGTTAATGTAAGCCGGCCCACGAAGAATCGCTAAGCAGTCTCCAGCTTTATCATTGCATTGGTGGAACAACACTAAGCTAGGCCCTTCCTGCTTCTCTTGTTGTTATGCCCTCGTGGCGTTGTTATCGTTCGTGGGTTCTACGTGCTTGCATGCCATGCCGGTCGCCGTATTTTTTTTTGTTGCCTGGGTCTACATTTTCCCGCTACAGTTCCATTTAATTACCCCGCGGGAAGCCTGAAGCACGACGGCCAGGCACTAAAACACCGCAAACGATTTTGTTACCTGGGTCTACAATTCTCGCTTATCCTAAGCCTCTGGGCAGTATTCAACCACCTAATGACGTAAAATCGACGATTCATTTTGATGCTACTACGCGTTTTCTCTGTTTCGTTTTTTCGATCGATTTGCAAACCAGGGAAGACTTGTTTCTCACGAGACCTGACTTTCAACTCAAAAACAAATCTTTGTATTTTTCTCCTAGCTTGAGGTCCATTCACCAACTTTTCCTTGTCTTTTCTTATCTAAAATTTTTGATTTTCTGTCTTTGCCAACGATCGCTCTCATCTCACTGGGAAAGTTGCGTCTAACTCTGTGCCCTCCGTCTCTCTTACAAGCGGTTGTCCTCTTAGATAAAAAAAAACCTTCAAAATCAGTCTGGGGAAACACTCGATCGTGCCCATGCTATGACATCAAAACGACCAAAGGAAATAATTCTCGAGAAAAAAGAACTCGATCCACGAAGGGTCGACAACTAGAGGTTCTGACACATACGAATGTGCTACTTTTCTTCATATGTTTCGCGACTATACTATAGTTGTAACAGGAGTACACTTGGAGTTCTTCTACGTCTTTTATGTGAATCCAATGTAGTGTGTGTGAGCTCGATCGTTTGCGAGTCTCAAGTGGGGAATGTTTGGGCTCGGGAGTATGAGGTGTATTTGGGCTACAAGGGTGCGCCGTGGAGAGGGTGTGGATCGCCGATCACTTCAGACACAGGGAACTGCGTGCCGCGGACGCTTTGCTGCGCGTTTGGGGACCGCGCCACGGCGTCTCCAACTTTCACCCGCTAAGACACTTTTCTATCGAATGCCAAATACTGAGGTTTGTTTTTTCTGGTCCTTCTTGTCTTCCATCATAGCGTCCTGCTCTGCTATAAGCCGTAGAACTTGCTTTTTGCTGGTTTCCTGGAGCTCTCCGTTTATAAAGAGCTCGTCGAAAATGTAGTATGCCTGAAGGGAGAAATAGAAAAGGACTAGAATCGATTTACATTGTGATTGAATCTTCTACTTCTTCCACATATGGATGTTCTACCCAACAACACACAGCATCCTGAAATGCACCACCATCTATTTAGTACCAAACAACCTCCTCATGGATGGAGATTTATGAAACAATACCTTGTGGAAATTGAAGATGAGATCGAGCTCGCACACATTTCCGAAGTATCGATCAAGGCATTCGACAAAGTGATGTATGACCTCCAATGCGAGTAGTTCGTTGTCTTCTGGCTCCACCCCAAAAATGAAAAACAAACTCGCGTACCTGAGCGTTGAAAGAAAAAACTCCATCATGATCAGCACAGGCACAGCTTATTGAGTGTTGATAATTAATGTTTCGTGTTAGCAGCATCCACATCATGGAGTCGCTATAAGTCGCAAAGCCTGACCGTCCTCGTGAAACATATTTTTTTATTTCGCATAACAAACGTCGAGTTAGGGTTAGCGAAAGTTCTAATATCGATCGTACTACTTTGAGACTAATCCACACTCATCAATGGTACCTCTTGTAGCATATCTTGTATTCCCTCCACTCTAGGAAGTTGCACAGCTTTGGTGGCCTCGTCAAAACTAGATTCCTAACTTCCTTGATCAGGTTAAGCTGGTCTTTCTCGCTTATTGGGCTGAAGAACTTTTTCATCCGCGTCTTCCCTTGCCGCGATATTAGCAACGAAAAATGAATCATTTTTTCTCGTTTTCTGGAACAAGACCGTGATGCGGTGTTCAACAAGAAGATAAGTACGAAGTACAAGTAAGATGTGAATGAAATAGAACAGCCAGATGGTTCGCTTGGTGACTACTCAGTTAACAACCTCACAAAAAGTCAGCCATTGCATTTGTCATGCCCCAGCTCAGATACCTTCTCAGGTTTTTCACGGTGAAGATCAAACCACCAAAAAAGTTAACAAAAAAAGAACAAATAATCTAAGACGCCGGTCTGCTATTTTTCTGTTAACACTGAATGCTACTTGTGCTTAGAAATTCCTAAAATCTGTACGCGTCCCCGTGCTAAAATCCCTCTTTGAATTAGTGCAAACGCTACAGTAGGAACAAATTGATGAAACTGAAATTAATTTGGAGAAAGGAACGTGCAGGGTTCGACCGATTCAACGCGCAGAACCAATCACCAAGAAGATGAAAGGTGTCACTCAGTCCTCGGATTGACAATTGCGATTCTTGTGCGGTGAAAATTGGACCTGTCATGCAGCTCCAAGGCATGTCCGAAATTTCCGGCTCTTTTTCAAATTCGCAACATCATAATTTGTGCGGACCATATTGGAGATTTGATTTTTTCTTTTTACATGCTTCATATTTGGAAGATGTGCGTGGATTTGGTTTATGCTGCTATTTCAAATTTGTTGAGATTGCAAAGGAATCAGCTGCTGCATAAAATCTTCGGCTACTAGCCGTCATTTTGCCAAGTATTGATCACCGGGAAAATTATGCAAAGGTCGTTTTTTCGGGACTCAGTATAAACGATATTCTGAAACTTCTGTAGTAGAATTCGCTGGTAGCACTTACAGTACTATCTCTCGATCATGATAGCTCCGCACACTGCTTTTGAGGGTTCCTTTCGCAACGTCGCCTTTACCACCTTGTCACGACAACTCATAAACAATCTACCTATTCCTGCTTCAGGCGAAACGCCAAAAATCAAGTAATCATTAAATCAAAAGTTTTCCAATCAAAAATCAACCACGTCAATCTTCTCTTGCAGATCTTAACTTTCATCCTCCGAGTCATCGTCGAAACCAGACGAGGACTCTCCACTACTTTCCGCTTCTTCGCCATCAGACTCTTCTTCATCCTCCGAGTCGTCGTCTTCATCCTCATCCGAATCGTCGTCGTCATCAGAGTCTTCTTCTTCTTCGTCGTCCTCCGAAGCTAGCTGTATTCCCGCCAGCAATCCCGGCAGCCCGCCACGCGTACCCGACATTAACTTAAAGGTCGGCAGGCAGTGGTCACTGATTCTGGAGGGACGGGACCCCCTACACCGCTCCAACCTTTTCCCTTCTTTTCCCCTGTTCTCTCAGGGGGTCTCCTCTTCGATGTCAGTGACCACTCTCAGACAGTGACCAACGAAGTCTGAGCCTTAATTAACGCTGCCGCATTGACGACGCCACCTCTCCGTGTGGCCGAAGGCTGCTTTTCGCGCGCCGCACGCTCTTCTAGGGCTAAGCGCTCCGCCTCGTCTTCGTACAAATACATCGCATGAAATCGGTCAGTCGCCTTCTCACACAGCTCTAAAACATCTTGCAGAGGATTGATAACGGCCTCAACATCCTCGTCCCAAGTATCGAAACCAAGCTTAGTCTCGATCCGCGACAACACTTCTGTTGGACGGGGCATTAGAGATGGATGGTTGGTAGTCACCACGAGACAAATATTTGCACAGGAGGATACATTCATTGCTATCTCAAAAGAATATTGCCAACAACTTCCTGTCATAACAACATGCTTTCCCTGGCCAATGCTTTCTGCCACCCGGCCTGCTCACCCAGAATGTCAGTGCGCTGTACCTCTACCGCCGGGTCATGTAATGAGCGCAAGTTGGGATCCTTCGGACAGTTTTTTGCTATGTGTCCGCTCTCCTTACAACTGTAGCATTTGATTTTGGAGTTTCTCGCCTTTATCTCGCGCTCTTCTCGCTCTGCGCGGTCCTGCTCGTCGAGATCCTCCTCGTCGTCCTTGCTTTCATGCTTCGAGAATTTGCAACCTGGAGATTTTCTCTGAGGATTGCAACTGCCGACTTTTTTTCGAACAACAAATCAACAGTCAGAATCTCACAAAACAGCAACTTCTGTATGATAACTTGTATTATTCATTAGGTTACCTATTGCCTCTTTCCCAATTTTTCCGCAACACCACCACATTTCGCCTCCGAACTCCGACTGATGTGTTCTGCAACTCCAATTAAAATTCTCGTTTTCCATGTAGTCCTTATTGCAATTCTTGCACGTTTTGTGCTCGTCTACCTTCAGTCTCCTATATTTCTTCAGCCGCTGCTTCAAGGTATCGCGATCTTGGGAAAGGTCCTTGACCTTCATTTCGAGCTTATCCCGCTCTTTTCGCAACAAGTCCTTATCATTCAACGCTTCCTTCAATTCCTCACGCATCACGTCTTTCATTTCCTCCTGTTCCTCCAGCAGCTGCTCTTTTTCACCCTCCAGGTCTTCATTTCCCTTTAACAGAAGTATGAAGCACAAAGAAGAAGCACGAGGCTACTTCCTCTAAGCAGACCTGGAGACGCAACGCATCGGACTCTAAAATCATTGCAAAGCATGGCTCCACGAGTACGCTATTCACAAATTATCCTGAAGTTCCCTACTCCGTCCTGTAGATAACTTCTAATCCGAAATCTTTTTGACGTGTCATAAAATTTGTTCTCGACTGCTCTAGTGCATTCTTGTCTTGGACAAGGAAGACGAGGCGGGACTCGAGTCTGTCCTTCATGTCAAATGCGGAATGGATTTCGGTCTCGAAGTATTGTCGCGCCTCTTGGAGTAGCCGTCGCGCCCGTGGTCCCACCTTGAGACACGCCAAAGCTGGCTCTAATTGAGCGATCTCATTCGCCAAAACCTCGTTATGCAGCTTGGCAGCACTTGCAGCCTGTAAGTGCTTTGCAACCTGCATTCGCGCCGCCGATAGTGTCTCCTCTCGCTCGCTAGCTGTGCTCTTCAATTTTGAATTTTCTGCAAATTCCAATGCAGTCTTTGCTGACAAATATTGCGTCACCTGACAAACGTACATACAACGTACATAGTTCGGATAAGAAGATTGAAGATTCTGATTCACATTCACCACGCGTGCGTCGTCAAATATGAAAAAATACAACAACGGTCGTTCATACTCGTAAGTGACGAGGTGCCAGCATTCTAGTTCTACCATGTACTTATGTTTTGCTGCATGGGATAAGCCTAAGTATTAGAGGTAAAAACTAACCGGTTGTTTTTTTTAGTGCTTTAAGCGTCGCTGGACCTAAACCTTCGCCGTTTTACGGGCAAAAGCCAGTCAAGATTTGCAGCACAACCTCGTACTTATACTAAGGGGGAAAAGCCACGATTTCCTGCTACGGGAGAAGGTTACTTATTCATTTGTTCAGATGTTGAAAGTTTGTAAGTGTCTACTACAGAAGTCTCCACTTTTGAACCCACGTCATCATTTTGGTCAAGCTTTTTAAACACTCACATACACTCAAACTAGTGCTTGAGCCTCAACACGATAACGCGCAAGCAAGGAGGATAAGAAGATTGAAGTACTTATGTTATAAATATTAGAGGCAATACGCATGAGTACTTTTTCCAATGCTTCACACTGCCTCTGCACAGCTGCATTATCGTGTTCGTGCGAATGCCGGCGAAGCTCGTCTACTCCCCGCAGGTAATCGCTTACCTCCATTCGTGCTCTTGCGCCAGCAAGCTCCCTCTGAGCGGCCTTGCGCGCAGCTTGCGCGTCCTGTAGCTCTTTCGTATTTAGAAGTGATTCTCTGAGCCGTCTCGGACAGAATAAGGCTCCAGTAGAACCGCTGCATCTATTACAGAATCACAATTTATAATACGTTTTTTTCTTTCGAAGCCGAGTCAGCATAATTTCTTTTGTGCAACGCTCCGATGATAGTCTTGGAGCTTCCCCAGCAGTCGATCTGATAAAAGCAACTCGTGCAGAAGCGGGACGCCACGCCCTGGACTATTTCTACTAGGTGAGCCTGAGGAAATGTGTTGTCTGTTGCCGCCGTAGACAGACTCGAAAAGCCCGATCCTCTCGAAGAGCGGCATCAAGTACTCTTTCGTAACGTAGCGCGCAGTCTCGTCAGACACCTCGTTCTCCTCGTCACTGGACGAATCTTCCAGAAACGTGTCATGCTGTTGTGCCCTTCTTGGTGTCGATCGGTCGCGCCCGCCATCTCTCCCATGTCGTATATAGGCTTGCTCGCGTCCTCCTCGAGCGCTTCTTGGCGAAGACGAAGTACCCGCTGCTCCCCTGGGAGACCGCTTAGCATTATCAGATATATCTCTGTACAGAGCCTCTTCATCCCTGGGCGACCGCCGCCCTCGAGTCCCTGGTGATCTAGGACTGTTGCTCCCACCTGATCGCTCACCGTCCCGCATCCGTACGTAACTACTCGCGGTGTCCCTTCCCGGAAGCGGTAGCCGCGAGCATCGCACCCTGTCAACGAAGGCTCGTAGACGGCCAGACTCCTCCCGTGCCGATGAAGGGGACGCGGGTACTTGCGTCGCATCCCGTAATGGCGTTCGATCATCCCTTTGCAGCAAAGTAGGCTGGTCTTCTGAAATCGTCTCTCGACCATTGTCGACATTATCTGGCATTTTCTTGCTTATCTGTAGAAGTCATAATATCAGTTTGGAACTTTGAGGGGTGCTTCGTCGCGTCGGTCTGTGTCCTCTTTAGATAAAGCGAGGACACAAATTGTGTGTTTTTAAACCAAAAACCGATCGACGAGTATCGGGACTGAAAGCCGTTTGCCACCTTGTCGCGAAGAGAAAACACATTTTCACTTGCGGCAAAACAGAATAAGAGTTCTACCTACAAAAGCAGCCCTTCCAACGTGATCTGCATATTTCACTTTAGCAGTAGCTCACGCACGTACTTAGTCTTCCTGTATCACATGTATAACTACATGGCGCGATGTTTATCAAACTTCTGTGCATCGGTTGCACTTCAGCAAAAGCCTACTGGCTGATTCACTCACTGACTCGAAAATGGACGAAAAATGACTCGAAACTGCAATCTATGCAAAAACAACTCGAAACTTTAACCATCATTCTAGCTATTTTGGTATATTCAGCTCTATTCACAAAGTTTGCACTAACTGATGATGTTAGCCGATTCGGTTTGCACTAACTATTGGAGATACTTCTTCTACAACAGGATGCTGCAACTTAATCTACATTCCAAGAGATACTGAGTATTCGCTGACTTACATTCAAAATCCTGTCTGTCACTATGCAGGTTGTGATGAGAACAAAAATAAATTTTACAAAATCGAAGGTAATATATACATTATTAGTAGTAAGTCAAACTCTATGCATGCAAGTACGAAAAACGAAGATGTAAGCACATTACTACATGACATGAAACAGACACAAACTATGGAGATGTATTATGGTAAATCAGCATGGCCCCCCGGCTGCGCTCGATGGACTACTTGCTGTCGTGCCTGGTCCAGTCGCGAAGACTTGTACGGCCCGAGCCGCTGCAGTGGGCGACCCACTGCGTATCGCTCCTCCCGAGGGCATTGACGGACCTCCTGTTACAACACTAGACTGCTTGCTCACAGTTCCACCGTTTGTTGATGAGTTCGAGGGAGATGTCGCTGTACCATTTGACGACGATCCTAGTGCGCCCACCGCTGAAACGCGATCACTTTTCAGGCTGGATCGGAGTGGCGCAACGCGCTTTTCCGTCACTTTCTTAATCTTTTTGTTCCGCTCTTGAATTATCAAGGTTTTGTCCAACGGATTCAGCAATCGACAAGCGAACCAAACGTCTTGTGCGAAAGTCCGATAGATATTAGAATGTTCCTGAACGCCGTATCTGTAGGCTTCCGACTGACTTCCTGATGATGCCAAAAATTAAAATTTGTAATATCTGAGAAGAATAGTACCTAATCGGACATGCTAAAATTTCGAGCATAATCATGCTGCCCAAGAGCCAGCGCTTCATTTGCGCCAGAGCTGCGCGACTGCACTCTGCCTTCACTTTTTGCTGTCTCGCGTCTTCCTCGTCCTTCAGAATAACGGACATGCTCCGCGCGTGCGCTTTCGCTTTATTTTTGATAGGCGACAGTGGCAGACTGGTGTTTGCGCCGAAGGGCATTCCGCCAAGCGGTGACCCTCCGCTCATCAGATTTGGCCCTCCAAGAGTTCGATCAGGAGAGAGTACGTTTCCAAGGAGAGTCAAGTTGCTCTTTTTGCGTCCGCCATTATCAGCCTTGAACTCTGCAAAAATCGAAAGTCTCGGCATGGCACGCCGGTTAGCGCCGCCTGGCAGCAAGAGCCCCTGGCCTCCTAAATTGCGCGATCGCGTACCACCTCGTGAGTCTTCACAATCCTCATCGCGCTCTTCATGACCAGGCATGATCGCGACAGACTTGCGCGTATTGCCCTTCGTACGAATCACGCCGTCTAACAGGATCGACAGTCGCACTCCACCCGCCCGCGGAGCATCGGCGGTCGGAGCATCTTCATCGGGTCCATCAGGCGAAGCTGAGAAGAACATACTTAAGTATGTGAAATCCCAACGATTTAGTAAATCTCGATCTCACTTTTCTAGTGGATCATGAGTTATTGCAACAGCGCTTTTGGTTTTAGTACTACAGGCGGCACTAGCATCTCAAAAACCTCACTAAGAATGATCTTAGGGTACCATTCGTGTCGGCCCCGGCCCCCTCTTCTGTCACAGGCGCCGTGGATAACTGTAACAACGCCGCATGATTCCCTGTCGCGCTTGCATAGGACATGAGTGAAGCCCGACCCGGTGCAGCCGCCACCGTGGCGCGCGCACTGCGCGTTCTGCTCGCTGCTGATCCTGGCAACAAACTAGACCTGCGCGTCGCCCTTGGGAAAACGCTGAGACGTGCACGTGGGACCGGGCCACGCCCGGACCTTTCTCCAAATTCGAGACTGCCGACTTTATCAACCCCCCCTTGCCGTGATTCAGAGGTACGCGCTTTGCCGGCCACTGTATCAGCTAAAACTGAAGGCCGAGGTCCGCCGTTCGGGACCAATGCGCCCCCACGCGCCTCTCCACCTGCCAAGCTCCTCATCCGACTGCCTGTTCCCGACCCCCTCAAATCCGAAAGGAAATCTACCGCCGATAGTGTCTTTTCGGAGGGAGGTTTGGACGCAGTATTTTCGCTTCCTACATCTCGTTCAGGTGGATCTGTGGCCTGGCGACCGACGAAAATCGCCGGGCGCTGTAAAGACGGATGGTCGTTGTAGCTGGACTTTTTCGTAGGTGCTGTCACATCAAAAGTTTCGAGTAGAGTAGGCCGTCTCGTAGAGCGTCTGGCCCCCTGATCAACAGCCACCCGAAAATTTTCGCTGCCGTTAGAGTTCGGCGCCAAGCTATTTCGCTTCGAGATGCTTCCACGTCTGGGAATTTGACCTGCGAAGGACCTAGTACAACGTCCTACGAACATACTTCCGCTTGACACCCTCGAAAATAAAAAATGTTCCTCGAATAATGATGATGATGAGAGGACTAGATTGTAGGTCGTTTAGGATACTAAAAAAAAAGCTTCACCTTCCAACAACAACATCACCACCGCTATATCTCCGACACTCTATTTACCTCCTCCATGCGCTCCTGGTAGCAATGACTGTCTTCGCGTGCCTGTTTGGACGAAAAGTGCAGACGATAGTCGTCTGGATAACGACCATGCTGTTTCTTGATGAGACTCGCTGTTCCGCATGATTTTTGCGTTGACAGTCGACAGTCTTCGGCTTGCATTCGCTCCTGGTACAACGGACGCAAATTCTAACGACACTGCATTTGACGCGTTTGCGGTTGACGTCGAACCAAGAGCATTTGAGCCAACCACGGCCGCGGATTTTCGAGAAGTTGGCGTTGCCTTTGGCTGTTCCACGACCTCTCCAAAGTCTAGTTGTGCCGAAGCACTTATAGTCGACCGGCGTCCCGAGTCAAGCGCCGAAACGTCCTCTCCCGACACCACACGCGCTAGAGCCAGTGCCATAGACGACGTCCCTTGTCCTTTGGTCCCACGCGCTTCTACCGACAACGTGGCTCGACGCGTCCCTGGACCAGCTGACAGCTTGCCCGTAGACAATTCTTGTTTAGCTTCAATCTCGTCCACTGCTCTCGCCAACGTACTAGTTGGTCCATTACTATTATCACTGGATTGAATATGGTTCGAATAGCCGTCTGCCCTCGCAAACTCTTCCGAAGGATCCGCTAGAGAAATTCTTGCCAAAGCTGCTGCTTCGTCACCGGTTAGTTCTGTCCGCAAAAGCTCTCCAAAAGGTGTCCCATCTTCTGATGATCGAGCATGTGAGTAGTCCCCACTGTCTCCCGTTGAGGCGCCATCTGGCCGAAATACTTTCCTTATTCGCTGGGAAGACACCAACGGTTGAGACGACAAAAGATGTTTTGTGTCCACGGGTCGACCATCCAAGAGGTTTTTTTCAACTTCGTCGGCAACGTCTTCACTAAACAGCACACCTTTTTGGGCTCGAATGAACGCTTCAATGCGCTCCTTGCGCGTCTCTTTCTGGCCCCGCGATTGCCGCAGTTTTCCGCTTATTGTGCCTGTCGCCGTGCTACAATCTGTATCACCTCCGAACACTAGCAACTGACGGGAACGCCGACCCGCCAATAAGTGCAGCGAAGAGGATATGAAATCTGCAGCCATGACACTGTATCTTACAGGGACCCTGCTTTTGTCTTGAAGTTAAGCTTGCCACTAGGCCATTTCATACCACGTGGCCAGTTCTCAGGTATGTGAGCTTCGCCGATAACAACCCCTGTTGTTCTCGTTACCCTCTCGTTAGCAGGTTCTCTTTGTCGTAATCTATGAGCCTTGTGCGCTCTGCACTCTCGCATCCGCTCACCCTCCAGCTCTCTCGCAAACTCCGCATATCCCATGGCGACCACATGTCCCTGCGGTATCTACGGTCGGAATCCTCCCGACAAACTCAAGAAAGAGTTGGAGTTACTTCATTCTTTTTTTGCCCCGCCGTGCTTCATTTTATTTCTTGCTGCAGTTTATTTCCCAGATCACTTCATTTCATGCTCCTTCGTCTCGACAAATATTCGATTTTAAGAGGCCCCATCTACGTGGTTATTCCACTGTACTTTCACAGTCACTGTTGATGTCCTCAGAAAGAACAAAAAAAACAACTCATCAAATCTTGTTTAGTTCTCCTTCGTAGCTCGACAATCAATGATCTATTTCCGAACAATTAGGTGCTACGGGTGACAATCAAAAAAAGTGCGAAGTGAAAACTGACTTCAATTATACTACCACTGCTTGAATTTCGCAAACAGAGGATGTGTCTAAAAAACTTAATCTCTTTGCATTTTTATCCAGATTATAGAGCTTCTAAGGAAAATGGATTATGGTCTCGGCCAAGCGGTGTTGTAAACATTGGGTGGATAATTCACAATGCCTACGATAAACGCTGTAGGAAACGCAAGTACTCATTTCGAAAAAGTTTCCTGGTTCACCAGGAACAGACTCAAACTCTACTACACTCTAATCAGTTCGAACGTGGCAAGAAAGAAATCCTCGCCCTCGCTCATTCCTCCACTTTCACGGCCTCAACTTTAACTGCTTCCTCCGCAGCTACTTTGACCTCTTCACCTGCAGCCGCTGCTGCCAGCTCTGCTACTACTGGATCCGCTACTGCAACCTCTGCAACCTATGTTGGAAGATTGACGTTCATTGATGTCGGGAGACATCTTATTTGCTAGAGCCTCTACGCTGTGGCTATCTTTTCTTGAATATAAACAAGTCATTGCATGGAGATAAAGCACACGATTGGTTTTTGAAGATGGTATCATCCTTCGTTTTTGACTTTTCACTATGTAGCACAAATGACTTTATCGCAACAAGAACGATCTAATATGATTGAGAGGACATTGCCTCTCTTGTATCGAAAAACTGCATCAATCTACGTCCCGAAAAACTGCAATTGTTTCATTTTCTTGGGAAGAATCACAACTGTGCAACCGAGCATATGAATCACTTGGTGAAAAAGTGACAGGATCGTTTATCGAACTAAGCCGAAGGTGCACGTGACCACTACTATTTTCTATATTGTCCCAGTATCCATCAAGGCGCATGCATCGTGATGCAATACCACTCGGAATTCAAACGGAAAATCGTCGTAGGTAATCTCTCAGAAAATGCCGGATAAGTGGAAAAATGAACTTTGCTACACACCTGCTACGCAACCAACAAGTAAACAGAGCGTTTGGAGAAAGACACCTCGCACACTATGTATCAATATAAGTACATACGTCTCTCGTCACAAAATGTGATTGAACGAACTGGAAAAACGGCGATTTTCATCATGAAGCTCATTTAGTCTGGGGTTCTAAACACCGGACCGAAAAAGTGATATTTTGGGCAAGAGGGTTATCTCATGTGCCGTCCGACAATACAATCTCCCTGAGAAATTCCTTGACGCTCTCCTACCAACAAAAACAGTAATTACTCTTGTCGTGGAAAATTACAAAGTGTTAGGAGATGGCTCAACTTCAACGGCTTCAGCTTTACCTACCATTTCTACAGCAATTGCTACCGGGACTGTTGGCTTCGCTTCGCCGTCCACAGTGGTCGGTTCTACCGGAGCAAATTCGAGGGGATCGCTGAAAGACAGGATACGCTTCGATACCAGTACGGCGGTGATGATGATAAACACAGCCAGCGGAATCATGCCGAGGTACCTGCGCGTTCCGTGTTGTTCAATCAAGAAACTTCAATTGACAAGAAACCCTAGTAAGTCAACTACGAACTCTCTAATCACGCAGAAGCGGATGTGTAAAAGTGGTCGTCCACATTCGTCACTTTGCCTGAACATTCTTCAAGCAGTCTTCAAAGTACGTTAGCTAGCCACGTGGCCATTGTCAAAGCATTCTAGAAAATACCATTTCTCGTAGTCGGTCCTTGAGTTGATTAGAGGGGCGATGAGGAGCGAAACCATGCTCATCAGCTTGATAAGAATGTTCAGCGCCGGTCCTGAGGTATCCTTGAAAGGATCACCCACTGTATCGCCTATGACGCAGGCATTACCCTGGTCAGTCTTCTTTAGCTTGAGCTTCTCACACAGCTTCTTGCTGTTATCCCACGCACCACCAGCGTTACTCATCATAATGGCAATCATTGCCCCACTAACAATGCTACCTGAAATGAAAAGGACGAGATGGCAGATCAACGTTCTTCTTGGAAGGGCGACGAGAATCAACGACTCTTATAAGAGCAGATCGCTATTCTATTGAAAGCACGTCCATTCTCATTTTCGACAATCATACACCCTCTTGAAAATTTCACGTTTATACCAGCGAGCATGCCCATGAGGGCCTTTGGTCCTACGCAGAAACCTACGAAGAGTGGCGCGAGAACGGCGTATGCGCCTGGCGCAATCATTTCCTTGACGGATGACTGCGTGCTGATTGCTACACATCGGTCGCTATCCGGCTCAACGTCCTCCTCCGGTGGAATCTCCTCTCCTCGGCTCGCTCGCTCAATAGCATTACGCAGACCTGGGATTTCCCTGAATTGTCGTCGGACTTCCTCGATAATCTCGGCAGCAGCCTTACCAACGGAGATCATTGTCAATGCGCCAAAGAGGTACCTGCGTGGTTTGTGATGAGAGAGGGCATCACATCGTCTCATCATGAAGGGAGGTTACGGACTTTCCTTTAACATTCGTACAATGCAACACAATTGTGGTGGAGTTTCCTAAAGATACAAGGCAAACTAACTCCAGCATAGATGACTCATCAATACGGAAGCATCGCGCCGAACAGGGCTCCAGCCATCGTTGGTGCCTCTGTGATATCGAAAACCATCGGTTGAACAACCGTAAGAGTGCCTACTGTGATTTTCGGCGACACCTTCTGTCGAAATGCTGCCATTAGGGAGAGCGCTGTCAACACTGCACTACCGATGGCGAAGCCCTTTCCGGTTGCTGCGGTCGTGTTACCAAGAGCATCCAAGGAGTCGGTCTTCGCTCGGACGGAGGAATCCAAACCTAAATTTAGATTGTTTCAATATTCTGGAAATTGGCACTGCCACGGAATAATAGCGTTGGGTAAGCTAAAAAATCTAAAGAATCTAAATACTCGATGCTTGCAGTGTGTCAAACAGTGCTTTATACCGGACATCTCCACGAGCCCGCCCGCGTTGTCAGCAACCGGTCCGTAGGCGTCTGTGGCCAGAGTAATACCAAGGGTGGAGAGCATGCCCACTGCTGCCAACGAAACACCGTATGCTTCATTCACGCCATCCGGAGTCAAAGCCGCACATGACAAAATTGTTGCGCACAGGATCACCGTTGGCGGGCCACACGAAATCATACCAACACCAATACCTTTGGTTGGTATCCATGGTTTGCTTGATGGGTGGTAAACAGATTTGCTTGATGATGTGCTCAAAAAGTTCCCTTGTTCTCTTTCTGCGTACAATCATGGGAAGGATCATTGCCAAAAAAACAGAGAAGACGTCGTGATGACAATCAGATGCCAATACCCTGAATGACAACGGTTGCTGGTCCGGTGCGGCCGGCGTTCTTGATCGAGATCGTGGGTGAGAAGTCGAAGGACGTGAAATACTCTGTCACTTTTCCAATCATCATACCGGCGAAAAGTCCGATCAAGATGCAACCATACAGGCGCCAACCGGCTTCGTCATCCCCGAACATGAGGTAGATTACGACCGCAGAGAGTCCCACGAAGAGGATGCCAGCAGTGTACATGCCTTTTTCCAAAGCCCACATGAGTGTACCCAGATGCACATCCCAACCCTTACCTTCTTCCTTGGTGCCGACCATGTAGTACCCCGCGAAGGAACAGATAATTCCGACGGACGCGAGAACGAACGGCAAAGCCATAAGAGTAGCTGTAATTTTCATTGTCGCGTTTGATGAAAACAGTGGGTCAATGAATACCAGAGAAGTACTAGTTGTGGTCTACGTGTAGGTCAAGAGGGAAATGCACATTTATCATAGTATGATACAATTGGAGCCAGCAAGCGTAGCTGCAGCGATAATGCTTCCTACGTAAGACTCGAACAAATCGGCTCCCATACCAGCGACGTCACCGACGTTGTCTCCGACGTTATCAGCGATCACTGCCGGATTATGCGGATCATCCTCATCAATACCAGCCTCAACCTTTCCGACCTGGGAAAAACGTTTCGGTTCACAACAACGTAATTGAAGCAAGACAGTGGATAACAGATTGATAATGCTCTGTGAAAGGCATCGAGTTTTTTCTATAGTTTGTCATAATGCTATTTTTCATACCAAGTCCGCTCCGACATCAGCTGCTTTCGTGTAGATTCCACCGGCAACGCGCGCAAAGAGAGCAATCGAACTAGCGCCTACACCGAAGCCCGCCAAAATTTCCATAGTGGTCTCTTCCGTACGATTTACGGTCTGAATCCAGAACATAAGCGACAAACCAGCCAAACCCAGCCCGACGACGGTGAATCCCATCACGCTTCCGGCCGTAAAGGCGGTTCGAAGACCTTGATTTAATGTGTTTGGCCCTCATGGAAAATTACCAAAAGCAGAAAGTGCTCCACCGGTGGAATCGTTGTTATCTCTGTGTGCGATCTGAGACAGCATCAAGATCTTGTAGCTGAATTCCATCATAGTTAGTCTCATCTTCATGCCGCTGGTCTACTACGCCAATTTCTTCTTATTACCGTCGTTCATAGTTCCTGAGGCACACGCGACGGCAGTGCGGACATTTCCTTCGGTCGCCACGGTCATACCCAACCATCCAGCGGTGGCGGATAGGATCGCGCCCACGAAGAAGGCTCCCATAACGCGCACGCCATCAGTCCTCTCGCCCTTCTGTCCGACGGCAATCGGCTCCGCAGTGAAAAGCGCAAGGAGAACGAGACCCAAGACCAGGACAAAGCCAGCGAGGTATTTGTATTCAATAAATAGGAAGGCGCGACTTCCGCTCTTTACCTGTAAGACGTGCAATTTTGCAAAGTTTAATTGGGTAACAAGCAGAACGTTGGTCCCTGGTGGAAACACAAATGTTCAGTTCGCCCATGAAAATCAATAAATTATTTCCGCAATAGGACTCATATGAAGTATTCCACCTGGGCCGCAAGCTTATCGAGCTTGGGGACGCCAATGTCTGCGCCGATCTTCTGCCCTTTGATGATTTTCTGCAGATACAGGATGAAGCAGAGAGCCAAGACACCAGCAACGGTACCGGGAACCGCAATCCACGCTGGCTTGTCCCATTCTGTGTGCTTGATAGGAGGATCACCCGCCATATTCAAGGATCTGCTTTATTAGCGGTACTTAAATGGATGACCTCGAGAAACTGTCCCTACAATTCACACCGTCCGCTGTTGTCGTTTAGCAAACCTTATTGGAACTACCTACATATTGGAAATCCACAAAACGTTGGAACGAAAACGCTGGATGCAAAAGATGTAACGAATAAATGGGAATGAGAAAGAGGAGTTGTTGTATTTACCAACACATCCAAGAATCGGAAGATCCATCTTCGCACCAGCCACTTTATTTTCCCACTCAACAAGACCCGTTATCGTTACCTCTAAGCATCAAGATAGACTCTCGTTCACGTTCTCCACTTATCAAGATGAGCTTCCGGGTTTTTTCACTCCTCCTTTTGCAGTACAATCTAAACAAGAACCTACTTTTTATAATTATCGTGGAGTCAGCTATATCACATCGCTCGGCCAAACTTGATGGTCTCGCATCTCAAGTATCAAGCAGTTTTACATTGTAATCTTGTCCTTCTAGTTTTTCTCTTGCTCTGACAGGACACAGCTGTATGCATCTCCAAGGCTGTTTCATGGGTGGACAGACTGACACGTTGGGACATATAACCGCCCGAATTTTCCTTACGAAATCGTGTAGAGGATTTGCAATTATTCGAAGAAAGTGGAATTCTGAGCTTTTATCATTTTCTTGATTTCACTCTAATCTCCCTGAGGTGAGCCTTTTCTTGGAATTCATAGCGGGTCTTCAATTCGGAACGATGAGCGCAGGGTAATGATCTTCGTACTGCGGATTGCAACTTACAATGCAGTCAGAAGTCGTGGAATTATATGTACGCGAAATGCATGAATGCGAGGACCTGGCCTATCAGTCCAATACTATGCGCTGCGTGAACTACTACCATGATCGGATCAATATAGCTTCAAAAAACGCGTCAGATATGAGTTGTTACGACAGTAGCATTTACGCAAAACCATGTATCCATCTCTACAACCGACTATATGCGACATCAATGAGTATATTCACTGCTTCAATGGTCCCCTGTGGCTTATCTATGTATAGTTGAGTGTTCTTTACTCTTCTGCAATCGTACTGAGGAAGAGAGTGCATTCTTGCAATGACCACGTCGGCTGCTTGTGTTGTTGCCTTAGAAGGTGTAGATTGCTGAAAGTCGTGTTGCTTGTGCAGTTTCCGATCCACTCACCCGTCTGGCGAATGACGACGGCCGTTCCATTCGTTTTGCTATCACACTTGCGGTGGTATTCCTCCTCGCGCCGCTCGAAAGGCACTACCTCGCACTTAATCGTCCGGAGACGGTCCGCCATTTGCAGCAGGCGAAAGACCGCGAGGCGGCGGTTGTCCAGCGACCAGTACTTTCCTTGGTACTGTACCACCGTGATCATTTGTACGTTGTGTTTCTTAATGTCTTGGCGAGCCAGTGCCAGAGCTGTGTCAAGAAGAGCGTGCCCGTCTTGAAATCGGTCTTTGATGCTGCTTTGCGTGAACAGAATTTCGTGACAGGGATCAAGATAAACAAAGTCGCGCTTCGGCTCTCGGACCACCGGAACGTCCAACGTCAGGGTTGTAGACATGACGGGCTGAAAGCGGCGCCGCGCGCCTTCCCACACCTTCCAGTTTGGACCGCAGAATCGGTTGCAACGATGCTGGCTGAAGAAGTTCTCGATGCCGGTTTGTCCGAGATCTGTCAGACCGTACTTCTTCTCCGCTGACACGATTACAACATCGGACAGCACGTAGGTCTCTCCTGCCTTTCCGCCTTGCACGTCGCACAGCAACTCCGTGCCATCGGAAGCGTGATAGCTGAAGTGACTCAGCGCCTGAGCAACTTCGGCTTCCGTGCCTGCTGCCCCACTATTCGAATTAAATTTCCGGAAGTTTTCGATGTGCGGTTCGGTTAGCATCTTCTGGCCCTCAAGGTGTCCACTAGACTGCGTCCAACATTCCGGCATATTCAGCTTGATCGATACTCTTCTCGAGAAAGCTGTTTCCTCGTCGATGTACTTGTGAAATGCTGCAATAATCGGTAAAGCGCGCTCGGCGTTCGTTGGTTATATCATCCTCAAAACATTCACTGGAAAATGTAGTTCCACTTTTCAGAAACTTGCAGACGCTAGGACATCCGTTGCCGTACGATGCTGAAACAACATACTTGTACTTGCCCTCCCCGATGCGCTCATTCCGTCGAAATGTGGCCTGGCAATCGCTATTGCGATTTGCATACCCCTCACTGCAGTACACTTGCGCAGCCATTATTCTTGTCTTGCTATAATCACAAGGTCAGACCTAAATCTTCGAATCGATACTAAAAACGTTCCCACAGACAGCTAAGGACTTAACAGTCCAGAGGCACAATCAATCAAGACAATTGCGGTTACCCTGTGTGGTGTCAAGAATGATAATAAAAATGACCTGCGTCACTTATTTCTGCCATAGTATGCATCAAATCACGCTCTTAGTTTTTCGTGAACAACAACCACAAAGATCGAGAACGCGGCGGACAGTCCTAGCGTCATCTCCCATAATATGTGTGTTCATTGCTCCAACCATCAAGTTATACAGTTGTTGATCATTTTTGCGATGGATCTGTCATGACCTACGTATTGCTTTGCAAGCACGACCACCAGAACGTTCTACATTCTGAACGACGCGATCGTCATTTCATTTCAAATGTCGTTTCTTCTATCATCGTGCTTGTCTCTGGGACGACGAATTGCGTCGTTCGTGTTCCTATTAGGTATTCTTTTATAGGATAGATCGTCCTGCTCGCCATCGCCGAGGTTTCTTCGATTGTACCAGTCGTGACGCGGTAGCACTGGTAAAAATTGATGATTCATCTGTGTTATAATGATATTTACCGCAGTAGCGAGAAACACAAATAATACCTCTCAAAAAGAACGATCGGAAGAATAAGCCATCACAAATAGGACCATACCTCAGCAAATCCTTCCATGATATCGTCTATCGTTTCCGCGATGAAAGAACGACTTTTTGCTTTGAGCTTTTCCTCTTTATCCTGCCTCTCTTGCGCGCGCTTCTGTGCAGGTGTTAGCTCGGCTCCCTCAGCTTGCGCCAGTACATCTTCGGTGGCGTCTAGATTTTCAGTTCCTCCTGCATCTTCAACAGCTTGCTTAGTAGCGGCAGCCGGAGCGGCGTCCGAAACCTTTTTTTTAACAGCCATTGCAAGAAGCCCTGACATCTTGTTGCTTTGATTCGCGCTAAGTAAATTACCCAAATGTTAAGATACAAACAAAACTTAGAATCAATTAGTGGTCAACAACAGCATATACTCAACGATTATCAATTTTACGAGCCCATAATTCAAAAAAATACCGCAAATACGAATACCTCCATCACAAACTCCTAGGCTTCTTAGCTAATTGAAAGTAAAATTGTTCTGAATAAGTTCTAATTCCATCAACAGGCGGACACGCCGGATATCAATTAGACTCCATGACGTATTTCTGACTCCGAAAATCACTGCATCAAATTATGGGTAATAGTTACAAAACCTACATAGTGACCTTGCGTAGTAAGAAAGTCATGGAGTGAGTTGAGCTCAGGATGGGACACGCTCTCTTGGCGTACCGATCACAGTCCGATGGAAACCGATTCCAACCTTATTTACAATGACGCAACCGAAAAAGTCAAGGTCCGACGACAACAACGGCATAAACTTCAACCATTCTGAGGAGACCGAATATGCTTCTCTTGCATCATATTCACTGGCCTTCTTGCGATGATACGGACATAACCGGATACTATGAAACGGGAGAGACTAGGTACTTACTATAAGTTTTACTGAGGAAACGAGTAGACTTCCGCCGACACGTACACCTCGGCGAGCTTGCAGCCGACCGACTTGACATTTGTTGCTGTGCGTAGCGAAGCTTTCATCGTTGTACTTGCATTTCGCAGACATGTATTTCACAAGGAAAGGCAATTGTTCGCCACAATCAGCATCACCTATGAAAATTCGAGACTACTTCGCACTTCTTCGATTTTGCCGCTGGGAATCCACTCACGGTCATACAAGAAATGCCATGCTCGTTTCGGACATGATGGTTTCCCGACCAGTCAAGTAGTAAAATGATCGACCGCAAAATTGTTGCGTTTCGCAAAAATACAGACATAAGGATATGTTGTTGCACGGGATAAGTCTAATATTGTCGAGGTGAATATGGAATAGTATGCATCTTCTATCGACAAATATGGAAAGCACTCGAATGTAACTTCCTAGTTCCTATCCATGAAAATAATGAGGCTTCAGCCTTGATGCTAGCGACATCTTGAGTTCTTGCAACCTCCTGATTAATGCTGAGAAATAGGGCAAAAAGCGCAGAGTGTCGATGTGGTTCATATTTTTGTTGTATTCTCAATTTCTGCGGCTTCGCACTCCTAATCCTATCTTCGAGTCTTCAAAAAAGCGTTCTACTATTTACCCGAAGCCACCCGAGAGAGGCAATACAGAAGAACACAACCAGAGCCACACATGCACTCCAATTCACAACGAGAAACTCCTTTGTGTCCTCTACCTTCATCCCAGCCCAATATTTGCCAAGCGCCTCGCGATAAAATCCAGCAGTCTCCGCAGGCGAGTACGGCGCAGACGTCGATGCATGCGAATGCACTTGCACTTGACTGGTTTAAGAGGTAGAAAAAAAGAACCGTCAGAAGGTTGATGAAGGCGACAGGGTAGAGAAATTCTTGATGTATACTTATGCCATTTCCTAGTGCGACAAGTGTCTTACTTCTCATCCAACGAACGCCCTAAAAATTACCTATCCATGAAGGTCGCGCACGCCGCAAATTCCACGTAAGATATGAGCTTTATCAGGTATCCGCTTGGCGTAATCCATTGCATCCATACGAGGTAAGACGGCATGTCCTGCAACGCTCTGTAGGAACCCGAAAAGCAACTTGGAATCGCCGTAAGAAAAACCGGACCCCACAGTAAAGCCTTCTCAGGGGCATTTACGTTCATTGTCGCTAGGAACAAACCTGTCGCCATACCGCAGAAACCCATCCCCGCCATCGTGATCCAAAGCGTCAGAAACTTCGCGTGCAATCCCCAGAAAAGATGTGGCCAGACGAAGAGATGAAGGAGGGACACCACATCAAAAAAAAGACGACGGTGGCGTCATTACTGAATTAAAATGGAAGATTCGCATTTTGTGCGCCCGCAGTGGACCGAGCCACGATCTTGTAATCTATACAATTTTTCAATCAACACCATGATAACCTGAATCACAAGCATAAAGTAACCAGGCTGATTGAACGAAAATGAGCAGCGTTTCCACCAACATCTTGCTCAGCAGGTACGCCGAAACACCGTATAGGTTGGAGTGGTACTCGCGGTTGAAGATAGCTCGTTCTTGTGCGATGCTCATCAATAGCGCCTGTGCAGCCGACATGAGCACCACTAAGTGAATTTGGCCCAAAGGACCATGCAATTCTCGAATTTTGGCACGAAATTCACCCTCTCCGTGCACATGTATGAAAAGAGCAAATGGTAATGGAAAATCAACATTAAGGTCATGATACCATCCAACAGAACTTGATGTTGCCTCGGAGATAACTCTTTTACTCGTACTTGTAACAACAAGGTCGGACACTCGTCCTCTACAACAACAGGGGTCTGTTCATAACATAGTAATCGCTTTGCGGATCGGACGCATCGGAACTAGACCGCATTACGCCGCCGCTGAGTTCGCGGCCTACGTTTGCGTACGCAAGGGCATAGATGAGGACACTGATACTCGGAATCAGTAGCTTCGAAACCATCGCATCCACGTCTCGAGACCGATGTGTCCATTCTCTCTTCAAGAGAAGCGAAAAAGTCTTTCTGCCACTTCTCTGAGTCGTGCGCGCACGCGCGGAAGAGTGCCGCTTCAACCCAGAATGGGCGTTCTTCTTGTAGTTTCGATGATCTAGACTCGTTTTTCCTCTACTCGGTTCATCAATATCGCCTGCGTGGTCCAGGCCATCGTCATCGCTGAGGTAACCCGCGTCGCCTGTGTTCTGCAGCAAGCCTCCGGGACCATCGGCAAGCACGCACGTAGAGATTATCTCGTGAACCTCCGCCGCGCACCCTAAGCGAGCCGTCACGTCTGCATGTAGTGTTTTGCCATCAGTTTTGTCTAGCCGGATACTACTAGGGTTAGCTGATGAAGCGTACATTTCACCGGTCGTACATCGCGGGGTCGTGGTCATGCTTCCGCTCCACGCCTTGCCCTGTGACTTGTCACCACGTGCTGGTCCCTCCGAAGCAACATCGCCACTCCCATACCCGTTGCGTAGACCAAGAAACAAGGCTCGAGCGTTATCGCGGACCTCTGCAAACTCCTGCGTTGAGAAAGACTGTGCAAGATACAACACCCAGTCACAGGTTCCGTACCCCTCTGGAATGGGCTGACCGACAACGAGCTCCAGAAACCCAGATATTGTTTGCAATCGGGCACGGTTGGCGCGGCGAAAGAAAGCCTCGCGACTGCTCCCGATTGAGCTGCACATGCCGCGGCCTCCATCGGTGGCATCGTGATGAAAGCCACTGGCGGTGGATCGAGGAAATTCTTCTTCTCTACCAGAGTCGTGCAGGTAAGATTCGCCGAACTGAGTAGATGGATTCATCACATAGCCCGCTCGCGCGAGCGTTTCCTCCTTATGTTCCTGTAACGAGAATGAGACCACGTCATCGTCCTCGTTCGCGCCGTTCCCAACTACATTGTCGCGGGCATCTCGCGCACCAGCCCTGTTTTCACTTGAGGGCGACTCCACTTTGTTTTCATTCGGGGATGACTCTTGTCCACTAGGCGACGCACGCCAGGCATCGACATCGGTCCCACGACCTGTTGGAGACTCGTCAGCAATATCTTCCCCCAGATGTCCTTCGTCGGCACCCCCATTAGCATCAATCTCTTGATGTTCTTCTGATGCCCTAGTTGGTACAACTCCAACTGTTCCCTCATCGTCTTCACAATTCCCATTCGCGCTGATGCGGCCGGGATGCCCCGAGAGCTCTTCCTCTCCCGTCGCCTCTTGCACTAAAGGATTCTCCTCCTCGTCCTCACCAGATATTTTTCGCCCTTCGACAATCACGGGCAGTCCAAAGCACCCTCGACCAGCGCTGGCGCGTCCCCCGAGTGTGTTGCGCCTGTTTGGCCACCGCATGGTTCCAGGTGAGGCAGCAGCTTCGATGTTCTCTTCGTGCTCCTTGTTTTCGGTGATGGAAGGATTGTTGAGATTTTGCGCGCCGCCAACACTATCGTCACCTTGCTCGATACTAGGTACGGCTGAAAAGTTTCCGAGTGCGATGTGCAGCAACAGCGTTGCCCGCTTGCCGGAGTAACCTTGAAAAAGTACTTCTCCTTGACGTAGACACATAACACGATCAAAATTGTCGAACAATTCTGATGAGGGCTGGTGAATCGTACAGCAGATGATTGCTCGATCGCGAACTGCAATTTCCTTGAGCTTGGAGATCAGTTTTAGGCTCGAAAAACTGTCCAACCCGCTTGTCGGCTCGTCCAGAAACAACAGCTTTGGTCGTGCAAGTAGCTCTATCGCAGTCGAAACGCGTTTTTTTTGCCCTCCACTAAGCCCCTTCTTCAATGTGGTGCCGATGCAAACGTCGCGCACCGAGACGAGGTCTAAGACTATGAAAGCACTAGGACTCACGCAACCCCATTTCGTGAAGATGGAAAACTTTACAGTGCTAACCGTTCTTACACATTGCTTTTGCTTCATGCTATGACTACAAAATGATTAATGATATCTGTAGAGGTCACTCAGGTTACCAAAAATTTCCGAATCATAAAATCTATGAGCGTTTCCTCAACACGCTGCCGGATTTGTTTGGCCGATAGCAGGTGTCCCAATTTCAGCTCGGCCGCGAACTTTAAGGTTTCCGCAACGGTCTGTGTCCCCAACAAGTGATCCTCTTGCATCACATAAGCCACTGCACTGCGCATGTCTTCGAATTTCATCTCCCGTCCAGCTAGCCGAATACTTCCGCTCTTTCCTTCCCACGATTGTCGTGCTGCGAGCAGATTCAGTAGCGTGCTCTTGCCAGCGCCGCTGGGTCCGACAAGAGCAGTGAGTTCGCCAGCAAGCAGTTCTCCGTAGCAGCTCTTGAGCAACATCTTTCCCGAATGGCCCGCGCGCGGCCACGCGCGAGAAGAGAGACTCTTCGACGTTGACAAGGACGAATCGCCTGACGATCCAGTTATTCTCGAAGAACCACTGCTCGGCGCGCTACTGCCACCGGGGGGAGTCTTGACAGCAAAGGTAAGGTCGTGCCATGTCAGCTTGGCTTCTTCGCAATTCGAAAAATCCTGAAAGCGGCCGTGATCTGGTCGCGGGCCTGTATTGCTACGTCTCTGTTCATGGTGCTCATCGACGCTATTATCTGCAACGGCAGGAAGCGATCCATCTTTCTCGTTAGGTCCGCGTGGTGGTAGGCAGTTTTTATCAAACACATAAAGTGCATGCCCCGCAGGATAGTCTTTGCGGTTTGCTCGCATAAACAGCGAGACTGAGTATCCTCCAGGATCGCCCAAAGACTGACGTCGGGCGGCAAAGCTCTGTGAGCCCCCCTGCAGTAGTGAGGGCAAATGCTGTTGCCCAACGACTTCGTTCAATTGAGGGCCAAACGTTGACCGCCCCGCTGTACAAACCAAGGTCTGATCCGAAGGCCCGGTCGGAAGAACAGTGCCATGTGTGACTCTACTTGACTTTCCGCCGATCCTTGATGGGTCGGCACTGCTTCCTCTAGCAGGTAGCTCTATGCTTTTTCGTGGGATCATCCCAGAAAATGAGGCCGGTGCTGTGCCCCTGCCTGTTCGTCGACCGTCCGCTCCCGACTCCACCATGCGCCGGTAAGTAATCCTAGCTTCCTCTGCTGCCAGATCATCCTCTCCGCAAGCATCGGTAGGTGATCCCGACTGATTCAAACCTCCCGCATAGTGTTCGGTGCCAGCATTAGCACGGAGGACGGCGGCCCCAACTTCAGCTTCGCCATAAACGAGTCCAGAACGGCGTGTGTCCCGCGAAAGCAACGGAGACCCCTCAGAGTGAGGTACAGAGGCCACCATAGTCAACTGAGTACTGACCTGCACCACTTTGCTCTTGGTCTCACTCGGCAACTCGGACTATTTTCTCTCAGTCCTCACACAAGAATGGCGGAGTTGAAATTTTCATTTGATCTCTATCGATCACTTTACCTGGTCATGATCATACTCGCATTATACAATCGTGCACAATATTTGGTGACCGATTATGAAATTGTACAGATTGCGGAGAGAAGGCGTTCCCTCAAGGTTTGTCATTGCAGAACACAAATTATAGTTATCAGAAATACTGGCATATTCTTATCACGTAAATTACCAATAAGATTCGTAGAGCAATCATGATATTGCTTTCGATGATGAACTATGTTGTAGTATAACGACACTGATACAGTTACAGATAAAAATGGGAAATAGAACATTGCCATGGGAATGACGGAAGGGGAGAGGGGTGGCGAGGAAAAGGAACTTTCGTCGAGTTTTTGAAAGAAGTGTGAATCAATCTCTACATTAATGTGAAGCCATAGATGTGATCGTCATCGTCTCAGTCCATATTCAGCTGTAATTAGAGGTAGGTTTTTGGTGCTCGCTTACCCCGCTTGTTATGCCTTTCTCCCTTAGGAGAGGCATAAAAAGCGGTAAGAAAAGCACCTTTAACCTACCCTTAATGTACTTAATCGAATCAGTCCAGATCTCCGTTTTTGGTGATGTATGAATCTCAAAAATGACGAGCAACTTTTCTGAGAATCAGACAGAGAGAGTGCGAATAGGATTTCCTGATTGTCGACTATTTGACACACTACATGAATGCCAGCAGTATCTTAGAATCCTTTCGAAAACCAATGCGATGTATGTCGTTGCTGCTGCCAGATTCGTGGCGGGTTGGCTGGAGTTCCGCCGTAAGCTGCGCAGAACTCTTCTAAGCTGTACATGTTTTCGTCTGTAGGGTCGATTCGCCGTTCTTGTTTTCCTGCCCTCTCCATCAAAGCAAGCTTCTTCTTTCGCGATATTCTGCCTCCTGCGCCGTCCGAATCGGACGATTCTTGCCCGTCATCACCATCGTCGTCGTCATGGCGGTGAGAAGCTACGCTCTCTTGATCCGAATCGCTGTCGTCAGAATCGCTACTGTCATCCGAATCTCTCTCCTTCTTCGGCTTCTCCGGGCCCTTGTAGTTCGGATTGTTCTTCTTCTCCTCTAAGTGCTTTTTGAAGGCTTCCACATCTATCTTCGCAGCCAACGCAGAACCTTTTGCGGCGGCTGCGTGTTGTGCCTTAGACGCGTCAGCATCGTCCTTCTTTTCTGCATCGTCTTTCCCACGGCGTCGCGAATCGTCCCTGGTGGAGCGACCTCCGCGTCCTCGTCGTCGTGACTCGCTGCGTCGTCTCCCACGTCCCCGTCGCCCGCCCGAGCCCTCCCGTCTACGTCCTCGACTATCGCCTCGCCTGCGTCCACGACTGCGCGAGCGCCTGTCTCTCCTTCTTGTGTCATCATCCCGCCCCCTCCTGTCGGTGCTGCGACGGTCTCTGCTTCGTCGTCGGGCTCCATCTCGTTTTCGATCCTTGCCTGCTTCACTCTCCTCGGCCTCCGAGTCAGACGGCAAACCCTGCTGGCGCCGCTCCTGACGAATCAACCACATGGGCTTCGCGCTTGGGTCGTTTTTTTTTGCGTTGCGGCCTCGCACATTCATCTCCTCTTCCTCCTCATCGCTGCTCAAGAGGTTTACTACCTGCATATCATAGGGTAGAAGTACTTGAAGTACAAGAAATTCCTCGAGAAACTACCTAGTAACCAGGCAGTCCCGTGCCGCTGCTCAGCTGCAGCAAACATAAACGCTCACGGAATAAGTCACAATCTATTGACTAAAATAACGTGGTAAGCGTGAGAAAAGTGCCAGAACTTATAGGCTCAAAAAGATATTTAAGCAAATTAAGTGCCTACCGCATGAGTTTTCTGGATCTTGAATCGGTCCGATTGAAGATATTTCTGTTGATTCTGCGTGAAAAATCGAAGGTTATCCGGGTCCGCAAACATCTCATGGGCCTTCTTTGACTGAGCAAAGTGCCAATCGTCGCAGAAAGTCGGGGCCGCAAGAATTTCATAAATTTTCGTGATACTGCTCTGCGGAATGCGGCCCTCGCGTAGCGCACGAAACGCCTTCTCCAACCACATCACTTTACCTGCAATTTGTTCATTCAAAGTCGTTTCACAGAATGAAAGAACAGAAGAACACATTCTTAGATAAAAAATTGCGTAATATACCTTTTGAAAGTAGTTGTATCCATACATTTCATCGCATGTACCTTTTGCCTTCTTTCTAAGCACGAGCTCAGGCTCCAACGGAACGTAGAGCTCTTGTTCTTCGATCTTTTCCCTTCCCGATTTTTTTCGGTCTCGCAAAACCTTCTCAGCTTGGAGTTTCTCAATCTCATACTTCGCTTCCTGGGTGAGCTTGCCCGTGACATCTCGCTCCCAGATCATACGCAGCCTGTCCTCGTCCATCTTGCCGCTTTTTCTTTTTAGAGGTCAACTCCGAGACTAGTAACAATAGAATGAATAGCTGAAGGAAAAAGAGTCTCGCTCTTTAAGAGAGACAGTGAGGAGCTACCGATGGCTCTACACTTTTCAAAAAGCAACAAGTGACTGGAGAAACATTCTAGCCTGCAATGAGATAAAAATGATGGATTTTCTAATTTTTGATCATTCGAGATTTGTAGTATGAGGGAAGAGGGGTGGATAAGTTCCGTACCAGAGGCAATCAGTTACACGTACCAGAGGAAAAAAGACATGAATCTGATGATGGATCGTTAAAATCCAACATAAAACGATGCATACATATTCCACTTCATCACAGTATAGAAATTCCAGAGCCCCCGCGAATTTCGTTTTTCTCATCAACTTGCAAATTGATGTCTCGCTTCCGAATATGTGACAAAAATCACAGGCCATCTATAAGTGTGAGCAATTAGATCTCTGTAGATCCAAATCATTTTGTTCCCTAGGAAAAGAACGAGTGATTAACATAGCCAAACAGCAACTTCAGAGTTTTGTTCGGAATCAGGACGAACACACTCATAAGTTAGTAAAATTGTGATGACATTGCAAGCGCAGCTTGCTCTTAGAGTGTCGGATCTTTAGTCCACTTCTATGTCGACCCGATTCTGAACAAAGATTATTCAACTTACACTGTCTCTTCGGATCCGTAATGGATTGAATTTTGTTTGACATGTCGATGGGGAATGAGTCACTTCTTAAGTTCCCGGAGTATTCATTTTGAAACTATGATAAAAAAACTTTCAGGGAGCTCACAGCACCCCAGGACATTACCCAGCCACAAACGTTTCTCCGGAATTTTGTGCAAGGGTCGATGAGGGAAAAACAACTCGAAACAAGTCTGGAATATCCACGAAACTATTTCAGCGACGATGATACGACGGAAAAATCTACCACGAGTTAGCAGGTGAAAAATTATGAAAATAATAACCACGGTTCATTTAATTTCCAAGCAAAAAGGGCTCTAAACTTGGCTCATTAGATTTACGTTGAAAAGTGAGGTAGCAACTTCTTACATATTCATCCCGGGGCACTGCGTATATATAAGGATAATTCTTGCTACAATCTGAGAATATTAAAGAGCCAAATAAAAAATCAACAACGACCCCGCCAACCTCCGAACCAGAAACACTGGAACCGAAAACACTCGAACCAAAGACACTCGAACCAAAGACACTCACACAACAAAACCATGAGCCTACGAACCTATGAACTTAGGAACTTACGAGCTCTCGGGCGTGGCATGTCATTCGCCCACGGTCGCCACTCCGGCCAACACGCTGCCCGTGATGTGTAGCCAATCGCGACCGCAGGCGATCCAATGTAAACTCGGAGCGATAAAATCAAAAGTTTCATATTTTGCGCAAAAATAGCAAAATTTTTGACCTTATCAGCCACAATTTGTTTCAAATTTTTCAAATATGAAAACCCAAATCCAAAAACTCAAGCGGAACAGTCTTGGGCTCGAAATTTTGGATTTGAAGGCTTGGGCTTGTGGCCTTGCATTTGAGGTCTTGGATTTGATTCCAAAACCTCCAATCCAAGACCTCAAGCCCAAAACTTTAGCTCCAAGATTTCGAATCCAAGACTTCAAGCCCAAAACTTCAAAGCCAAGACCTCAAGCCCAACACTTGAAGCCAAACGCTTCAAATCCAAAGTCTTAAATCCTAGATTTCAAATCCAAGACCCTGAGTCCAAGACTTCACAACCAAAAATCTCAGGTCCAAGACTGCAGAGCCAACACTTCGAGTCCAAAGCTTCAGCTTGCAAGTCCAAAGCTCCAAAATCAAAGCGCCAAGCCCGAAGCTTTACGCCTAGAGCTTCGCTGAAGCTCAAAGCTTCATACTGAAAGCGGCCACGAGCTTCAAGCTGCAAGCCAAAAGCTTCAAACCCGCCCAAAGTCTCCACCTCAAATACTTAAACGCAACGCGTTGCACTCAAGACTTCCAATCCAAAAACCTGCACTACTTTCAAAAGCTGACAGACTTTGAAACTTCTCAAAAACCTCAGGGCAGCGACCTTGTCTGTCAAGTTCCGCGGCGCCTCTGTTCCGACTCCTCCCTCGCGGATCAACTCCGCCAGGAAAGCGCCGCGATCTGGCGGAAGAGGAGCGGGGGGCGCGTCTTGACGGAGGAAATGCTTGACAAAGGTGGAGGATTCTAGTGGAGGGAGAGCTATCGGGCGCTGAAGTCTAGTATTAAAAGCGAGGTCTATCCATCATCTTGCCCACTTGTTAGATCCACAAAAAAACCTAGCTTAGTGCTTAGTTCGTCTAAAAATGGAAGCAAATCGATAAAAATTCCACATGCGAGTTCACTACTTGTTTTAGAACGAAAATCAATCTGGCAAACACGCTGTCGCGCATACTGCATGCTCATCATTCACATTATGCTGCATCGCGATGTGGATGCCTCTGCAAGTTCTTCCTCAGGCTCTGCTTGTGTCGGAACGACCCATGCAGAAGTTGCATCATAATCGAATGGCTCGCCTTTTGTGAACGCATTCACGTATGCGTCGTAACTGTTCGTGTACGTTGCCACACTGCCTGGTGCGAAATAGTCGGAGACATGAATGTGGAAAGGCACGACAAGGAGGTACGGCTTTTGCTCAACATGGGCGCCATCAAATTTTAGCTATGGTCATGGTCATGTACTTCAGGTTCGACCCTTACTGGCCTTCTTTGACGCAAAACTTACACAGAGGTAAACTCATGGTAAGGAATTTACAGCGCAGTGCGGATTAAGATAATCACAGATGTAGTCGCCATCGACCATCATGATTACCGGCGGCAAGGATGGGACAATGCGCCCTAGCGTCACATTCCATTTCCATCGCGGAGCCGCACAAACAAAACGTTACTCAAAGCAACGCTTCGATAGCTTCCTGGGGATCACATCCTTTTTCAGCCAACACAACCAACTACCACTTCATTCAACAACTACTACACCCGTATGAGTAATTACAAAATCGAGATTCCCATTCCGATTGCGATTGCGAGTCGCCCCTTCATAACTATAGCCGAAGCCGCTCGTAGGACCCGTGTCGTATGATGGCGCTGCAAATGTCTCGTATGGATTCGTAAACGTCGCGTAGGGATTTGTGTACGAGTATCCTGTCAGATCCCGTGCTAACGCGGGGTCGTTGAATTAGAACAAATTCCAAAGGAGTTGAAAACTATGGAATCTCTGTAGGAGCAGGTAGGCGCCTCTTTTAGTAGCATACCCAATCCCAGCATGGGGTCCGTCTGCGTGTGAGGATATACAAAGTCTTCCTGGCGTACAAGAGCAATAGTCAAAATGAAAGCATGCATCACACTAGTCATAATCATAAGGCCCCTTGCTCGGTGCACTAGCAGAAGAGTCCTTACTCGGTGTCGCGGTCGATATTCCGTCTTTTATAGAATGTTCCGCAGCATCTACACCCTTTTCTGACGGGGCACAGCAGCCGCCCTCTCTGCATGGGGCGGAAGCAGCTGAGGCACACGCCGTTACCGGAAAACAAGCTGTTCGCATGCATCCATAAAACCTGTTCTCAGGCGAAGTTGACATGATGAGCAGTAGTTGGAAATAAAGTGCTACAGCTATGCTGTATGTCGACATGGTCCAACTCATCTTGTTGTCAAAACTGTGAACTTACTAATAACACGCACTAATACTTTTTAAGCTTGCGTTGCCGCCTCGCGCGGTGTATGAGGTCGCTATGGTAGCTTGTGTACTCCACCACCTCCCCTACCACGCAGCTTGTGTCGTCTATCTTTCCACCGTAGCCTAGAGGCGTGAGGGAAGTTCGATTCTTTCCATCTTCTCCACTCTTGGCGTGTGATGCTGCAACGACCGCTTTGCACACCGCTTTCATCGTCTCCGATGTCTGCGGCACGAATTTTCCGCCTGCTGCAGGCGCGAAATAGCTATTCACGATACTCACCACCTCGTGCGCGTACAGGTTGTCGAAGACGCCGTCTGAAGATGTTGGAGTAGAGGAGTGGTGTGCCTGTGAGTGATACTGATAGTGCGAAAGATAATTAAGTACTCATATAGTGTACTTACCCATGACAGGCTCTCTTTCGCTCAAATGATGTAGGACGGTCTCTTGCATTTTCTCTCTCGTCCTCAATTTTTCAGTATCCAAGCCCGCAAGAATATGCACGTGCTAAAACCCCAACCACAAAATGGCGGCGAAAAATATGGTCGCTTCTCAAATGCAAAAACGCCTCACAAAAGAGCCGAAGGCAACGCCGCTGCTAGTATGGAGATATAAGGCGAATTCTATGTTTTTATCGTCAGCGACCGCGACGACAAGGAAGATATAAGTTTTGTCCTTCATCGAATGGGAACCACAAAGGGTGGTGAATGAGAGGAAAGCATCTTTTCTAACTATCGAAATGCAGGCTGCCTCACGTCTTCCTCTTGTGCACCGCACAAGAGAGTGATGCCTGACATGCGCCCTAAATGTAACTCGTACAACAATGACAATCACATCCAAGTAGTGGTAAAAGCCGATACGAGCAGGGATATTAGATCATAAGCGTCGCGTCTATTAAGTCAAACGAGATGCCGATTCTATTTTTCTTCATACTAAAGTGAGGGGCTGTCTTCGGTAGAACATTGGTCATTTTGAAATTTTGCTGCTAGGGCTTTTAGCAGTAGTACCTGTTGCCCGATCCTTGCGGTGACTTCTCTAAAAGATTCGTGTTCGACTACCCATCATCTATAATGTTGAGCTTTCTCTTGAAACATTCTCAAAGAGCACGAGATAATATTGTATCTATTCGCCAAATTATTATATACATTAGCGTCTGGAAACATGCGAAGACTTGTTAACACAATGATTATCCACGATCAAAATATACATGAAAATCCACAGCCCTTGTTCGTAATTAGCCAGTAGTTTTTCTAGATTCAATGCGTATTCGAAAAACTGGAATAAGCAAGTTGCTACTTTGAATAACCGAGATACTGAAAGAGGAACAACGTAGCGACCCTTTAATTTCAGTTAGCTTCTCGCTTATCTTAAGTTTTCGATTATATTGTCAATTAGATAAACTGCTGTATGATTTGTGTGGGTCGGCAGAAACAACATTTGCGTAGTGGAATAGATACGAACATAACCCTTGAGTACACGAACTATAAAATCACGAAGTTCACACAGTACAACTAGTTTACAACAACATAATCAAACAGCAGATTCTTGTTCACGAGAGAGTTCAGCTTCATCAAACAGACTCCCGACGATGCTTGAAATCTCTCCCTTTTCTTGCTTACTCGATCGATCTCCGTACTCAGGAACGCCTCTTATTGGAGACCCAAGCCAGCGATGCAGACTCCAGGAGTTAGTAAGATACAAAACAGCTTCCATGACTCTTCAGTTTCGTACCTAAGAACTGCCAATTATCTCGTTCCACACTTTTGACCAATCATCCTCAACTGAAGAAGCAGCGGAGGGTACAGACGTAGTAACTGCTGGTGGGGCCAATAGACCACTTAGGATATTTGAGGAAGAAGATGCTGACTGCTCCGCGTACGTACTGCTGCCACTATTCGTCGAGCCGTTATATGAAACAGGAGGGTTTATTGAGCTACTCGAATATTCATTCTCAATCCCGTTCCATTTTCAAAATTATGTTTCGGATGACAAAGCTGGGTAAGCTTCAAAGAGAGAGAGTGAATATTCGCAACAAATATTGATATCTGAAAGTGCAGCGCTAGAAAGATAACTGATGAGTCAGAATATATCATTTTCTAGTGAAGTTCGGTCATATGTTGCTGCCCAGAAAATCCAGAGCACTAGACCCAATCAAAGCCTGCAGGCCACTAGCGACTGTGTCGTCGTCCCAGGGCTGATTCGAGTCGCCACCATTATTCGCGATTGGTGCATTATTATCGTATTGTCCGTTCTGGTGTTGACCCGAGAAGTACTGACTATTCTGAATGTGTTCATCAAAGCTTTGAAAGTCTCCTTCAGCGAAGTTGTTGTAGTTCTGTTCGTTGTAGTCGCCGTCGGCGGGCTGGTGGTTGCTCCGATAATCATCTGGGTGAGCGGAGGAAGCGTTGTAGTTGTAGTTATCATGCTCGTAATCTTCGTGATCATCGTAGTCGCTATTATTGTAATGATCGTTAAAATTACCGTCATCCCAAGATGAACCGCGCCTAAAATTGTTGTTGATGTTGCCTCCCTTCCCAGTTCCGTGGCGAGGGCTTGATAGCGGGCCGTGTTCCCTGGGAGAATCGCCGTGGTGATTGTCGCCCGCCCAGGTCTCACTGCGATCACGATTGCGGTTGTTTCTGTTGTTGCGAAAATTACCGCCACGACCATGCTCCGGTCTCTTAAGAGGACCATTCCATCTGTCGTTGTAGTGATTTCCCATTCCCTTACCGTTGTGATGATTATTGTGATGACGTTTATCATTTCCCTTGCGGGCACCTCCTCCACACCGCTTACCTCCATGGTTATTGATGTACTTGGGATTATTCTTATTATAGTTACCGTGCTGGTGACCGTTCGACCGACTACGATTGTCACGACTATCGTAGATTCCTTTTCTACCGCCGCCTTTACCTCGATTATCGTGCTTTGCACCAGGACGGCCTTTGAATCCATAATTGTGATTGTCTTGGCGTCGGGGCGCACCGTTGCGATCGTAGGAGCAGTTATTTGGATTACAACGGTAGCCGCTTTTGGGGAACCAGCCCGCAGGAACGTTCGTTTCAGAAGCACCCGTGTAACGCACGAAGGGCGAGCTTTTCGGCACAATATTCGGTGTCGTTCGATCTCCATTTCCGTTTGCAACTGTTTCTGCATCCATCGTCGTGTCGCCGACACCAGACACTGCACATTGGTGCTGTGGCGTCACGTCGGCAGAGAGTCGTGGCGTGCCCGAGCTCAGCGTCCGTTCGGAAACGCCATCTGAGAGGCCAGCTTTTTTGGACTCTCGTTCGAATGAAGATCCACGCACAGTTGGAGGCAGACGCGCTACTTGTAGGGCCTTCGCAGTCAAGTTGTACAGCGAGAATTGGCTCAAAGATCGGGTCCTCTGCTGATCTACGATAAAGAGATTATCAAAAGACGGTAGTCTAGTGGGAGTCTCAGTCGTGGTCGTGCGGCCCTTCGGGAGCTCATTATCTGACGAAGGAGAAGCCATCTTCTTGCTATCAACGTCTTGACAATCTATCATATGCTCCGTCGTTTTTCGGCGCTTCAATGGACCTTGTCCAGCAAGATCATGCTCCTCCACGAACAATGCTTGTTGATCACAATCCATACCAATCGCTGCATTGTTGTCCATTTCTTCCTGTTTACACTTATTGTCGTCCTTCTCCGAGTCACATTTCTTAGGCAGTACTTGCAAGCTAGTTGTATCAACATTTTCTGTAGCCGAAGTTTTGACAGCTAGAGCAGCAGCCGCAGCCTGACGGCCTTGTTTGTGCGACGATACTGAGTGCATTTTTCCCGGTGTTTGATTTGCGGCGAGCTTAAGAGGGCCGAGGACGTGTGTTTCGTAGTAGAGTTTTAGTTTCACACGGCACAAAGCTTCGCGTGCTGCAAGACACAGGCCCAGATTACGGAACTCCAATTGCATCATCTTATGTGTGCGATCAACCAGAATGCGTCCGCACAAGTTCGCGGCATGAGATCCCAAAGCATCTTCCACATGCACTACGTCGACATCATGCGGGACATGCTTCAAACGTAGAATAGGGACAGTCCCCTCTCGAAACTCGTACCAGTGATCGCGTGCTGCTTCGAGTACAGGATCACGCGGTTGTACAACTTGTTCTTCTAGTACTTCTTGTGTAGAGCTAGAGGAGGCGCGCTTTTTCACGAGTGCATGTGTAGCAGTCATGGAAAAATTCCTCTCTTCGTTCATCTTGTTATGCTTCTTCTGATCGAGCAGAAAACCCTGATCCCGCTTTTCCTGGTCATGCTTCTCATCTTGTAGAAGAGCATAATTCGTCCCGTTACCGAGAATATCAATATCATCAATACTATCTTCCTTTTGCCCAATACGACCATGATCCTCCTCAGTACTAGAAGATTGACCTTTCCCTGCTCCGAATCCTTGTTGTTCGAGTGTAGAGTACATGTCTTCCCAGTCCTCACTGCCCATGCAGTCGATGTCTCCACCATCATGAACAGAATTCACTTTGGATATATCAGCTTGTTCAGGACCTTGAGTCACAATGCACCTGCTCTTTTGTTGACCAGAAACAGAAGCATCTTCTTGTCCGACGCCCTTCAAGTGAGGAGAACAGGAGGCCTGAACCTTCTGCGTCGACTGCAGCTTAGCAGCACTGATGTGGTCAGCAACAGCGCAATTAGTACTCTTGTAGGCTTCATTCGAAGATGGCATTCCGACGTTGGCAGTCCCATTTAAATGGCATTCGCCATTCTTTTCCTGTTTGCTTGCCATCTCCAATGCTGCTTTGACACCACCTAGCTGTGCCATTCCTTCCACCAGGAGTCCGCCGACACCAAACTGCTTTGCCGACGCTGCGCCTACGTTCCGACTTGTCCCTGGACTGTGAGTGCCCTCGCTGAAATACGATTCCGTGCGATCTCGGCTAAACATCTTGATTCGCAATGTTTTACTATTTTTACTTAGTCAATCTAGGTAATAGGGACGACCAATTAAAAACATTAACGTTCAAAGACTAATGAGGGGTATTCAAAAATTATTTCTTACTCGATCAATGTAGTGTGGTACAATATCCGTTGGCAGAAGTAAACACGACTAAAAAAATGAATCCATCAACAAAAAATCAGAGCGGTATTTCAGCATCGGTTCGGAGATTGAGTCTTCGAGAATAATCATCATCCACAATATTTTCTAGACCTTGAAACGACATGCAGGAGAGTATACTGCTAAGTACCACACCTCTTGATTTTGCTTCAGTTTGTAACTACTAACGCTAAACATTCAAATCTGAAATATAATAGTACTGAGAAAGCTTCTGCCCTAGTCTACCTTCTTGGTACACAACAAATATTTTATTGTCATATATTTCTACAAAGATTTTACAAATAAATATGCTATCACTATCAAACAGAATTAAAAACTTCAAGACGTAATATTAGACAATGTAGTTCTATCGTTCAATACTCAATTCACTAAAAGTTTCGCCGCCGAGGCTCACCAGTACTATCAACATCCCATCTACAAAATCAAGAATGAAACCTTATACCAAAAAACTAAATGCGATCTAAAAACCCAGACGAAACGAAGTATGTAATTCAAAAACACATTTCCAATTATTTTCATAAATTTTTCATTTGCCTGGAATGTTGTTTGGGTAGAAGTATCTGCAATTGCAATACATTGATAATCAGACAATGTTATAAATCAGTCGAGGATACCACTTCCCATTATAACGACGTCGCCTTCCTGCGCTGTAAAGCAGTGAACCGCGCTTCCGTCGCGAATAACCTGACGAATTTCATCAAGCTTCTTCCAGAATCATTCTGAGTGCGTGATTGTAGTTATTTGCCGGCTCATCGATAGTTCTTCATCTTCATCAAAGGATAAAATAGGAGTTGGCTCACCTATGAGAGGGTGAGCGTTCGGGATAGAAATGCCTGACAACGCGTTCAAGTGAGGATTGTGACTACTATCTTCAGCTAGTAGCAAGAAGAGGAAAGCAATCATTATTCTCTTCCGCCGCAAACGAAAAGCCTTTGACTGACAAGAATGACAAGCATTTCATCATCAGTGCCAATCCACAAAAGAGACGGTGATCACGATCACGATTTTCTTCAGAAATGAGACATCAGATTGGCATCCACCGCTACTCACATTCTTGAGCGTAACTGAGGATCCTCGATGACATCAGCGTCATGGTCATTCACTTCTGTATTCAACGTCTTCATCACCACAATGATAAAACATGAGTCATGACCACCTGCTCCTAGTTTCAGATGAAGGTGTGGAAATTTTCTCTTTCACTTCTTGATTTTCAATCGGTAAGGCAAGAGTAAATTAAGTACCTCAAGTGCTATCTCCTCCTCGAAATCTTCGTCTATTCTCTCGTCGACGCGCGCAACTTGTAATGGCGCCTGCTTGTTTCCGCCTATCCTCTGCATCTCCGTATGAAATATCTGCGTTGAAGATGGTCAAGAGATTATTTCTATTATCATTATAGAAGTAGAAAAATCTCCTCTGTGTAATAATAAGTTCTAACGGTCCACATGCGAATCACTTAGTACATCAGAACCATCGTCCACCTATCATCGCTACGAGCATGCAGTAAATCTTCGAGTCACGAACAACTTTCTTAGTGTCAAGAGAGTAACTGGACTTGATAAAGAAAAGATTAGTACTTCTGATCTTGAGTACAGTTTCGAGCGGAGCTGTCGATTTCGATCTTCTTAGAAGGAGAAGCTCGCAATCTCCAATGCTCAACACTGCTATCATCGGATGTGTTCGGCCGTGCACTTTGGTATGGTTGTCAAGCGCGCAAAGCAAGACAGTGGTAGACCCCAGTGCGTCCGTCGCCTGGTACGCGTCCGAGAGCAACGAAACTGGACCACGATATCTGTAAGTTGAAAGCATAAAATCAGAATGAATATTTCACGTCAACGTCCAAGAACAAAAAGACCTATTATTTCATCTTTCCTGGAAACAAGCTGTTGTTTGTTCCAGCGAGCACGTCGTTCACGATGATGACAATGTGGTCCTCGAATATAGAATAAAACTGGACTACTGGTAAACGGCCTTCTAAAAATGGAATACATTTCCTTCGCATTGCCTCCGTCTGTTTCTGGTAGTAGCTGTTGAAAAGCGAGCTCTTCTACTGCGCGACATAGCTGTTGTGGCAACTCGCTTGGATCCATTCCAAATTCTTCTAGCTGTGACACCCCGTCCATTACGCCTACCTGACATGATAGACGACCATGAATAGAAAAATCAAAACATCAACAAGCCTGATACAATCATTCGTACGTTGTTGTACCATCACTTGGTCGATAAAATCGGTGCGATCATGAGTATTTTAGGCTCTATTAGCCCACAACTCAGCATTGTAGAAAGTAGACCATTAAATTTTCCTACTGAAACTAGGTCTTAGTTTCATGTGCTTTTACCATCATCGGTGAGCACAGCGTTGCATCAGCGTCTGTCAAGCCCATCTGTTTTTTAGCTGGATGCGTATCCTGGTATGCTTCACAAGCGAAGCATAGTGGTACATTGCGTCGAAGCCACGCTGCTTCTACCGTTTCCCTCTCTTCCTTGCCGAATTCTGCCAGGTTCACACGTTGTTGTCGCGTCCCGACTAGAAATGTCGAAGAACGCTGTAGCATCTTCGAAGCCTGTCGCTGTCGTGCTGTTGCTCACCTGTAGATTCTCTCGTAATAGCTCGAGTGATGGATGCTGTGTGTACTCCGAATGACCAGCGATTGCCGATCGAGCCTCGTCCTCGGGCACTTGCACTTCGTACAGCGATATCTATCGATAATATCTCCGCCGACCACACGTCTGTTGCGAACTCCGGTCGTGCCTACGTAGGTCCCTGGAAAACGTCGGTGCGGGTACAGGGTCTGCTCCGCCAGACTATCACACGACCCCCTTCAACACGTATTCGTGCTCGACGAGGCTAGACCGAGTCGAAGGTCTGGTGAGAACCAAGTGCGAAATTGTTTCTGCACCGTAACTGGGGACTTTACTGTTGCACATCAAGCACGAGAGCAAGCTGGTCAATACGTCAATGTCTGCAGAATGACACTACAACGTCGCCGTTGCCCGTTATCTTCGGACATTATGATCAAAAGCGGTTGTGGCCACGAGCATTTTTTTTGGAGGCAAGGGTTCTCTCCGCCTTCCTCTTAGTCTTAATTTATCATCAATTTCAATCCAAAGTAGTCAATGAATTGTATGCGGCCGTCTAACGAGCGGCGGTAGTCAACGAATCAAGGAATCAAATTTTTTTGGTACAGCCGGTTTGCAATGAGAGACTACTTGGCTCTACTATGCATATCACTCGTCTTGTCACGACTATGTCCAATTTTGAACAAGATTGACAGGAGGGAATTACACTTCAAGGAATGTTTCTAGTGCGGTTTCAGGGAATGGCAAAAATCAAAAATCTTAGTGATGCTTCGCACCGATGAAAGCATCCATCGTGGATGTAAAGCGTCGACAACACTTTCAAACTCAGCATCTATCGGTATCTCTTCATCTCTGTTTTCCTCTTAGCATCCACACTTTCTTCACGGACCATAGAATAACAACTCAAACCCACACTCAAACTCTTCACAAAAATTTCCAGCACTAACAGAGAGGATTCAGAGTAGCGACCTCTTTCAGCCTGCTGGAAATAGATATGGCATAGACAACGTTAAAAACACAAAAAGAGTCGCGTCGTTGAATAGCAGGAAGTCAGTCTCATAATGCCCCACGCAGTGTTTGCTTGTGTAAACCGGCTGTTCCTTTCTGCACACTGCCATTACACATGTTCAAAGCATGGACGTTAAGCACACATCATGCACTACTATTGTTTCTTTCTGTATGTTCACCTTGTGAGGGTCAGTACCGCGAAACTGCGATGAACGGGTCATATCCATACATAATCAAGACGGACTATCCAGATTCGACGCTTAATAAATCTATGTACACCGGTTACTTGTCCAGTCCAGAGTATTTTCATCTCGAATGGGCGTTATCGAGATTCTACTGCAAGTCGCTTTACTTCCGATTGCACATAAGTGGAGCACGAGTCAATTTAAGTCCTAGGATAACAGAGTCCGAACAAGGCCATGCGATAGCTAACGATCCATGTGCCGATGGTACCTTTGGCTCTTTTTTTGCACATTTTTATAGCTCTGCTACGAAGTTGCAAGAAAAGTCCAAAAATCTAGTTCTACGGCTACCACTTTATGATAGGTCACCCTTGACAGAAAGAAAGCTCATGGGATTGACGAGAAAGATACTGACAGCTCTTTCTCCACCAAGAAATCAAAAGTCTACACAATGAAGTGCAAACGGTTTGTCTTCATGTTACAACATTTCTCTTAACAAGAAACGACATTTTTTGTGAGGGAGGACTGATCAAACGCGCAATCGAAATCACTCAGAGCACCCTCTAGAAGATATATTGTTCCCAGAACAATTGCATCATACAACAGCACCAGGAAGATATCGTGTAAATCAATCCACTACCTAGTTGTATGTCCATATCCATAATCATGTGGTACACAAAGGAAATTTATGTTGACCCAAGATTTTTGACAACAACAAAGTGCATGATGTTGTGTTCGGCAGACTGCATGCGTAAAACAGATGAGAAGTCCGATATCAACATTTTTGTGACAACTTCGTCAGAAAGAAAAAGAAGACTCTTAAATTCTTGTCTCTGCACACTGGTTGTTTGTTTTAATACAAGTGACACTCGAATAACTATCCGTTCGGGATAGGCTATAACCCGCTCTGCGTCATTATCGCTCGTGCTAGGACTTGCATTATCTTTAGGCTATCTATGCCCACTGCACACTGCAAAGTCGGACTTTTGTTGAAGCGGCTTCAGATGACAAGCTTGACCGAAATATGAGCTTGATATCTCTAGAACAAATCTAAAAGTGAATCAGGAAAATGACTGAGAGATGCGATTCGACACAGGGAAGAAATCGTAGTTGCTACTTGCGGAGTCACGGTAAAGATGCGTCGCCGAAGACGATTTTGACCGTATGTCTAGGCAGCATATGTGCGTATGAAGGCTAGAATAAATTGAAGACAATGAGTGTTCAGATTGTGGTTCGTCGCTAATTGTCGCTAGGGAAAAGGCTTGGGAAAGGAAATGTCGGTGGGTGGGATTGTCGCTAGAAAGGAGTGTCGGTGGGGGGTTTGGGAATTTAGATGAGAAGCTGACGGGCGAGCACACGAGGTGACAACTGGAAGAGCAACAACAACTCACAGCGAAGGCTCGATACAAAGAAATCTAAACATTTGACCCTATTGAGTGAAAAGGTATTTGAGATCTTCTGCACTGAGTTTGCCCCAGGCGTGATTAGCTTTGCCGACTGTAGCGTCGAAGACCGCCTGCTTCTTCTGCTGGAGTTCGAGGATCTTCTCTTCGATAGTGTCTTTGAGGATAAATCGCTTCGCTACGACCGGCTTCGTTTGCCCAATGCGATGTGCGCGCTGCATTGCTTGCAGTTCTGCTGCTGGATTCCACCATGGATCCATGACGTAGATGTAGTTGGCGCGCTGCAGATTCAAGCCCTCGCCGCCGGCTTTCAGGGACACAAGCAGGACCTTGCTGCCAATGGGATTGGTGTGGAAGTCGGAAATGATGTTGTTCCGTTGCTGGATCGACTGCGATCCGGTGAGCTTGGCGCACGGAATGCACTCCCGCTTTAGCCTGAATTCGATCAGCTCCAGAAAGCGAATGAACTGCGAAAAAACGAGCGCCTTACTATCGGCTGGAATGGAGTTGATCTCCGCGATGAGAGCTTCGATTTTGGTGGAGCTCTCAAAGTTGTTCACGTTGATTTGGTCGATGAAGCTCTTCGCCCTCGTCCTCTTCGCTACTACTTTTTTGTCACCACCTACGGCTGCACCCTTCTTGTCGTGTTCATTTTTGGAGGAAGGGCCCCCCTCGTCGTCGCTGCTCTCCTCACCCGCAGAACTCTCTTCTTCGGGACTACTACCATCAGGACCGTCTTCGGAAGCACCGAGATCCACGGTGAGCGGTGCGAAGCAGCAAGGGCAGCCGACACCTCCCGATTCTAGCTCCGGTGCGTCTTGAATATACTCCTTGACGCAGTCACGGTGAAATGCGTGCCCACACTTCGCTATCACCGGACTCGTGCACATATCTTGGCATAAGACGCACACCTCACTACCGTCTTCGAGCTTATTGCCTGATTTAAAAGTTTGATGGGCCAGTGAAGGATGACTTAGAAAGAACGATTTTACATTAATTCAAAATCACTATGATGGAGGTGATAACGCAATGCTAAGCGGACATTTCAAGAATTTACAACAGAACTATTATCAATTTAGTAATTAAATCATAAGAATAACACAATAATCAGATTAAAGAAGCAGTATCAAGTATACTTTTCGAGGGAATGTTCGCCTGGCCGATGCGTCCCATGCCGTGGATGATCAAGTATGGGTGATCCACAGCTTGTCGCAAACGCATAATGAGGTCGAAAACGTGCGCATAGTTGTGCAATAGGGTTCCCTTATCTACGTAGGTGTTGAATTCCGTGGTTGTCTGCATGTACATACTCTGATAGAAATCTTTCTCACTTGCGCTCATCTGGTCTCGTCGTACCATGATAGTCAGCGACGGCAAATTCAGGTCGGCCTTTCGCTCCTCCTTGGTTCGGCGGAGAACCGATTTCGCGAGCACCTCGTTTTTGAGCAAGTTCATGGCCTTCTTTCCGAGTCCTACGTTGTTACCGTACTTCTGCAGTGGCAAAGTGATGTGCTTCTGGAAATAATTGCGGTGTTGGCTCTTTCCGTGTCCGCAATGCTCGCACATGTAGTCTTGCCCAAACTTGAAATCTGAGAAACGTTGTTGAGACGAAGCAATTCATCATCATGATAAGGGAACGAATGATTGTCGTACTGTAAATTCCAAAAAGGCTTCTCCAAGTTAAAGATCAACTTGGATCCAATGAAAAAGCTGTAGCTCATCCTGATACATATTTCCCAAAATCAAAGGCGCAAAGAGTACCGAGTAAACAGCAGTTGCAGTCTTTCTTCTCGCAGAACATGTAAGCGAATGGCTTGAGGCGAATAAAACGTGCCAGAGAATAGAGTTCGCCTACACGATTTTGAAGTGGTGTCCCCGACACACACCATCTCGTATTTGCTTGCAATGCGAAAGCAGCCTGGCAAGTACTGGTTGTGCGCGTTTTGATGCGATGCGCCTCGTCTAGAATAACGCGCTCGAAAACCGTGGAGAACAAAGGGCTTTTTGTGAAGTCCAGAGTATCATCTACTGGTCCATCGTTCTCCACAGGTACACACAGCAACCTCGCGCCATCGATGGTATCTGCGGTCGCGTTATCTATCGCCTCCTGCTCTGCCTTACTCAGCTTTCTTCCGCAGCACGGTTTCGTTTTTGGAGCTGGCTCCTCAGCCGCCTTCTTGTTTTTCGCAGTAGCCATCTTCGATCCCTTGCCGCTTTTACTTTCGGATTCCTGTTCGCCTGCAAATGATTTTAAGAGAAAACATAGTTAAACGAAGTTTTCATACGATCTTGCGGAGGTCTACTTTAAACTTTTCCTTTTTGCCAGTCATCAAAGCATTATGATCCTTCCTACTGTTATTCATCTTCTATTCGAAATGACTTTTTCCTTTTCGTTCTGATGCACTGTGCTGTCGATTCCAAAAAGGGAGAAACCTTTCTGGCTTCTGGAGGGCGTCGGGGCAGGCTTTAACAGTTCATCGTCTTTATGTCGGGCGTTTTTTTTGTGCGGACTAACGGGGGCCGTCTGCTCTTCGAATATTTGCACCGTCTTAGCCTTTTTGTTCTTTGGAGAACTAGGTGGCACTTCCTCCGCCTTCTTCTCCACTTCGTCCTGCTGTGATAGAATTTCGATTGGGGCCGTCGCCGCGCGATACTCCTGGAGCGCGTACTGCAGCTGGCGCAATGAAAATTCTTTCCCGGGACCGAAGACGAGTCCTTCATTCGCATCAATACGCTTCTGGATGAGTGGAACATAATGTGCTCGTGCCTTCATAATCCGAGCAACAGTGACGCCACCCGCCTGCTCCGCTTCCGAGAGGACAACTAGAGAGACACCAAAATTGGAGTTGTCACTCGGTGACCAACAGCACAGCGCATCTTCACGATAGCCCATCTAGTCTACTAGTGACGAGATACTCAGCATCAAAACATCTTTTCTCTAGTATCGCAACATCACTCACAGCATTCAATTTCACCACACACAGAAGAGTTATATATTTTTCCATGGGGATGAAGATAGACGCACAAGAACGACTAAGTAAAAATGGCAAAATGAAATGAAGTTTCAAGAATTAAAAATCATAATCAAAGACAGTACTTTTTGCGTCCTCTTGTTTCCTCTTTTTCATCGCCGGCGAATTGGAGGGAAGCTTTCCAGTTCCTGTGAGATCTAGCGTGTCAGTGCCTTTGATGACGGCAGCACTAGTGGCTTTCGCGGCTGCCTTCGCCTTCGCGATCTGCGCTTTCGTCATCTTGGAGAGATCTGTGACCGAGGAGGACGACGGGCCACCTCGCTTCATGCTAAAGGCGGTTGCAGACAAAGGATTCGCAGCAGTCAGATCGATCGAACCACCACTTTTGTCCTCACTAGAGCTACTAGAAGTGCTTGCGGATCCAGCTGCCGTAGACGCAGAAGCAGTTCCATCACTAGTTTTCGCAGCGCCGCCTTTTTTCCTCTTCAGCTTGTCGAACATGTTTGTGACTTGTTCCGCCATCGCGCTTTCGTCCAGCACCTGAGCCTTGCTACTCGAGGATGCTGAGGAAATCGCTTTTGCTTTTGCCTTGCCCGTCACTTTCTTCATCGCTGCAGTCGTTTGTTGTACTTCCTCCTCCTCCTCCTCATTCTCGTCTTCGAGCAACTTAGACTGCGCCTCCTCTGGCAGAGCCGTGTAGGGAAACGGTAGATAAGGCATGGCCTTCTTGCCGCCTCGCTTTCCACCGCCCTTGCCGTCCTCTTTCACCGGCGCGAACTCGATGTTCGTCTCGTAGCCACCAATCATCAATTTGCGTCCGGCGCCGCTCTTTGCCTTAGGTTTCGCCTTAGCGGAGGACGAAGAGCTTGATGGCGGAGCATTATCGTCTTCGTCTGATGCATCCGGTTTTTTGGCCTTGCCACTACGCAAATCCGCCCACTTCTGCTTGTTCTCGGTCATCATTGCTTTTCTAAGGGCTTTTACCGGGTCGAAGATGATGTCGCTCTCTTTGCCACCGATTTTCATATGCTTCACGGCCTCCTCCTTTCGCGCCGTTTTCTGCTGCGCTTCCGTGAGCATTGCGTCGGGGCCGCAAAAGTAGGTCTGATGGAACGCTAGTTTTTCCGGCAGAAACCGCTTTCCGCAATACTCACACGCGATTTTGTGCTCGTTTACGATTTGTCGGTAGTCGTACTCCATTGTCTGGTAAGTTGTAATCACCACGATGATTTTGCCATTATCCGCTGCGGTGAAATCCAGCAACGAATTGCGCGCGCCGCCGTGGTATACTCGTACCTCAATCTCGTTCGTGAATCGGTGAATCTCGTTGCGCCACTGCAACACAGCTGCGGTCGGACACACAACTAGGGTGGGCGACTTACGTTGCTTCAGGATCACGCTGATCATCTGGATCGTTTTTCCCATACCCATCTCATCCGCGAGAATGCCACCACGAGTTCCCGGTTCGTTTTCGCGGTCGACTAGCCAATGCAGGCCCTCCTGCTGAAACTTCAGAAGCGGCACCGTCAAACCCTCAACCGTCATGGTGGGCTTCGGACCCGCGTCGATCTCCTCCAGTTCATCCTCCACTTCCTCGAGCTTTGGTTGCAACTCTGCCACAATTCTGTTCTTCTCTGCAGTGCCAAAATCCTCAAAATTTACCATCTCCTTCGTACACAGCTCCTTTGTCTGAAGAAAAAATGATTGTGGATACTCGATAAACATCATCTTCACAACATTCACAAGAAAGCTTGGTGTAGTGGGTACTAGTTTAACAGCTGCAGATCCAAGTCGTTAAATCCAACATCATGATCTGCTGCAAAGTATGTCGGTACATCTGCACTGAAGACAAGTACTTAGATTCGACTTGCTATACAGAGACAGCCACTTCTTCTCAAAAGAATCATAGTACTATCGCTTTTTTCTTGTCGTCGTAGAGCGTCACACATAGTGAGGGGTCTTGGTAAAAACTGTAGCTCGCACAGCCTAGATGGAGCCAGTGCGAGAGCGCCCAGTAGTCCCCGCGGCGGTCTTTCACGGGATAACCGACACGATAGAGTCCTTTCTCAATGAACTCGCCGCATCGCCGACAGGTGCTCCGTGAACTCGGCACGAGCTGAATCACCCATGTTCGATCCTTGACTACCTCGACCAACTGCACGTCGTCAAGATCCTCCTTCGATTGCGGAGCCACCCAGTTCTTGCTCCCTGGATCCCACCAGCAGTCGGCTAGAGGTGGGAGCAGCTTCGTTCCAACGTGTTTTTCCTCACCCCCCTTCTTCGCACGTTTCATGGGCGGCACTTGCGTCGTCGATGAAGCTGCCGCTGAACCTGCTGCGCTTGCTTTCACAGCGTTCTTCCCGGAGGATGAGAAAGAAGACGCTTTTGCCGCTCCTCCACTCGACGACGACGACGACGATGAAGCACTAGCTTTCATGGTTGTGGTCGTTTGCTTTTTCATCGCACTTCCTGGTGACGTCGCTTTGACAGCTGCCTTGCTGCTCGCGTTTGAGCCCATGCTTCCGGCCCTCCCCCTAGCACTTGGCGCAGAAGATGAGGAACTCTTACTAGCCATGACCTTCGCGCTCGGTCGCGGATTACCTCTCGTGCCCTGACTTGCTTTCTTTGCTACCTGCTTCATCGCCGGCGTAGCTTTAGCCACTGCCTTCTTCATCATCGCAGCGCTTTTCGCCACTGGCTTCTTGCTCACGGGCTTCTTCTTTAGAGTCGGCATCTTTCTGATTTTGGAGTAATAATTGTTGTCGCCGACTGTTTAATTATCATCTGAAACAAGTATAATTTTGGCTTTATTTTATCTCAAAACTTATATTATAATTCTTGGGAGAGCATTGAGGCGCTTGTCCTTACTGGACAGAAGATCAAATCAAATTTAAAGAATCAAACCAAGGAAGGAGCGGTATTGTGGAGAAAAATGCATACTCCCAATCAGATCTAATTTGGGTAACTCAAAACTGTTAATCATGCGAAGAAGATGCGACATCAAGCGAACAAGTGCTCTGACGATGACGTTGTAGAAAAGTTCCTGGCCATCCTTCAAGAACGTCAAATCTAGCGTCACTAACGAGGTACTTCCATCAACTACACACAAAAAACAAACGGAGAAACTGTTCTGATTCGAATGCCCCTCCCCACAACCAAACCACTTGGACTTTACTATACTTTCTTCTTCCGTCCCAACAGGTCCCTATGCGTGTTTTGGATTGCAAGACATTCATAGCATTAGCTTCACCAGTACTTTTTCGAGATGGATTGATATAAAAAATTCGGTTTAGAGTATAAAATTGAAACTCAGCAATGATTTTTTCATTAGGCTTAGGGGCAATATACGTACCTGATTAATTAGTATACTAGAGCAGGAGCGAAGGAAGATGAACGATGACAAGATGCAACTTTGTATGCAGTGATTTAGAGATTGAATGATCTTTCAACATTTTTCTGTTCATGTGATCTTGTCCTAGTCCGAAGACTACAGCCGAATTTGCAGTAGATCCATTGTGAGGCGAATGCGCCAAGCGACACAGAGACAAAATAACTGACAAAATATCATTCTAAATATTGGAAGCTGGCAGTAGATACTCAGAATAGGAATCAGTAAGACACGAACACCTTTGTAGATTTGGAAAGAAAATGGACAAAAAAACCTGCGAAGGCCGCGGTTGCACCAATAAAAACTTTCTTTTTGATGTGGCCTCATACGTCGTTATGATAGGAATTGATATGAGTGTGTGTTGTATGATGACAAATTACATTTTTCTGAAAAAACAGACCAACAGGTGAGGATGAGAATACGCCAGTACATGAATCCAATTTGGTGCACAAAAACTCATCAATCGTGCCATTTTTCGTTCACCAACATATCTCTCCCGCGAGTTTGCTTCCACTCAAAGTCTTGCAACTCGTAGTTTGTCTTGACTAGTCGCTCAGACTCGAACACATGTCATCCCAGAAGTAAAAGGGACAGCCTAAGACCTAAAGCACGACCTGGTCACGTGCTTATCTAAAACATTAGCCTCTCGTTCAGACGATGTCTACTTTTGATCACTCCTTCTTCCTCCGCATAAGCAGTATCTATAGTGCTGGATATCATTACATACTCTACTAGAGCTCTGATGATGATCATCATACCTATCCATCTTCTTCATACTCTGTCTGCTGAAAATTAGAGTTGACGCACCATGCTGTTTCCGTTTTTAATGGGATCACAGCCAACATGTTTGCCCACCACACGAGAAAGCCTTCTGCGAATGTATGGTGTTTTTAAGAGACACTATTCTCGTCATGGATTCGCATGGATCTGGGTTTACCATGCCGCTGGCGCACGCGTTTGTGCCTGGATTTGTCCCGCATGCTCGTTTATAGTCTTCACATGGTTTGCGTAAATGCCTAGTCCGACGAACGGTGGCAGAAAACACGAAAAAATCGCACCCCATTTCCAAGTCGATTCCGTAAAAGTGATATGAAGGAAGAGAGACATGCAGAAAAGCAGCGCCACCCGATTGATGTAAATGTAATCTCTAGATGGCACATATTGGTAATGCAAAAACAAGCACAGGGACATTAATACTATTACAGAACAAGTAGGCAGTAAAGAATAAAGCAAAAGCAGTATGCTTGGTTTCATCACAGGAAGGCAACAGTAAAAAAACAATCTTATCCGAGACAAACAATAGGTAAGCCATAAAAGCTTTCATCTTCGGCTTCCTCAGTAACCTCTTCATTTGTAGTGCTACTTTCGTTCTGAGTTCTCTGGATTTCTTTCTCGATAGCTGCAGACGAGCCAATGGACCCTTTCGCCTCGAGCACCTCTTCTGGTTCCCTCGGTCTCCTTGGGCTACGGGGTGCCCTCGGTTTCCTTGAGCTATGAGCAGAATGCGCAACGCCAATCCGGGGCGACGTATCGTTGTCGTCATCCTTCCTCAACAGCTGGGAGGACGTTGGGGTGTGCTTCACTGGACGAGATGAAGTTGACTCGCCATCTGCAGATACTACCTCCGAGTGATCGTGGTGTGTCCGCCTGTGCTCTGCACGAGAATGCGCATCGATCGCATGCACAATCGTGTGCAGCACGCTGAAGACGCGAAGAGGCAACGCTCCTCCACACCTCCACCTTTCTCTTGCTGCATGCTTTCGCCCAAGCTCGACACTAAGATGCATTTTGCTCGGCAAAACCTTCTATTTCAGAAAACTTCAGTCCATTTTTTAGACCGACTTCCAGTGTGTTCTCAAGAAGGTCCATTTTGTCAGTCAATTGCTCATTTTCGTTTTTTGGTGGTTGGTGGGTGATGGATTACAATTTCTTCGTATTGGAATCATGAAATAACAAAATGATCGCCAAGAACATAATCGTATTTTCATGGAAGTACTTACTTCACCAAGCCCATAGTACAGCATCCAAGATACGAAACACTGCGGAGATACAAGAAAAGTGATACGCTTGCAGAAAAAATAGAAGTCGCGGGCCTTCTTCCCTCCTGGTATCATGACTAGTCTTGCTGCAACAGCAAAGCGAAATTGTTATGGCTCTGACAGAGAGTCGTGGCTCGTCTCATCTTTCGACCACTTACCCCAAATAAACACCTCTTCTATTTTTTCACACGGCAAATCACACCCTCCATCCTCATACTTCCTCATCATCATCAGATGACAGGCCAGAAGAGGTCATCCTGCCACTTCCATTTCGCTTGTCAGTACCGTTTTCGGCGAGATCCTCCCCATCGCTAAGGTCATTGGAAGCAGCGGCTTCGTCGTCCGAGAGCAAAGTGGTGGATCCGCCACCTAGAAGAGGGTCCACACTATCGAAAAGCAAGTCCAGTACGGCCTCCTCGTGCTCATTGAGCACACTGTTCGCACGCTGTAGCTCCGCTCTCATCGTATGCGTCAGATCATCGAACCGTTCGTTAGAAGTACTAGTACTCTCATTCTGTTCTTGTTCCGCTCCCTTTCCGTACAAGGAAGGCCCGCGTTCGCGAAGAGGCGAATTCTCTTCCAGGGTCTCCTCGCGCCGAAGCAAATGCCGAAGAATTTCCTCGTCTTCTTTGTCCCTGTTCTTACTATTCACAAAGTTTGTGCGCAGATTTTCTAGTAAGGATTCTTGTCGCAACCACTTTTGCTTCACACTGGCCCACTCTTCCGGTGATCGCCGAGGCGGTTTCTGGCTGCCATGCGGCCTCGTTCTCGCCTTTGTTGTAGTGCCTTTCGTTGTCAAAGTAGAAGCTGTGGACACGCCGTCAGCGCCGGCTTGTTCCGCATCTGTTGTTCGAGGCACTGCGCGCGCGTTCTTCGCGGCGCCCTCGACTGAAGACCGACGGCTCTCCGACGCTCTGCTCCCGGCAGCAGAGCTGCCGGTGGCTGTGCGCGTTCCTGAACCCGTGCCTTGCTGGTCTGAAGATTTCGCGTTTGGCGGCGCCTTGGCTGCAGAGCCGCCAGCGCCTTTCCCTGCCTGATTTGGTTGTGGCACCTCCCCACCAGGAGGCTGCCAGGACGCGCCGCTCCTCGTCGGCTTGGCACTCGAAGGACGTGCTCCAAACCGGTTGTCGAATCTCGGCGCACCTCCCGGTGTTTTTGCTTTGTTGCTCGCGCCAGCCGCATTAGCTGCCGCTGGAGGCGGCGCCGGTCGACCGCAACGAGCACGCAGACTTTCCATTCTCTTGAGCAGTTCCTCTTGATCGATTTTCGACTTTTCCGCCTTACCTTCACCGAAGTACCGCTCGTAAAATTCTCCATCATTGTACAACCGCGTGTCTCCTGGAACCTTACCTCCTCCTGCTTGATCACCGCCAGATTTCGAATCCGAAGCAGTCGCCTTCGCCTTCGCAGCCGCCGCCACTTTTGCTTGCCGACGCGCAGCCAACTTCTCGTCCAGCGCCTCTTCAGCTTTGCGTTGCTCATACTGTTCAAATACGCGCTGGAAATCCGCTTTTTCACCACCCTTATCAGGATGATACTTGAGAAGCAGCTTCTTCAATACCTTCGCAGGTAACCGGCGAAGATCTTGGGTCTTCAAGCCGTCGAAAGACACTCGGTTGTCCTCCGCTACAGTCATGGTGTCGCTTTCCTTCGAAAGAAAGAGTCGTCAAGATTCAATGATCAAAAATCATTGATGAAAATAATCTTTCGAGGGCAAAAAAAAACCGGCTGAGAAAATTTACAGAAAAGAGCAAATAATCCCGGTATTATATTTCATTTTGCCGTTGTGTTCTTTCTCAGAGCCGGATGTCCACTATGTATTTGCTTTGAGGGTGGTCGTGCTGTTTTGGGAAGAGTGGCTGGACAATGTTTTTGGTCGTATTTGGTGCCATTTCCGAAGATATATCGTCCCGAAAAAAAACCGAAAACCGACATTTTGATTTGGTCGGATAGATCACACGATTTTCTAATGCTCTCTAACCGATATTTGGTTCGCTGACATTTTTACAACAAACTTTTTCTTACGCTTGCTCCTTGGAATGCGCTCTCCGAAATACGAAATGGAATGGTAATCGACTCGGCTAGTACGCCGACCCTTCCAGCAACTATTTTTACAGACTCTAACCTACAGTGCAAAGTTTGCGCTCGACTGGATATGGTTGCTGCCTTGCTCTTTTCCTCGTGGGTAGATTACCCAGAAACGTCAAAGCAAGTCGTACATGCAAGCGAATCATTAGTTTTAGCCAAAGCAAGCGAGTCTGGAAAAACTAACAGAGCAACAGGCTCCGAATTTCCTAGCCAGTTTTACAGGAATCAGTCACAGCAGAGAGTAGTGGTCTTCGACCAGCGCGCCACAATTTAGTAAACTATAGGTTCTGTAAGTTCCCAGTCTTGTTCGATCTCATCTTTATATTTGGTCTCGTGTGCCCAGTGTACATCCACGGGCTTTGGATAAGCGTATAGTAGTGTATGCGCCGGCATTTGCCATCGTCGCTTCATCCGTCTCATTCGTGAGAAGCAGCTTTTGGCCACTCGCATGTTCGGAAATTCTAGTAGAAAGCCTGAGGAAGCTATCTGCTTCTTGCCATTCGTAGCGTAAGAGGCAATATGCTCTTCCAAGGCAACATCATCTTCGGTTATATCTTCACTATCTGTTATTGCTGCCTCAACATTTTCTGCAGCACTCTCTTGCGATAAACCTGGACTGCCTGATGTTGCCGCAGCACTGGCGCCGCTTGCGAAAGGACCCTTCGTGGTACAACTACTACTAGTACCCGCCGCTTTATCCTCTGATTTTTTGCCTCTAGCACCTTGTCGTTTCGATTTCTTCGACTCCGCTTGTAATGGTAATGCACTGTGAACTTTTCGCACAGAATCTGGAAAGAACTTTAGGTGATTCAAAAATGCTTTGAATTCATCCTCGCTAAGATGCTCGTCCCAACCCTGCGTGTAGAGCTGGAACCGCGACTCCTCAAAGTCGTAGCGTCCTTCCCTGTCGCCCCAAAAAAGACAGGACCGGTCGGCGTAGAGAAAGCTGCAACCAAAAAGCGTCGCATACTTCGCGTGTTTCGGCACCGCGAGCTCTTGCACTGTCGATATCACGTGTCGTGCCTGCTTTTCACTTCCGCATACAACAAATGCAGTATCGCCCTGCACGCCGAAACGTTTCATGTTGAAAATGACATCGTGCGGAGCGACACAAATTTTACAATGCTGGTGCAGAACTGCGGCGAGATCCTTCCTACCATAAGCCCGCGGCACGTTGTGAATCGTTACCGTTCTCAACAGATGCTCTGGCCGTGCTAGATAATGCAAATCCTCGGAGAAACGCAAATAAGCTTCTACCTGCTCTACAAAAAGGCGAATATCGTGCCGATCCAGCGGACGGTAGCTGACCGGCGCGATCGACCCGTCAGCAGGTCCCTGCGCTCTTTGAGATGACTGACAGGCCTTAGCGATTGCGATCTACTACCAATATTGATTTCCAAGACTGAATTTGATAGACACAGGAGCTCGTCCGACTTCCACCGATTGTCCGAGCGCGACGTATTGGCATTGACTAAAACTACACCAAACAACTACAACGAAGGTTAACAATTGTTATTCATAACGAAAAGTTGCGTCACATGCGGGATGTTTTCTTCACACCGAACCAATGCGCGACCAGTGCTTTTTCCTAACCGTGAGCGCATCAGCAAGACGTCGTCCGCTGTTACACCCTGACTCTCCAGCCTCCGTACAATCTCCGCTTCCGTGACGCTAGGAGGCAGTCTTGATAGCAGAAAGCCCTCTTGCCTCTCAGATAGCGACAGAGCACCAACCTCGTCATGCCAGCTCTGCAACGAAAAAAACCGCCTCTGAGGCTGCAAGGCGCGGTCTGCAGGAACTCGTTGGATTTGATGAAACTGTAGTTTGGTTGTCGATGACAACCGCGATGTTGCCTTCTTTCTTGTCAATTTCCTAAAATGACAAGACGAGGAAGATGTGGAGGGCGCAAAGCCTCTCGTTGGAGGTGGCAACAGAGGTGACAAGGCAGGACGCATTTCTTTACGCGGAGGCGTTGTACGTAATTGTCGTGATCCTAAAACATATTACTTTCGCTACAAATAGTACTACTTTGCTCGTGCACGATCTTCTTCACCGATAATGAAAAAAATAATTCATTACTACTCAGCATTCTAAGTATCGTCTTCTTATATCTCTCGACAGCTCCAAGTAGCCCCGAAGTGTCATTTCTACTTGCGCTGACTCTGCATCGAGAAATTGAGTGGTGAACACTCAGCAAAAAAAAGAGCATTCGCACCCTCAACTCATTTTGCGCTATTTCCTGTCATTGAAGAATTGCGTCAGCGCCTCGACAGCGAATTGAAGATATTAAGAACATTTCAGTAATTCAAACAACGGACAGAAAACAGATGACCCTATCAACAAACTGTCCATCGTAAACGAACCTAGAGAGCAGACAAATCCAGTGAAGATGACTCTTAGTTCCTTCGGTTTCGTCGCTTGCGTGAGTTCGACATCTTTTTCTCCCGCGAGCGCCGTCTTCGCTCCTCGTCTTCATGCTGTGCAGTCCACGACAATCTTTGACGAAGCGCATTAGCCGCATTTCTCTCCTCAAGTCCTCGAAAGCTATCGTCCATCCCGCTATGGGGACCGATATCTGCAGCCAGCCGTGCAAAGAGCTCCTTAAAAGAGTACGCTGCTTCGTCCTCTCGGTCCAGAGCGTTACGCGCCCATCGACTCGCACGCTCACCTGATTGAAATCCGCGGCATCGATTATGTTAACGAACTGATTGCACAACAAATTGTAGACGTCTAAAAAGTAACCAGTTGTAAGTTGGAACATAACAAACGACTAAATTGTAAGGATAATCCAAAATCGAATAAAAGGAGCCTAATCCAGAATCAAACGCTCTGCATACATAGAAGAAGAAAGTGAATAGGAGTAAGTCGTACTGCCAGCTGGCTTGATGTCACCCACCCATTTTTCGAAAACTTTCTCAATTTGTATGTAGTCCAGCCACGCTTCCCCACTCCGCGCGCGACAACTCTGAATCATGCCCAGCAGCTTCGCCCGCCTCAATACGTGCGTGGTTCGGTAAGCAACTCGGAGCTCGTCTACAAAATCGCTGTACACAAAGTAAAATGCCCACGCATTCTCTAGCTGCGCCATGGAGTATCGACGCACAGGAATGTTATCTCCTGCAACGCCGGCGCCTTGAGGTGGGTTATCCTCTGGACCACCAGCCTGCTTCCACGCCTCCTGCGCTGCTCCTTTGCTCGGCACCTCTTTCGGCGGAATGTCCGTATCTAGGAGCAAGTATCTATCATGAGAACTATTGTGACTTTCTCTTTCATCTTTGTCTAAAGACAGGCATTTTGGGTAGCCATAATGTGAGTGAACATTAAAACCTTTTTCGTCAAACACTCTATGGAAGTACTGAATTTTTCTTGCGCAAGAGCAGGAACTGTCGAAATCCGAGAGGCCGAGAGCGGTTCAAGCAAAAGCTCCAAAACATCGCGCCATGCGCCAGTGAGTGGATAGTCTAAGCAGATCGTCTGCAACAGTGCATGAAAATCCGCAAGCGTGCAACTAAAATCTTTCTTCAGCTCTGGCGACGGTACACTCTCATTTTCTTTTTCAGCGACTGAACTGGATGATGAAGATCCCGCTGTTGTGGCGTTACCATTGCCTTCTTCTGTAGCCTCGCCTGCCGTAACTTGGTGTTCCCCCTCATCACCCACGTCGCATTGAGCATGATCTTCCGTCGGTTCCTCCGGTTCGTCCACGACTCCTAAACTTGCCACTGCGGGAGCAGCGCGAAGACGCACAAACAATTGTGTTTGAGCCCGTGTCACGAATGCGCGTCTATTCCACGGCGTCGCGCTCACATACGCAAAACTTCTGCTCTCACAGGTCACATGCTGTCCGTCGAGCACACCGAAAAAGTAATTCCCAAGAAAGCGCAGTTGTTCTTGTAACGACTGACGAGGATCCACGTTCGTCGACCCTGCGGCAGCATTTGCACTTTGGTCACCAGAAGCTGAAGATGCTGCATTTGTTCCACTAGGCGTTTGACCCCCAGCAGGCGCATCGCCAGAAGACGCATTGGCATTCCCTTCTCCATCATTAGTCGCACTCCCTCCACCAGCTGCACTCGACCCCGTTCCACTTCCACTCGCGTTTGCACCAGTGCCTGCTGATGAACTTGACGAGGAAGCAGTTGCACCTTGATTCTGTTGCTGCCGCATGGTGGACACGAAATCCTCTAGGCGCCCAAGAGCATCCTCTAAGTAAAAATCGACATTGAATCGATTCAAATACACATCTGCAGGTAGCTCAGACTCTGCGGCGCTCGGCATCGAACCACACGAGGTAGACATTCTTATAATCTCACACTGTCACTTCTCAGTAAACACAGAAAAAAGTCGCTGGATCCAAGTAGACTCTGTCCTTTCCTCTAACCAAATATGCGCCATATCATCCTCTAGCAGTTTTATACAGTTCCATTTCTAACATTCTTTTGAAATCCTGCCTCGCATTGATTAGTTGCGGCGAGGAGACGCTTCAATAAAAAAACAGCCGCCTACCTTCGGTAAAAAAATCCAAACAAGTAGACCCTTGGCCTGGCCATCCAGCGCGCTCTTTCACTTATGTGCGCCGAGATAGAACTTCTATCGCATCGAATTCAGCTAGCAACTGCGAGAATCAAAACTGTGCAATATTGTCTTCACCAGAAAAATCTATCGTCCCCCTCCCCAACAATCATAGGTATTTATTACAAATGGATGCGTCAAAGATCAAGTGTTTGTCTGCATTCGTCCAAAAAAGTTCCCCAAACTAGCTCTCGCCAGTTGTCTGAAAAACAGTCAGACAGTGGTGCAAGAGTGTACCTTCCCCACCTTCCCCCTTGCGCCGCGGCTGCTTTAAGCGCAGGGGAGCCCCTGCTTTGACCACTATCGTAATTGTAACGCCCCAAGGTATTAAAACTATGCACTGGCTGGAAGAGTAACCCCGCCTCTGCGCACAAATATCTCCGCCTGAAGTCGCGGGATTCTCTTTCGTCATCACTCTGCAGATTCATCGCGGCTCTGGTACTATTGTCACTGCTGTACACGTTTGAGGTGAATGTGTCTGTTTTAATCGCCCCAATGGGAAAACTGCCGATGGAGATACTGCGGATGCCTAACATTGATGATAGTCTGTCGATATTTTCTTGCCGGATTGCTGTCGTCGCATCTAAAGGCGGCGGCCTGTCCTGATAAACCATGTCTGTTCCGGATCCAAACTCTCCTCTTCTGATAAAGCAAGTTTTCTCGAGATATTCCTCCTGGCCGAGTGTTTCATGATCCCCATCTTTCTTGTCTGCACTTTCCACTCTGCCGGCACTCAACAACTTTCCTGTGGTATCTTCGTTTGGCCTACGCTGCAAGCGGCTGCTGTCGTCTAGATAGCCAGATGGAGTTTTGGCCTCTCCGTCTTTCGCTGTCAGAGCATACAGAAGTTTCGGTGGACGTACATCTCGCGCCCCGACACTTGTGTCACCCTTGGACCGTCGCTTTGGCGAGAGAGTTAGCTTACTCTGTCGAAGCATCTCTGACACAGGACTCTTCGCCTCGCTGACGAAGGTATCGAGATGATGTGCTGCTGTAGTATCTCCCGTTTTGTACAGCTGGTGTGTTATTCTGGTACTATCTTCACCCTTTGGGCCGCCTGTTGTGATATATGGTGTGCCATGAGGCAGCAATGGTTGTTGTTTTGGATCAACCTGCACGCTGCTCGAATTTAAGTATTTTCTCAGCGGCGTTCGATCGACAGCGCCCAGACGCGAGATTTTAGATGCTCGTCCAGGAGAACGACCCTCAAAAAACCGTCCGGAATTTCCGTAGTTCTCACTCCAAAGCAATGAAGGATTGCGTAGCGCTTGAAATAATCCTCCCGCCCACAGTCTCTGCCCGCGCTCTTTTCGCGAACATGCTACAACGGCCAAGGCCGCATGCACGTACTCCCGGGCGTCCGTGCTTCTACAAGAAAAAGCGGCCCCTGGTCCAGAGCTGGAAGTACCGTCAGCGCGTGCAATAAACGACTCAACGTCACGTTTTGTCGGTGAAAATCGTTCCGCGGATGCGACGTCAGAAATGTAGCTCCGAAATTCGTTTGACTTCTTTATGGACACCTGATCTGTGGTGTCTTGTTCGCCGTTCTGCGTTTCCACGCCCGAGCTTCCAAAACTCGTCGATGAGGAGGGTCTGATCGAAGACAAAAGATAGACGCATCGAAGCCATGGTAGATAGACGTCGAAAGAAGCTCCACGAAACTGTCCATTCCAGTCGTGGTTCGGCTCGTGCACAAAGTCAGACCAAGGCTCGAACAAACGCCGAAATTCATACACCGAGTGCCCTCTCGCACGCTCTCGCCATGAAAAGCTCGTATGCTTACTTTGTAAAGCGGGCTCCGTTGCAAAAGTGAGATACACGGGTCTTCTTGCGATTCCAGCACTTCCGTCGCGTACGCCGTGCTCCACTAGGGCAGGCGAAGCTTCCTTAGCAAGGTTGTCCAAACTACTAGGAGCCATCCCAACTCCCGAGGAAAGCTCCCGTACCCACTCCCCGGTGCAAAAAATGAAGTCATAAACGCCACACATCAAAACTTCTGCGGGTCGTTCAGTGGCTAGAACATCAACACAGCCAGTTCGATAGAGGAAAGCGAGTTGGGCGTCGACCCCACCTCCACCGTGAGCAAAGTGCCACGGAATCTGCAAACGGTCTAACAGTGCATACAGGCGCTCTGCCATATCCCTCTGATCTAAGAGAGGGAGCAAATCTGCAAGAACGCTGTCAGGATTTGAAAAGTGGTGCTGCATGGTCCCGAAAGCAGCACACTCATCTACTTGTGATGTGTCCTTATCAACACTCTTGGCTCTGTTGACGAAGCCTTGAACATCAGCACCGTGGTAACCACCTGTCATACCCGGAGACCTCCTTGTGCGGTTATCGAAGTATGCACGAAGTTTTTTGCTGCGTGGTGAGGATCGCATTGCGCTTGCCGAATCGTAAAAGTTTCGTTTTCGTTCGTAATACATACGAAAATAAAGCGAATCCAACGCTCGTTCTAGAGCGATGCGCGCCTCCCGAAGTCTCATCTCGCTTTGTGCTTCCGCCTCACTTGCCCAAGCAGCGAAGGCACCCTCCGCTATGTCATCAGAATCCCCTCCAGCCCTACACGCGAGCATCAGCAATGTGCGTTCTTCCTCGGAACAAGTCGACATTTTGAAGGCACGAAACGACGTAGTATTTGCACAACGCTTCCCAGGAGATCCTGATGCCGGCGACAAGCCACTGCTTGTTCCATAGCACTCTCCGCGCAATGTGCAAGCGGCGCTCCCAGCTGGGATTCTATGCTGATAGCAACGCGTCACGCCCCACCAGGGAGCCGGCAGCACAAAGACTGGAAACCAGGTTGCCAAAGCTGCTCGCAACGAATTTTCCACTAATGAAAAAATCTTCTTCAAGAGCGGATGCACATCCTCAGAGTTCTGGTGCTGCGCTAGAGCCAGATCTCGCACATGAGGTCGCACAATTTCCCTTAACCACATGTCGCCATCTATCCCTACCCGTTTGCCGGTAAGCACTCCATTCACGTCGCTCATTTCTGCCGCCATAGGTTCCAGAAGCTCCTTTGCAAACGCCGCGTGCCGAAACGGCGGCGGAGTCTGGAGCAACTCCATGATGTGCGACATTTTCACGCCAAGCAAATTGTTCTTAATAACAAACACTAATCGGGTGCCAAGTTACCAAGAAATAGACAAGATGTTGATTCATTTTGGTGAAGAGGTGGATCAAGCCCTTACAAATCTTGTTGTACTACTAGACGTTTCATGGGTCTACTTCAGATCCGTTTCTTTACACGTGCTTTATTGCTATTTCCGCAAAAAAAGAGAAATGAAAAAAAATCTTGAGTTCTTCATGCTTCCACTCTTTCCTTGGACAATGATGGAGCGCCCGTGAACACACCGGGAACAGCAAGCTTGCCTAAAAGAAGTGCTGCCGTGCTGTCACACTGTACACATGCTTTTCCGCGTCACGTACGCAAAAAACTACTTCGGATAAGTATGCTGGATCTTCTCGGAAGCATTGTTGACATCATAGAAATTCGATCCAAATGACTGATCATATCATATGCGTATCTGTGTTTTCATGCGACTCATTTTCATTTCTCGAAGTGTTATGACTCATGAACAAGCCCAGCGATGGCCCTGTTCTTGTTTTTGTGGAAATATCGGTAACTAACGTAGAAAAAGTGTAGACATGCAACAATAAAGTCGCATAAGCTCCATGTAGCGAGTCATGACAAAAAAATAGTAGAAATCGATGTTAACGCCTGCTCGCGTTCATTGTACAGTCAATCACATCGATGCAATGCGTCTCAGCGGCGAAAGCCACACTTTATTTGACAGCTCAGCAGAACAGGATGCACCCACGGCCCAAGGTCGCTCGCATTTTTCCTCGCGTGTTCCTGAAAAAGTTAGAGTTTGTGATTTGGCGCTGATCTGTTCTAATGAGTTTCTCTCCTCTGTCACAACTTTGGAACTAGGCTTGTGTCGTTTTCTACTGACTTTATTTGTGACACGAAAGAAAGAAAATCTCAGTGAATCTGCACCAGAAACTCCCACAGAACGTCAGTTTGATCAGTTCATTGAACTAGACCAACTACATTCAACTTCTTAAGCATGAAGATGTAGTTCCATAATATTCTGTGAAGTTCCAATAGTGAAAACCGCCAACTTCGACGTCGGTAGACATATCCGTCCGCATGTATGGCGCTGTGTAAATGGTCAATAGTGTTTTTTCGCACAGCGGTTGCATCTGTTCCATGTCACCGCGCCACATGAAGGAAATACGACAGCACTCCTGAATGTTCGTTTTCGGTGCTTGCGGCCCGTCTTTTTCGCGCTCTAGCAGGTGCTGGGCGCTTTGTGAAGGCGGTAGGGATGTCGCTGTCACGGCCGCCATGGTGTCGCTGCGAGACTTTCGAATATCATCAGCAGCCTGCGGCGCAGCTGCTGCATGGTGCTCCTTCACAAGCGCATCATGCATTTCGCGTGTGTTCGCGTCCACCGGAGAGGCTCCTCCTGTTCTTACTGCTATATCTGGGTCTGAAGAGGTGCATGAAACTTCTGTGGTGCTAGCAGAAGAAGACTTTTTGTGGTCTCCCATGACAGAGTCCGACGTCTGTTCTTCTGTGGTTTCCCTACAGGTTTGTGACTCTTCGGCGAACTCCCCTGGGTCGAGTCCCAGTTCTTCCTTCACCGCTCGTATGGCTGCCACATGGTCCGGCTCCCCATGCTCCACCGTCTCCGAGACACCAAGATCTAAGAGCCCTCCAAACGCCCACTTCCAAGGTGCTCGTCGTTGAAACAGCAAGCGGGGTTCCACGTTCTCAGACTTTCTGCTCAACGCCGTCTCTCCTACAGTAGATGAAGTGCTTTTCTCGTCCTGACCTCGTACAACTTTTTCTAGTACTGTCGTCTCTACTGCTGTTTCTTCTTCCGCCTGTTGCTGGGCTTGCGCCTGCTCGCTGGTTAGCACGGCTTCCTGATCTCTTTCTACAGCGAGTGCCACATCGACTTGGGCTTCCACACCAAAAGCACTGCCAGTCGTCTGATTCTGTTCCTCTCGGTGCGCTGTCGTGATCTTAGCTTTCACGATTTCTGCCTGCTGGTGTCCTGATCTCCTTTCTCCTCCTTGTTCTTGAGGATCATGTGTTGGCCTCCTACCGTCGGCAGCAGCTGCGTCATACAGCATCGGCACCACAAGCACTGAACGATGCCAGTACGGACAAGCAGTCCGGGACACCCAAGCCGTCATGTTTACCAATGGCAACAAGGAAGCTCTCGAGTCCGTCGTTACATTTTTCACATCGACAGCAATGTCCATTTTCGATGCATCTTCATGCTCGCTGTTTGGAGAACTGCTTCTGGTCTCATCGTCAGGAAAGTAGGAAGACACGTCGTGCGCCGCACCCGCATCGTCTGGCTTCTCCACAGTCACCATGTCGGCCTCCGCTGCAACTTCTATCTCGGCGACTTGTTCAACCTCACTAGCTGAAAGGGTTGAAGAAGCACGAGATGGCGAACCTTCTTGCGCTTTTCTTTGTAGCTCTTGCTCCTTTGCAACAGCATCGTTTTCTTCGGCATGTGCTGCAAGCACATCTAAAGGTCGTGCATCCTCTTCAACAGATGAATATTTGGTAACCGATGATGTTGATAATGATGTCGTTGACGACGACATGGTTAATGCTGAGTGATCATGATCGTGGTAAAAAGCCGTTACGTCGTCCTCGTAACCATCAACTAGGTCGGACCACGACTGGTACTCGTTCGGATCCCCTCCCGGTGGCCGAAAGACGAAAGGAGTAGGCCAACATGCCGAAATATCGCCTCCAGGAGCCATCAGAGACTTGTAAAAGCACCGTTGCTGCTCTTTCCAACTCATGTGCTTCACGGATGTTGTTCTTGTTGATGCACCCCCTCCTCCTTTCGTCGCAGAAGAGCCATCCACTGTGGCGACGAGGTGGGCCACTGCTGCAAAAAGACACAAGGTAGTTGAAGCGACAGAACGCACCATCATTTTCGTATTCATTTAACGTAGGTATAGATGATCTAGAAAGGTGTGAATATAGGCTTTTTGTGGGCAACTACCGCGAAAGCGTGCGGACTGCATCGCTAGCTCACTGTACGAAAGGTCTGGAACAAAGGTCTAGAAAAATTCAACTCAATTTGGTCACTGGCAATGAACACTACACGTCATTCACGGGATATTGCCGGCCGCTAGCACTAAGCGCTATAACTAATTGAATGGAATATGACAATCACGACTTTGTGCTGCAACTGGCACTACCAACTACCGAAAGCACCAAATAGAAGAAGACGATCATCCTCGCGTTTGTTGGCTCTGTACTCTGACTGCGCAGTCTCTTTCTCGCTTGCCCACGAGTCTCTGCTAATATTGAATGCGTGACAACGAATACCGACGCAGGTATTTCCCCATTGGAAACGAGCGGCCTCCTGCGCACCTACGTAGAAATCACGATAACTTCTGATTTCCCTTGTCACAAGCAGAAACAACATCACGCATCCGATTTGCCTCTCCGAAATCGAAATGGGATCGCAGACTCCTCGTTCCTTAATGGCGTTCACAATCTCCATCCTGGTTTGTCTTGTCAGCATGTAGGACAACAGAAACCCAATAGACTTGTAATCGACAACTCCAAAAAGCAATGAGCATCCATAAAAATCTTTGGCAATACAAACTGTCAACCTCAATACTCATCAATTACGAGCGCAAAGGAAAAAAACTACGGGAAGTCGCATAGAAATCATCACACGTAAAAAACTAACGAATCACGAATGTACAGAGAAACTCGAATAAAATCTTACCAGACCCAAAACAACGACTCAAGATATGAATTTCGCCAGGTTTTTCTGAATTGTCTCATTCACAACACCATCAGCATGTGCTCGAAAATACAAAGCAACTGCTCGGTCCTCGACTGTCCGGCAGGAGGATACGAATGTCGCATTCTTTTCGTCCTTGAGAAGTGTCCAAACGAAGAAAGTGTCAAACTTGAATACAGTATGGGATCTATCCCGAATGCATCCGGCCGGACACACACGGCCACATAATGTCATGTGTGTGCCCCTGATATCGTCTTGCCTGACGACCGTAGGTTTTTTTTTTTTTTTTGCGTTAGGACTATATGCTGCCACCCTTTCAACCAATTATTTACCCCCTTATTTATAAGATCATCCAAATTACATTTTTTTTTTAGGGTTTTAGTCTACATAAATGCCGTCAGAATGACGCACATACACCTAGACAAACTACTTGTGGCATAGAAAACCATAATCGACAAAAAACAACGCTAAAGCCACCTATCCGTATCCCGAAGAAGAAATCATAATTTCTTCGAAAGTCCTTGCTTCACACCAGGCTAAGTAGTCCTCCTAATAAGTAAAACCTATTTGTCATTTGATGTGACATTTCCAAAGAGAACGATTGAAATTGCAGTACCCTCGAAGAGCCCGTGTCGGTCTTTATGTTGTTGTACAAGAACCGTTAATTAATCCTGAATCAGAAAATGTGCTTTATCCTTCTTGCTTCTCATCAAAAACCAAGTACTAGTATATTCTCAAAAATGTTACTTGCTGCAGATGTTTACAAAGGATTCATTTCGCCATGAAGCGTCGCGAGATTATAATTTTCAATTCCGGATACATAATTCCGAAAGAATTTACCACATAATGCTTGCTATTGCTTCGTTGCAACAGCACCCTTGTACATGTGGAGTGGCTTCTTCATTACAACATGTCTTGTATGTATGTAGAATAAACCCGAGCCCGATTATTCCATGAATTGAGTTGCAGAAGATGTTAGGAAAGACTATGTATCTGTGAGGAAATCATGGATGAAAAAATCTGTCACAGCTACGTAAAATACTCGGATACCTTGGTTGAATACGGGTAACTAGTTTTAATGAAAATGGTACTGATGAGTCGATAGATAAGATTAGAGCATGTCGTTACTTCTCGAGGAAAAAAGTTTGTTTAGTACACTGCGGAAAGCGAGTCATGGTCATTTGGAAAAGAGCGCCGTCCAGCTCCCCGGAATAATCGTGTCTGCCTTTGGTCTCTTCTTGGGTGCAACTCCGGAGCTGATATTGTCTTGTTTCACTTCGGACGCAGTTCTCCTTGCGATCGTATCATTCTCTCTATGAGAAGAAAGCGAAGTCGCGGTGTCAGTATTCGCGGACTGCATCCTTGTTGCAACTCCTGTGTCGACCACTTGCTTTGACGGAGCTTTCACCTCCGTGGCAATGGTGGCATTTGTGGCAACATCGGAAGTCCTTCGATCCGTCCGTCACAGATTCGTCCACGGGAGGCGTGGTAGAAAACATGTCATCACTTCTACGCGATGAACTTATAGAAGTAGAAGCAAGCTTTTCGTTGTTGTCGACACCCGGCGAGGTTGTTTTGCTGGTACTAGAAAATGTGGAACTTCTCCGCTGAGTTTGTTTGGCTGTCGTTGTGCTTCTCTTCTTTTTCTTCTCTACTGTCTTGGACGTCTCGCCGTCTCTGGTGGTTTTTGGTAGCAGAAACTTGCAAAATTGTGGACCCTCAGTCGAACCAGAGCAGGCATCGTCTGCTGGTAAGCCTGTGCTTGTCAGTGTCGTTGCGGTTGCCGTCAATCCCTCACTGCTAGAATCTTCTCTTTCTTCATTGATGCCGTCCTCGGTACTCTGTACTATGCTGTCATACGCATCTCGCTTTTTCGGTGCGTCTCGCGAATGACCGGAGGACGATGCTCTGCGGTTAAACGACTCGCCACCTCCTCCGGCGTCGTCCGCGATAATGTTCTCCTCCTTAGCTGACGGTGGAGCGATTCCGGTAGCAGCATTACACACCTTGCTTGCGCTATCGCTCGAGCCTAATTCGAACAATGATGCGCTGCAGTTGACTAGCGGGTGCACAAGCCCTGCTTCCGCTATCCTAGACGGTATGTGTGCGTGTCTTCTATCGAGCAATGCCGCAAGCTGATTTTGGACCCCACTTAGCCAAGTTGCAAACTCTGGATTCCAGTCCGAACGAATAGCCTCGCGAAGTGGCCGCGCGAAAACATTGACGCTCTGTCTCGCCGGCCGCGTCACGATTCGGACTAGAGGGGTTGTCACTTTCGTAGAAGTAACAGACGGCCCAGCAGAATTGGCACTTAAAGTATGTTTTTGAAGTTTGTCCGGGCTGTTCGGTAATCCACTTTCTCGTGTCAAAGGCACCACGCGCAACAACGCAGTTTCAAGCTGAGCCAAAACGTTCGTCCATCGCGCCTGTCGGTCGCACTCCAATTCGCCTGCGACATTTGGTGCGGGACCTCCATGGAAATTCGGTTCTTCCCGAGTGATGTCGAGATCAGAACTTAGCTCTTGAGTACTAGGAGCAGCATCAAACTCCTCTTCGTCAAGGATGCCATCATCACTTTCGACGCTGACGCAACTATGAGAAGGCTCCTCTTTCTTATCGCAGCCGTTTGAAGATTCTTGTGCTGCTTTCATCTCAACTAATATTGTCGCCCTGCCAGTAGAAGTAGCGCATTTGAGGGAACTAGGGGCTGCTACGTTATAGGGAAAAGTTGAGCAGCCTGCCGATTCGGTTGTTGTTGCGTGAGCTGTGGCATTGTTGCTACACCCACCAACTGAATTGTTTGCTACGTCGGACCCTCGGTCGGCCGCAATGCGCACTGCCTCGGCTTCAGAAAATGTCCTGGCCGCACTTAGGATCGGACAGAGAAGGTCGCTTGTCCAAATTGATGACACCGATCCTGGCCCCGACGAGGCCATGTCCCCAGACGTAGCTGCAAGTTGGGAACCGACGACACATATAAGCGAAAACGGCGACGGGGATTTGCATTCGTCGCGCCTGTAATTCTTGCACACCTTGCTCTGCTTGTCGGCTGCACACCCAACTTCCGCCGGTGTGTCATCTACCTGAAAGACAGCGCTTGTTCCTTCCGGTTCTACGGTGTGCGTCAAGATCGTCTCGCCTCGGAAAATCCACGCGTAGGTGTACTGCGAAACGACATTTACTGTGGGGAGAGTTCTGATCTTCTGCACCAAGCAGGGGGTTTCGCATGTCGTGGGACTCGCGGTCGGATCCTGGAAATATGGATCTAGAAGAAGCATCACTGCTAAATTGAATACCGCCTGCGCATACACGGAGAACACGACCGGATTCCGTGGTGCATGAAGATCCCGTGTGCAGCAGTGACTCAAAACAGGAACGTCAAAGAGCTTCCGAACATGCTCAGGCATTTCAACTATGCGCTCTGGCGCCTTCAACGTCTCTCCGACTATCAACCCTGCCCCACTTGCGAAGCTGAACATCTTTTCGGCTGTTATATTACCAAGACTTTTGTTGATACCGCCGTGATGATCATCTTGTCCAAGCCATACGGGTGTACTAGCTCCCCAAGGCCGAGTGTCGTTTACGAAAGCGCTTAGAGTGCGGGCGCCGTGACCACCCGTCTCCACAGGTACGAATTCGTCTCGGAGATTACGGAAAATCGGCATGCGCAACATTTCCGCTCGGACGCTCTGTGGCAGCTTCGCCTCAAAACTCTGAAGCAGGGGCAGCAGAAAATTCGTATATGCTTGCTCAATCGGGATTAGCGCGACTAAATAGGTACTGCGACCAAAAACTAGAAAATACATACCACTCCATCAACCAAACCCGACATGGTGAAATTCTTCTTGCCATTTTTGATTATTAGTACTTAATCAATACGAGTCTGATTTCGCAGGCTAGTTCAGCAGTGCCGCATCCAAATTGGATGTTGACTTGTTGTCGACACCCTCAAGATGAAACACTTCACAAGGGTCATAGTGTTGCTTTCGCGCGTCTTTTTGCCGCGTCGCCTGACTCCGAGACTTCTCGGTTTAGAGATAAGACGTTCACAAAGGCTTCCACGTATGCTCCCACAGACGGTTCTAACTGCGCGCCAACATCTTGTAGAAACTTCTTCAAACTCGCGTCGTAGTGCTGAGACAATACGCGGAAGCGCGACTGCGAAAGCTCGAAGATGTCCTGGACGAAGCAACTGAAAAGATAGGGATCATAGACATACTTTCAGAATGAGCGTGCATAAGAAAATATCTAATGAGATACAATAAATGTCGTGCGAAGCCATTGTAGGTCTTCTACTGTGTCACTACTTTTGTGTCCCTCCTTTCTTGTTTTTGACGCGAGGCCCAGGTGGAAAGATGAACCCATCTGCAGCGAAAGTCCAGTCACCGATGATTCGGTTTTCACTCGGTCCTCGCACTCCACCAGCCGCCGCGCAGTCGCTGGGTGCCGTTTTCGTGGACTTCCCTCGCTCGCGGGGTAGCCATACGGCAGGAAAGTATCGGAAGAGATCCCGGATCATTTCCACATCAGTAGACGAGCTGTTTCTGTCTTGCATGGTGGCGTGGAGCGACAGGTAAATCTTTTGCATGTCGCACGGACGTCGTTGCACTAGTGTTGGATCGTCTTTTCGCTGTGGTAGTAAAAAATGAGCGGCGCAGACGCCGCGCGACACTACTGGCGGAGGATGCTTACCAGACTCGACATTCTGCTGAAAGTCGGAGAAGAGTTGCAGGTGCCCATTGCCATCCACAAATACTAATGGCCGTACATGATCCATTCCATTCGGAGTCAAAGATGGCTGCATCTGTACTGCAGTGTGGCAATCACTATATGGCGAGCCAACACCATCCACCAGAGCAAGCATCCTTCTATCGCGCTCGCACAAGGCACTAGCGTTGAAGGTCTCCTCATGTTGAAGACGATGCAATAGGCCGATCAAACCTGCGTCACGCCAGTCCAGCAGTCTTCCCTCTCCTTCGCCCTTGCTAGTGCGCCGTGGCTTTCGTGCAGGATCAGCCTGTATTGACTTTCCCCTCTCTTGCAGCTTTTTCTCAAGTTCCTTCCTTCGCTTCGTCTCCTTGCTACCACCCCTCCTCCGTCTCCTCCTGCCGGTTGGCTCAGCGGATTTCTCCTGCGACCGCAGCGTGCTGCTCTGAGCTCCGGATTGGAAGCTGGCGAGAAGGGCCTCCGTTCCCCCTGCTGTACTAGCATGGTAGCGTAGAGTAGATTGATTCAGAGGGAAGGCGGATGCCCAAGTAAGCAAATAGCGACACGTATCTCGCACTTGCAACTGATTGCGCAGACCGCAGGCGAAGAGCAGCAGAGACTCTTGTGGCATCGATGGATGCAAAAAATCACGCGTTGAAACCGCTCCGAAGAGTAGTTGTGCGTTGGATGTACTGGAGACCAGCAAATCACCACAACAGGACGTGTAGTCGAGAAAACGTCGTCCACTTATGGGATCCGTCGGCGCGTAAAGAAGCACGTCAATGGTTTCGACTTTCGCAAGCGCCCGAAGCGGTTCTGACATCGGCTCGGGCATAGGCATGATCTCCTCTTCAACTGCGGCGTCTGTTAAAGAACGATCGGAATGTTCTGCCTGGGACTTCTCCTCTGCCTTCAGCTTGGAACCGCGCTTACTATCGCAAGAAGCGTCTTTCCCATGCGGCTTACCAGGAACTAGATGGCTGTACTCATGCTCAAATTTGCGCATCTTATCCCGTTGAATGAGATCTAAATGATCGCCAAAGACTTCCGATTCCATTCCATCGAGGGTTTGCAGCGGCGCCGAGCAGCTTGCATTCGGACACCAAGGCATACTGCATAGAAAGCAAAGAAGGTCATGCCCGTAGGCCGGCCCCCAGATTGCATTAAACATTTCAGAGAAGTCCTTGCTGAGCGTCTGATACTCATTCCAGTATGACCGAATACCTTGGAAATCAGGTCGCGCGTAGCTTCCTGCAGCGCTGACGCTATCACAGGTCCTCACCATGTCGCAACGGAGTCGATTTAAATCCCGGTCTACCCAGTGCACGAGCGCCTCTATAGCCGCCAAGCTGTCCGCGGAGCCGCTGGCATTGTACTTGGCGGCGAGGTCAGCGAAAAGCGTCTTGATGAAAGCTGCACTGCGGTGGCATGAGTCTTTCATGTCCGAACAAGAGTAGGTCCTGTTTTCCAGTGCAGTGGTTCCAGTCGAACGAGAAAACAGTCGCGACGTCCGCAGCAAACAGTTAGTTCTCTCCCGGCGTGCAGCACGCTCGTGGAGTTGCTCCTCCCGATGCAGCAGGGCCGTGGAACTTAACAGGGATCGCATACCGAACCTGCTATGCATCCAACTAACAAAGTTTGTACTTTTTGATTGACCTGGAAAACCTGCGCGGGAGGAATGCGAAAGGTCACCTCCACCAGGCATTTCTTCTGCTTCTGAGTATCCACTGTAGCCAAGCCCCTGCTCGTGTGTATCCTTTCCCGATATAGAGGTCACCTGACACGCTCCAGAGCCCCACCCAATTTCAGAAGTATGGCCACCGAAGTTTCTGCCAGAATCGCCAGCAGAGGATGGTATACCCCACGTCTCGTGGGCTGCCGTGCCGTAGCCTCCGGGAGTTACTTCCAGGCCCGCACGCTGTGAGCCATCGGCGCCGTCAGAGCTAACCTCGTCGATACGATACAGACCACTGCAAAGAGTTAGAAAAGGAACCTGATTCACCTCTTTACATATCCGCGAGAGCGCGTTGCAATCCTCTGGGTGGCTCGGAAAGAGGATTTGGTGCTCGCTGGCTTTCACCAAGAGCATTCCGACATCGCGGCCCAGAGGCAACGAATAACGGGACGAGAAGAGTATTGGAAGTTCCGAGGTGCCCTTGCTCTCCCACTCATGCTCCGATGCGTAGTGGTTCCTAGCAGTACTGTTCTGATACCCGGGTCTTGATGGGTCTTTTCTGCGGTGCCTCTTCTTGGGAGACGTCGTGCAGGCCGGCATGCGATCTGGCCCCACATCTGAACTGCATGCTTTCTTCTGCCGCATCACCGCATTCATGCGCTCCTTGCGCTCCTCTCGCGGCACGCAGTGCACGTGATTCACCGCAAAAGTGAGATGGTCGTCGTCAATTCGTTGCGACAGCACGTTCTGGCCTCGTACAATTAACCACGCCCCCCGCAGCGTGTCCTCAAAGTCCGGGCCGAAATACGAGGAAAGCTCACGGTCGTAATCTTGCAGGAAATTGAGCATACTCGCGTACACGTCCTCTGCGTAGGTGCCCGTGCGCACCTCAGCAAGTAGAACTAGCAGTGACCTGATTGTACTAGACGTTCGTCCCTGCTCAGAGTACTGGTGGGAACTGCTCGACGATGACGCAGAGCAGCCCCCCACGCCGTTGATGCTGTCGTGGCGCAAAGGAATGTCTTCGTTATTGCTGCCACACGCGCAGTACTCCGAGAGCCGGTCAAATTCCGCACGCACAAATTCCATTGTGTCCTTCAACGCGCAGTCTCGCACACCATACAGTTTTCTCATCTCTGCTGCCACCTGCGACGTAAAATTCTTGGCGTTGCGTCCATCAATAGGCGCTAACGCATCTGCGGCAACGACGCCAGTGAAATACCCAAAACTATACCTCTTTAGATCCGCAAAGGTGAAGGCATTCGCGGCGCTGTTTTGGTCGTCACATGGCAGCATTTCGGGAAACAACAGAAAGGGGCACGCTCCATACGCCACGTCTTCGTCGACTCCGTTGCATATCCGTGTGTTTGCAGACTCCCATTGAAAATGGGGCGCATCGCCTCTGCGCCAGGATCCGTAGTACGCAAAGACTGGGAGCAACGACAGAGCAGCCAGTCGGGGATACAACATCTGCAGCACCTCCTGGAACGGGCGCTCTCCCGCATGTGGCACCTCCCCCGTCCGCATCCCGCACAACGCAGTCTGCGTCTCGCCGTCCTGCAAGAGCGAAAGCAAATAGAGAAACTGGCCAATCCAGTGTGGCGTCTTCTCCCACCCATGATCATTTGAAGAGAGCGCGCTGGCGCTCTCCTGCCGCTCTAGAAACTCAACGACGCGATCGAGAATGTTCGCGTCGAGTCTTCTGACGCCTAATTTCCGGAAAACGTAGGGGTCTGCTGCCCTCTCGACACTGACGCCCCGAAAATCCCGGCAAGGAAGTGAAACATAAGACAAATCGATGCCCGCCGCTCGCAAAAGGCTCTCGGGTAGTGCGGATTGCACCGCTTGAGAATATTCCGCCGGAAGATAAATGCCACGGCAGGGCACGAGCAGCGCAGCAGCACCCTCGCGCGAAGTGCCGTCAGCCGACAAAGTGCTACGATCTGCCAGATTCGTATCCAGTTGCGCGAGCAATGGCAAGTCCCGCGCCGCTCGCCACAGCACCCCTGCAGTGCTGCTCAGCCCCTTCGGATCCCAAGACTCGCACTGACAAAGCAGGTCAAAAATATCCGCGTTCGTTGGAAACACAATGTCGGCTGGAAGCCTCTTGGCCCCAGTGCTCCAGAACCCAGATTTCCACGCATCCTTGAGAACCAGTGCAAAAGTCGCGCGCACAAGTGCTACAAGATCCCCTGACGTCCAAATTTCCCTTGGCCCGAAAAAGAAGGCCATTGGGCACGCGTTCTCGATTTCGAGTACTGACGAAGACAATTCGCCTTCTGAGACGTCAGGCGCCCACCACGACGCAAAACTTGTCCACCGCCGGCACCTACGCGCCAAGAGGTCTATTTCATCCTGCGACCTATCGAGACTAGAAATACCCTGCACCAGCATCTCGTCCTTCCCTGTCACTGAAAAAGATGCTCGTGGTAATTCGAGAACCACCGCGTGGCCAGTTGCAACACCTGCCTCCACTGGAAAAGTTGCCTGCACCACTAAGAAAGCGCGGCCGTGAGTCGCTCCATCCCGTAATTGCACAATTTTAGCAAATGCACGCTGGCCTTCATACAGCCGCTTCGGCACCCCTCTACAAGGAAGCGTGCACTCGCTACGAGCAATTGTTAATCTCTCCAGTTGACCACGCAGCGTTGCTCTCTGGCGTCTGTCCACGGACTCCAACTTGATGCAGTACAGCTGCTGGTGTCGCGGACACAACACTGCATGCCTCAGATATGCGGCAGGGGTTGCCTTCGCTCCCTCGTCGCCGAAAACGCATCCAAAGACACGCTGCTCAAGAAAGTGCACCAGTCGATTTGTCTCTGTGAGCTCAACCTCAGCATGCTTATCTTTCTGGTCTCTTGTCCCAGCAGCAGCAACCCCGCGTTGTATCGAAGATGATGATGACCAGACCTGCAGAGCCTGCCCGGAAACTACACGAAGAACAATTGCATCTGCCGCGGGTGGGATAATGCGAGGATTGTTGGCCAGATCCAGTAGCGCAGAAAGGAGGTCCTTCGCTGCATTGTCACGCAACTCTGCAACATCCCCTGAGGCTTCTCTACTATCAGTCGCCAAGACCGACGCTAACCGCTTTACGGAACTCGAGAAAGCAGACAACGGATTGTTTGTCGAGGAAGGCGAAAGATTTTCCCCAACAACGGCCTCCAACGGCGCAGTTATGTTTTCTGAACAGGTGTAGTTACGAGGTTCGGACTCCGCATCCAAAAACGACGCTTTCTCATCTTTTGCATTTCTCTTGCCACACGGAGAAATTGCCGGTATCGACGGAAGGCACAGGCGTTCCAAAAGCTCTACAACGCCCAAACGCGCGCCGCATCTCTGCAAGTGCTGTGTCAGTCGGTGTTTCATTGTTGCACACTCTGCAAAACTAGACCCTGCATGATGATCAGCCTTATTCTTTTTCTGTGTACTACAGAGGTCTACAAAGCTAGCGACCCCTTCATTGGGAACGGCTTCCACAAAGCAATCAAGGATAATGTTCCCGAGTTCCGTCTCTTGGAGCAGCACTGCCGGAAACCGACATAGTATTGCCGCACACGTTCTTGCTGCCAGACGGACGTCGACTTTCGTTTGCCGCTGCATGGTAGCCACCAGCACCTCTCGCATCGATTCTAGATGCTGCCCTTGCAGGGAAGCCAAATAGAAACACACGGAGTCCAGCGGCCGCGCAGGAGTAAACTTCGGCACCGTGCTGCTCTTCTTCGCATCTTTTTGTTCAGGAGCTTCGCGCGGTTGCTGCTGCGATTCGACGACCTCATGTACGGCCTCTTCGTGTGACCTCGTGGGAGTCATTTCCTCCGACGACGGCATAAATGCCATACCCGAGAAATCGGCGTCCAGCACGATGTCAGACTCTAAAATGTTGCGCAGCTTGCTCAAAATTGCAACGTTGCTTTCCCATACCCGAAAAAACCGTTCTCTATGTGGATATGTCCGCTCAACTACACGCATCAGATTGACTCCCATGCTCCGCAGCTCGCGTCCATACTCTGCAACGAAATGTGCCAAAGCACCAAAACGAGGCTGCAGAAGATCGTCCCAGCAGAGGCTCTTCTCCACGTCAGAAAGTGGCGAAAGGTTCTTTATCAGGGTAAGTGCCTCATCCACTTCCGTCGAAGCAAGTGTACTATCTTCTCGCCTGTTTTTCTTCGAGAAGGTAAAACTGTCAGTCATATTCTCAAGATTTTTCGTATTGCCTTGTTGTAGCGTCATGTCAGCATTGATTCCGATTACCTCGCGATGCTGATCCATGAAGTCCAAAAAGCAGAGTCCTCCCGAATGCCTTCTGAAAAACTCATCTGGTTCGTTTATCTGGCCACATCGCATGCGCGTCTGCAATCGTACCATGACTGTCCGCTCCATTTGTGCCAAGTCTCCAAAAGTCACCCTTGTCGCCTCTTGTTTTTGCGGAAGTAAATCGTCGTGCAGGTACTCGCAGCAAAGTTCCAGTAGTGCTGAATCTTTAGCTTGAACAGCTGCGTCCTGTGACGAGTTGTCGTTGTATGTCTCAGACTTTGATTCCTGATTTTGTATATTTCCGCAGCCGAAGAAAGCCTTTTTCGCCCCCGCCCGTTGAGCGATCTTGAGGAAATGCGAAAAAACGCGACGCAGCACGTGCGGGCAGCTATACGCGAGTCCGGCAAGCGATAGGCGATGCTCTGTCAAATCCGTGAACGATTTCACCCCATAGGAGCGACACGTCTCCTGCTCAATATTCCACAAGGCGTTAACGAGGCACCAACTCCAGTCTCCCTCATCAAGCCGGAAGCTGTCAACCTGAAAACAATTTTATTTCGCATGGAAGTCGAGCTGCTGGAATGACATGAGTAGGGAGCGATCATCAAACTGGAATCTTGGCAACAAAATATGTTTCTAGTCTCCCGTGGTTTCACCAAGGTAGAACAACAAATTCAAGTGACGTGAAGAAAGTCCATATAATACCATGTCCATCACGGCGTCTGCGGTGCTCTGTACTGTCCATTCAAGTTTCTTGATATCTCTTTCTTCTGGTACAGTCTCCAAATCGTGTGTACACGCGATCGCCTTTCTAGGGCTACTGGAATGAACTTCTGCGACTACATAAGATGCTAGTATGTGCAGCAAAAAAGTCGAAACTTCATGTTCACTTCCTCCCTCCCCAGCCACGTCGGCCAAGACAGCTGAGTTCTTTTGGTTGTCGTGATTCATCTTGGTCTCTCCCGCGTCCCCGCCACTCGCTTTTACGACGGAACACGCATCCATTACTCTCCTGGAAAGAGCCTCAGCTGGGTCGGCTGCCGATTGGTCTGCTGATGCTCCTCGTCTCGCGTCGACATTGGAACTTTTCTGTCTAATAAGAACCAACCTCTGGAGCACGGCGTTCACGTACCGCAAGGCACTTTCGAAAGAGAGTCCTGCTATGCGCGCATGCAAAATCTGCTCAAGCGTGTGGCGCGCGTGAAAAAACAGCTTCGCAACATCCTGCGTCCCCTCTCCAAACGCGGCAGGAAATGAAAAAGCCACACTCACATCACCTGCCACGCTGTACAAACAATCAGCGGCAACGATAAGTTAATCAACGGTTAATGCCAAGGGGTTTCCTAGCTAGGTGCACACGCAAGCCACGACTGTAGCAAGTAGTTATCCGAAAACAAGTCATTCAAATTCAGAGGAGTTATCTAGCTTAATATCATCATAAAGGTCGTCCCTCCACCTGTGCGCTCAATATGGGCGCTCCGCATCTTTCTGTGTACATCGGGACAGTACGCAGAATCCGAGAGAGCCCGTCGTTCAGCGTTACGGCTTCTGCGTACTTCTCAATCGCTTCTAAGTGGAGGACACCCATGTCTCGCAGCTTGTCCAGCAGGTGTGGAAGAGCTTCAGGGTTCAAGACGAGACCCCGACCTGGGCCAAGCCGTTTCTGCAGATCTGCTTCGGTAGGCACCTTGCCGGGTCGCTCGTGCCACATCGCGGTCAAAGCCGACATCACTTCGAATCTTTTTAAAATCGGAACTCCTTCTTCATCCACCTCAGCGGCAACAGGCCGATCTCTCCTAGCGCGACTCGTGCTAGTACCACCATCCAGATATAGCTGGAAATCCGGAAAGGTTGACGCAGGCCCGACGCCGAGCTCCAGGAAGGTAGAAATGCCACGCTGCTTACAGATGCGCTTCTTGAATTCGTAGAGACTTCCGACCGCAGCCACGTCCACATAGCACGAAAACTCCATAGAAACATCGTGAGTCCGCTTCCACAGCTCGTAGAGGAACGGAACCTGAGGTGGGTTCAGGAGTGCCTAGAAGGCTGATTGCGAGACGCGAAGTTGCACCCTTTTTTGCCGATCTCAATAAACGGCATGGTGCTCCACCTTGAAGAACTTACTTATATTTATACTGCTGTTTGAACAGACACAAGTTGTAGTACCGAATAGGGTGGCCCGATATCCATCTGAAAGTAACTTTCATAGCCAAAAAACGCAGCGCATTCCCGAATAAGGGCGTTGTACGAGGAATCTCCGTGCCCTGCTCGTTCAACTTGAACGTAATTGTGCATAAGACGCACTACAGCGTCTACCTGTCAGGCAAGTACATACATATAAGCAGAAGTTGTTTTGAGTTGCCACTACTTGTACATCGTGACTCTCACATGCATCGCAAATAGCCAGATCTAGCTAGATTCGAGATCTGTTTCTGCGGAAGAAGCCAACATCACAGTGATGTGATTATATGTCATTTCTTTGGATGACTTTGTTAAGTCTAAGGATACTCTTTCCGCGGTCGGCATCTCCTGTGCCCAGCTTAAAATCTCCGTACCCTCCACAGCACGCGGGCCTTCTCGCAGACCCTCCAGAAAACCCATGAACGCGCTACTTAGTCCTGTCCGCGGTCGACGGGTGGTCTTCCGCCGCGAGGGCGGAGTTCTTCTAGCATCTGTGCTCAGTGACCGCTCTGCGTAACGCCGGGTTTCATCTTCGTCATCTGTTGGTCTCTCGGGGGAGTCCCTCTGTCGGTCTCTCCGTCTTTCACTCGGCTGCGAGCTCTGCGCCCTGGACGATCCGCGAATCAAGGCGGTTGTGGTCTTTCTTGCCATAGCGCCCTGCCTGGACAATTCTTGTTCGACTGAATCTGCTATAACACCAGGCGGAATTAAAGGTGCGGAGAGACGACCCGCTTGTTCCTGCTGTATAACTCTTGATGACGCACTTCCACTTGTACTATGAGACGCTGCTGCATCTGCGGCCATACCTATACATGTAGGGGCGCTGCTGCCCAAGTACGTGCCGCTCGTGCTAAGTAACACAGGACAATTCCTGTCATGACTGGAAGTGTGAATCTGGGCGACTCCTGGAGCCGTGACCTGAGTCCCACGGCCCCACGCTGGGTGAGGTGCGGTGGGGAGATAGCCACCGCTCATATTCGTGAACAACACTGGATGTGAAGATGTTGCCGAAAGCGTTTGGATGTGCGATGGCAACATAACATTGGAAATATAACTGGTTTTCAGGGCTCTCGGATCTCCAGGACATCCACGGGCACTAACTGCTTTAGGACCAACATAGCTGTCCTGCAAAACCGCCACTTCCATACTATACGGCGAAGATGCCTCAGACCTACCCGCCGACATCATGATTCGCTCGACCATGCGCTCCGCAGTCGCACGCGGCGGCGGCGAAGACATTGCCACGTCCCCTCGCGACTCTTCCTCCATCCTGAGGGTCGTCGAGGCCTAGAAAGCCACGCACTGCTGACAATTCCTAGAAGCTTCTACGAAACCCAATGTATACGCTGAACCTGTCAACGCCCGTAATGTGCACGATCATGAATCCAAACGACTAGCAGCTGTTAATCTACTCGTCTTTATTGTTGTGAAACTAGTACTCTTGTGGAAGAGGAGCTAAAGTTGAGATTTCTTTAAGTAGATAAAACCTCTCCCTCTCCGCAAAAACACTACATGCATCGTCCACTACCGCTCCCCACATACCTCACTGGCTTTCCCACTCAAGTAATGACACGGACCGCTCTCACATGACTTCCCACTCCAGCGACTCTCGGTGTAGCATTCCAAGATTACACGAGGACAGGCACTGTCTCCTGCCAACGCGTTCGATTTGCACCCTAGAACACGGCATACCTGTTAACTGATGGCTTGCGACTTGCACAATCCGCACATCGAGTTTCGTTATTTGGCAGGTGCTGCTCTTCAAACACGAGTTTCTCAGTCACCTGCAATCGTGTGTTGACACTTCTTTAGAAAGAAACATTCTTCAATCATCTTTGACCAGAACGCCATAGAACGTCATTATCTGTGCAAATCTGTTCACAAGTACATCCTTGCGAGAACGTTCATAGGGTTGTGGCACTATTTTCACGAATTCGCAGCAGCACCAGAAGTGTGGGCCCTAGTTTTTGCGACTTGCTCTGCTCGTAGTCGCACCACTTTTTGCTGCAGGACTAAGTTTGTTTCTTTAACTTTTATCAGTTCTTCCCGCAACTCCTCAGATGTCTGGCGCTCTTTTGTCAATAACTTTCGAGTGGTCTGCAGCTCCGCTTTATCAGCTTGCGCGAGAATCGCTAGATTTTCCAAGTTGCGCTGAATCGACGCTATTGTGAAGTCTTTGATTGCCAGTTCCTCCCGCAGTCGCGCCATTTCCTCACCCTCGACACGTAACAATCGAAATTCGTAATCGTCGTCGTCGTCCAGTAACGCCGAGTCAGGCTGTTTTGCCGTCCTTTTACTTTCAGTGTCATGCAGCACATCCCGCATTGGCAGCATTCCACTCCTGTCATGTGACTGACCCTCGTCGCATGTCTCTGCGGCAGGCGGTGACCCAGTCCTTGAATGTACCACACCAGGACTCCATTCTTCTACCTCTGCCTCCTCTAGTTCCGAATCTGAATGAGATGGTGGACGATCGTCTCCGATTCGCGACAACGGACTCTGTGCGCTTCGCAGGGGCTCCCCGACCGTTGCCAAGTGCTTCGGGACTTCCACAAGCTTCTGGTCTTTCGGGAGTGCATCTTCTTTAACCGTGTCGTCGTGAAAAGAATCAACATTGCTGAGACCACTAGGAAAGCGGGACAGGGCGGAAGCAAATTGCGCACTAGAGGCAAATTGCGAAGAACTTTGACCTCCGCACAACTCCGCGCCACGCCTTGAAAGCTCTCGTAAGTGCTCCAAAGCAGCTGGCACCTGGCGCGGAGTCCGCCTTTCAAGCATTTTTGTGGAACAACAGGATAATCAACCTTTTGAAACAAAAACTACAGTTCAGGTCAACAAATAACCCAAAAATTCGGGAGATCTTGAACAGGCTAGTCTGTTTTCTTGCACCAAATTTTGCTGTCAACATCGTCCGGTTCGATTTTCGTTTTAAATCTTATCGTCTCTGTTGTTTGTGCTCCAAAAAAAGTCGCTCAGTCTCTTGATTCCTTCAACAAAAAGCTGCCAATTTTTCCGTTTTCGTCACCGGCCCTTGGAACGTATCCTGCCTATTGAAACACCTTCCCTCTTTCCAAGCAAGAGGTGCTTAGGTGCTTTCATTAGCTTTCATCGGATCCAATGTTCAGCATTGGCTGCATGATCGTGAACTGCGGTCGCTATACCTTAGCGTAGCAGGCTGCCGCTGTTCATCTACCGGCCGACTAAATCTGTTAACAGCAAGACCTACTTACCGTACTCTCGTCGCAATACAATACACCTGCAAGACTTGAGTGTTTGTGAAGTGCTACCATAAAGTAACTTCTAGTCGCGCCATTTCTGTAGGAAGCTACATCAGGAGCAGAGCCACAAGCTCTGCTTCACAGTTCTGCAAGTTCTTGAAGGGACGACTGCTCGCTCTCGTTTGAATGAGGACACAGAGGTCGTAGTAGGGATAGCAACAGTCACGAAATTTGTTTTGAGATGAAAAAAGTACATGCGTCATTGAATAAACTCTGAAGATGATGTTTGCTGTGTTTCGGGAGTCAACTCATGGCTCAGTTAAATTTTCGTGTAATTATTGTGATGTCACGTCATTTTTAGGTAAAGATCAGCTACCAGACAATGTATAGTACGGCGCTCATCCAACATTAGAAGAGAGATTGATTAGGGAATGCATAATTAATCGTATTTGTACCTTTCAAATAAGTAGTCGCTGTTTTTGAGCTCTAAACCTATTCCCAATGAGTCAAGTAGTGCGAGCAATAAACCCATCATCTATTGAGCGTTTTCGATTGCTTTCGCTTTCAAAAAGTTCTGCTTCGTTTCGATGTCCACTTTGCTTGCTCTCAGCTTCTCCAGCCTCGACTGATCCGCCGTCTGCGCCGTCAACACACTCAGGCCTTTGGCTGGAAAGTGCTCCGGCTTTTTTCGCCAAGTAAGTCGGCAGGCGAAAGGCGGAAGAGTCGGGTCTTTTTCAAGCACGCTAGGCTCAATAAGCACTGGCTCGACATTGTGTAGCTGGAAGGGAATGCGTAAAGGCAACCGACCACCAGGTCCTTTCAAGATGCGATCAACATCCTCTTCGTGCAGACTATCGCAAATCTGAAGTATATGAGTGAGTTGCTGTGTTTGTGTTTGTTCTCTGATAAATATGAGACTGAGACAATTCAATTGGTATAAGCTTCTCAGCATAACAAGTGCATACTGGACAAATATATAATTGTACGAAACTAAAACCAAGGACGAAGAGCTCGGAAGTCTACCGCTCCCTCCCTCATCCGCAGCTGCTGCCGAATTTCTTTCCACAATTCTTTTTTCCGAGCTGCAGTGCGCAGCTTTGGCTCTACCGCTTTACTTTTCGTTCGCCACAGCCTCGTAGAGTCTTCCGGCTTGAAGATTTTACGAAAAGTCTTCACGTGCTCTGGCCCAAAAATGCCACTGCTTTCCACTATTTGCGTCTTTGTATCGATCGGCTTCCTGGCAAACTCTGCGCGATTTCGAACGTCGTCCTCCTCTCGCAAACGCTGCGCCCATGTTGCAGTCTCACGCTCGTACTTCGAGCGTTTCGCCTCCGCCTCTTCAATTTCACCATCGCCACTCGCTGAAATCGACCCGCCGCCAGGCTCTTTCAGCAGCAAGATGGTTGAATAGAGCACGCGCTTCCACTCGGAGGTGAGGAGGTTAGAGGCTTTAAGAAGTCCCTCAAACTGAGACTAGAGATCTGTCGGCTGTAGCCGAGGATGTTGAAGGCATCTGATGCTTGCCGCTGAGTGATTAGAAGAGAAGTACGCGCACGCTGGAATCTCAGTGACTGTTACTTACCAAACATGAAAGTAGCGAGATCTAAGTAAATACTTTGGTCAAGCACTACGCATTCTTGTACACTCGCTGAGCATAAAAAATGGCATCTCGGCGCAGTGTATGAAGTAGCGCACGTACTGCTTCTCCGGTGGCAGGTTTTTGTGTGACTGAAATCGGCGCGCACGTCCTACGAGTTGTCGATAGTCCGACCACGTTTGCGGAACATCAACTAGATGTAAATTCTGAACCTCCTTCAGCGTCACGGAAGTGCTGCAGAACCGGACGTTGGCAATCAAAATCGGAAAAAGTGGAGTAGAAGAAGAAGATGAGGAAGCTGCACCGGCACCACATGACGAATAGCACGAGGATGAGCGGTTAACAATCGCTCTCCCTCCATTTGCAGCCCCTGTGTAGTCTCGATTTGCTGCGCTAAATGCATTAAACTTCGACAACGCGCCGTCAGAATCCTTCGCGTCGCGGTAGACAAAAAGCCGAGCCTGAGGGAGTCGCTTCTCCAGTATTCGAGCTAGATCATCCAAACCTGCACGGCGACTAATCAAAACTGCGCACTTACCCTCTTTCGCCTGTGTTCGCAGCAGATCGTAAACATTGTACAGTTTGGGGTAGCGTTCTGCAAGCGCTTGGTCAGTGAGTGGGTCCAACGTTGGAGCACGAGTGTGCTTCGTCAGCTGCTTTTCCCCACTACACCATCGCAGCAGGAGGTCATCGTCGATCGCGTCTTTGCCTTTCGCACGCTGCAGCTTCACCTGCATTAGGCAGTATTTCGCCAAGCTGCGGCCCTGCAGCGTAGCCGGAACAATGTGAGCAGGCTCATTGCTGTCTTCTGCAAAGATGTCAAACTTCTCTTTCGGGAGAAGGTGCTCCTTGACTCGGGGCATGTGCGCTGTGTCCTCGTATAAAGTCACGAAGCCCTCATCGCAGGGATGCTGTTCGTTTGCGCGCGCAGCACGATGAAAGGCCTCCCCATGCAATATGTTCAACAAATACTTCTCATCCGTTTGACCGGCTTCGTTCGTCACGACAGGCGTGGCAGTCAGAAAGATCACTGTTGTTTTGGCGTTCGTATTCTTCAGTGCGTTTCCCAAACGTTTCAACGCAGGCACCTGCCGGGCATCTGTGTCTGCGTTCACCACCAAGTTGTGAGCCTCGTCCACAACAACGCAGCACCCGTTCAACGCGTTGGGGCCATCCTGCCCAAACTTGAGACCGGCATCGCGGTTTTTTCGGTTAGTGAGCGCGCGAGCCAGCTCGGCATACGTGTACAGACGGACCGGGGCAGCCGGAAGCCGAGCGTCGATCGCGTCCTTACTGTGTTCCAACGACTCTGGGGCGGTCGCAAGTGCTTGTCGCATGTCTTTGCGCATGCGCCTGTCCTCTCCTGGCAAGAGCTCGCCATTTTTAACGCGACCTCGCAGTTCCAGCGCCTTCTCAACGGCACTAAGAATATCGCGCTCCGTGTGGCCAGCCGCCAGGGCCCAGCTAATGTCCCACTCTGCGTCCTTGAAATCGCGCCAGTGCACACGCGCGGGGCTACCTGAACTTCCACTGCTGCTAGATGTAGATGGAGCGTGTGCTGCGATGTTTGCTTGGTGTGGAAGAAGTCCTTGATTACGTGCCACGAGGTCGCGCAAAAATGGATTCGTTGCGAACGGGTTGCTAGCTGATGCTAGGGCTGAGTCATTGTTACTAGACGCAGACGAAGAAGCAGCGGCGGCGCTAAAGTGAAGGCTGCGGCGAGCAGGATGAGAAGGTGGCGGAGACGCGCATGCTGTTGCGAAATCCTCTACATCCGGAACGCTAGCGACGAAAGTGCGCAGAGGGCTAGGCCATTTGAGAAGCTCACGGAGAGCAACATCCTTCTGCGCGCGATTCTTCACTGCGAGAATGCCGGGGCCTTTGAGCCGCATGTTCGCGCTCAAAATAGCTAGCACGGACTTGGTCTTTCCTGCGCCAGTACGATGATACGCCAGCAGCTTCTTCGCCCCGAAGTCCCGCCACAGCAGCGCCACGCGCAGTTGGTGCCGCTCTAATCCCGCAACGAATTGCATTTTTGTGCTGTCCGGCGCTGGTCGGCTTCGATCGTCTAGGGCGTCCGCAGTTCGAAGCTTTCCAAGAAGATTTTTGCCAGCGCCAACACGTCCCTGCCCAAGGGTCTCGACGTGTACAGCATTCTGTTTGCGGTCGTACGGCCCCCAAAGCGCATCAGCGTCAGGCGGCGTACATTCATCCTCCAGCAGCCGCGCGTCAGCCCCATCACCGTCCCAGCTGTTTCGATCGTCCCCGTCGTCCTCATTCGCTGGCATCAACTCTTGATCGGGTTCCTCCTCATCACCGCTATATGCGGCTTCGTTATCCGAAGACTCGTCTCCACTCTGGATTGCGCCTGCGCCAGCGGCGTGATTGTTGTTACTCGCAGCCAATGAGTATCCACACGCGGCGGCGCCGTTACTCACACGAGCGGCATCGAATGCTAACGCACTGAAAGAGCTGCTGGCTGCCGCAGGGCCACAAGCTGCAGAAGAAGATGACGCTGCTGCATGAAAACGAGACCCAAGAAGCGCCGAAGAAGATGATGACGACGCACCGCCTTGATTGTTGAAGACTCGCCTCGGAGACGAGGTCTCGCATCGTACTGCACCGCTTGAAGCACTAGGAACCTCGAACCTAGTGCGGTTATCGATTAGCCCACTGCCACCGACGGAGTTGGCAGCATTATCGTTGGCCCCAGTATCTGCTCCGGCCACCCTCTTGCCATGCGGAGACGGCTCCGCACATCCCTCTCGCGGTCTTTTATTTTGTCCGTGCTCCTTCTTGATGGTATCCGCGTACTGTTTTGCGCCGCCGCTCTGCTGGATCATAGCTTCAAGGCTCCTTCGAAGCTCTGGATCAAGAGCTGCAGCTTGTACCAACGCAGAAAGCTCTGTGATCTGTTCGGCCATATTGATGATCGCGATCTTCAAAACGATGGAAGAATATCAAATCACGAATGATTGTGTGGGGATCAATTATTGATGATTTATTATCAAAGAAACTAGTACAATTGCCAGCAACTGTCGGAAAGCAAACCAGAATTATCTCACGCAAAATGAAACCTCTTTCGAAGGAGATGGTATCCGCTACTTTGAATGTGTAATTTTTCTATTCTTCGGCGTACGATACTAAATCGACTTTTTCTATCCGTCGCAGATTTCAGATCAATTAGCGATTGGTTCGAATCAAACTGCTCTTCCATTTCAGATGACAATTGTGGCAACAGGCATCATCATACGAATAGGTATATATTCCTAATCTGTTAATTTCAATTGTGACATGTAAAGCGTGTCATGGGACACTTCGTTTAATGGGGCAAAGCTAATGACGACGAAGAGGCATCCAATGCGGCCAAAAAAAGTTCACCGATGCGGTGTCTTATTCGCGAGAGGGGATCATCTTCGTCACGATCTTGTAATCTCCTCCAAAAAATGGCGCTGGTGCTGGACCGACTGAAAACGATAAGAGAAAGTGACTACACCAGCGGTTGAGGAATCACACAAGTATGGGATGGATAAGAACGCTTTTCTTGTCGACAACCATCGTGACAGTGTTACCACCGATTTGAGACACACCTCTTCGAGATAGCTAGCTGCGTTCGCGAACTCACAAACACACAGCTTTAAAAATACTTGTAGGCCTGCAATAATGAGGCTTCCAGCAAGAATGCAAATGATAATCTGATGATGTCAATCCCACTCTTGTAGCATAGAGCATGTTCGTATTCGATGATATTTCCAGGTAGAATCCTTGACGATGTATGTTTCCAGCAGAAGTGCGCTGCACTTGTTGACTTGTCATATTTGCACAATTGCTTCGTGACATTATGATCCCTCCCACTTCGAGAGAGAAACCTTTAATACGCAACGCTACAAGTAAATGGCCATCACTTGCCGTCGTTCTTATTATTTCGAGTAGTGTTACCGCAGACACGCGGAAACGCGGTTTCTACATCGGAGAATAAGAACCAGTCTCGCAGCATGGATGTGAACATTTGGTTTCCAGTTGCGCAGCCGCGAGACGTCTGAACGATAATCTTCATACGAATAGCCCCAATCCGCAGCGTCTTGATACAGAAAAGGCTGACTCTGGTAGCGCAATTGACGATAGCAGTCAAACTCGTCTACGAGCCCGCGATAATCCTGTAGCAGTGAACGAAGGATCGGCTCTGCATTGGCAGAAGCATTGCGTCGCGTTTCGCGTGGGTGTGCTTTTTGCCTGTTGCGAGCAAGAACAGTCTTCACATATCTTTCTCGGAGAAGACAGACATTATCACCGCCCACGTTCGAAACTAAGTCGTAGCCTTTATCCGACAGCATCTGGATCTGATAACTCCACTACGAAGATTTGCAAGAGGAAAAAGGTCGTCGCCGCTATCTAGTTTTGTCCTTCTTCAAAATAATCGGAGCGCATCATCCTTATCTCCGTACTGCGGTAGTCTATGTGAAAGCAAAGGGATCAATTCAATCATAGTGTACAAATTCATTGCAGTACCCATTTTTTTTCAAATTCAATCTCAATTTGTATAAAAAAAAGCAGTCTAAGCTTATCTCCTAGATGCATAAAATGGAACAAACGGTCTGCACTTTAGTCGAACTCTAATTCCACACTGCGTTCTATTCGGTCGGGGCCATATTCTCGTCAGCTGCTGATGTCTTCTCGTAGTACAGTGGATGACGGAAAGGCGGTGGAATCAAATTTGTCTGCAGGATGACAACTGTCGGTCGCCAATCGACTCGTAGCGTGCCCGTGCTCTGCCGCCTTTGCAGGTGCATCAAAAAACGAAACATGCTCTCGAAGACGTCGCAATCGTAACTCCCAATATCCAGTTTCAAAAAATCTAACTTGCGCTGAGTACCGTTGCTTTTTGCAACACTCTCTTTCCTGCCTTTTGCCGCTCCTGTTTCCCTTCTTTGATCCACTCCCGCTGTTGTGAAGAACGTCGTCGCGGGGTCAGGTGCCGACAGAAATTTGCTAACGCTGTCTGGGAAAAGACCCTCCGGAATAAGCTGCACGCGAGGGTTGATGTCCTCGCGAATCTGGTCGTGGTACCCTTCTGCCTATTCGAAAAGCAGCCCACATATTCTAGAAAGGATTCGCGAAAGGGGGTCATCAAATACTTCGGCGATACCAACGTTGAGCGCATTCACCGCAATATTTCCTTCGATGCGCTTAATGCCACCTCCGACCGTGATTGCATCATTGAGGCTAGAACGACTACTGCTGCCGTCACTGCTTTTTACCTGGCTTGCTGGTGAAAAAGATTTCGCATCTGCTCTATGTGCATTGCTCTGATGAGCGAGAAGGCTAAGTGCTTCCAAGTCTAGTGTCAGATCCTCCACCATGTGACCACGCCCAAAGTATTGGGCTATGCTCATGCCACTAATCCGAGGATTCAAGTCGGCAGTTCGCTTGGAACTCTATGCGCGCACTACTTTGCTGGCTCGGTTCCTTTCCGAAATTGCATGCGCTTAGCTTCGTATACAGGGTTGCGCGGATGTAAAAGGAGCCAATTGTCTCTGGAAACCTCCCGCTTGCGGCGATCGTTTTCGGTTTCTTCATCTGCCACTGGATTTCTCGCTCGAGGCGAATCGAAAACTGGCGATGGTAGGCCCAGGGCTTCACAGAAATGCGGGGCGTATTCGGGCGCGAAAAATTTTTTGAAGTCTGTCGGAAAGCCTCCTGCTGCTTCGTGAAAAAAGTATTTTCGATGCGGCGCGTTCTTCCTCAAAGCGTTGAACGCGTCCAAACAGGTGAATCCGTCAGTGGCCGAAGGAAAAAACGGAACTTTCTCACCGGTTTCACTATGGCGTACTGAAAAAACATCCTCTCGATCTCCAGGTGCGAAGCGAATATTTACCACTTCTTGCTGCCCAGTGGTCTCAGATGGCATCAGCAGCGCGCGATCATCTCGAAGCTCTCGAAGGTCGAGTGGGAGGACCGGGAAGCCGGCCCCGCACCAAGGAATCAAAAACCAAAGAGAGAACGGATTTGCCTTCATGTTCGAGTTCTTAACCAAAAACATTCATTTTTTTCCTAATAAACTTAAACATCAGGAGGTTGCAGAGACAAAAAGACAACGTTGGATAATTACAATTGCAAATTTTTCGATTTAGTTCGACGCACCCGAAACTGACTGAAAAAGGAGCAGGCAACTGGGCGAGTTCCCATTTGTTCAAGCTCCGACACACAAGCCGTCCCTTCTGGCGTCATGTTCACGCCCTTGTGTTGCTGCTGCTCTCCCGCAGCCCATTTTCAGCAACCTGTGCTTGTTGCTGGCTCGATCCTCGATTAGCATTCATGCTGAAAGGATTCTTTACATCATTAGCTCGAACCATTTGTGGTTGTACTGGCTACTAGTGTCAGCGTGACATTGGTACAGCACGCACACCAAGATATCCTCGCACGCGGCTGCTCTTGCTCAATAAGAAGGCGGCGCTGACGTGTTGGCAATGACCAATAGAACAATAGGATAGGAAATTATTCGCCGCCCACAGGGAGAACCTACACCCTCCGAGCAGTCAGTCAGGGAAATATTGTCACCTAGTCCGCTGATGAACTACCATATACAGGGGGGGCGTGCGTCCCTGTATAACGGAGCACATCTTCTGTACACTATTAGGCCAAGCGCGAATCCCAACGCGCCTTCCACGAGCTGAACTTTAGTTTTGATGCAAATTACCCGAGCAGTAATACCGTCTACCAACGGCATAAAAATTACCCCTCAAGATGTCAACTAAGCTGTTGTCGATTGTATTTACACTTCACATTTTCTTATATATAGTAGAATATTTACAACAGTGTTATACGCTACCCATGACAGGTACATTACATAAGTACTAAGCATAAGTACTAAGAAGTTCTAGCCTCGTACCCTAAGCCCCCTGCCTTTTACGGTGTCAGAGAAGAGTGGACAATGCCATCCCAGTCAACGATCCCGTAAAGGCATAGAGGAATTCAAGAACTAAGATCGGATGATGATCTAGCCAAATTCATTCTCCAAATTCTAGAACTAGGTAAAAACATCTTAATCTTTCCTTTTCACTGTACTGTACATTGCGTGCCTCTGTACACAAAAAATGATGCTCCAAAAGTCTGACACTAGAATGGAAGTTCTAGAAATTGATGAAAATCATATTGACATCCAAGGTACATTTATGGCAACATGCTGATGGCTATCTCCATACCCTTTGCAGCAACGCTGCCCGAGGAGTCGTGTAGCCATGTACGAGTGATAAGAACAACCTCCTTCTAAATAATAGTCCTGTTACGCGAAAAAAAAATAAGATAGATCGTGAGTATGATTAGCTAGGTCTCATTGCGATGTGTTTGAAAGTTTGCGACTAGTGCTATGTATGACAAATGAATGAATCGAGAAAAAGCAGCCTGATAATTCATCTTGTGAACCTGTGTACGAGAATATCTTTTAGCTTTTGATGGCGTATGAGATGAAGCAACACTGTTTGAGTACCATGCCTGGATTGTCACTGTCTATGTTTTTAACAATGATGATGATGATGATGATTTTACCTATAAATAGAAAATTTCATGACAAAAAAATAAAAATACAAAATTCAATAGTTTGCCCTGATTGGACGTATTGCGCATCCATAATGCCCGCTGCAGCATTTTAAATCTCCGTCTACCCTGCACAAATTCTTTTGCGGACGCACAAAAGCGTTTTCCATCACAAAATAGGAAAAATTGTTCATATTTTGCTTCACTGAGACTCGTCGACGAAGGTTTGGTGAAGTGCCACGAGGCCGCGGACCTCGACGTGGCCATAGTCATCGAAAAGTTGTCTGATCTTCATTTCTGACGGTCCCGCTGGAAAAAACTCCTCGTCATATACAATCACTACTGCCTCGTCTTGCGGCCGCATGAAATTCTTCTGGCCCCATTCGGTGTATTCTCCAGCGCCCAATGCGATCCAGCACGACATCGGGTACTCCGACGCTTCAAGAAGCTCGTTTACATCCTTGTTTTATGAAAAGTTTTCATGACTTTTTGCATAAGTAGAACTTACTTGATCCGCAATTATCGAAAAATTATGTATCGCGTATTTCCAAAAAAAAACCTAACTACCTCCCACTTGTCTTGGTCGCCCTGAAAGTTCATCTGTTCCGTGATCCACGCGAGCAGGGGCTTGTAATAGAGAAGGTAATTCCGTGCAGGGGCAGGGTGCGTATAGAGGTGTATCTGCGAACCACGTTTGACATAGCTTACCAAAACCAGGCGTTGTGCTAAGCCCTCTGGCGAAAAATCCTTGTCCGGATCCTGCAGTCGAAAACTATTCAACGAGATGCCAGGTATTAGAGGTCAGATTTATCATGATCGATGTTAGCGTGTACCTGCTATACAGAGTGCGAACAAGACAAGGATGAAGAAAGTAGTCGAACTTCTATTTTCGTGCGCTTCCAATATCTCATCCTACATAGAGAAAATGCAGAACATTAACAGCATAGTTTGGATCCGTGTCCCCAGTTCTTCTTTTCGGACAACTTCGTGCTGCCGTCAAGTTGACGAATAGAGCAATCGTTGAAAGCAGCGATCTTTCGAGGCACGAGTCGTTCTACTGTCACCGGCCGTTGTTTCTTCTTAGCGGGACTCGCTTTAGAACTACGGTAGACTGGATCGCCCGACGTGTTGTACCAGATGTCGCAATACAAAGCAACCTCGGGTTCGACCTGGAGCGGGCGAGCAGAAAGATTGGAAGTATGCAAATAACATCTACGATGAGTGTCTAGTCGTGGCAGCTGTTGCTAGAAAACAGACTTGAAGTTTTGATTTTGAAATTTTGAATTTGAAGTCCTGCAATAGATGATCCAAAACAAGCCAAAAAAATCCGTTTCATGATATCGCAGCTTTGAAGTACTTATTGAGTAGGTTGTTCATGCACCTGCACATTGCCGCCGTCGTGGGGATACGAGATGACCGCGTTAGTGACAGGAAAGCGTGTGAGACGTTCTAGCGCCTCTCCCAAAGACTTACTGCCTCTTCGCAGTTCCTGCCTCTCCAGCATTCGTTCCAAGTTGCTAATTGATTTTTTCGCCGTGTTCACCAGGGCTGGAATGTCGGGCTCCTCGTCGTCGTCGTCCAACGCGTCTAAAGCGTCATAGTCTTCCCGTGTCCTGGCATCGTCCAAGTTTTGGCTTTTTCTTAAAGACAAAAAAAACCAATTTGAATAAAGCTGGAGCTTCTCTGGTGCAACTCTCGTCGTCCATTAACCGTGATGTAGTAAACGCCCATTGGCGTAGTCGTCAAAATGATCAGAGAAGAAGAGGCAGCCGTTACTCATTCCCTCACTCCCTGGCCTTAAATGTGTAATGTCGGTGCTTTCTTGTCGATCCAAACTCGCTAGTGACTCTTTGGAGCTCCTCGGTGAGTCGGTTTCCTTGTCTTGCAAAGCGTCCACTGTTGTTCGACGGTCAGGACTTAGAGCTTAAGACGGCTCCCTGACACTTCTCCAGGCATGATGACATTGACCTCCGCTATAACCCGTGAACATAGATGCACAACAAGTTGTGACCTGTAGTACAGAATCAGAATATCCTAAGAACAATCAACAAAGTTCTCAGTTCTTGAAGACAAGAAATTATTAGATAAAAGACTTAACGGTTGAAACGAGGTTGGTGACTGCGGGTGCTTGGTATCCAACGAGTCAGCACTGATGCGGGCTTTTCGCAAGGAGGGATCCGTTGACGTTTTTCTTGGAGAGACGTCCCGCAACGTCTGAATCCGTCGCGACACCGTGAACCCGAACCGCTCAAGCACGCTGCGAGTTGCAGTAGTCGAATTTGTTTCTAGAATTTCTCGCTGAGTCGACCCGTCCGGCAAATAGAAAGCGAAAATAGCAGCCGGCGTTTTCACCTGTGTGGAACCACAAAGATATTGTCAACAGCAGTTGGCCAGGACAACCACTTTTTATTCTAATGTGCTGCATGAGAAACACAACGACCCAATGTCAGAGCGGGATCAGGCGCTCGAGTCAGTCGAAGACAACTCGTTCAGACGATATACGACATTAGTAGAATAGCAACTACGACCTAGAAAATTTATTACCTGTTCCTCTTGTTTCGTGGGAGTCTTATCCGCTTCACCTGCCTGTTCCATATGGCCAGCAACGTTTCCCGCTACTCCGATTCCTATAGTTCGTTTCCATTGCTTTTCTCTTGCCATACGCCTCACTGCATAAATTTCGTCGAACATTTCGAGCATATCTTCGAAGCAAACACCAGGTTCATTTTCCAGCAGAGAGCTGCTGCTCGCTGAACTTCGAGCCTATGTAGAATTTTCGATTTTTTTTTCGGTGAGAAGAAAAAATAGAACTAGCAAGTAGGGGGAAATGGAAACCTAATCTAACAGAAACACCACTTTTGGCCAAGTGAAGAAGATATTAACAAATCTCGAAATTTAGGTAAACTTCTTACGTGTGGGAGCGCTTTTTCTTTGCCGTCCTCCGTCTCGTTCTCCGTGATGATTGTCGTGTAATGTGCTGTAGTTCCGTTGGCGAGAAATCTGAAGGTCTCTCTTATGACCGTATCTCGTGGAGCGTCCTCAGCCTCTGCTGACGAGGAATTTCCGCTACTGGCACTAGCTGGTGGCGCGTTCGCCGTGAAGCCCTCGCGTGCATTTTGTGGACTACCCTGCGACAATACTGCAGCAGCGTTGCTACTGAGCCGTGGCGGGATCTTGTCGGGGCTGCCGCTTGCTAGGGGAGGCTGGTTTAGAAATGGTGGAGGGTGAAATCACTTTTCACTTCTGAACAATCAGTACTACTTCAGTTCGTCTCATCCTCACTTGAAAAGAAGTTTTAACAAATGTTTTCGACGCGTCCATAATGATGCAGTGTCACCGAACAGTCCGTCGGAAAGAGTTCGACGCATTCCTGAGAATCCGTCGTCAATACTAATATGAATGTAGAAGATCATCCAAAGATGTAGAAAATCAATATAGCATGTGGTCTCTTCTAGCTACTTCACCTAGTCGCAAACGCGACATCCCAAGGATATCTATTTTCCATTGGGCGTAATCAGTGACGAAAATATACGGTCCATCACATTTTTGAGAAAAATCTCCAGCGAACAACGCCTACACAAAAGTATAGAGCTAGTACACAAAAGTTCAAGGGGAAAACTACATCACTGCGATCATAATCCTCTTTGCAGGCACTCTGAAGGCGAGCCCTGTAATTCTTGGTTCGCAGCACGTCGGCGAAGAGTTGGCGTGCGATGTCCCTGGACACCATAGGGTGTATTCCTACTTGGCGGCACATTAGGGCCAGCTCGCTCTCGCACACGTAGCCATCGCTGTTCACATCAATTTGGCGAAATATCGCCCATTCTCGGGGATACAGCTCCTGAATCTTGCGTGACCGCGCCTCTCCTTCGAGGCCTTCCAACGCTTTGCTAACATTCGACATCGTCGCTTCGTCTACGGATAGGAATCCACATGCGGAGCCGTTAATCAGGTGTATGCCATACGAGGAATCAACGGTGCGATCCTAGTCGTACTAATCTGTGCGTAGACGTCCTAGTAAGGCTATTTTAGTCGTTATCTCAGCGTCAGCCACGCCTCTTGCAAGAGACGTCGTTGGTAAGAACCTGTAGCAACGATAAACAGCTGCAGCACTTCAGGCGAATCTGCGGTGCGGCGTCCTTCAGGTTTCCATGGGGCCTAGAGACATTTGTGCACGCATCAATGTCCACTCTTTATTGAATCCTGGAGCAGGCACTCTCCATCCAAAACAACTACAAATGGAGGCGTTGGTTTAAAAAATTGAGTAATATCAGTTTTTTCTTCGGTGATAATGATTGAAGCATCAATCAGTATAATCATGACTCAATCGCATTCAACTGGTACAGATTTTTGGCAAAGCGTCTCATTCTCTTCAAATGAAAAGAACTAAGAGCAGGATTAGACAAGATGGCAATTCGTCATCTTTTCGGAAAATCAAGACTCACATTCGCTCAACAGCGGCCATTCGCTCCACTCTCCTCTTCAGTCATTGTGCAATCAAGTGCTTTGCATTCGTCTAAAGATCATGAACAAGCCTGCAGCTGGTACCGGAGACACAGGTGGAAAGCTCCAGCTCCACTTTTGCTTCCTCGGTTTAATATTTCCCTCAGATTATCTTGAGGCGCTATGGAACCTTTTCTGGAATTGGACAGGGGCGTTCTGACGTTAGCAAAGCGAGAGGTTGCTGACGAGCAACGAGCGGGAAAGACATCCTGATATTTTGGCGGGTTGAAAGGTCGTGTACATATATAGTACAACTCTCTGTCATAATATTTTGTCAACCCTCTTCGAGGAAGAAACAATCAAGGGAGGTCTTGGGTGTAACATTCAGAACAACTGCCGAGAAGCTGTTGAAAAGGGGAAGAGTTGTGGTCTTGTCTCAAAGGAGACTTAGTCTTCTATTGATTGGGTGCCATCAACGCGCAACCACTCTCCACTAGCGCTTTGCTTGTAGATACACACAGCTTCGTCGCCAATCGAAAGGCAAAGACACAGTCCGGTCACAGACCAGTGCGCGCGGTACACTGGAGTGTCGTGCCTAATCTCGGACGCCTTGCGCCATGGTTGGCCCTCCATCTCCTGCACCCAGATTTTGCAAGAGCCGTCCTCTGCGCCGGACGCAAGAAAATTGCTGGGAATACCAACGTTCGGTCGCCAAGCTACTGCTCTCACACATGCGTCGTGTGAGGGCAGTGCTGGTGGCCCCTCCGGACGCTCGGCGCCGCCATCCGGGAGCGGCCCACGGTGCTCAGCCGGCGTTGTGTCCTCCGCTACGATCCCGTCTCCTCCGGGCAACGCACATTCTTCAACCCACTTCTTATCTTCGCTGTGGTATCTCCACACTTTTACGTTGCAGTCGGAGCCGGCGGTGACCAGCCGTCTTGGTGCGTTGGCCGGCATCAAGTACCCAGATTGCACTGCGGGTCCAGACGCCAACGTGGCAGGGGAAATAGGCGTGGACCAAGAGAGCGACGAAACACCGTTCAGGTGCGCTTTCAGCACGCCGGTGCGTGCTAGAGACCCACCGCTGTTGTCAAAAATCGTCACAAGACCACTTGTTGAACCCACAGCAATGGAAAGCATACCAAACTCCTTAGGACCAAATTGCACAGAGGTCGCGGCACCTTCAATCTTTTCCTTCCATGCCAAAGAAAAGCCTCGCGGCGATGTCTCGCGATACACAACTACGCTGCCGCACTGACCGCAGGCGACTATCATACTTCCTTGACTCGGGTCACACCAGCCTATTTGCTGCAGGGGACCGGCAATCTGTAAGAAGGAGATCAAGCACAGAGTAGGAATAAAACAGAAGCATTTAATATGGAGTCAGAATTGCGACAAAGCAAATGCTCTTCACGATAAAATGAAAATGGATACTTCGAATAATCAACAAGTCGAAATTGTTGTACGGCAAAGCTTCAAGATCGAGAAATCAAATCTTATACGTCTGGACTTTCGAGTCTTGCTAGAAGTGTTGCGTCATCTGTTCCTGTCGCGATTTTCGACAGGATGTCCCCAGATGCAGAACCAGCTGCTGCGATTTGATACACGAGAACTGCTGATGGAGTAGCCACGGCGAGTCGCTTTCCGTAGTAGTCTACCGCCAAGTCGCATATCTCCTCTGGAATTTCGATATTGCTCTCTGCACTGTGTCCTTGAAAAGGGTCAGTGTCGGGGTCTCCGTTAGAGATGAAATTCCGCAACCGCGCGTCCGCGGGTAAGGTCGACATTGACACCATGGTGGTTTACAGTGTGAAAAATTTGTCCTCGTGAAATCACACGTGAATTATGGTCTTTTATGTCCAAGAGACTTCCATTATGATCAGCTGGTGAAACACGATTTCTGTTTTTAAAATCTCTATCGGTGTTATCACATTCTGCTCTTTTTCGGGTGTTATCACTTTGCCTGTCATGATATAACTACCTGCTCTGCGAAGTATTATGGTGCAAGCGTTTCAGCTCTGTGAGTACGAAAATTTCAAATGTTATTCCGTACAGTATTTATCAAATTGATAATCCATAACCCAAGAGAAACTATTCAAGGTACCCCTGGTACTGGAAGTATATCGCACGATTCTCATTCTGGTTCAAGATCCAGATAACACTCGAATTTTTTCAAGCGCGGCGCCACCTACATGGCCAACACTCCTTTGAGGAATTCTTCATACTTCGTCCGTTGAACAAACAACAAAATCCCCTTGCAATTGAAAAGAACAAACAGCTAGACTGAAGATCGCCCTAGTCAAACAAGAGCTCCGTAGCGATAGACTTTTTTCTTACTTTCTCCATGACAAGAATTGGTTTGGGAAAGGTAGAACTGTCGAAAGCAAGAAGATATATTACTCAAAGTTCCGTTTTTGTGCTTTTCCTCTTTTTTGTCTTACTGCTTTTCTGTGCCCCTGTTGAAGTAAAGGATTTGTCTTTTGAATTTATTCTATTCCTAGTATTTCTAGTTTCTTGTCCACTGCTTCTCCCAGTGCTCGTATCAGCTGCTTTTGACTCGCCCTCGACACTTGCATCTGCGGGCTTCGTAACACGCGGCTGTCGCTCAGTTTCGGGCATATACCTCTGACTCCAGCCTAACGCATCTCCGCGGCGCCGCCTGTAGTCGTCGCTTACAAGTTCTCTTGTGCGACCCGCAGGATAGAACTTTTGTTGATTGCTTTCGAAAAAATCCACCAACTCTGTATACCCGAGAACGAAATCCTTCACCGTTTGCAATGCCAAGTTACTTTTGGTCACAATCAAGATCCGATCTGGGTCCACTGCATAGAACTTGGCCTCAGTACCACCTGCGATTCATTGTAGAAGATATTTATAAGACAATCTTGTTTTGGTGAGGGAGACGAGAGAATAACTATGGCAAGCATCAGAAAAGAAAAAGTTCAATTATTGTGAAACTAACTACTGATCTATAACTTTGATTTGGACGAAAAACTGAAACAGAAAAGATGATCTGAGGAAATCATAAATTATCCACTAGAGATACTAATCGTTCCCGTACCTGAGCATAAGTTCTCCACGATTATACTAACCACAATTAAATAGTGATCGTTCGTTTTTCAACTACCTGTCTCCAACAATGCTTGCCACTGATTTGCCAAGTCGTGAGAGCCTCTTGCATTGCGGTCTTGTTTTTCGGCATAGTCCATTTTCAGAACTGCGAAGGACATGATCGTTTGCCCTCCACCGATAGTTTGGACTAAGTCTGAGGGATCGACGTGTTTTGCACTACCTCCTGCGCTGGCCGCAGACGTAAACATCTCGTGTTGCTGCTTCATCTGCAATATCTGATCCCGCACATTGCTGGGCAAGTCAGCGCCGACGTCATCGAGGTCGCCGACGTCGAGGTCTCGGATGTCCGCCTCCACGTCCACTATGCGGAGTTGCGCGGTCGCAACAGGGCAGATGCACGCAAGGAGAAGTGCATGCAACAAGAAACGACACGGGGCTGGCATTTGAACCATTTTTTTTCCTCTCGTGTAACTGATAAAAAAAAACCCACTTGAACTTAAACCGTCATATCTTTAGTACCTAAGTTACAGGTGCACGCACGCGCACTAAAATATTTTCGACGTCTTCTTTCTGGTCGGATGTTGATCAGATAGCTCTCGCTCAGTATTGAAAAATAGTGATTCGTATCAAAAGTCCGTGGATTTCTGTTGATCATCACACAGACCATTTCTCCAGCCAAGTAAACGATATCAAAAATCAGAACACCACCTTTGCAGCAACAAATGGTAATAATTGTTCGCTGTGCCAGTGAATCTCACACGGCTTCGTATATCTGCGCATACGAAAGTTAGAATAATTAAGCGTCATGGAGATGCATAGTCCTTTGATGACGGCAAATAATTCAACTTAAAACGCATCTTTCGTCTTTCATGCTGATGGTTACTGAAAGCTGTCCGAAAATTAGGGTCAAAATGACTTTCCAACGCACACCTAAAATCCATTGACACGCGTATCACCCCACTTCCATTGCGTCGTGTGAAATGCCTGCAACTGGTGCCATGAAATCGGAGGACCTCAGCATATTCGGTAGTGGTAGTTACAGTGCGGTAATTCTTCGCGTCCAGAGTTGATGCAGGTTCACCCGAGGGAGAACTATTTTTTTCGCAGCCATGGTCAACCATCTGCGACGATGAATTGCGCTCAGGACTTTCACCATCCTCATTTCTGGTAGCAGTAGAGGTCATCATTGTAGTGGAAGGGGAGTCTAAGGAGGTGGTTTTGCTAGGGGTCTGTTTCAAAGCCAGCTCGGCAGATATGGCAGACTTTGCTGGCGATGTGCAGCCAGAATATCTCCTGACGGGAGGTGCAGCTGTCTCACCCGGGGAGAGCAAGATGGGTCGCCAATCCGCCTTTAAATATTGTGACTCCACCCACATCGTGTTCTCTATATTGGTGTCAGACAAAGGCATCCAATAGTTGACCTCACCCATCTGATGGTTATACTCCAAATCATTGTGCATGCGGCCCAGTGACCTGTACTTTTTTCGTGGAGCAGCAGCATCGACTTGTTCATTAGGTCTCATAGGAGGACCACGGGCATCGAGTTCATCTTTACTAGGATCACCTCCCGTGGTAAAAGGATTATTTGTCGCTGCAGCGGCATCGTCTCCTCTCTCTTTTGTAGCAGCAGCGGTAGTGCGGTTAATACCGGTGGCCGACAAACATTCATTAGGTTTCGCTTCGCCTGGGCCCTTCACTGTCAAAGAGCGCATATCATCCTGATAATTTTCTGTAGCAGCAGAGCTGTTGTTCTTCGCAGGAACTTCGATTGCCTCGCAGCAGAAGACGCGAAGCGTTGGCGGATACTGATATAAAAGTGTCACGCATTCTTCTTCTCTTGCTGAATGTGTTGCAGGGTTATCTCCTGTCCCCGTTTCCATGGATTCACTACAAGTTTCGCCTCGTTCTTTCGATGAGCACGAGCTGTCGTTCTCTTCGCCCGGCGTTTTTCTTTTCGCAATCATACTTGTATCAGAAGTATTCATGCTTTTTGTCTCCCTTTCAGTAATCCTCTGTGATGTAGTAGAATAGATGTCTTCTATGAGTTGCGGACCAATCACAGCCGCGATGAAAGCTTCGTACAAGTCCATCAAAGGTTTGCAACAGCGCACGCGGTTATGCAAGCTCTGTGCCGCGGCTTGCCACTCGCGCGCCGAGTTTGCCGTCGTGGAAGGTGATAAGGCCGTCGCGTCGAGGCCTACTGACGGCACATTCGGTGCGGCCGCCGAACTTCTCCGGGTGGACGCATTTTTACTGCCTAACCCCGTACTGACCCAAGACTTGCCTTGATACTGCTCAAACCCATCCACCCGGAGCAGATTCTCTCGGACGAGGCTTTGAAAATCGAAGTGGCATTTTGGGTAGCGCAACACCTGCTCTTCGAAGAGCGCAGGCGGAAAGCCGCTTCGGTCCGCAGCGAGAGCAAGCGGATCTGCCGCCTCAACATGAAGACCACAAAGGTTTGATGTCGCTTCGTGGGCCTTATAGGCGTTTCTAGTACGTTCGGACACTTGCTTTTTCGTGGCTAAAACTTTTACCGCACCCGTCCGTATTTCATTTTCGATATCCACTGCAGCAATCTCGTGCTCGCGCAGAAAATTCCTGTACCTGTGATCGAGGTCCGCTGAGAGGGTCACGCGGGGCACTTCCAGGAGCCCAGAGTTTATTTCGGCAGGCGTGACACACGCCGGCGCATCCCGAAGATGTGCCTGTCCAGGATGTCCTCTTATTCTTTTACCTAAAAAGCGCATCCCCCAGGGTTCGTCACTGGCGTTTGGGTTTGAGTCGTTTGTTCTAGCGCATGAACACAATATCTGCTAGACCAGTATTCCTTCCGGTGCCAATAGAAGCCATCGAAATATACAAGAGGCAAAAGGATCAGACCCCTCACTGGGCATTTTCAATTTTGCAAGTACATATTTTGCACAATCACAAATAGTTTACATGATAAACGAAACGACTTCAGACCCGCACGCAGAAGTACAAAAAGGAGTAGCCTTCCCACAGACGGACAAATGATCTGGAGAATCATTACAATTCATGCAGGAACGCAAGGGCCCGACGGGAAGTTAACCTGTCTCATTCTTTGACAATATGCGCCAGACGATCACATTCCGATTGCAAAATCATCGCCTTTTGTCGTCATCAAAGAACAAAGATGTCCTCCTTAAAAATCGAAGTATGGAGCAGACCGCAGGATACCCCAATTTACTGCAGCACAGCGATGAACTAGAGATGTCGTAGAAGATCAGAAGATGAATTCCTTGAATCAGTGATATCTTCAGGAAAAAATTGAGGCTCAATTGGTCATCAGAGAGAAGCTCTTCTTTGTTGAATTGCTTCGCCATCATTCTCGCACACAAAGCAACTTCCAGACAAAAAAGGCACGAGGATCCTCACGCGGATCTCAAGGTCTTCCGATCCAGTTTACTTTCCATGATCTCCTAGTGATGGACCCAAGATAGCAGCAATCATACTCATGATCACAGGTCTTGCTAATTGAAAGTTTGTTTGTAAATGTGACTGTTTTGTGGTTCTCTCATTTTTAGGACTCTGCAAAGCAACACACAGAGTCGACATGGTAACAGCCATAATAATGATTGTGTATGTAGCAGTGTTGGCCATTCCTAGGGACTCAGCTCATACTTCACTTGGGTGAAGTATGAGCTGTTACGCTATCACTTCCATAGGAAGTGATCCTACATTTAGATCAGTCCAGGACTTTAGATCTTCTCTAGACAGATTCGGCGTCAGACAAACGATCACTGATCTTCACCGATCCCTTGCGTCGCAGCACAACAAAAGGCTCATTTTCGAGCTCGGTCTGAACTTTCTTGACTTCTGCAGATAGATTCATTCCTGTTTGGATCTGTTCTACGACCCTTTGGAAGACAGATCGATCCGGCACTACGAACACTGAGACAGGATTTAGATTTCCGAGGGCTGATCTCGATGCGCGAGCAGCTTTTTGTAAGGCATCTTTCCCTGTGGAGCACGATTTTTTAGATCTCGACTCAGTGCGACGCTAGTTGTGATCTCGAGGTTTTAAGCCCGAATTTAGGTTGTGAGGAAAAGCCCTGTGACTGTTGAGAGTCCATTGTAGACTAGATCTATAATAGTTAACACCTAGTTGCATTGCCAACCTTTTATTGTACAATCTTCAGAGGATCAATCATTAGAAGATGGGGAGCTCTTGTGTGAGCCCATTGAAATAGATAGACTCTTGTTCCAATTGCCACTTGTTACACCGTTCCTAAATCTTACTGATGTTAGAATTCCGCTCTTTCCTGATACTCTCATTTAGAAGGTCCTGATATGCATGATTATCGTGCCTGTTCTTGTGCCCTTGGTGTAGCTGTTCACTCTAGTTGATCACTATCCTTCAATACGATATGAAATTCTGCGCAGCTGCGTATTTGGCGCGTTAACTGTTCATCACCCAGGTTATTCAGCTGGTGTTGCTATTCTAGTAGAAATTCCGTTCCCGATCTAAATAATTCATGTTTCCTGTGCAAATCTTGTTGCTCTGGTGTAAGTATGACATTGTGACGATCTCTGTAATTTAGATGTGTTGCTCCTGCTTGAAGTTGCTATCTATTCTCAGGTTCGGTCGGTCCACTGACGACCCTATCAGAAGGATCAGCTATGTGTCCCCACATGGCGATGGCGTCCATTCGAATAATGATTCGTGTATACGGCTGCATGGTTGTATCGAAAATCCAAGTCGTGTGTGCAGTTCTGTGTTTGCGTTTGGACTGAATAATTGTTCTCATTGTTGTAGTTCTCCTCTTTGTCAGTAGTCTGCATTTCAAACGCCGAAGCGTCTAGTAGAAGTTCAGTAGGTAGATAGTACTTGCGAAGTAGCTGACTTGCTATGATCAATTTACGACTTAGAGGCACTCCCTCAGTGATTGGGACAAGCAGAGTGCTCTGATCTTAAAGTTCTTGCTGAGCTAGTTAATATTGACAACTTTGCCTAGTTGTAAGATAGAGATGGTCGCATCTTGGGATCGATATCACTTAGTGTAGATTAGATTTAGAGTTCAATTATGATCATGAACGACGTCGAAGTCAATATTTCTGTTGTGTTTTGTAAACGTAAGATAGTTCATCTTCATTCTAGTTTTTAGCGTCAGTTCTGTAATCCGTCTTTTAGCCTGCTATCTGTACCCTTGTTCCACATGAGTATAACCACATATGACTACTGATACCTTTACGTCAATCTTTAGATCTATTCTTCCTTCTCGAATTCTTCAGCGTATTCCTCTGCTGGCGAAGCTGGCGCCTCCTCAGCAGCTGCTGGAGCTTCTTCCGCTGGTGCCGCCTCAGCTGGTACAGCCTCTTCTTCAGCCGCTGCCGGTGCTTCCTCAGCTGCAGCTGGGTCTGCCTCAGCTGGTGCAGCAGCCTCTTCTGCTGCTGGTTCTTGAGCCGCTACAGTAGGTGCCTCCTCCGCGGCAGCAGCTGGCTCTTCCTCCACCGCTGGCGCTGCCTCCTCTGCTACCGGTTCCTCAGTCGGAGCTGCTTCTTCGACTGTCGCCTCCGCCATTGTCGTACCCTCAGCTAGTGTAGCATCTTCTCCCATTGTCACTGTCGCATCGCCTTCTACTAGTGTATCTTCAGCCATCGTTGTTGCGCCAAGGGGATCAACTTCCTCCTTAGCCGCTTCCGCTGCCGCAGGTGCCTCTTCAGCAGCTGGTTCTTCCTCTTCTTCGGCTGCTGCTGGTGCAGGAGGAGTAGCTTCTTCTTCTTCTTCTTCTTCTGCAGCCGCTGGCGCTGGTTCACCTGCAGAAACTGCAGCTGATTCATCCACAGGAGCAGCAACTTCAGCTGGTGCCTCTTCTACTTCTGGCACGTCAGCCACTGTCGCAACAACTGGCGCATCATCCGCCTCGAAGTCATCTTCGGCGTAAGGATCTTTTTCTTCTACTACCTCGTCAGATTTAGTTGCTTCTTCTGTAAGAAGATGGTCGAAGAGACCCGCCTCATCCACAACTGGTTTTAATGCTGCTGCAATCGCGTTGTCGTCAGCGGAGAATGAAGGTGGGGGTTGGTCTCGGGGATAGATGACTACGGGTAGTAGAACTGCATGCGCATTAGCAACGAAACCACAGATCTTTTTTCATTATTTCTTCAACAGCTCTTCACTTTCATGAACTCTTTCTTGGGAATTGATCTGGATCTCCTATCTTCATCATGCTGAAAGACAACAGCCGAAACACCACTTCAACACACTACGAGCATCAAAAACGCCTCTTCATACCTCATCCAGATCCTGTGGCATTTCTTCGATTCTCATGGTCATCGATCGCATGCCTTTACCCAATCGCTTAGGTTTTGGTGCTGGCTTGGTGCTGGCTAAGTCCTCTTCTGCCGCCTCGTCAAGCGCAAGCGAAGGATTCTGCTCCTCCTTAGATGGTGCACGCTTTTCCACGACTACGGCTGGCTTTTCTTCGACTGGAGCGGGGGCGACGATTAGAGGATCCATTCACATTCAGACAGAGAAACATCTACTCAAAAATTCTCACGAAAGATCTAAAAATATGCTGCACGGAAAAATGGGCACACGCACATCTGTGACTGTGATCGAGAGATAATGTCAGGGAGTAGTAGGGGTCAAACGGCCATAATTCTTCCGGCATTTCATCTGGCGCAATGGTAAATTCTCTGCGCGCCGTGCTGTGTGACTGACTACGGACACTGCGTCCAGCGGGAATGCCACTGCTGCCCATTCTCTTCTTACTTTGGAGCGCTTGCATACTGTTGCTTCGGAATCGAGGATTTTTTTCGGTATTTACGGTGGGTCCCATGGTCTTCGATACGCGCTTTGGGGGTTAGAGGTAGAGGCGTACTAGGGAAGGTTTTGAAGACAATAATCACCGGATAGGGAACAGCGGAGCGAAATCGTGAGTATTTCGAGATCGGAGTGAAGTGATTATTTCGCCATGGAATACTACACCAACACGATTTCCATAATTGATCTCATCCGTTTTCATTGAGTCGAACATTGCTGCGTCCATCGTCTTCTGCCGTCTCTGAAGCTCCAAAACGTTAGACTTAGTCCTGTGCAGAGTTCCTGTTCCGTGTTTCAACAAAGCGGCACTCTTCGCAGCTTCGACGGAACCGTACCTGGAAGGGTGAGGCGGGTTCGGGAATGCTCGACTCTGACAAAAATATACTTCTATGCTGTCATGCCGAGAAAACCTAAAAATGAGAGAGTAGCCTTAGAAGAAAAAACACTGAAAACAAAAACGCAAATGGTACCATTGAGTCTGGTACTGCTTCCTGTCGAGCTCAATCATCAGCACGTCCAAATCCTCCAGCAGTAACCTTGTGCGGCCTGCCTCAGCAATCAGCTCTTTGTGGAAGAATTTCTTCAAGGAGGTCTTCGGTGTAAAGCCGATTTTGCCAACAACTAACTTGAAGTCTTCCCAATCGACGTCGGGCTTTGTCTTACCTGTGATTTGTGCAGTGGTTGAATTCCTTTGGCAACGTCATAGCAAGAGGATTTACCTTGTTATACACAAAGCTTCATAGCCGCGGCGTGTGGTTTTACTATTGTGCCTCTCATGCCTTTTTAGTCGTCTTTCCTATTGTCATTTGTCAGTGAGTTGCAATGAAAACGAAGCAGATTAGGCACGGCGGTGCCTATTCTCATCTAAAAGACAGCACGGATTCTATTTCTGTCTTCTAGATTCTCATCATCCACCACCTCATCTAAGGATTCTCATCTAAAAGGATTTTCATCTAAAAGGATTCTATTACCCGTCTCCTCCTTGATCTCCCTAAGCATGCCTTCCCATGAGAGAATGATGCATCCATACCTGTCGAGCAGGCAGTTCTTGAAAGCGTGCACGTCATCTCTGAGATCGGGCTCAAACGCAGCCAAACCGAGGAAGCCTGTAGGGTGTGTGGGGAGGAGGAAGCTGTAGCTGGTAGAAGAAAGCTGATGGGATTCAAAGCGTGCTATGTAGTGAAGCACCCCGATAGTCAGAAGTCTTTCCTCTAATCGAAAAGCTGAGTAGCTCGGTTCTGGACCATGCAGCTCTAGGTGACAAGTATTTACCTGTCTCGAATCCCCCGAGTGACTCCCAAAGGTTTTTGATATTTCCTGTGTAACCGAATGTACGCGCAGCCATGATAAATTCGTTGTAGGAGAGACGGCCTGATGCGGTTTTTGAGGAGAAAGCATAATGTAGGCACGAAGAGAAGAGTTGTGATGAGCGTAATTAAAAAAATGGATTCAAGATGCTCGCCTGAGACCCTAAAATAATGTCACCCTAAAGTAAAGACTTCGACATCGACGAACTTCGAGCATAAGATAGTATTGGTCGTACCGTTGCCATCCGTATCCAGACCCTGTCTCCAGGCACGCAAGAGCGAGCCATATCGGTGCAAAACCATCTTTTTGAAACCCTCCTTAGACTTCGCAATAATCGCCCCCATCTTCTTCTCGTACTCCTCCTTCTCTTTGGCGATTTCGGCGGCAACCTGTGATTGATTGTGGGTGAGATGTCGAAGGATGTCGTTTGGGAGTTTACTTAGAGTACCTGCGGCACAACGACAAGAACAGCAACATCTGCAAACTCAGTTCTAAAAACTTCCAAAAATACCGTCTGCTGCTTCCCGCTATGCGCATTATAGGTCTTCATCCACTCCTTGGCCCTGTCCGCCCCTCCAAACCACTGCTCGTTGTAAGTCTTTTTGTCCATTTCCAACATCAAGATCTTCAAATCTGACAAGATCAACGCTCTACGATGGGACTCAGCGATCAACTGCTTGCCGAAGAAGTCTTTCAGACTCTGAGACTTAGACTCGAAGCCAACAATACTGCATATCTCCTTGAACTCATCGAAATCGATCTCATCGTTCTTGGTTTGGCCAGGCTGTAGGTCCAACAAGGCTGCCCAAGCATCGACGATAGTGGTGTAGCGTTCCAAGAGGCACTTCTTGAAAGCGTCTAAGTCGTCTTTGAGCGGTTTGTCGAGGTGTTGCATACCGAGGAAGCCCATCTCTTCCCCACCGAGGACGACCCAGAGGGTCTTCATATTTCCAGCGTAACCGAGAGTACGCGCAGCTTGCATAAACTCGTTGAAGGAGAGGCGACCTACGTGGTGAGTAGAGGGAAGATAAACGACGTACCTAGTTGTTTTAGGAACTTATTCTAATTCTCATCTAATGAAAAATCTACATCTTTCCCATGAAAAGCCTACTAGAGAATAAGTTTACCGTTTCCATCGCTATCCAAACCGTATCGCCAGGCGCGAGCCATAGAGCCGTGCCTTCTCACAATCTGCTGCTTGAATCCTTCCTCAGATTTGGCAGCCAACATAGCAGCCTTCTTTTCTTTTTCGGCTCTGTGGTTTGGAATAATAAGTGGTCGCGTCTTCGCGAAACAAAGATCTTCATTGAACAAAATTTGCTGCGTTCTCTGCATAACCAACTTTGCTTTGCAACCCATCAACTAGTGACTCTGACAGCAACACAATGAAAAGAAGACTGACAAAAGAAGAAAGTACTTCACAAGCGCCTCCCTCTTTTCCAAGCCCATGAAGTTGGCCAATCGTGCAGAGAAACTCTGGCTCTGACGTTCTTGAAATGTCATGCGCATGCGGTCAGCGGAAGTCAATTTTGGCGCCAAGATTAGAGTCCGCGAGATTGCACTTCGGCCCCCTCATCTTGACCCCTTTTACCTTGTATTTCATGAGAATACAAGGGAAAAGGGTACCGAGATGCCGAGAAGGATGGATAAGAGCTGACCTTAACAAGATGAGCTCGTGGTGTCCAGAGAGATAGTTTTTCATCAAAAACGGATCCAAGTCTCCCATTGTCAGGTATTGCCGTCCCTGCTCGAGGAGCATCGTGTTAAACAGCAGCTTGGGGTCTTCGGGGTATCTGGAAGGAGGCAAAGAGGTTTCATAGATGATCTTGTTCTTGTCCCATCATGAAGATAATCTTCAGATGTTGACGATGAACTCATGAACTCAAAATCCTGACGATGACCTCATGAACTCAAAATCCAACTCTAATATTAAAAAGTTACCCCAATTCCCCGCACTTCCTAATAAACTCATCCAATTCCAAGCGACCGGATTTGTCTTCATCCAAGCCCTTCTTCCAGGCGTTCACCAGATTTCCGTACTTCTGACAGCACAGCCTGTTGAAGGTGTCGATTCTGCGTTGGGCATCCGGATCTAACTCATCCAAAGAGATGCGACCGTTACCATCGTCATCCATCGTCTTGAAGAGATAACTCAAGTTCCCCACATATCCCAAGGCACGAGCGGCATTACAGAACTCGTTGAAAGCCAGTTTTCCACCTTCGTTGCAGCTGTCGCGGCACATACCTGCACGCCAACCACGAGCAACCGATCCAAACTTACGCTTCAGCATGGCCTTGAAGGAGTGCATATCCTGAGGACCCAGATCTTCACCAGCGTCCAGGTAAGAAGCACGACGGCGGAGCATGGCTGTTGTGTTGTCAGTTGTGTTGTGAGTTGTGTTGAGGTTGGATCATGTAGAGGGAAAGTGAAAGAACCTATTACAATACAATCCAATTAATCTCGCTTTTTTTTTTTTTTTTGTAGTGCGAGCGAGTTCCGATAAGTCAAAACTTACCTGCGTGTTTTGCGAGCGAGTTCCGATAAATCAAATCCTACCTGCGTATTTTCCGCGTAGCTACCGGCGTAGGGGGGAGTTCTTAATCTCCTTAACAACTACGCTACTGCCCCTACAGCTTTTAGTGCAGTAGGAGAGAGGCTTTCATCTAGGTTCGAGGGTTTTGAACCTTGAACCTTGAAAGAACCTGTTAGAAGAGAGGCTTTCATCTAGGTTCAAGGGTTGAACCTTGAACCTTGAAAGAACCTGCTAAGAGAGAGGCTTTCATCTAGATTCAAGGGTTGAACCTTGAACCTTGAAAGAACCTGCTAGGAGAGAGGCCTTCACCTCCGTGGCATTGTAGTTACGTTTACGCTTCGTAGAGACCTTCTTGCTTTTCTTGGCAGGAGAAATTGAAACGCAGCCCTACTGCATTCATTCATTCATTCATAAAGAATGATTCATTATCTTCTGAATAATGTTGGTGGAGCAGACCAAACTAAAATTATCCTCTGAGTAATAACATAAAGAAGCAGAACCAATAGGGACGAATAATCATGAAATATAAGATTCAGAATCAGTACCAAATTTCTGTCTCGCCATGTCCTTAGCACGTTTTAATTGACTTCTGATCGTCTCCTCCTGTCGTTCCTCGAAGGTTTGGTCCATAGGACCCTTTCGCGGAGACGGCGAATTCTCAGGAGAGCCAGTTGGGGATTCGTCCAAAGCGAGCTCACGACTGTTGTAGTTGAATCCGATTGTCGACAGGTGTGAGTTTGTTTTGATCTAAGTGGATGCATTTGCATTGAGTAGACTGTAGTGTTAATGGTGATGTCGAAATATAATTTCAACTCGTGTTGTACTAGCTAGAATGCCGAAATCTTCATACATCAAGTTGATGAAAAAAAATATTAAGGGTCCATGATCATGATCTCTACTACTACTTCTGAGTGAACGTAAAGTTCTACTTACTTAGAAGTAAGTAGAGTTCTAGAAGTACGTCGGGTCCAGCAACGCGCGATAGTCGTCCAACCGCACTGCTCCTGCAACTTTGCCGTCAAAATCTTCCACGTTCATGAAGTTGCGATCCTCCAGCAACAGCAAGCGGAACATTTCTTCCGCGCTCTCCTTGTAGCCCAATTCCTCACACTTCTTCTTCCATTCCGGCAGTTCCACTCGCCCACTGTGCTTCAGATCGAAGTGGCAGATCCACGCTTCGAGTAGGGAGCCCTTCTTTTCGATGCAGAGACGGCGGAAGTTCAAGATCTTGTTGTAGGTAGGTTCGTCGAGTTCTTTCAGAGAGATGACGCCAGAATTGTCATCATCCATCTCCATGAAAGTGCCCTTCACGTTGCCTGAAAGAAGGTGGTTATGGAGGTGGTTGTTGTTCTTACTAGTGTTAGTAGTAGTACTTACTATGGTAATAAATATAAATGTTGCGTACTTGTTGCGTCGAAGATTTGGAGATGATAGAATGTCAAAATCAATGTCATCTTTTTCTTGTTGTATTAAGGTCAAAACCGCTATAAAAATTGGCAAACGACCCAACGACGAATTAATGTAGTACCATGAAACCCGACGTCACGGCATGCCTGACAGAACTCGGTAAAGGACAGTTTCTTGGTGGCGTCACAACCTAGACCCTTACGCCAGGTTAGAAAGGTCCGTAGTTCATCTTTCAAGTGCATCCTTGAAAAGTATGGGGGGGCATTCCCTTGTAATACTAATACTCCCTGATACCTTTCAAGGATGCCGTCAAAGATGCATTACCTACACCCTTAACCAGGCACGCCAAAGGTTGCTATATCGCCTCTTCAGCAGATCCTTAAATTCCTCGACAGTACGAGCAGACATCGTTTTGAGCAAGTGGCGGCCTTGTTCCTTAGCCAACTCTTGACGGGCTTTGAGGGTCTGGAAAAAGATTTGGGAGTACATCTTGGATGCAGGCTTTTGGAGTCATTATAAGACTGAGCAGGTGCTGCAATCATTCTCCTTGACATCAAGAAACCTAGTTGTACAGCGTATCCATTTTTTTGAGTCTTATAGTCAATCATCGAAAAATAGTTTTTGTACCATCGCCCTCTTGTAGTTCACCGAGTTCTCGGTCAAAGCCAACATGTCATCGTCACCACGGCGTTGGGCCAAACCGGCAACCGGGTCAAACTCGTCAACAGACAGTGTCTTCTTGAATGGCGCCAGCAAAAACGGCCACACCTGTTCTGGGTCTCCTTCGTAGTTCATCTTCTTAATCCTCGAAATGAACTGATGTTTCTCCACTTGTTGTGTGTTGTGCGGATCGAGGATGCGCCATGCAGCAAGAGTGTTCTTCGCTTTGGCTTGGACCCTGGGGGGTGATTGGGATTGGGAGGGTTGGGGTTGTTCGGTGATGTTGTGGGATCATAGTCATGGTTTAATTTTGTGCTTGAGATTAACATCACAATCACTAGTGATACTCAAGAACACTGGGTTGCAGTAACCTAGAGAGAGAGAAGCAAAGTCCAAATCTCAAAAACTCAAGTGATGATGTTATTCGGTTCGGATTGGACCTACGAAACGACTTCCCTGAAGAACTCGAGTACTGTTCATAGAACGCTTTCAATGTCGCTGCTGCTTGCGGGTGCACATCTTCTAGTTTGACCACACCAGTCTGGTTGGCATCCAACTCAGCCCAGACGCTTCGAATGTCTCCACCAATACCATGTTGTCTGCATGCACTGCAGAACTCACTGAAATGGACAGCGCCATCGTATCGGAATCCGAAGCGCCATCCACTGCAAACGGAACCGAATTTTCGTCGCAAGACAGCGCAGAACTGACGCTTGTGCTCACCGGGAAGGTTAGAGGAGAAGAGATACAACTTCTAGAATAGAGCAAATGTTTTTTTCTTGCAGCTAGAATAGAGCCGGGATTTTGCAGAAAATAAACACGGCTTCTCGCTGTTTGGTTATTTCATGAATCAATGTAGCTTTCACGTTCACTTTGACAGAAACCTTCAGCATAATGTTAGCCTCCGATCTCTGGCTTCCTCTTCGTGATGCGGTTCCATCCATGCGCGGGCTCTGAGAGCGCCGCCTTTTGGGTGTGTTGGCACGACTCGCGAGTGGACTTCCAGGTGGAGGAGATTTGAGTTCCGCGACCTTGGAGGGAGATGAGAAGGAGAAGAGAATGATTGAGAAGGAGAAGAGAATGATTGATTGGATGTGGGAAGGAGACTTCGTAGATGTGGGACCAAGGAGAAGAAAATGACTGTCATTTTTCTTGCGGTCTCAAGTACATTCCTCACGGTCCGGCTCATCTTCACTACAAGGATCAAAAATGCAATCACATGATGATAGATAGTACCAATTCCCTCGTAATGCTCGCCAGCTCCAACTTTCTTCTGGCGGAGAAAGTGACATGGTTCAGAGTACTGGACTTCTCTTCGGAGTAGTACTGAAACGGCTGTTGACTGCGCTGGGATTCAATGCCTTTGCTTGATGGTTCCTTATTCGTCGTGGTGGTCGAGTTGCCTTGACGTGGCATACCGGCTAGTTTCGGCAAAATTGGCATCGAGTAGGAGAGCGGATCTGCTTCGGGAGAGATGCTGTGGTGGTGGGGACAAAAGAATCAGGATGGAGGACGATCTTCATGCACGACAAAGAAGTTAGGGAAAATAAACAAGATCTACTTCATGTTCATCGTAGGCACTTGAACACCAAAGAACCATAACCAGCAAAGTCAAAAGACTTGAACCATAAGGAGCAAAGTGAAAAGTACTTCCTCGCACTCGCATCTCCTTTTATTTCCGGATAGGGATGGTGGATCACCTTGCGCTGCCCGAAGGGGCTTGGCGCAGCGTTTCTCGGAGGTGGTGGTGACATCGACATTTCGAGACTTGGGTCTAGTGTTGACAAACTCGGAGAGCGATGTTGGGAGGTGCCTCTTGCTGCACCGCCATAGGTAACTGCCGCTCCGAGACCACGAGCCTTATGGTACTTTTCCAATGACTGCGCACGTCGTGGACGTCGCTTCTATTTTTGAAAATAGGGAAAAGGAAATCAAAGTTGCTAGGGACACAGATAGAGTCAAGTCCTGCGATGCAGACACAAAAACGAAAAGGCAATAGGTTTTATGAATGACTACAAGCATAATCTGCTACTCTAGCGGAATTTTCTGACACTCGTCCTTCAACGAAGTGAACACTGACATCAACAATTCCTAATGACCATGGCTGTAAAAAAATTATGCAAAAAGCACAATAGACTCAGTGCTGTCTTTCTCGTCAGCATGTCTCGAACAACCAACACCAAGTGGAATATTCTTCAAACAGTATCAAAAACATTACCCCCGGCAGATATTGCGCTTCGCAATCCCGGATCATACGGAGTCTTTTGTACGCGCCTTCATTTTTTAGCAGTTGCTGAAACTGCTTCTCGTGCAAGGCACGATAATGCATAGAAGCTGACGACATTTTTTCACTACGCTATTTTGTAGCAGCTAAACGTAAATCAGCGTCATCACTAATACTAGTAGTGTTACAAGTTGTATCTTCCGTGATATTACTCACAGATTAAATAATACACCTCATAAGTTTACAACAAGAACACTATGAGTTGTTTGGATGCATAATTGGCAGATGTTCGATGAAATAATATATTTTCGTGTTAGTAGAGGAGCATACCTACCATGATTCTTGAGCAGAACAAGTGCTGAAAGATGAAAAGTCATGTGCTACCTAAAGCTACGCTACATCATGGACATGGTTATAATCGAAGCAAAGTATTTTTGAAGACTCACTCCATGGTTTGGATTTTGGTTTTTACCTTAGGAACGGCGCTATGGGAGCTTGAGAGGTGTGGTGGAGGAGGCGTGAGAGTTGGAGACCTGGCATGTTGTGTATCTTGATCGAGGACGAGACTACTATTTTCAAACCGATGTAGACGAGCTGACAGACGATTGCATTCAACTCGAGACCGATCCTGCATTGTTTGTTTTGTCTATTTGACACCGAATTTATTAAAACCGACACCAGGTGGTCATGACAGAGCACGTCAACGAAGTTTTGTTTTCCGATTGGAGGGAACAAGGATCACATACATTACACGGAATTGGAACACGAAAGCATCCACACACTGCAGGCACAGCGTACGAGGACGTGCTCCAACTGCGATTGTCCTCTTTGTGTTTCGGCTTCTTTTCAATCGTTTGATGATGAAGACGTGAAAAGTTTGGAATGGTTTGATCTTCGATCATTGTAAAAACTCATTGTGGAGGTCAAGAACAAGTATGTCCATATTCAAGAACAAGTATGTCCATACTCAAGAACAAGTATGTCCATACTCAAGAACAAGTATGTCCATGCTATTTTTGTAAAAAAGACTTTATAAAGTTGGAAACAAAGTATGCTCCCTTAGGGTTAGAAGGGTACCCCTTATGTATGTTGTTGACCAATCGCAAAAGTCAAACTCAAAGTATGTGGATGCTGGTTCCGTATTAGGAGGCTTGTTGTTTCACAGTCTCTGTGGTAGTCGTCATCGCTGGATTATCTATGCAAATTTATCAATCTTCTATGTGATAGACGTTCTTTTTCAGATATCCTCCATTGCGTCAACCTTCAAGGGTGGATTTCCGACGAGGCTCCACAATTCTATCTTATTTCGACTCTTCACCCCGCCTCCACCCGCTTTGTATTCTTCTCCAGCCACCTGCTCCTGTTCACATTCTTCTGTTGTACTTGTAGTTGAGATTGTGCTTTCTATCTTGTCCTTGTCCGCTCCCTCTGCTTCTCCAGCCAGCACCACAAACTCCTCCAACACTTTGAAATGGATTTTCATTGCGTTATTTTTCTGACTCGGATCTTCATGGAGTTGAGGCGAATCCCATTCCTTGAAGTATTCTCTTCTCGTACATGGAAAATTCAGCTCTTTGCAGTCGACTTCGCACTGTTCCCACTGAGCTCGCATTCCTGGTTCGTCTGGGTCGGACAGCTGACGTGGAGTTGCGTGAAGGAAAATATGTGGTACCACAAGAGGTGGTAGAAGAGGCCAATAGGCTTGTGCGAAAGGCTCTCTCTTCTTCGGCTCCGCAACTGGTTCTTCTTCTGTGGATGATTCCTTGTCGATCTGTAGTTGCAGCTGTTGTTCTTTCTGCTGTAGTGCCCGCTTTCGCCTTCTATGCATACCCAACAAAAATCGTTCCAAAACCACCGCACTAGGATAAGTGTCGACCACTTCTGCCTTGCCAGCGTCTAGATAGTGTACCTCTTGGACCATGTTCCACAGGCGATGCTCACCTTCGTGCAGGAGAAGCGCGTTCAAGACTAAATGGCCTTTCGAGAAACCGCAAAGAGCAAGAGTTGGCATGAGAGTCGTAAAGATCGTAGTAGATGTAGTCTTCGTCGTATGCATTTGATGTCGCTGTTGTACATTCTTTATGATCTTCCACAAATGCTCGCAGGCGTTGGGCGCTTCTAGCAGTAATTGGCGAGTCTGCTCCAATTTCTTCTCACTGAAACGCGGTCGTCGGGTCTTTATCTCCATTGCTGTTGGAGAGGTACTAGCAGTAGCAGCTTCTCCTTGTCTGCTAGTTTTACACTTACTTCGTGTCCCCTTCTTATTTACTCCCGCAGCACTTTTTATCGTCTGTTGATGTTCCTTGCTTTGCGTCCTCGGCAACTGGCTAGAAGAGCTTGCCTTTTTCTTGTTCATCTTCTTCATCCCATAATTGTGCAACGTCGTATAATTACTACTTGTACCACCTGCCTTTGCTTCCTTCTGCGATGACTGCGTTGAAGTACTTGACGGGGATGAGCTTGATGCTGAAGAAGACGATGCCGAAGAGCTAGAAGACTCTTGTGAAAGGAGTAGTGGAACTTCAGTGTGTTCTAGATGCGGATGTACAGTAGGATCTCCACCGGATGAAAATGGCTTCTCTTCATCCTCTCTCATCTTCGCCAAAGCCGCATGGCTCAGCCTCACTTTAGGTTCTCCATGCTTCGCATCTACCAAAGCAAAATTGGAATACACGGCGCTCAAACCGCACAACTCAAACGGCCTGATCATTAGGATCGTTCGGTCTGGAAAGCGCGCGCAGAGAAGCCAGAAAATGTCATCTAGAGAGCAGGGTAGACCTGTTGTGAGGAGCCAATGACTATCGATCGTTGGAACGCCATCTTCGGGACAGTCTACTCGAGTAGCGCCTGCCATCAGGAAATCGGAGATGTCGCCGGGGAAAAAGATTAGCCATGGCTTCTCTTTCTCTGATGTCGTATTGTGCTCGTCCTTATAGTCGTCGTCTACAGATGGAGGTGCTGGTCGGAAATAGCACCAATTCAAGCGACCACCATCGCCTTCGATATTTTCAACCATACAAGTAACCGGCATTTTTTTCATTTAGGAAAAGATGAACCAAGAACTAGCACAGGAAGTCGAAGTTTTGGTTTGTTCTTAGTGTTAGGTCAAGGTTTCAAATCTTATAGAACTACACTTCCATACCATATTAGCCTACCAGCATGCTAGTTGTAGTTGGTTAGAAGCGAACTAGCAACAACATTTTCTCTCGTCTACTTTATTGCCCCCTTTTTTATGAAATAATTTCTTTTTCCGTAGCTAGCTCCTTTTCGTTCTCCTAGTTGCTTTTCTCTCATCAAATACAACTCAAACTCGTCGTTTTTTGCAAAAGAGATAACAACCCCTGAGCCCCACTTAGTCCCCCGTAAGCAATTTGTTGGACAACGAATAGGGCCGAATTTTTTCAGAATTTTTAGTGATCTTCTTGTTTTACAAGCTGCGTCATCCTGCAGTGTCTCGATCTTGTTTTGTGGAGAAAATGGAAATTTTTGATGTTTTGCTCTTGCGATGCTCGTCTTGATGAGCTTCGTTTCTGGTTCATGTGAGGGAGTTTCAAGATCTTATCAGGTCTGTTTTGCTTGTCTTCAAACAGGCAGTGACAATTTTGAGATTTTCTTTTTCGTTCCTGCTTTGCTCAAAGCAAGCGGTGAAACGTGATCTTTCTCCGTTAGTTGGTTCTTGCGCTAATGTCAAAACGATGTGTCGTCTATTTCTGATGTGTCTGACACTGTCAATGCTTTTCGACCACTAACGTGCTTTCATGAAACTACATATTGCATCCGTCAACGACGCGTCGTAGTCATAGCAAATCTCTTTCTGTTTCAGTAAGCTCTTGCTCAGCGCCGAACCAAGGCGCTGAGTCCAAATATGAAACTCGGAAATGGAATTCATATATCAAAGCTTCATCGACATCGTCGTCGTAATCGAATTGCATCTACCGCCCCTTTCCTGTTCCTGTCAGGTACTGCAGCGACCCCGCGAGGGTCCTACCTCCTGTCGACTGGAATTCACATCTCGATTGTTGCTGAGTCGCAAAGAGGTGTTGCACGGTACTGCCGTTAATGCCTGGGGTGATGCCCCGCGGAAGTAAACGAGCCAGGCTTTGAGTTTTTTCGGCGGGAGAAAAAAATTGTAAGCGAGCTACTTGTACTTACCTCTACCGTGCAGCAAGCACAGAAGGAAAGCGTGAAACGCAAAAATTGCAACTGAGAGCCTGACGGTAGGATCACACTAAAAGTATCTACTTGCAATCTGCACCATAATGCCCAAAAGCGGATAGTACACTCACGATAGGGATAGAAGCAGCTGGCGCAGTAGACGCTGGTCACGATGAGAATGATGCAGTATGTTGATCAGGAACAGCGTTGCTGCGTAGCTTGAAATCATCCCCCGCCGCAGCGAGCTTGGAAAGTCGCGCGATATAAAGAAATAGCTCTGAAAGAACTTCTGAAACTGTGTGCTACTAGCTCACAATCTTACAGCGTTTTACCTAATTTTCGAACTGCTCAACAAGACCCTGTAACTGCCTCAGCTGGAGCGCAAGGCTCTCAGATGAAGCTGCCCTTGCTACTGTACTAAAGTAGAGACCAGGTGAGCCTATAAACTGCTCCAGAGATGAAATTTCTCACGCCAATTCCAGAACGACTTTTTTAAACTCTTCGTAGCAGACACTGTTGCTTTTGTTGGTGTCCAACTTTTGCAGGATCCGTCCCGCCTCCTCCTCGTCGTTCCCCACGACCGTGGACAGTTCCTCAAAGGAGATTTCCCCGGACGCGTCCAGGTCGAAATACTGGAAGGCTTTCTGGATGGTTTCTTCGTGCTTCAGTAAGCTCCTTTCGAAGACGAAGGCGAGCCACTCGGTGTAGGTCACCGTGCCCGAGCCGTCCGCGTCCAGCTGCTCAAACAACGCGTCAAACTCGGCGTCGCTCATCGTGATCGTGGTGCCCTCCAAAAACAGCGCCTCCCGCAGTTCCGCCTTGGACAAGACGCCCGACCGGTCCTGGTCCACCGCCAGAGAGGCCTCCCGCAGCTCCTCGACGTCCTTCTTCAGTCTTCTCCTATCTTCTTATCGGTTTCGCCAACCCTTTTGCCCTTTACTGACTTCGGCTTTTTGGGTCCGCGTCCGTCTCGTCTTCGGCTCTCGCTCTCTTCCCTCCACAGCCGCGAGGCCCCGCGCGACTCTCCTCAGGCACATCCCCGGCAGCAGGTCCGACGGTCTCCGCGGTCAGCTCAGCGCGCTTCCCCTTGCCTTGGCCTTTGCTTCTTCTCCTTTTTCGTTTCCGGCTGTTCATCAGGATCCAGGAGTTTGAACTCGTCCGCGCCGCGCTGCGACAAGCATGGGCGACTATGTTAGATAGTGGGAGCTGCGTTGTTACTCTGGCAGGCGCGCTGCCGGTCGCGCCTGACGATGGGGCAAATACACACTCGGCCGTAGGCCGGATGGCGCGCCGTCCCCTCTGGCGGCGGTAGGCCGCCGGGGACGATGGGGCAAATACGTAACCAACCGGCGCGCGGCTTTCTCTGTTCCACGCTCCGGCCTTCACACTCGGCCGTAGCCCGGGTGACGATGGGGCAAATCACACAAGGTTAAACGATTAGGAAGTTGCGGGGCCTTTTCGGTACGGGTGTCCGCACGCTACGATCTCCGTCGCATACGCGCGATCGCCGAATGGTCACCTCGTCTATCCCTGTTTATCCCTGTATAAGCGGGGCGGGGGGGCGCCCGTCTCTCCCGATTTAACCCTGTATAAGGGGGGCGGGGGGGCGGCGGCAGCGCGCGGTCAAACGTTTGCCCCATCGTCCCTGGCGGCCAAGGCCGCCAGAGGGGACGGCGCGCCCTCTGTCTCGCGGGCGGAAGCGCGCCGCCACGCCTTTGCCCCAACGTCCCTGGCGGCCTTCGGCCGCCAGAAGGGACGACGCGCCATCTGTCTCGCGGGCGGAAGCGCGCGGCCAAGTCTTTGCCCCGTCGTCCCTGGCGGCCTTCGGCCGTAAGACGGAACGTCGCGCCATCTGTCTTGTGGGCGGGAGCGCGAAGCCAAGCTACTAAGCAACTAGCCAAACCACCTAAAAAACCAAAAGCCTCAGGATTGGTTTCTATCTTTTTCCACATTGCCCATTTTGTCCTGGTCATAGATGAAAACCCGGGCTCCAAGCAGGCAGCTCCCCCACGCGTTTCCCCGGTCGCAAGCCCCGCCAAAGTCCCCGAGCTGCTCAGGGACTTCCGCCAGCCGTGGAGGAAAACCGACAAAGGCCGCCACTAATCTTAGAGGGACTGGCGGAAGAGCCCAAGGCGCAAGAGATGGGTGGCGGACAACATGCCGCAGAACACTCACGAGAGGAACGGAGAGCCGCGTGATGAAATTAATGTAAGAAGAGAGGGCCTGGCGGTACTCTGCTGAACCGTCACGCAGCGCAAATGGGAAGAGATTCGCGGCGAAATCAAGAACATCGCGCGGGAAGAGTATTATTTTATGCTGGTAACGCCTGAGGGGACCCTCTTGCAACCTGCGTCGGCTTTGAATATTTGGGAATATTCGAATACTTTGGGACTGTTGGAGAATATTCCCAAAAGGTCCTCGATGGGGGGATGTGAGGAAGTACCTAATTCCATGCGGGAATGTTTTTCGCGGAAATATTTCGGCTGAACGAAAAAAACACGCCCAGGGGCTCATACCATGGGGGAATCCAACTCCTTCCGAAGCTCGGGACTTGCCTTTGGAGCTGCCTGCGGAGTTCCTCTCCTGCGGGTATCGAAGTGGAGACGATGTCCCAAGGGTTGACATTAAAAAACGAAACAGTTGCTCGCTATAATTTTTTTCAATGTCAACGCTTGGGACATCGTCCCCACTTCGATACCCGCAAGAGAGGAACTCCACAGGCAACTGGGAGAGCCAGGGGGAGAAACAATCCAAGGAACACAACAGAAACACGACACGAAAAACGGGAGCCGAGCGGGGTCGCCTGGGAGGCGCTACCCAACTCAGAAGACCACACGCGGGGGCGGGGGAAGGCGGGACCGCCAAGCAACGCCCCCCCGCCTCACACCGCACGCCCCTCCCCGTGGTCTCCCCCCGGGGGCATCGGTCCCCTCCTAAACCAAAAACACGAGGGAACTGCCTGCCAAATGTTCGGCGCCGGAGGAAGTCCGCCAGATTGCTGAATGGTTAACGCTCACCATGTCCGAGCTTTTTGGACTGCGGCCATTTCACTCACGAGCGCAGCCCGAGCAGGTTCTCGGTTCGCGCGGCCTTCGGTTTGTGGTTTTTGGGCAGGTTTTCCTTTGGCGCGGCTTCGGGTTTTTCGTTTTGTGGGTAGGTTTTCTGTTCGCGCGGCTCGAAGTTTTCGGCTTTTGGGTGGGTTTTCTGCTCGTTTGGCTTTGGGTGGGTCTATGGCTTTCGGGTCGGTTTTCTGTTCGCGCGGCTTGCGGTTTGCGGTTTTTGGGCAGGGTCTCTGCCCATGATGCCCCACGGCTTTGGGCTTTTTCGTTGGTTTCCTGTTTGCGTGGTCTTAGGGTTTCAGGCTTTGCGGCCGGTTTTCTGTTCAGGCGGTTTAAGGGCTTGCGCTTTTTGTGCGGGCTTTCCGCTCTTGCGGTTTTAGGGCTTAGGCTTTTTGTATTGGCTTCCCTGCTCGTGTGTTTTCTTTTAGGGCTTAGGCTTCTCGCGGCGGTTCCCTGTCCGTGTGGTTTCAGGGTTTGGGCTTTTCTATCCGTCCCCTGTCCGCGCGCTTCTAGGATTTAGCGGCAGCGCCGTAGGGCTTCTGGCTTGTGGGCGGGTCGCGCGCTCTCAGGGCTTGCCCCGCCCCGGCATGCGGACCGATTTGGCGGCCTCGCTTGCTACTTGCGAGAAGGTCAGCGCGTATTTTCAAAAGAAAAAAATCCGAAAAGTGCGGCGCTTGCTAAGAATAGACACACACAGGCCCACCCCCGCCTCCAAGTGCACCCGCTTGGCGCCTGGGCTGAGTCTTTTCCCGCTTGGGGGAGGGTGCTGATCTTGAAAAATTTGGCGCGTATTTTGAAAAATTTATGTTTTTGCGAGAGAGCTCTGCCACAAACGAGAAACGCGCCAGCTGAAAGCAGTCGCGGCCCCGGCGATGCACGGTCAGAAACTGTTTTTCTTTTTTAAAGTTGACCCCCTAAAATTTTTACAAGTTTTGCGACTTCAGGAATTTTCTGCAGAAATAAAGCAAGAGGAGAGGGCGCACCGGAAAAAAAGCCTGCGGCAGCTACCCTATCCAGCCCTATAGTTTTTGCCTTTATCTTAAATAGAGAAGCGACTGCCACATGCCTGCTCCCTTCGCGCCCTCTCAGCGCGATAGCCACTCGGAAGAGGGCGCAATCGATGAGCGGCTCCCCCATCTAGATAATTGACTATGGACCACGGCGAACAAAACGCCAGCCCATCAACGACTCTATTGCACTGTCGCCACAGCATTGGCCCCATTTTGATCGGCCTGCGCGGCAGAGTGCGCGCGTATTCCACTCGAAACCGATACCCGCAGGAAGTTCGAACCCATACGGCAAAGATTGGGCGCGTTTTCGCGAGGTTCTTTCTGTGTTCTCCTTTGTCCGTTTTTCGTGGGAGCCCAGAAATTGGCGACGCTGGCCCCCTCGAAACCGATACCCGCACGAAAGTCGAAACCATTAGCGGAGGACATTTCGCGAATTGGAAACGGCTAAGGGACTCGCAAAACGGTCAGCAGCTTGGCAGATTTTTTGCGAAAGCTTTCGCGGCTTTTTCGTCGTTATATGCTTTGGCTTTTTTCCTACTTGCGACAAAAAACGCCGCAGCGCGCCGCAGAGTGTGGCGCGGGGTTTTATTGAAGCGCCGCCGCGTGGAGAACCGCGAGGCCTCCCGTTTGTGGCCAATCTTTTGGAAGAATATGAGGAAGCGAAACCGATAAGGAGAGCCGGGAAAACCTTGCGGCGATTTTTGTCGGAGACGCTGCGGCGGTCTTTTTCTTTTTCGTCTTCTTTTTGCGAATATTTGGGAGCATTCGAATACTTTGCAAATATTTGGGAATATTTGGAGAATATAGAGGAACACTCTCCGAATATTTGCGAGCATTTTTTTGAGTGCGGGAATAATGGGCGCGGGGCGCTGGGTACAAGGGGGGCGGGGGAATGCTCCTGACAGGCGGCCGCGCAGCTGAAGGACTAGCCCACGCCCCATCGTCCCTGGCGGCCTTCGGCCGCCACCGGGACGATGCGCCATACAGGGTGTCCTGCCAAGCTTCTGCGGCCTTCCCAGAAGATGCTCGCGATTGAAGTCATCTCCTTGGCCTTCTTCGTGTGCGTGTGCTACCTATACCGGGCGCACTTCTGAGAGCTACAGGCGCACAGGCTTAGTCTTTCCCGTTAATGGTGTCCCAGACTCTTAAAAAGGAGGGCGGGCCCGTGTCTGATGGTGTCGCCTGTCGTCTCATTCGGTTTGTATCGGTAGCCGGAGGGATTGCAGAGGAGACGGGCACGCCGAGCGAGCGGCGGAGCCGATAAGCGAACGGCGGAAGCATCTGAACAGAGCCCGGAAAGACGGAGGCGAAACCGATAAGGAAATGGGAAAAGGAGAGAGACGAACTGCCTGGCCCCGCGGTCTAGGGACTAGCGTGCCAAACTGTGCAGAAAAGTGGCAAAATATCGAAAACGGCCCAGGGGCGCCACTGTCCCTTAACGGTTTCGCTTAAGAGTTTCGCGAGGATCCCCTCGAAACCGATACCCGCATGAAAGTCGAAACCATTAGGGGAGGACATTTCGCGAATTCGAAACGGCTAAGGGACTCCCAAAACGGTCAACAGCTTGGCGGGCTTTTTGCGAAAGCTTTCGCGGCTTTTTCGTCGTTATATGCTTTGGCTTTTTTCCTATTTGCGACAAAAAACGCCGCAGCGCGCCGCAGAGTGTCCTCGCGAAACTCTTAAGCGAAACCGCTAAGGGACAGTGGCACTTCTGGGCCGTTTTCGATATTTTTCCACTTTTCTTCACAGTTTGGCACGCCAGTCCCTAGATCGCGAGGCCAGTTCGTCTGTCTCCTTTTCCCATTCCCTTATCGGTTTCGCCTCTGTCTTTTCGGGCTCTGTTCAGATGCTTCCGCCGTGCTCTTATCGGTTTCGCCGCTCGCTTGGCGTACCCGTCTCCTCTGCAATCCCTCCGGCTACCGATACAAACCGAATGAGACGACAGGCGACACCAATGGGCATGGGCTCGCCCTCCTTTTTAAGAGTCTGGGGCATCCTTATAGGCAAAGGCTAACCCTGTGCGCCTGTAGCTCTCAGAAGTGCGCCCGGTATAGGTAGCACACGCACACGAAGAGAGCCAGGGGGGTGACTTCAATCGCGAACGCCTTTCGGTAAGACCGCAGAAGCTTGGCAAGGCGCCCCGTCTGGCGCACCGTCCCGCTGGCGGCCGACGATAGGGCATGCCTTCGCTCTTCAGTTACACAGGCGACAGCTTGTCTGACGCATCCCCCCGCCTCCCGTTGTACCCCGCGCCCCCCGCCCCCCTTGTACAAGGTTACATGGTTGGGCACAGTCCGGGGGCACACTCTTCGGCGCAGGCTCGTCATGTGGGTTCACAGTCGCGCAAACATTTAACCTTGTACAAGGGGGGCGGGGGGCGAGATGGTCCCGCGCTGCCCCCTCGCCCCTGGCGGCCTACGGCCGCCAGAGGGACGGCGCGCCACGCTGCGCTGGTGGGCGCGTGGTCTGCGCCGCATAATCCAGCGTGAACAGCCCAGCAAGGCAACCCCCTGCCCCCTCGTCCCTGGCGGCCTACGGCCGCCAGAGAGACGACGCGCCGCGCTGCGCTGGTGGGCGCTGAAGGGCGCGGGTTGTGCGCCGCATAATCCAGCGCGAACAGCCCAGCAAGGCAACCCTCTGCCCCCTCGTCCCTGGCGGCCTACGGCCGCCAGAGGGACGACGCGCCACGCTGCGCTGGTGGGCGCGTGGTCTGCGCCGCATAATCCAGCGCGAACAGCCCAGCAAGGCAACCCTCTGCCCCCTCGTCCCTGGCAGCCTATGGCAGCCAGAGAGACGACGCGCCACGGCACAGAGATTAGACACACGACAAGAGCAGACGAGGGGAGCACATGAGAAGACGCAGAACACAAGAGCAGCCAGGCCAGAAGAACACAGACCGACCAAACTGGAACAAAGACGAGCCAAGCCAGGGGAACACAAGACGGCGGCGACCTCTCTCGCGTATCTCGCGAAATGAAAGAAGTGGAAGCAGGTGGATGATGGAGGCGCGCGCGGTTTTATCGAAAAGCCGCCACGTGGAGACCGGGGAGGCCTCCTGTCTGTGCCCAATCTTTTGGAAGAATGAATACGACGAAGCGAAACCGATGAGGAGACCTGGGAAACCGTTGTGGGCATTTTTGTCGGAGACGCTGCGGCGGCCTTTTTCTTTTTCGTCTTCTTTTTCTGAATATTTTGCGAGTATTCGAATACTTTACGAATATTTTGCGAATATATGCGAATATTTAAGAATATTTAAGAATATTTCAGAATATTCGCCGAATGTTTGCGAGCATTTTTTTAATTGCGAGAATAGTTCTCGCGTGAATATTTTGGAATAACATGAAAAACCGCGCGCGCAGTTCATACCATGCGGGAACCGAACTGCCTAAGAGGCTCCGGGCATGCTCATGCAGTTCCGCGATGAGTTCTGCTCGTGGGGCTATCTGAGAAAGCTGATCCGAGGACGCTTTTCATTAAAAAAAAAAGAAATACTTTAAAGAAGTTTGTTCGCAAATATTCGGCAAATAGTCCCAAATATTTGGAAAGTATTCGAATTCTCTCAAATATTCACAAAAAAA